ACAATTCAGTCAATCCCTTAGCGCCCAATCAAATTAAACAACAACAAAAGCCCACCTTTAGACCTGCTGAAACAACAATATTATGATCATTTTCCAAATGCTACAGAAGACTTGTGTGAACCTCCCCAATGATGTGTGGCACATCCCCAGAGGCCTTCACTTAACTGTGTGGCACCCTTGCCTAATGTAATATCTGCCTGTCTGCCTGGAAACATTTCTGCACCTGAGCCAAAATATTAAAATTAAATTAAAACAGCAGCCTCCTGTCACTCAGATATTAAGGATGAAATCTCTAAAGGGCATATTTAAATGTGCCAAATTTTTCAAAGAAGTGATCTCAGTAATAACAGTCTCGTACACGGGTGGCGCTGTGGGTTAAACCACTGAGCCTAGGACTTGCCGATCAGTAGGTTGGTGGTCTGAATCCCCGCAACGGGGTGAGCTCCAGTTGCTCGGTCCCTGCTCCTGCCAACCTAGCAGTTCAAAAGCACGTCAAAGTGCAAGTAGATAAATAGGTACTGCTCTGGCGGGAAGGTAAAAGGCGTTTCCGTGAGTTGCTCTGGTTCGACAGAAGCGGCTTAGTCATGCTGGCCACATGACCCGGAAGCTGTACGCCGGCTCCCTTGGCCAGTAAAGCGAGATGAGCGCCGCAATCCCAGAGTCGGCCACGACTGGACCTAATGGTCAGGGGTCCCTTTACCTTTACCTTTAATGTAGGACAATATTAGTATATCCAGGTCTTTTTTCCCAGCCGGAACTCGCTGGAACTGAGCACCTCTCAGGTGGGCTCCATTGCCATTATAAGAAAACAAAGGAGGCGTTCACGGTGAGTTCCAGCATCTCTTTTTCTATGAAAATAGCATTGAGTATATCCGCTTTAGTAAAAAAGGCCTGTGGAATTTCTCAGAGCAGGGGAGGTGTTTTGGAAGTTTGGGAAAGAGGGCCCAACCTTTTCCTGTCCAATCAACTCAGGGGTGTGGCACTAAAGGCTCTTTGAACTCTCCCCAAGCCACACCCTCTCTCCAGGCCACACCTCCTTTCTCCAGGCCACACCCCTCACTGCCCTGCTTGCATCCCAATGTTTTTGTCTGGCTGCAATGTGTCCTTGATCTCAAATGGAGCCTCTTGCATTCCTAATGGAGGCCAGAGAGGCATGTGAATGTTCAGAATCTGGCCTATTGTGCAAAGAATATTTTTTTTAATGTTCATTGCTCCGCCCCCTTTAACTTTTGCCTGTGGCCCCGCCCACCTCTGGCCTAGGGTTGACCAGAGGGGAACATGGCCCTTGTATCGAAAACATTCCCCCACTTGACCCTTTTCCACCTAAGACCCTCAACCACAGGCGCCTGGTCGCCCCCAAGATCAAAGGGGTCCGGCGCGCACATGTGATGTCACACACGCGACAAGTGATGTCACACACATCTCCCGACACCGCGCAGGACAGGGCATCCTTCTGCTATCTGCTGGTAGGCCCCGTCACAGCCACTGAAAGGTTTTTCTGCCACAGGCACAGAAAAATGGGGGGCCTCATTGAAAAAAATGGAGAGGCGCACCTGGCCCCTCAGGTTCCTTAGATGGCTCCCCTGCCCCTCACGCTTAACCTGCACGACAAATTTATAAATGGCTTCCTCCTCCCCTGCAAAAATGGCTCCTTGCCTTTTGCTTCTTTGACTCACTTTTGAGCCTGGCGGAAACCAAACGTTGGGAACCGGTGCGGTTATAAATATCCCTCTCTGCGTGTCTAGGCTTCTGGGTGAGTGGGTGCTGAGACGATAAGAGCAACTTGCCGAAAACCACCTACTGAGCTTGTGGCAGACCTTCCGCAGCTCAGAAAACAGAAAGCAGCTCCCTTTTTTGCGGTCTGCCTGCCCAAAGGGAGCGGCTTTCTTCTGCCCTTGGCATGGCAAAGGTCAGCCCAGCACATCATGCCCTCGGTTTTGAAAGGCACAGGTAGGCTGCTCCTTCTGGCGACAGACACGTGTGGCTCCCCGTTGCCTTCCTCCGCTGATTACGAGATAAATAAACGTGCACACGCACAGCCTTTTGGGACTGGAGGAGCCCAACCCAGCCAGAATGCTATCCATGCCCTCCGACAAGCCCGTGACTCAATCAGGGTGGCACAGGAGGCTGGTGGAAATCTTGGACACGCACCGGGAGAGAGATGCACTCGGCGGTGGTGTGTGAGTCATTCCCCACTGAGCAGCGCCCTCCCCCCAACCTCCCCGGCCTTGGGGAGACTTCCTCTGACTGAGGAAGCTTCCTTCCTCCATCCAGTGCAGGCTGGTGGGAACAGCCCTGTCGTTCTGCCTGCCTCACTCTCGCAAGACTCTGCACAAGTTCGGCAGGGCTTGGCCGAAAACGGGCATCGCTGGGGAGGAGTCGGAGGAGACGAGGTCACGGAACTAGGTCTTGGGTGACTGCAAGGAGCTCTTTTTGACGGATGGAGAAGCGAGCACCTGTCCTCAGCTGGAATTGACCTGGATGAAAGAAACTGGAAGGGGTGTGGCCGGCTGTTTTCCCCAGAGGTGCCTCTTAGTTTTGGTTTTTCGTGTTGCGTCGAAGCGGCACTTGCGGAACACTCCTCTTGCCGTCGGACGTCTTGGCTGCTGCCCGCAAGGAGAAACTGATTTTGATCCTTTAGGTGACGGCTGAATGCCAGACTTGGGCTGCTGGCGATGGTGAAGATGTTTGGGGAGAGCCACTGGACCAAAGTCTTGACCGGCTGCTGTTTCTTTCCTTCACTCGCAAGTCTCCTTCTCCTGAGGAAGCCGACGGAAAGATCTGTTTTGTGACAGTCTCTGCTCCCCCTCCTTTCCTCCGTTCTCGACATAGTTTAGGTAGGGGAGGACCAGAGGCAGGTTCAGACCAGGCACACAGGTCTGGGCAGGTCCGTGCTGCTCCTGATACAATCGACGAGGAAGATCTGGGACATCCTTCGAAGCGTAGGATCGAAAGGCAGGCGAAGAAGAGGCCGGGACAGGAAAGGAAACTAAGAAAATGTGAGCCAGCAGGTAAAACAGGGGAACGGGGTGGGGTCAAGGGGTCAAGTCCCGGGAGGCTGGCTGAATCCGCGATGGGACAGCATGGAAAACAGGTCAAAATGACCTCCGTTTCCCCAATGTTGTTCCAGCTGTTGAAAATTCAGAGTGTAAGCTGAATTTCTTGAACGATCAGCTTCGGCAGGGCTTGTGTGTTTGTCTGGGCAAGAGTTGCTTGCTAGAGAAATGGATTCTCGCCAGCACTCCTTGCACAGAAGGGAACAGCTGCTCCTGACATAAAAGTCCCCTCCAAATATTTTCCAACCCATTCAATCGGCGAGCTAGAGAGAGGATGGAGAAGCTGGGCGCAATCTTGCATCTCTTTTGGTCCACAAATTCTGGCCCATTGATCTTTGAGAGGCAGGCAGGCTGGCAGCTGTCCAGCGGAGGCAGAGAGGTCAAACTGTGGTCCAGATCCCAGATAGCCATACTGGGATTGTTTAATGGCCCCAGGAGAAACTTCAGTTTTCCTCATCTGTGCAACTGGAGCGATGGTGCCCTGACGCACAGTGCAAACACGACGGGAAACAGAAAATAATCGTTGCCATATCGGCCCATCAGAAAAACCCCAACATCCCTATTGGGGAGATACTTTTATAAAGAAACATCTCTCAAAAGAGCATGCAAGCTTTTTTGAATTTTCCAGAATGCTAAACAATGTCCTGCTATCTGCTCTTCAGAAGCACTGAGGGAAATTAAGGAACCTTTTTTTAATCAGATCAAGGTCTGTCTAACTCAGTACCTGCTAGGAACACAGGAGAAATGTGTTTGGTCTGCATTTTGAAGTGCACAGACTTCTACGCATAGCTATCGCACACATTCCTGATTTTTGCGATATGGTTTCGGTGATATTTTAAATGGGGAAATGCATACCAAAAACGTAATGGCAGGCATAGGATTGAGGACATGCTAAAGCTCATCCATCCAGCCATCTCTAAGCACTGCAACAGCAGCCCTGAAGATGCAAGCAGGGCAGAAAAACAAAGCTCTTTGTCTGGGGTTTATTCCCTGAATCTGTAAACAAGAGCCTCATCCCTCTGAAACATGGAAGTTTCTTCCCCAGCCACCATGTCTACTAGATACTGATTTCTCTCTTTTTTTTTTATGTACAAAAATACATTTATTTTCAACAATTTCAAAACCTTTTCTTAAAAAAATAATATTTATTACTTTTCCAACAATTTAAACACTAAAAAGACAATACAATACAATACAATACATTAAACTAACAAAACAAAACAAAAACAATAAAGTAAATCAAACAGTTTCATTATCCCATCTTTCATTCACTTACTGTATTTCCACGACCTCCTACTAGATACTGATTTTTCTCTCTCTCCTTGTTCAGTTTGTCTATTCGTTCTTAAAAATACATCTATGCTACTGGCCATAGCAACACTGAGTGGCATTGAATTGCATGTATTTCACCATAATAGGGTGAGCACAACCAACACCCTCCTGATGTTTTGTGTTTGATGACTAGTGCATGTTTGTTGTAAACTGCTCAGTGTGGAAAGGTGACATATAAACCAACTTATAAGTGACATATAGACATATATACTCTCCTTACCTGGAGGGGTTTTTTTAGCAAAGTTTGGACGGTCATCTGTCCATGTGGCTTGGCTCACTTGCTCGAGATGTGTATACAATTGCTTTTCAGACGCCTGTAGCTACGGTGCGCTTGTGGCACATTGTGGTTTGGCTTGCATGAATTGTTCCGCTGATGTTTTTTTTGTACAGACCTACCTTTTTGTACAGGGGTGGTTAGACAAGGTGGCGCTGAGCTTTTTCAGCTTTTGAATAGACTTCATCGCTTGCCTGAGTTTCCAGCAGCACTAAGCCTCAGAATGTGTTTTCAAAGCCAAAAACTCAGTCCAGGAAACCTGTAAAGAAATCACATAGGCGAGTGCCTCTGAACATGTGACGAGACCTTTCTCTTCCTTACTGAGCTGAAAGGTGACAGCAGGGATAGCTCAGCTGGTAGAGCCAGAGACTCTCAATCTCAGCATTGTGGGTTCGAGCCCCGCATTGGGCAAAAGTTTCCTGCATTGCAGGGGGTTGGCCTAGATGACCGCTGGTGTCCCTTCCAACTCTTCCAGGTCGCAAGGTGGTTGGATTGGTCTCAACTAGGGCCAGGGCCTTTTCAGTACTGGCCCCGACTTGGTGGAACGCTCTGTCTCAAGAGACTAGGGCCCTGCAGGACTTGACATCTTTCCGCAGGGCCTGCAAGACAGAGCTGCTCCGCCTGGCCTTTGGTTTGGACTCGGTCTGACCCTCATGTTTCCCTCCCCTTATGGTCTTGATTTATCAGCTACTTTAATATGAGGCTGTATTTTAAATTGGTCCCCCCCCCTCTTTTCCCCATATTATGATTTTACTGTGATTTTATTGGTGTTAGCCGCCCAGAGCCCGGCTCTGGCTGAGGAGGGCAGGGTATAAATAAAATTTATTATTATTATTATTATTACTATTACTATTCTATGATTCTATGATCAAAACACATGGACAAACATGTGGAACAAACAAACAATGTGCATCTGTTATTCCTTCCTCTAGTTTCCTTTTTAGGGAGAAAGCATTTTCTATCACTCAAACTGTAATATTTTTGTGCTTGGAAAACGCAGCATATCTCCCAGTGGGTGCAAACATATGTGCGGCAAACGTATATACATACATAATTTTATTTGTATGCTGTCTTTCCATTGTTAAAACCATGCTCAAGGCGGCTTACCACATGAAAAATATTACGTAATTACAAACGTAACAGGTCATAAGCCAGGCATCAACAAACTCTGCTCTCCAGCTGTTTTGGGACTACAGTTCCCATCATCCCTGACCACTGGTCCTGTTAGCTATGGATGATGGGAGTTGTAGTCCCAAAACAGCTGGAGGGCCAAGTTTGGGGATGCCTGTCATAAGCAATGAATAAACCAACAAAAAAGTACACAGCCAAATTAAACATTTTCCACATAAAGCACAGCAAGAACTAAAATAAAGATGTTGTTGTTTAGTCGTTTAGTCGTATCCGACTCTTCGTGACCCCATGGACCAGAGCACACCATGCACTCCTGTCTTCCACTGCCTCCTGCAGTTTGGTCAAACTCATGCTGGTAGCTTCGAGAACACTGTCCAACCATCTTGTCCTCTGTCGTCCCCTTCTCCTTGTGCCCTCCATCTTTCCCAACATCAGGGTCTTTTCCAGGGGTCTTCTCTTCTCATGAGGTGGCCAAAGTATTGGAGCCTCAGCTTCAGGATCTGTCCTTCCAGTGAGCACTCAGGGCTGATTTCCTTCAGAATGGAGAGGTTTGATCTTCTTGCAGTCCATGGGACTCTCAAGAGTCTCCTCCAGCACCATAATTCAAAAGCATCAATTCTTCGGCGATCAGCCTTCTTGATGGTCCAGCTCTCACTTCCATACATCACTACTGGGAAAACCATAGCTTTAACTATACGGACCCTTGTTGGCAAGGTGATGTCTCTGCTTTTTACCTTGCCAACAAAGGTCCGTATAATTAAAGCTATGGTTTTCCCAGTAGTGATGTATGGAAGATACAAAAGATTAATATCATGAACAGCAAAAAATAAATAAATCCCACAACAACGGCCCAGTCCAAGAGTTTGTTGAGCTGCGTTGGCTTTTGTAGTTGGAGTCAGTCAGGGCCCTGCCCTCTCAGGCCAGATGGGCAAAGGCCTGCATGGCAGGGAGCAGATATTCCACGACTCACAGCCAAGATTTCCATAGACTGGAATGGCCCAAGTGCCAAAGGCCAGGGTCTATGGCAATAGTGACGGTACCTTCTCTAGGGATAAGCAATGAAACTCATCCCTGCTCTATGCATTTCAGAAATCAATGTTTGAACAGGAATGAGCATTGGTGTTTGGGGAATGAGTATGGGTATTTTGGTATTTTAATGTTCAAATTCCGGCGGCAGCTTTGCAATTTCCATTGGGAAGTGAGGGAAAGGTTACTTTTATGTGATGGCTTCATTTATTCTCGATGCAATTTTACTTTGAGTTTCTTCTGAAACTTGGGCGAGATAAGTTTAAAATGTAGGTAAGTGTGTAGGTAAGTGTAGGTAAGGGACGCGGGTGGCGCTGTGGGTTAAACCACAGAGCCTAGGACTTGCAGATCAGAAGGTCGGCGGTTCGAATCCCCGCAACGGGGTGAGCTCCCGTTGCTCAGTCCCTGCTCCTGCCAACCTAGCAGTTCAAAAGCACGTCAAAGTGCAAGTAGATAAATAGGTACCACTCTGGTGGGAAGGTAAATAGCGTTTCCGTGCGCTGCTCTGGTTCGCCACAAGCGCCTCAGTCATGCTGGCCATATGACCCGGAAGCTGTATGCCGGCTCCCTCGCCCAATAAAGCAAGATGAGCGCCGCAACCCCAGAGTCGGCCACAACTGGACCTAATGGTCAGGGGTCCCTTTACCTTTACCTTTAAGTGTGTAGCATTCAAGAGAACAAATGCTATAGCCAAATTGAAAAGAAAGATTATTTTATATTCCCAGCAATATCAAAAGCAACACGATGGCCAGAAACAATTACTATGCCAGACTTTACCCAGCGGAGAGCAAGCTGTGAAGCTTTGTATAATCAGCAAATGTCCGATTCTGATGTCCAACTCTGAACTCTACTGAACAGTGTTTCTGGATAATAACTACTGTTTCATTGAATTCTTCATCAGCTAATTAGTCCAACACTCGTGAGTAGAAAGATATGTAATTTTTTCATTAACCAATCTTTTTTCAAATAGATATAATATACAGTGGTACCTCAGGTTACATACACTTCAGGTTACATACGCTTCAGGTTACAGACTCCGCTAACCCAGAAATAGTGCTTCAGGTTAAGAACTTTGCTTCAGGATGAGAACAGGAATCGTGCTCCGGCGGCGCGGCAGCAGCAGAAGGCCCCATTAGCTAAAGTGGTGCTTCGGGTTAAGAACAGTTTCAGGTTAAGAACGGACCTCCGGAACGAATTAAGTACTTAACCCGAGGTACCACTGTACATGAGAATGAAAAATACTCTGGAACAGTGCTCATGCGATTATGTTCGACATCAGAATCAGTCATTTGCTGATTATACAAAGCTTGCTCTCCTCTGGGTAAATTCTGGCACCGTGATTCATTTAAGGACTTTCAGAGACTTCAGTTGGTTAGTTTTGATGTTTTGAATTAGTCCATAAAGTTTTTCACTTTGTAATTGTTTCTGGCCATCGTGTTGCTTTTGATATTGCTAATTTATGTTCCCAGCAGCAATGCACCCACTTTTTTTTGTATCTGGTCCTTAAAAAAAATAAATCAGTTTTTGAAAGCCACCTATTCCCCATCTGCAGCTTAGTCAATTTCACTTCTCTGCTTGCTGAAAGTGAGATAGTTTATCAGAGAAGGCCACTTCCTCCATCTCTAACTCTCTTCTGTGCAATGATGGGCAAAAGTTAAACTACTTTTCAAAGGGTCTGGGAGCACCTGCAGATTACAAACCTGCTCCTTCAGGGAGAGTATGATCCCATTCAGGGCAGGAAGTTTACCAGCTTCCCAGATCTGGGAACAACTCACCTACAGACAGTGGCGTAGCGTGGGGGGTGCAGGGGGGGCCGGCCGCACCGGGCGCAACATCTGGGGGTTAGGGTTAGGGGGCGCAAATCCACGGGTTAGGGGGCGCAAATTACTTGCCTTGCCCCGGGTGCTGACAACCCACGCTACGCCACTGCCTACAGAGCCTCCATTTTGCCAGGATTCAGATTCAATTTATTAGCATTCATCCAGCTCACTAGTGCAACCGGAACCTTGCCCAGGACCTCCTTGGCCATTACCATTCAGACATTACAGAGAAACAGAGTTGGGCCATCATCAGCATATTCCCAGAAAAAATAATTAAATAGCACTGGAGACAATGTAATGATGTAATGCCCTGCAGCCCCCTGTGATTCAAGAGGCAGGAGTCTGAGTAATAACAATAATTTATTATTTCTACCCTGACCATCTGGCTGGGTTTCCCCAGCCACTCTGGGCGGCTTTCAACAGAACATTAAAAACACAATAAAACTTCAAAAATGAAAAACTTCCCTAAACAGGGCTGCCATCAGATGTCTTCTAAAAGTCAGATAGTTGTTTAATTTCCTTGACATCTGATGGGAAGGTGTTACACAGGGAGGGTGCCACCACTGAGAAGGCCCTCTGCCTGGTTCCCTGTAACCTCACGTCTCGCAGTGAGGGAACCGCCAGAAGGCCCTCAGAGCTGGACCTCTGTGTCTGGGTTGAATGATGGGGGTGGAGACGCTCCTTCAGGTATACTGGGCTGAGGCTGTTTAGGGCTTTAAAGGTCAGCACCAACACTTTGAAGTACATCCAGGGCTACCTTCTCAAACCGTTTCTGGAGGTAAGAGCAGAACCACTGCAGAACATTTTCCCTGATGTCAATGGCATCGACCCCAGATGAGAGATTGAGCCAGGAGTAGCTCCATGCGCTTGCAGACCATGGACCAGTTTGGCAGCCACATGAAGGGGTCTACTTCATAGCAACCAACACGGGCACCAATTCCTGAGGGCTGAAGGGACTTAAGTGCCCCCCATGTATTTTAGGGGGCCGAGCCCCTCCCCCCAGATGCCGCGCAATGCCCAGATGTCACGCATGATGGTGTCACGTCCAGTGTCCATGTGTGTCGCGTCCGAAAAATGAGCGGTTTTTGTTCTAGTGCTTTGGTGCAACCCAGCTGACTCACGCCAGAGCATCAGTCTAAAAAAGGAGTGTTGTACCAAAAAAATTCCAGGATCCAAACAGAAACCAGGATTTGCTTCTGGCATGTCCCACATAAAACGAGACAGTTGAAGGGTATGCTACATGTATAAACATACAGTGGTACCTCGGGTTTCAGACGCTTCAGGTTACATATGCTTCAGGTTACAGACCCCGCTAACCCAGAAATAGTACCTCAGGTTAAGAACTTTGCTTTAGGATGAGAACAGAAATTGTGCTCCAGCGGCACAGTAGCAGCAGGAGGCCCCATTAGCTAAAGTGGTGCTTCAGGTTCAGATCAGTTTCAGGTTAAGAACGGACCTCCGGAACGAATTAAGTACTTAACCCGAGGTACCACTGTATACCGTCTTACCTCATGTTACGTTTGCTTCATGTTACGGTCTTTCAGGTTACGTCCTGCGGTGACCCAGAATTACCAGAAAGGGTTACTTCCGGGTTTCGCCGCTCGCGCATGCGCAGAAGCGCAAAATGACATCACATGCATGCGCAGAAGCGGCGAATCGCAACCCGCGCGTGCACAGACGCGCCGCTGCGGGTTGCGCTCTTTTCATGTTGCGAACGGGCCTCCGGAATGGATCCCGTTCGCAACCAGAGGTACCACTCTATACATGAACAGTTCTGCTGTGTGAAGGATGGTTAACCAGGGATGTTTGAACACTGCGGAGCCTTCTGGTTCCCTCCTACAGCTGGCAAATGAATGGGCACCAAGTGATGCTGTCAGTGTGCATGTTTTCGGCGGGGTTGCGCCCCACAATCATGTGGCCCAAGTCACATGTGCCTTCACCTGTATCATAACGCAGCTTCATCCTGGGAAAAGGTAACCGTTACGTAACTGGGAGTGCAAGGCCCAAGTAAGATCTGGTCCCTTCTGTGCAACCTGGCTCTGTACAGATCATTTCATCACAGACTACAATTCACGCAGGAAACGGCTGCACCAGCCGCAGCTGTAGTGTCTGGCCCCATTTGCAAGACTCCTCCCAGCTAAAAGGAAAAGAGAACAGAGGCAGGAAAAGCGAGAGAGCTGGTTGAGCACAGACTGACAAACGGAAGAGCCCTGAGACAGGCACACCCACGCACTGTGCTGCCTTTGTTATGACAGTGCGGTGTGGCATTTGGGCTAGCATCAGAGCAGTGCACACTGGTTAGCACAGTGCAATGTTAGCTCTAGAATGTAACGTGCTATTAATATGCAAACTAAAAGCCTTCCGGTTTCCACACCATCTTCTTGTTTTGAATACATCTTGCTTAACCATCATTAAGGAATCCTTTGTAAGGGTGGCACAGGCGTATGATCATTAATGGGACGTGGTCGACGCTGTGGGTTAAACCACAGAGCCTAGGGCTTGCCGATCAGAAGGTCAGCGGTTCGAATCCCCCAACGGGGTGAGCTCCCGTTGCTCGGTCCCTGCTCCTGCCAACCTAGCAGTTCGAAAGCACGACAAAGTGCAAGTAGATAAATAGGTACTGCTCCGGCGGGAAGGTAAACGGTGTTTCCGTGCGCTGCTCTGGTTCGCCAGAAGCGGCTTAGTCATGCTGGCCACATGACTTGGAAGCTGTACGCCGGCTCCCTCGGCCAATAAAGCGAGATGAGCGCCGCAACCCCAGAGTTGGCCACGACTGGACCTAATGGTCAGGGGTCCCTTTACCTTTATGATCATTAATATTAATATTAATAATACAATTTATATAGCACCTTTTATCAAAAGATGCCGGGGCGGTGTACAACATCGGAAACACATTGCAAAACATCAGTAATAGAAATGTAATAAAAACATAGTCGAAAGCATACTGACAGACAGCCTAATAGTAAAACAAATCATCATAATAACTGTCCTCTCCCCACACTTTCACAGGCCATAGATTATTTAATAGCCATAAGCCTGGGCAAAGAATACCGTTGGCTGCAGCTCACACTGTGGACCAGGGCATAGGAACAGCACACTGCACAACAGAAACTAGGCTGGCATATTGACTGCTTTATTAAATTCCCCAAATGCGAGAGGTTTGCACAATAATTTGGGGCATGCTCACTCAGGAATAGGTCACAGCACTCAGTGGGGTGACTTACTCCTAGCTTAGTGTTCACAGGCGTTTGACATTGCCAGCTTAATCTATATCAGCGGAGGGCCTTTGGGCAAACCGGCCCTCTGTTGCTAACCTAGAGGGAAGATGGAGGGAGCAGAAATGGCTAGCTTTCAGAAGGAGAGGGAGAAGCCTTCAGACCTGTTTTCAAAAGTAGCCCTTGCTACTTGCCCAGGCTACTTTTTGTTGTTGTTTAGTCGTTTAGTCGTGTCCGACTCTTCGTGACCCCGTGGACCAGAGCACGCCAGGCACTCCTGTCTTCCACTGCCTCCCGCAGTTTGGTCAAACTCATGCTGGTAGCTTCAAGAACACTGTCCAACCATCTCGTCCTCTATTGTCCCCTTCTCCTTGTGCCCTCCATCTTTCCCAACATCAGGGTCTTTTCCAGGGAGTCTTCTCTTCTCATGAGGTGGCCAAAGTATTGGAGCCTCAGCTTCACGATCTGTCCTTCCAGTGTGAGCACTCAGGGCTGATTTCCTTAAGAATGGATAGGTTTGGTCTTCTTGCAATCCATGGGACTCTCAAGAGTCTCCTCCAGCACCATAATTCAAAAGCATCAATACTTATTAACCAGTGCCATATTGTTATCCTGGAAGACCACCAGAGAAGTTTTAATATTGGGACCTATCTGATTGCATTTCTCAATGCACGCTGTTGAAATGAATTTTTTAAAAACTTTTTCAGAGTAGTGTTGGGAAGCCCTCGGCCTGAAGCCCTCATCCGGGAACGCCATTTGCAAGTCTGTAATCTAGTCTGGGGATTCCCCCCCATCAAGACTCAAAAAGCAGAGAAATTGCCGAAGAGGAAGCCCTTCTGCTGTTTGGAGGAAGTCCACCACCCCAGACTCAGAGAAGTCAGCATCTATCAGTATGGGAGGAAAAGCAAGGGAGCAGGGTTTCTTCTATCAAAACCAGCCAGATTCATGATCCAGCTGCTCATTTTGGAAGCTCCAGTAGGAAAGAGGTTTTCCTAAAGCTGCTCTCAGGTAGGGGATAGATGACATGTCAATTCTAGTTTCTCTATATTTCCCAATCCTAAGCTTGGTCCTCCACAGTAGCTAGCCAGCGATGAGGGTGGGATGGGGAGGAGGGGGTTAAGTCTGGATGAAAATGTATGCACATTTTTGCATGCATTTAACTTGGTAGATGTATTTTTATATGCAGGGTTGCCCCAGTATGCATTTTCTTGCAAGCAGTTCTAACAGAACAGTGTTTTTGTTTATATTTCTTCCTATATACATAAAAAGGTAATGCTGTCATCACGCAGCCCCCACTAGAGGATTCTTAGTGTCACAGAGAGGTGGTTTGCAACAATGGCAGAAGTATGTGTAAAGCAGGGATGGAAGAAACAGAGAAACGGCAGTTTTAAACAATGGTAGAGGTCTGAGTAAAGCACTCTTGAATATCTGAGGACTCCACATCCTTTATCTCACATGAAGCAACTGGGGGAATGGAATAGGGGAGAAATTTGAATGTGGCAAGAAGAGAGAGACACTGAAAGGAGAAAAAGTGGCAGTTTTAAACAGCCAAGGTTTGAATAAAGCAGGGGTGGGTTGAAATTGATAGGGGAAACTGGTTTGAGAGAGTGATTGGGGGTGACACTAAGGGCAGAGAAGTAGCAGTTCAAGACAATATTTGGGTACAGCAAGAACGGAGTTGTGAAATGTTCTGTTGTGTTAGTTTTTTGGTGTTAGCTTCTGTGTTGTACCCATCTCCACTATTTCTTGTTAAAACTGGTTAGGAATGAATTTAGAAAAGGTGCTCTGCCTAGACCCCTCTCTCTGGCTAGCATAAGCAAAATGATTGGGCAAAACAAAGGCTGGCCCTGTACCTTTTGCCCTCCCCTCACGTTTTGCCACCAGAGGCAGAAAAACCCACAAGCACCTCTCCCCATCCCAGGCAGTTAAAACACAATACAGTGGTACCTCAGGTTACATACGCTTCAGGTTACAGACTCCACTAACCCAGAAATAGTACCTCAGGTTAAGAACTTTGCTTCAGGATGAGAACAGAAATCGTGCTCCAGTGGCGCGGTGGCAGCAGGAGGCCCCATTAGCTAAAGTGGAGCTTCAGGTTAAGAACAGTTTCAGGTTAAGAACGGACCTCCAGAACGAATTAAGTACTTAACCCAAGGTACCACTGTACTCATATCTTTAAAAACTAACAATTTGGTGGGCTTTACAGCAACCAAAACCTAGTGCCTGGGGCGGCCACTTCACTCTGCCTAACGGTAGGGCCTGTCGTGACAGAAACTAAGTGGATTTATCCTACATTTGCCTCTTACGTGAGTTGTAGGATTCTGCTTGTTACAGAACTCTTTCATTTGCCTCCCCCCCCCCAATGGCTAAGTCCACACAGGCCTACCTATCTCAACCCATGCCACTGACTTTTCCTTCTTCCATTTCAGAAAGAAGACGTTGCTCCACGGAAGCCGCTTTAGGGCACAAGAATGGATTCCCTGGCTGGCAAGGAGGACAGATACGTCTTGGTGGAATACCCCTTTGAGTACACCGCTAAGGACGGACAGCTTATTTCAATACAGCCCAATGAGAGATACATGCTTCTGAGGCGAACCAATGACCACTGGTGGCACGTGAGGAAGAACAAAGAAGCCCGGCCTTTCTACATCCCAGCAAAATACGTCAAGGAACTGGGCTCTGTGACCCACACCATGCCATCCTCTGACGAGCTACCCTCCACAACCATGTTGGAAAATGTCAACTTAGAGGCCTCTATCCGGGTCAGCCAGGAACCGCCGGCGGAGTACGAATATCGGTTTGTCAATGCCGTTCCAGCGTGTGAGGTAGATGCGGAGAAAGCTGCCTTTTCTTCCCCGCGGTGCTCGATCTCCTCAGGGGTCGGGACGACGATCCCCTTTGACGTTGGTGGGAACGCTCCGTCCCCCATTTCCGGAGCAAGCAGAGCCACTCTTTCTGCCCTCAGTGCATCTCACGGTTCCCTGAAGCCTCGCCACGCAACAGGTCCCGTGGGCTACAGTCATTCCTCTGAACACATAAGGTCTACGGTGTCCCTGGACGACTTGGCGAAATTTGCGACGCCCCCCGGCCAGGCGGGCGTTGGGAACTTGTACAAAGCTGCCTCGTGGAGTCCGGCTCGCCCGCTCCCAAAGAGCAACTCCGAAACCTTCCACAAAGCAGCGGAGGAAAGGTTGGAGCAGGGTACGCCAGAGCCCCGTGCCAGACAGGTATGGGATTTGCTTAAAAAACATCCACCGCTTTAATCATGTGGAGGTCCTCATTTGTTGTTGTTGTTGGGCTAACTCCACGCACTCCCTGTATCTCTGACTCTCCCAGTTGAGAGGCAGCCTTTTCTAGGTAAGCCACACATTATTATTACCGTATTTTTCGCTCCATAAGACGCACTTTTCCCCTCCTAAAAAGTAAGGGGGGTTGTGTGCGTCTTATGGAGCGAATGCAGGCAGGAGGCTCTGCTCAGCGCTCCCTTTAAAGAGCCGTGTGGAGCGTGTGTGTGGCTCTTGGGGGCTTTTTCCCAAGGAGGGAGAAGGGCAGCCCGTCAGTCCCTTCTTCCTCCTCAGGGAAAAGCCCCCCAAGAGCCGCACAAACGCTAGGCGTGGCTCTTTAAAGAGTGCACAGCTCTTGGGGGCTTTCCTGGAAGGTGGAGGAAGAGACTGTCGGGCTGCCCTCTGTCCCTTCCCAGACCTCCCGGAAAAGCCAGCAAGAGCCGCTGCCATACTCTGCTCAGCGCTCCCTTGTAAGGGCTCCCTTTCGTCCTTCATCCCGCTTTGCTGGGAAGCCAGAAGAAGAGGCACTGCGCGTAGCTATCGCTCTTGCTCTGCTGGCTTCTCAGCGAAGCGGGAGGAGGGACGGAAGGGTTTAAAGCAAGAAAAGCGAGAGCCGCTTACATGCTCTGCGCAGAATATTTTTTTTCTTGCTTTCCCGCTCTAAAAACTAGGTGCGTCTTATGGTCTGGTGCGTCTTATGGAGTGAATAATACGGCAGTTTTCAATTACAATAACCCGATAAAAGCCTTGTTGTCAATACCAAATTATAATACAATTAATAATGCCAGTTGTTCAGGTGCCAAGTTATATTATTTTGTTGCCCACCCCCGCATGCTAGAATTGATGATTTGATCATTTACTTTAACTCTGTGTTCCAAAAACTTATAAATTCCAATTACACACCAGTCAGAATAACAAACTCTTAACCGCAGCTGCAGTTTTAACGACTTCCATTCGCATTAACACATCAAATAATTTACAGTCCTATAGGCAAAGCCTTCAAACTCTCTCTTTGTTCTTCTTGTGTGTGGCTATTACTGTCCATGATGTTTCTTCCTGTCCTTGTACTGTATTATGTCTATCTTTTGTCAGTTGCTGTTCTCCCTCATACCTTAGGCGGAGCTAGTATTCCATTGCTGGTAAGCCACACATACTGACATTCTGCCTTCAGGTGGGAAGGAGCAGACTTGGGTTCATTGAAGGACTGCCACTCTGCACACGCTCAGAGGCACCTCTTTTGTTGCACGCTATGGTAGCAAAACCGGGACGCGGGTGGCGCTGTGGGTTAAACCACAGAGCCTAGGACTTGCCGATCAGAAGGTCGGCGTTTCAAATCCCCGCGATGGGGTGAGCTCCCGTTGCCCGGTCCCTGCTCCTGCCAACCTAGCAGTTCGAAAGCACATCAAAGTGCAAGTAGATAAATAGGTACCGCTCCGGCGGGAAGCTGAACGGCGTTTCCGTGCGCTGCTCTGGTTCACCAGAAGCGGCTTAGTCATGCTGGCCACATGACCCGGAAGCTGTACGCCTGCTCCCTCGGCCAGTAAGGTGAGATGAGCGCCGCAACCCCAGAGTCGGCCACGACTGGACCTAATGGTCAGGGGTCCCTTTACCTTTATGGTAGCAAAAGAGGCTCTGGGGCCGAACCCTGACTCTAGTTAACCTTGCCATCAGCACTCTTCCTTCGATGCACATTACCCAGGATCCTCCAGCAACGTAATGTTCCAGATATAGAAAAATGTTGTAGCCTAGCCCTTTCTGACAATATGCAGATTGGAGCTCTTGTGTGTGGAATAAAACAAACTGCTTGAACACTGGGAAGTAGCATGTTAGAGAGAAGGGTTCTTCCTTCTCTCTGGATATTTGACTTTTCTGTGTGCAGGAATTGATGGAGGTGGGGCACAGCAGGGGTGGGGGCATTCTGCGGGCTGCATTTGGCCTGTGAGACTATTTTCCCCAAACCACATCCACTTGCATCATATGTCAGGTGTGGAGCAGGTAGTGTTGCAGCTGGATCATCTGATCACCCACCTGATCCTTGCAGAAAGCGGGACCAAACTCATCAGCTGATGTTCAGGGAGCTGAATTCTGCTTGGTCACTATCTCCCCCCCCCCCATTACAGGCCATCTTTGACAGGTGGGCAGGACACCCTACCTGTCAGTCACCAGATGCTATTATTATGTCAGGTGATTGACAGTTGGCAGGCCCCACCCACCCGTCAAAGTAGGCCAGCAGAGGTGCGGGGTGGGGAAATAAAGATCTGGCCCACTAGGCCAAAAGGATTTTCCAGCTTTGGCCTACGGCTGCAGAAAAGCAACACTATGTGATTTATCTGCCTGTGCACAGCTACTAACTTCTTCCCAGAGATACCAGTAGGTTCCTGTGCAACCTAAAAGCACAATTGGAACAAATGCAGCTTTCCCTGTCTCTGCTGTGTGGGAAAGGTCTCTTTGCTAAATCTCTCCCTTTGGATGTAGGATTGAAAGGGCAGTGTGTGTTGTCAGGAAAAGCCTCTGGCATGTTGGGACGTCATTCCAGTGATAAGAAGTGAGCGCACTTCTTTCAAAGCCTGCGAAAACCTACCAGGCAGAGCAAAATCTTGGGTAGATACAATCCTGTATATCCACCACCTGGTGAACTAACAAGGCTGTTTGTTCTCATGGCTGTGGCGTGAAGTATTTTCGATTCCCATTTTTCCATGGCGATACAAGTAAACAGGGGGTCGGGAAGTCAGGCCTGCTTTAGGTTCCCCATTGCATGAGGAAGAAGTGAGCAACCCGCCTGAAGTTCATGTGTGCAATAAATGATAATACAGTCATACCTCGGGTTACAGACACTTCAGGTTGTGTTTTTTTGGGTTACGGACCTGCCGAAACCCAGAAGTACCAGAACGGGTAACTTCGGGTTTTGGTGGTTGTGCATGCATGCGGTGCGGCAGCAGCAGGAGGCCCCATTAGCTAAAGTGGTGCTTCAGGTTAAGAACAGTTTCAGGTTAAGAACGGACCTCCGGAACGAATTAAGTACTTAACCCGAGGTACCAATGTATATAAATTCAACAAATAGATAAATGAATTAGTTTGCCTTTAAGTGTGAACTGAACCAAATTTATCCCTACCGCGTATCCTCAGTCTTTCAGCTCTGATCTGACAGATCAAATTAACCTTCCCCTTCTAGACTTTGTTGCTGCTTTGGTGTATTTAAGACAAATATCCATTAATCACACCAGGAGCCCCACCCCTGCAATTGGGAATCTATGTGCTGTTCAACATCAGGAAGGCAAAGCGGGCAGAAATGCAACAGGTGCATCTCTCCATCATTAAACTTCTATGCTGAGCCCTTTTGAATTGCTGTCTATAGGACTCTCCTTCACTGGAGGTTTTTAAACAGAGGCTGGATGGCCGCCTTGTCGGGGACTCTTTCACTGTGATTCCTGGGGTTGGACTAGATGACCCTTGGAGCCCTTCCATCTCTGTAATTCTATGATCCTATGAAACAGCTGCAAATAGGTTCTCCAGTAAGTGAGGAGGTAACAACTGTAGCAAAATAGGAAACTAAACATGCTAAAAATGCTTGAAATGGATCCTTTCCTCCTGCAAACTCAGAGGATCCAGCAGGTGGCAGCACCTCACTAAAGCTTGATCAAATGATGGGGCCGAAGGAAACGGGCCGAAGGAACATCTTAAGAAGACCACAGGTGGGAGATACCATTTTTGCATGTTCCCCCCCCCCAATAATTCTAGCAAACAGAAGAAGAAAAATAGCAAATTAAGTAGAAAACTTCTAATATTTATCTGCTGTGCTAGTTTTCTTTTGGAGTGGTTTTTTTCCCCAAAAAGAGAATTAAAAGGGTTTTAAAAAAAGTATTTAAATATGTAATTTCCCCCATCTGCTCTGTCGAGTGGTAGAGTCCATTTTCCCACCTGATTCTGGGACAGGTACAGACCAGATCGCAGGAAAGGCAGCACCTGTGAGCATGTGATGCCTGTGCTTCCTTTGAAGAGTGATCCTGGCTGAATGGAGGTCTTAATTTTTGGAGGGTCCTGTGTGACTTGCGGATGACTCAGTCCTTCAGCAAATGTTTGCCTGCAGAGACAGAACAAGGTAGCTCTAATTTAACTAATGACTCATGCGCAGTCCGAATGACAGCTCACCCGGCTGGTTCCTAACTCTGCAGCCGGAGAGGCCATGAAGCCACTTGGCAGTGCATAATTTGATTAATTGCAACCCGAGCTCGTTAAGAGTTCGTCTTGGAGTATTTATACTGGGGCAGGGAGAGAAACGTGGCCATATGCGTATCATATCCCACTGAATAGGCAGATCTGACCTGTGCCGTTTAAGCTCCCTGCCTAGAAGAGGGAAAATTTTTGGTTCAAACATTAAAGTGAATCTGCTTCGTTCACAATACGTGGACCAAAACACAGCTATCCTTCAAAGTTAGCATTTATCCACTTTTTTGACGCAGTTCTCCAACCAAATGAAGTGTACAAAAATGTGAATATTGGGGGGAAGTGCGCATATTTGTAAAAAAGGCATAAAAATGCATTATGTTAGGGGAAATTGCTTCGAAAATATGAATATTGGGATACATTTGCACTAAAATGCTGGCAAATGTTCGTGAGGACTTGAAAATATTACACACACACACACACACACTCCACAAACTGACATGAAAATGTGGAGAACTGAAGAGTGGAAAAATGAGAAACTGAAATTGAGAAGTTTCATCCATCCCTAGAAATGTAATAATTTCCAGGGCAAGGGGGGTTATTTCCCAGCAGTTTTAAGGCTCCATGCTTCTCTTTTTATAAAATCGCCCAACAAACCCCCTCACCTTGAGGTATCACCGTTTTCTCTAGTGAGGCTCCTGTGCCTTTCGCAGCTGTGTGCCAGGCGGAAATCCAACAGGAGAAGCTTCCCCTGCATGGGGAAATGTTCAGTTTAAATGTGTGCCTATCATCCAGCTTTTCAGAGGCACAGGAGACCTGCCAGAAACCCCTCCAGATATTTGGGTGCAAGCTTCCAGGGTTGAGTTACGTTACACTGCCTTTACTATTTTAGCCATCGGTCTGCAGTGCCACCTTGGTTTATGTAACTCTTCCCTGACACCTTGGTTTATGTAATCTGCTCTGCCTTGCTATAAATAACAGGGTGAAGTGGGCAATGGTGCATGCCAGAGACCACACCCTGGGGCAGTGGCCGGAACTGAACAAACTGACAGCCCTTTTGTAGATGCCAAACGACACTCCACACGGGTGCTTGTCCCTGTGAGAGGCATAGCTGTCAACCGTCCCTTATTTGGCGGGAAACTCCCTTATCCCAATGCCGTGTCCCGCTGCTGTCCTGGATTGATGATGTCCCTTAAATTTCCCGGGTTTCATGCTCGCCCGGCTCGGGAGAGAAGCAGCGGCTCGGGGTGAGAGAGAGCGTGTGCACGAGCTGCCGCGTCTCCGTCTCTCCTTTTTCCCCCTCAGGAGCACGTCATGAGGAGACGGGTGGCGGCGGACGAGCAGGCAGCCCCTCTCTTGCGAGACTTCTGCCGCGCTGCCAGGGGAAGCCGGAGGCGGCTGGGAGGCAGCCTGAGGGAGGAGGAAGAGGAGGGGATGGGGAGGGACGCAGAAGGGCGGGGCTTCAGCGGCCACCGCGGCACCGCAACCACCTCATGCTGGGCTCGCGGGTGAGAGTCTCTCTTCCTCCCTCCCTCTCTCTCGGGCGGGGAAGGGCCGATGGAACTCCTCGCGCCAGGACGACGGCAGCCCCAACGTGCATAAGCTAAGCAAAATCCCTTATTTTGGCTGCTGATCCCTTATTTTCAAGGCTGCTGGTCCCTTATTTTCAAATCTGTGACAGCTATGATAAGGCTACAGTGGTACCTCAGGTTACAGACGCTTCAGGTTACATACGCTTCAGGTTACAGACTCCGCTAACCCAGAAATAGTGCTTCAGGTTAAGAACTTTCCTTCAGGATGAGAACAGGAATCGTGCTCTGGCGGCGCAGCGGCAGCAGGAGGCCCCATTAGCTAAAGTGGTCTTCAGGTTAAGAACAGTTTCAGGTTAAGAACAGACCTCCGGAATGAATTAAGTTCTTAACCCGAGGTACCACTGTACAAGTCTGGTAGGTGGGGGAGGAAATCCTGTGCCATTAACAACTGCTTGTTGCACAGGAAGTGAAGCGTTTCACAGCTTCTTGATGACAGTAGATCAAGCTGCTTTTCAAGGCGAGGAGCAAAAGCCAGGAACAGAAGTTGGCAACCCTGCTGACCTGTCTCAGCTGCTTTGCCCAGGGGACCTGAATTTATTAAATCTGAAGTTGGCATATTGGGCTGTGTGTGTTTGTGTTCGTGCACATGTCTGAAATTAATCGTATTGTTATGAATCTGGGGGTGCAAGACACCCTAGATTCCAGATTATGCTGGTGGTAGAATTTAATTTAGGCTCGGAGTATTAAAGGCAGGAAATAGCCAGGCTCATTTGTATTTAGGATAGACCCAAGTGCGTATCTGAGCTGTGCCAGACCTTGCTAATCCTTTAATGAAGCCAAGTGTTGGGGCTAATTAAGTCAGGACTAGCTTGGGTAATTGGTCTTTAGCGATCAAAAGAAACTCACCTTAGAGAAGTGGGAGCCCTTTAACTGGAGAGATAAAAGCCAAGAGCTTAGAGAAGGGAAGGGAAACAATATGGACAGGACCTTAGTTCAGAGTTTTAAGAATTATGCAACTGAGTTATCGAGCAGTGGGGCTGGAGGGAGAGGCAGAGAAATGGCTGGGGGGTGTTTGAACGAGGCAGAGAAATGGCTGCACTTATGGGGGAGGCATAACCTCTTGGGGTATGACTGCTATGTGCAGCCTTAGGCTCAGGTTGTATAAATAAACCATATGTATTTGGGGATAAATGTAATTTTAGAATGCATGTTTTCAGGATTCTTAACAAAAATCTCCATTAAAATCCATTTCTATTCTGCTTTTCATTCTAAACTAATTCCAAAGCAGATTGACGCAGAAATGATTGACTTATGATTGAATATGTGCAATGCCGGGGGGAAAGACGACACTGTCAATCTTTTAGTCTTTTTTAATTTTTATAAAAATTGCAATATTTTAAAAATGCAAGTGACAACCTTTGATTCTGACTGATGTGCACTCAGTAGTGAAATAGTGCGCCTTGCATCTTCTCAGAGTTGCTCCTCCTGTTCCTTTGCATCTCAAAAGGCTGAATTCAAAACAGCGTCGCCCTGGTGGATGCTGGCCTCCAGGGGATGGTTATTACAGCAGCAACAAAACCACAACCTGCCCCTGCTTGGAAGCCGCATCCTGCCTCGTGGTAGTTCTGCCTTCCAGCCACGGGTTCTCTACAGGTGATTCAGTGGCAGAGGAGGAGTCCAGGGGCCGATTGAGGCAACGAGAGGGTTAAAACCAGGGAGGCCTCGCCCCTTTTCTCTTATGCAAATGACCCGTTTGCCTTACCTGTCCTAGCAGGGCGGGGTGGGGCTGTTTGCTGAAAAATCCAGCTAGGCAAAGTGACCAGTGTGGCTGAAGGCCTAAGGTAGCGATTTCTTTGCTCCCGGGGTAAGTAGAAATTTGTATAAATCTCCCTGTGTCCATTTCAGATTGCTCATCAGAGTTTTTGAGCAGGTGTCTCTCATCAAAGGTGTAGCCATAAGACTCCTCTCTTAATGAAGATGGGGGCTTGGGCAGGTTCACAACGCAGTATTTCATGTAAAACAGGTCCTTTTCTCTTCGGTTTGTAGTGGAGATTTTGCATTTTTACAAGTGGTATTTAGAGGCATTTAACAGTTTTGTAAGGCAGTGAGTGGTGTTTCCTGGCAGATCTCATTGGGAACTTCCGGATGAAGGTTTCCAGGAGAGCAGCCGTAGTGTGCTAAATCTGGTGGCATCAAATAAGACACTCGTTTTTGTCCCAAGTGGCCGAAAGGAATCTCTTGAGCTTCTCTTGTGCTGTTTGCGATCCATCTAAACGCTCTTAATTTGAGGGTAGAGCAAAGGTGAGGTATCTTATTGGTGCAGTTTGCAGCTACCTTATAAACGAACATACAGGTTTGATTTGTTTAGCCCTCGGTATCATCTCATACTATATTTCTGTACAGTGGTACCTCGGGTTACATACTCTTCAGGTTACATACACTTCAGGTTACAGACTCTGCTAACCCAGAAATAGTGCTTCAGGTTAAGAACTTTGCTTCAGGATGAGAACAGAAATCGTGCTCCGGTGGTGCAGCAGCAGCAAGAGGCCCCATTAGCTAAAGTGGTGCTTCAGGTTAAGAACAGTTTCAGGTTAAGAACGGACCTCCGGAACGAATTAAGTACTTAACCCAAGGTACCACTGTAACTCAATCTGTCAGCCGGATGGGAAGCTGTGTTTTTTGTGGTTACATGGGAAAATTTGAATAAACAAACAAAAGACCACATACTGACAATACAGAAATCAGGCTTAAGTAGAGAGATGTGACAGTGACAATCTTATGCACACTCAACTTGCTAGGCCTGTTAGTCTCCCCTCAGTACCACGATCCGTTCTTCTAAGTAAACATGCAAATGGTTGCACTGTGAATCACCTGTTTTACTTTGAGTTTTCTTGGGCAAGAACCCACTTTGCGATGTCTCCCACGAAGGCATCCTGTTAAGATTGAAGAGGGTTGTTGATGGATTGCAGCGCCTATAGATGCTTTAAGCATAGAGGTATTTAGGCGAGGGTGGGAGAGATGGACAGTTTGATTGTCTTGAAGTACCAGCACGTGAGGAGTTGCTTTTTTATGTGGATTCTCGAGTTTACCACTTGGTTTCGCTAACCAGCACCTCCTGTCCAGCCCTCAGTACGCTGCTTCTTGGGAATGTTAAAATTCAGGTTTATTGCAGCGGGTGCCGCAGAGTTCTTGTTGGCCTCTGATTTAATTTCTTGCGCATAACTGCTTTGCAAAACACACCCAGTGATCTAATACTTCACGGGCCACCTGCAAACACGTCAAGGTCAGAGTAACTGTGAGGAGGGTGTGTTCAAACTACCCAGTAAAGTTTCTTCCTCTCTTTTAATAAAGTACCCTGAGTTGCTATAGGGCCTTTTGTCTCAAAGATGATGTATCCTTCCTGTCTCCTGTGTTGGAATATATTTTAGCTGCCGTTTTTGTCATGGGCTTGTGCAGATGTCATTATGAAAGGTCATTGGCATACAAAAACAGAGTCTGGTTCTGGGGTCGCTAGCCACACCATTATTATGGTCGCGGGACTAAGATTTCATAGAATCATAGATCTGTAGAGTTTGAAGTGACCCTGAGGATCATCTCATCCAACCCAGTGCCGGATTTACGTTTAAGCTAAACGAGCTATAGCTTAGGGGCCCCCTCTCTTGGGGGCCCCCAAAAAATTTCAAAGGGGAAAAATCTGGATGTACATTTCCAAAATATAAGATGAAAAACAAATAAAATAAAACCTACATACAGCAACAGTGTTTTGTGTTGTGTAGGCTCCTATGATGTAAGTAATGGGCCCCGCCTGCTAGCCTGCTCCCTAAAATATCACTGGTTTGCTCATTTCTATATATAGGGTGCCTACATTCTGCATATGGGACACGGGTGGCGCTGTGGGTTAAACCACACAGCCTAGGGCTTGCCGATCAGAAGGTCGGCGGTTTGAATCCCCGCGATGGGGTGAGCTCCCGTTGCTCGGTCCCTGCTCCTGCCAACCTAGCAGTTCGAAAGCACGTCAAAGTGCAAGTAGATAAATAGGTACTGCTCCAGGGAGAAGGTAAACGGCGTTTCCATGCGCTGCTCTGGTTCGCCAGAAGCGTCTTAGTCATGCTGGCCACATGACCTGGAAGCTGTACGCCGGCTCCCTCGGCCAATAAAGCGAGATGAGTGCCGCAGCCCCAGAGTTGGTCACGACTGGACCTAATGGTCAGGGGTCCCTTTACCTTTTAACTGTTGGAATGTAGGGCTCCCAGGTCAAAAAGCGTAGGATTTGCAGAGGGACTGAATCCTTGGCATTTCTCTGCGCATGGCCCCAGGAGCATAGAGGAGGAAGTCTTGATGAGTGACTATGAAACTGTCAGTAGAGCGCATTAGGTAGGACTTAACGCCCCTGTTGTCACAGCAACTGATCTGTCCCACAAACCTCAACAGGAAACCTGCAAAAGGCAATCGGCGAGGGTTCTTGTTTTGTGCACTGCGTTGTGTTGCTCCTTCCCTCGTGATTGGCCGGTGATTGAGAAAGTGAATTGTCCCTTTCCCGCCCGCCCTCAGCCATTTTCTCCCCATTAAGGCGCTGCGTCTGGATTCTGTGACATACCTTCTTGGCTGGTGTTGGCAATGGGCGACTGGGTCCCCAGAGCGTTTTCCCGGCGCAAATCACGTCGTCCGCCCGACCTTCCCAAGGTATGGTGATGTGGGAAAGGTAGATAGTTGCTAACTAAGTCAAGAGTGCTGCTTAGCGCTTGCTTTTGAGGTGGTTCAGAACTTGTCGTGTACTCCGTGGTCTAGGGCTGGAAATATTTGGATGTGTTAGGGCAGGCACCCCCAAACTCAGCCCTCCAGATGTTTTGGGACTACAATTCCCATTATCCCAGACCACTGGTTCTGTTAGCTAGGGATGATGGGAGTTGTAGTCCCAAAACATCTGGAGGGCCGAGTTTGGGGGTGCCTGTGTTAGGGCCTCTGGGCATGTGCAGAGTGTTCTCTCTCTCTCTTGAATAGTTGCAGTGGGTCACTTGCATATCTGGGGCTAGGAATATGAGATTCCTAGGGAAGTTCATGCACGCCTTTTAGAAAGTAGTCAACAAGGGGGAAGGGTATTCCAATTGCTGATTAAAATATATCACACCATGTTTAGAAGAGGTGGTGGATGATAGGAAATTCATAATAATTTCCACTATGTAAAATCCACCCCCCCTCACCCCAAAGCTCTGGGGCTCTGTCCCATGATTGTCAGAAGATGGGCCTACGCAGAGTTCCCCATCGCAGCACCTCTGTGACTGGTAAATCTGTTTATTTATTCTAGATTTTATATCTTGCCTTTCAAAAGTGAACATTTTTGCACAAGAAGGTGCACAAGGTAGACAAGCCAAACATATTATATATGCATATATAACAAAAATATGTAGGAATAATTCTAGTCAGCGTTTAACTGTGTTGCTTTGAACGTATGTTTTATATTTGCCTTTCATCAGTAATGTTTTATCCTGGGTTGTTTTTACTTGACGTTTTAACGTGTTATAAACCGCTTTGGGGGTTTTTTCTTAAGAATATACAGCGGTAAAAAAATGAGATAAATAATAAATAAAATCTAATGAATGTAGTAACTAGTCAACTAAAACATTGAAACATCTGCCGTTCCCTGTACAATAGAGTCTCAAGACTACAGCTCCCAGCATAACATAACATAACATAACATAACATAACATAACATAACATAACATAACATAACACATAAGATAACAGATTTCAGCAGATGTGCCTTGCCAGAGAGCAACGAGCTCATTCCTTGACTACATTCAATGCTCCATGCAGCTGTTATAGTGGGAAGAGTCTAGGGGGCTTAGAGGGGCCGCATTTACCGCTGCTTTTCTAAACAATGGCATGCTATAATAATAACAATAATATTTTTATTGTTTATATGCCTCCCATCTGACTGGATTACCCCAGCCACTCTAGGTGGCTAACAACAAATTGAAACACAGTAAGACATCAAACATTAAAAACTAATAATAGTAATAAAAATAATAAATAATAATAACGCTATACGTTGATGGGAAAGTTGGCTTCTGGAAATGTTTAGAGGTGGGAAATTCTGGTGCATCCACTCTTGGCCCAGGCCTAGAACTTGCTCTGCTTTTTAAGTGTTGCATGAAAAAGTCTTTCACAACCTGCTGTCCCCTCTCTCCCCGCAAAAGCACCGTGAACTGAAAGTTGGTGCCCTGTCTGGAAAACTAGGCTGCAGTCCCATATCTAGTCATAAGCCCTACTGAGCTTGCAGACTTGTGAAGCTTTGCACCTTTGGACAAGGAAAAGCCTTTTCAGGACCTGAACTTTGCTCAGGCAATTTAGAGCTGTTTGGGGTTTGCTCTCCCTCCTTCTCCTCCTCCCCACATTGGCAAGACTGAGACAGGAAGGGGAAGTAAAAATGCCAAAGGTCTAAATTTAGTCAGGGACAAGAAAGTGGGGGCTATTATGATAAATGTAGAGCTGAGCTAATTTTCTCTCCGAAGAGATTTTTCTGGGATTTTTTTTTTATCTCCTTCTCCCCCAAAGACCATTATCTGAATATTTCTGTGGTGCCCTAATAATACTGCACCCTGCAACGAGACTGAAGACTACCAGACCTTCTAATCCAACCCCCAAAGGACACAGTAAATAAATCAGCCTTTTACAATCTGTTTAAAAGAGACCAGAGATGGGGCTTGTGTGCTATCTCTTGGAATTGAGTGCCATAATACGGGGAGGGGGGGAGCTTTTTTAAATATTTGCTGGTTCTATACTCCAAAGAGCAGTTTTGAGGGCTGCAATGACCCATTTGTGGCTAAAGAGCAGGTCAGTCTGGCTGGAGTCACAGCCACAATTTCCTGGGACTTGCCCTGGAATAAGCATGCATGAGCTGTTCGACAGTGGGATTTGCTGCCAAGGAGTGTGGTGGAGTCTCCTTCTTTGGAGGTCTTTAAGCAGAGGCTTGACAACCATATGTCAGGAGTGCTCTGATGGTGTTTCCTGCTTGGCAGGGGGTTGGACTCGATGGCCCTTGTGGTCTATTCCAATTCTATGATTCTATGAGATTGCAACTGTTTGGATTGTACTGAAGTCTTCGAGCAGTTTGCATGACTGTTTTGTTGGTGTTTAGTCGTTTAGTTGTGTCTGACTCTTCATGACCCCTTGACTGGAGCACGCCAGGCACTCCTGTCTTCCACTGCCTCCCGCAGTTTGGTCAAACTCATGCTGGTAGCTTTGAGAACACTGTCCAACCATCTCGTCCTCTGTCGTCCCCTTCTCCTTGTGCCCTCCGTCTTTCCCAACATCAGGGTCTTTTCCAGGGAGTCTTCTCTTCTCATGAGGTGGCCAAAGTATTGGAGCCTCAGCTTCAGGATCTGTCCTTCCAGTGAGCACACAGGGCTGATTTCCTTCAGAATGGAGAGGTTTGATTTTCTTGCAGCCCATGGGACTCTCTCAAGAGTCTCCTCCAGCACCATGACTGTTAGCTGGCCACTAAAAATATTTGAAGTGACGCTTTTCCTGCGTTCCAAGAGCTTCATGCAGTTTCTTTGTGATCCTTAGTACAGACCAGTAACGTAGGCCGGCCATGACCACAAAGTGGGGTTTCTATATCCAGAGACAGTTTACTTTTGAATGTTAGATTCTGAGCATAGGGTCCTGCTTTCATGTTCTGCCTCTGGGACTGGCTGACCTCTCTTGGGGACAGGGTGCTCGCCTAAGGGAGACAGTGGCCTCATTGCAGCAATCCTGTTTTGCTCTCCATGTTCAGGCCTGCAAAGATCCAGTTGCCACAGTGGCCCTGATGGTGGCCCCAGTTAAAAGTGGCCCTGATGGTGTTTTAAGCTGAGTGATTTGAAGAGAGCACAAAATAGGTTTTCTCTGCCTCCACCCATGTCTGCTGTTGGGGGTGAAATCTGGCGCCTCCACTTCCTTCCATAAACTCAGCCAGGGCTTTCCAGGGCACAGCTGCAGAATTGCATTCAGTGGTAGAATATGCAAAGCAATGATTCCCTCGCTATCATCAGGTCACCGTTTCTCCTCCAAATCTGGCTCTGAAGTTTTGCAAAGAAGGAACGTTGTACCCCGTGCCCATATTTCAGGTCCAGATTTGTTGAGAGTGGAGGGTTATTTCTTATTCTGTTACTATTTTCCATTGCATGCCAGCAAATTCAGGTTGGGCAATTCAAGGCCTTGTGCAACAAACTCAATTCCCCCCCCAAATATTGGATTATTTTTGCAATAGGAAAGGTGGTGAGGAAATGTCATGAGAAGTGTGGGTTAATACTTGCACCGGCCGCTCCGTAAACAAATCGGAGTGAATGTTTCTTCAATAGCCCAGGTTGTCTAATCTCCCTGCAAACAGATTGGGGTGAGTGCTCAATAAACAGGTTGTCTGGAAGCGCCTTGAGACCAGTCTTGATCTGACCACAGTGATCCATGCGATGGTCACCTCCAGGCTTGATTATTGTAACTCGTTCTACGTGGGGCTGCCCTTGAAGCTGACCCAGAAACTCTAGCAGGTGCAGAATGTTATGGTGAGGCTCCTTACGGGGTCCTTGCCGCGGGATCACGTTCATCCAGTGCTTTTCCAGCTGCACTGGCTCCCGGTGGAGTACAAGGTCAGGTTTAAGGCGCTGGTTTTGACGTTTAAAGCCCTATGCGGCCTAGGACCCTCGTACCTACGGGACTGCCTCTCCTGGTATGCCCTGCGGAGGACCTTAAGGTCCACAAATAACAACACTTTGGAGGTCCCAAGCCGCAAGGTGGTTAGATTGGTTTCAGCTAGGGCCAGGGCCTTTTCAGTACTGGCCCCGACTTGGTGGAACACTCTGTCACAAGAGACTAGGCCCTGTGGGACTTGACATATTTCTGCAGGGCCTGCAAGACAGACCCATTCTGCCTGGCCTTTGGTTTGGACTCAGTCTGACCCTTATGTTTCCCTCCCCTTATGGTTTTGATTTATGGGCTACTATTAAAATGAGGCTGCAATTTAAATTGTATTTTAACCCGTATTTTAATAAACTGGTTTGTTTGTTTGTTTGTTTGTTGTCCCGCCCCCCATTATGTTTTATTGTAATTTTATTGGTGTTAGCCGCCCTGAGCCTGGCTGTGGCCAGGGAGGGCGGGGTATAAATAAAAAAATATTATTATTATTATTAAGGATAGCTGCCTAGTTCAGACTGAAAGAGATTTGACCCAAAGACAGCTGAGTCTGTGTGCTGCCTTTGTGTTGTGTAGGGTGAGTTGTGGGAGACCCCAAAAGCCATACAGTCCACCCTGCTGCTCCACTTGGACTGATATTCTCCCCCCAGCATCCTCTCTGCCTCGGTAGTTCCTCTTGGCTGGGTTGAGTTTTGCAACCTGGGATCTATTTATGTCCTCAGCCCTCGGCCGTCGCCTGCCCAAGAATAAAGCAGCCACTTCCCCCATTCAGAGTCAGCTCAAAGACTCTTGTCTGCGTGCCTGTTTCTGTTGTAAGCTCCTAACATCTTTGTGAGCCAACACCCACTGGCTCTGAGCGTGCCCGACTCGGCTCAAGGAGAATGCCCCTCTGAACTGTTGAACTTTGTCCATGCTTGGATGACCTCTCAGCTCTGCCTTTCATGTTGCCTGTTTCGGGAGCATAGGAATCTTCCTTCTACAGAGTCACACCCTTGTAGTTATACCCTTAACCCATACTTCTCTAGTGTCCTGGATTTGACTTTTCTGTTTGGAAGCTGCCGTAATAATAATAATAATAATAATAATTTATTATTTATACCCCGTCCATCTGGCTGGGCTTCCCCAGCCACTCTGGGCGGCTTCCAAAAAAATATTAAAATACTGTAATACATCAAACATTAAAAGCTTCCCTAAACGGGGCTGCCTTCAGATGTCTTCTAAAAGTCTGGTAGTTGTTGTTCTCTTTGACATCTGGTGGGAGGGTGTTCCACAGGGCGGGCGCCACCACTGAGAAGGCCCTCTGCCTGGTTCTCTGTAACTTGGCTTCTCGCACCTTGGCTTATCATCCCTGATTTCACATACACCACCCCCCCCACACACATACACATCCATTCACATGTTTTTCTCTTCCTCCTGGCTGTGTCTTTTTTTATAGAATAATCTTTATTGGTTTTTCAGTTACATACTCTACATACAGATATTGTATTACATTTTGCATTTATACTTGCTCCTAAGAGCTGACTTCCCTCCTTCCTTCTTCTGGTTTTTTTATATCACCTCTAAATTTTTCGCATTGTCTTCATCCATTTTGTATACTGTATTTTTTTTGTTCTTCCATATTTGTCCATGATACATCTATAAACAAATAAGTCCTTCTATATTTACAATTCCTGTTGTCTGTCTATATTCATTTACAACTATTATTTACATTACTCACATTATACATTTTACTTCTTATAGAATCATAGAATCATAGAGTTGGAAGAGACCACAAGGGCCATCGAGTCCAACCCCCTGCCAATTATTTTCATTTATCCAATAATTTTCTTTGTATTTCACATTATGAGGTTTATTTCAGTTCTACTGGTTTCACTATCTCACCTTATTTTTCCTATGCACGACATAAATTTTTCCCATTCTTTCTGAAATGTTTCATCGCCCTGTTGTCGAATTTCCCCCGTTAATTTAGCTATTTCTGCATATTCCAATACCCTCTGTCGCCATTCTTCTACTGTTGGCAATTGTTATTGTTTCCAAACCTGGGCTAATAATAACCTCACCGCTGTTGTTGCATATAAGAACAATTTCTGATCATTCTTAACAGTATCCTCTGGCTTTTTCAAAAACGTATATCTAAAGATCTTCTTTAGGTCATTGTATATGTTTTCCCAGTAAGTTTTTACCTTATCACATGTCCTCCTTGGATGTGTCTTACTTTTACTTCTAAATTTGTGGGGCAGTGTCTGCTTTTTATTTATTTTTCTGCGACATTTAACACTGTCACATATCCTTTTCATGAATATATGCATTTTTACAGACCCTTTACCTGGTACATGAAAGTTTTGTGCCCATTACTAGGCTGGAGAAGTGCAAAATTTGGACAAGTGTGAAATTTGAAGGATGGCTGTCATTTGGAAAGTGCAGATTAGGGTGGTTTGCCTTCAAATGTGAACTGAATTGAATCTCTTCCCCCTTATGCACATCTTGCCAGCGTGTTTTTTGGCTATGTGCACATTGGCCGCTTGAAACATAGCGAGGGTCACAGAGTGGGAAGAGATACCTGCTTGGTAATTGGGATGTGGGTGGCACTGTGGTTTAAACCACTGAGCCTTGGGCTTGCTGATCGGAAGGTCGGCAGTTCGAATCCCCGTGACGGGTTGAGCTCCTGTTGCTCTGTGCCAGCACCTGTCAACCAAGCAGTTCGAAAGCATGCCGGTGCAAGTAGATAAATAGGTACCACTGTGGCGGGAAGGCAAATGGTTTTTCCGTGCGCTCTGGTTTCCATCACGGTGTTCTGTTGCGCCAGAAGCGGTTTAGTCATTCTGGACACATGACCCGGAAAGCTGTCTGTGGACAAACGCCAGCTCCCTCAGCCTGAAAGCTTGATGAACGCCGCAACTCCATAGTTGCCTTTGACTAGACTTAACCGTCCAGGGGTCCTTTACCTTTACCTTTCCTTACCTGCTTGGTTTCCCTGCGCCAAACTCCAGTTCACCACTGAAGCTGTCGTCTGTGCTTGTGCGACAGCTGTCTGAAATGTACACACCTCAGCTTAACTGCGGCTTGCATTTTCAAACTGGGTGGTTGCTGCTTTTCAGGAAAGCACATATTTCTCTAGAAGCGACAAGATACCTGTAGATTGTAGTTAACATCATGTGTACTCTGCTTCAAACACCAGAACTGGAGTGAGCAATAATGCGTACACTGCCGCTCTATTCCCCAGTTACTAACTATAGGCCTGGATAGCAAAAACAACCCTACACATTTCCTGTCAAGTGTTTCCCACTTCTGAGTGGCGAGAAACTCCAACACCACAGCTTTTCCTATGAATGAGAAAAAACAGATTCACAAATACTGTATTTTTCGCCCTATAAAACGCAATTTTTCCCCTCCAAAAATGAAGGGGAAATGTGTGTGCGTCCTATGGGGCGAATGCAGGCTTTCGCTGAAGCCTGGAGAGTGAGAGGGGTCGGTGCGCACCAACCCCTCTCGCTCTCCAGGCTTCAGGAAGCTATCCCCCCAGCCCGGCAAGCTCCCAGAGCGATGCCGAAGCTGCACTCTGGGACCCGTTCTGGAGGCTGGGGTAGGGGGAAGCTCGGGCTTCCCCTGCCCCAGCCCCGCGCCTGGGGGGAGAAATAAATTTCCCCCCCTTTATTCCTCCCCCTCCCCCAAAATCTAGGTGCGTCCTATGGGCCGGTGCGTCCTATAGGGCGAAAAATACGGTAGATTAGGGCAGTACCATAAATGCAGGTGTGCCTCAGTAATGCAGGTCTTTATTCTATGTCTGATTCCCAACAGTGGCTGTGGCTGTCACAGGCAGCCAGCAAAGGTGCAAATGACTTAATTCTGGCTAAATTCCTAGCTTTTCTTCCTAGAATCATAGAATTGTAGAGCATGAGGGGAGGCTGGGGGGGTCATTTAGTCCAACCTCCTGAAGTGCAGGAATCCTGCGCACAGCCACCTCCGAGTGGGCTCGAACCACCAACCTTCTGGTTAACAGCCAGACGCACTCCTTAAATTCAGAAGATGTCAAGTCTAGCTTCAGTTTCTCTGCCCGACCTTGAAGGCAAGCTGCTTATTTGGGAAGCCATCCTGTTGAGAGGGAATGGTCTGTTTCTGCCTGGGTAGCTCAGTCGGTAGAGTATTAAATCTCAGAGTTGTGGGTTCAAGCCCCATGTTGGACGAAAGATTCCAGCATTGTAGGGCGCCGTGGTGTCCCTTCAAATTCCACGATTCTGAAGATGTCGGTGTGCAGTTCCTAAAGAGCTTGGGTCAACTGCTTCCACCTGTGAGTGTGGGGATCAGCACTCCCTATTTGCACATGGGTAACACAAGTGGCGCTGTGGGTTAAACCACTGAGCCTAGGACTTGCCGATCAGAAGGTCGGTGGTTCGAATCCCTGCGATGGGGTGAACTCCTGTTGCTCGGTCCCTACTCCTGCCAACCTACCAGTTCGAAAGCACGTCAAAGTGCAAGTAGATAAATAGGTACCGCTCCAGCGGGAAGGTAAACGGCGTTTCCGTGCGCTGCTCTGGTTCGCCAGAAGCGGCTTAGTCATGCTGGCCACATGACCCGGAAGCTGTACGCCAGCTCCCTCGGCCAATAAAGCAAGATGAGCGCTGCAACCCCAGAGTCGGCCACGACTGGACCTAATGGTCAGGGGTCCCTTTACCATTACCTTTAACCGAGGTCTAGTAGCAACTCGTGCACAGAGGAAGCTGAGTGACAATGCGTGAGCAGAGGTGCCAGTAGGAAGCTGCAGACTGAACTCACTATTCAAAGCGGCAGGGAGGGAGGTATCACTGCTTGAGCATGCCGACAAACAGCTTTCTCTCAGCTGAGAAGCAGCTGGCTGTACAGTTTTGCAGTGATGACGAATCGAAACTCAGCAACGCATCTCGTATAATGATCAAGGCTGAGTCCTGGCACAGAAAAGCCGGTCCCACAGCTAGGCTCTGATTCACTTAGTGCACTCAGCACTTGCTCAGAGGCACTCTTTGCCCCTGTTGCACATGTTCAGGGACTTGGGCTTGACACCAGGGAACAGACTCTGGGGTGAGGCCTTCAATCAATTGGGACAGAGGTGCCCTTGGGCAGCTCCCAGGGTCCTGGCAGGGCTCATCACTGATGAATTATAGAATTGTAGACTGGGAAGGGACCCTGGGGGTCATCAACCCCCTGCAATGACATCTGCCCTGGGCCTGCGTTCCAATTCCTTTATCCTTTCCTGGCTGGATCTAGGCACCCTTTTAATCTCCCTCGTTACCCCTGTCTCAGTGTTGCTCTGGGGCATCAAGGGAAAATGCAAATGATGGCCAGGCCCAGCTACCCAGGGTTGATTAGAAAGCTGCCATCACAACCCTGTGATCATCATCTGAGCCTCTCCTTTGTGTGCCTCCCCCATGAGAGGTCCGTAGGGTGGCAACCTGAGAACAGGGCCTTTTCTGCAGTGGCTCCCTGTTGGTGGAATGCTCTCCCCAGGGAGGCTCGTCTGGCGCCTTCATTGCATATCTTTAGGCCCCAGGCAAAAACATTTCAACCATCTGTTTGGCTGATAAACATTCTGTGGCCTTTTAAATGTGTATGTGGGTTATTGGGTTGTTTTGCTTTTGTTTTATTATGTATTTTACATTTTTGTTTTGTACTTTTATGCTGTAAACTGCCCTGCGATTTTCTGATGAAGTGTGGGACGCGGGTGGCGCTGTGGGTAAAACCTCAGCGCCTAGGACTTGCCAATCGCATGGTCGGCGGTTCGAATCCCCGCGGCGGGGTGCGCTCCCGTTGCTCGGTCCCAGTGCCTAGCAGTTCAAAAGCACCCCCGGGTGCAAGTAGATAAATAGGGACCGCTTACTAACGGGAAGATAAACGGCGTTTCCGTGTGCTGCGCTGGCTCGCCAGATGCAGTTTGTCACGCTGGCCACGTGACCCGGAAGTGTCTGCGGACAGCGCTGGCCCCCGGCCTCTTAAGTGAGATGGGCGCACAACCCTAGTCGGACACGACTGGCCCGTACGGGCAGGGGTACCTTTACCTTTACCTTTTACTTTTATGCTGTGAACTGCCCTGCGATTTTCTGATGAAGTGGGGTATACAAATCGAGCAAACTTGGAGCCAGCCCTGCCCACAATGTTTGACCTATCATCTTCCCTCCCTTAAATACAGTGGTACCTTGGGTTAAGAACTTAATTCGTTCTGGAGGTCCATTCTTAACCTGAAACTGTTCTTAACCTGAGGTACTACTTTAGCTAATGGGTCCTCCCGCTGCCGCCACACGATTTCTGTTCTCATACTAAAGCAAAGTTCTTAACTCAAGGTAATATTTCTGGGTTAGCGGAGTCTGTAACCTGAAGCGTCTGTAACCTGAAGCATCTGTAACCCGAGGTACCACTGTAGAGAGAAATTTAGCAGATGAAGCTCTCCTGACATGGAGCTAAGATTATGCCAAGAGTATCACTTATTTTCAGGCTGAGGCCAATGCAAGAAAGGTAGTAACTCTAGCTATGAGCTGAGAGATATGGAAAGTGGGGGAAAGTACTTGATATTTCAGGGGCGCAGGATAACTGTTTGTTACTTGGGATGTAGGTCTGCTTGCTTGGAGTACTATAGAAAATTCTGCAAACTTCCTTTGCTGTCTCACCACAGAGCAAACAGATCCTGGCAACTCCTGTCTACCAGGAAACACAAAGCAATACAAGTTTAATGTTTTAAATGGTTGGTTATATTTATTTACAACATTTATATGTTGCCATTAATAAAAGCTTTCTCTGTGTAGTTCACAAATAAAAGTTTTAAACCATGAAGTGTAAAAAATGGAATTTAACCAAGACGCATAGTAAGCACTGAGAAAACCACAAATTAAAAATAAAAGTAAACCTATTTTAAAGGAAATCAGAATTGAGGCAGCCTAAAGAAGAGGAAATACTTCAGAACTGGCACAAAAAACGCAGATTCCCTGGGCAAAAGCCTTTTTTTATGCTGCATTGCCTAGATCTATATTTATCTTTCTTTTTAATGGATCCTTCCTTTCAACTTGTAAAGAAATTTTCTCGGTGTAATGGTGTACAGTCTGGCATACAGTTATATGCTTGCACAGGGAGTTTTTTTGTACATGTACCGTTTCCAAGAGTCCTTTGTTTCAGAAGTCTCTTGCTCCATTTCAAAATAGTTGGCCTGTGTTGCTTGATTTTCGTCTAGTTGCTGCATTCAGGTAAGTTTCAGGAAACGAACAGGCTGCCCTCCCCGTGAACCCCCTTTGGATTTCTCAGGTACATCCTCCAATAGACAGAAGCGGGTTTGATAGGGAGAAAGGACTACCAAACCTGTTAAGTTGTGGGTGAACATATCAGACGACACAGCGATTCTTCAAACAGCTCTTGTTTATTTGCAGGCCAGGACAGAACTGAACTGAAGGGCTCAGTCAGCCTGCTTATATAGAGCTCCAGTACCACGTTACTGTAACAGCTTTCTAAAACTATCCAATCACTGAACGTCACTTTCGATCCTTTATTTGCATAACTATCTACAGTATCCATCCAATCACTGAACGTCACTTTCGATCCTTCATTTGCATAACTATCTACAGTATCCATCCAATCACTGAACATCACTTTCAATCCTTCATTTGTATAACTATCTACAGTATCCCCCTGCTGGCCCAGAGTGAGAACTTCAGTACATAACAAAACCCACTTTTGGAACTGGGCCATTCATTGCTGGACACAACTGCGAAGGGCCAGGCTTGTAGCAGCCAAGCAGACCAGCTGGAGAACCAAGGGAAACCAAACCTCATTGTGAATCGCTCTCGGGACATTAAAAACTGAGGGCACTTCTGTCAGACTGTCATTGTACTGGGGTGGGATTCAGTCACATCCTGGCAAATTCAGGTTGTGCATTTGATTAGAAGGTCAAGCCTTTTGCTGTAAGGAAAGTGATGGGGAAAAGCTCCTGAAAATGTGGGGTGGAACTTGCTTTGATGCACCGTTGTCTGGCCTCCCTGCAAGCAGATCTGAGTGACTGCTCAGGTCGTCTGGAAGCACCCTGAGTTAGCATTACCTAATAGGAGAAAATGCGAGGAATATCAATCAATCAATCAATCAATCAATCAATCAATCTTTATTACGGTCCAGAGACCCAACAAATCGTTACAAAGCAATGCACAATACAGACAGCCTACCTCCAGGTTAAACAAGCATTTTGTTCAGACTTAAAGATAGGGATGGGACGCGGGTGGCGCTGTGGGCTAAACCACAGAGCCTAGGGCTTGCAGATCAGAAGGTCAGTGGTTCGAATCCCCGCGACAGGGTGAGCTCCCATTGCTCGGTCCCTGCTCCTGCCAACTTAGCAGTTCGAATGCACGTGAAAGTGCAAGTAGATAAATAGGTACCGCTCTGGCGGGAAGGTAAACAGCATTTCCGTGCGCTGCTCTGGTTTGCCAGAAGCGGCTTAGTCATGCTGGCCACATGACCCGGAAGCTGTCTGCGGACAAACGCCGGCTCTCTCGGACAATAAAGCAAGATGAGTGCCGCAGCCCCAGAGTCGGTCACGACTGGGTCTAATGGTCAGGGGTCCCTTTTCCTTTACCTTAAAGATAGGGATCATTGGTTCTTGCAACCACCGATAAAAACTTCACCACTGCTAATGTTCTAGCGATTGTCTAGTCTTCGAATAGGAACCTGACATAGTGAGCCTCTGATTTTCCCGGGAAAGGTACCAGCAAGGGTAATAGAAGAATATAGGAAATACAACTTATAGGAGCTAATGACAAGGGAAGTTTGGGCGTTACAAAAGATGAAGCATGACCAGCTGACCACATCCAGCTGACCAAACGTTAGAAATCCAGCACGTTTCTGTGGATTGGAGGCTTTGGGAGTCCTGCCTCTGTGTGTCACGTAATTGTGTGATGATGCAGTTGGCTGACAACGACTTCTTTTATTTCTTATTTTCAGCCTCAGCCAAGCAAGGAGGTGGCTGAAGATCCTGTGTATGTGAATCTCCAGGAGCTCCGGTTGGAACGGAGTCCCTCCGCTGCAAGCAAAACTGAATCCATACCCCAGCCCCACCTCAGCAGCCCCCCAGTGAGCTGGGAGACCCACACGGACGCAGAAAGTGGCCGCTTGTTCTACTACAATTCGGCCACCGGCCAAACGACCTGGGAGCCTCCGTTCGACGGTCCTGCCGGCGGCGGGAGTCCCCCTCCTTCTTGCTCACCCTTGCTGGCCCTCAGCCCTGCCACACCTGCCGAGTGGGACCAATATGTAGACGAGGCCAGCGGGCAGGTGTTCTTCTACAACACATCGACGGGCGAGACGTCGTGGGACGCACCCCGGATGGACGAAACCCTCAATTATCCGGAGATGCAGCCTGCGTTTGTGCCTTACAGCCCTGTGGATCGGAGGGTAAATGTCGGGGAGGGGTCTACTGGGTCTTGGGGTGGGGGGCAAATTCTGATGCATAGCTGTCGAGCGTCCCTTATTTGGCGGGACAGTCCCTTATCCCAGCGCTATGTCCCGCTGCTGTCCCTTATTGATGATGTCCCTTAAATAAGCTACTGAAGGTAATGGGGCCCTTTCTATGTCCAGCTGTTCTTTGTCAACAACAAATTGTTGCCTTTTTTTGTGTTGAATATATGCTATATGGTAATTTATGGACCTAATAGGTATCTAAAGCCATTTGCACGCAACAAAATATGTATTTTATCAAAGTAATTGTTGATCCCATATTTTGGCTGCTGATCCCTTATTTTCGAGGCTGCTGGTCCCTTATTTTCAAATCTGTAAGTTGACAGCTATGTTCTGATGCAGTAGATAGCCCACTGAAGTCTAGTTCATGTAGTGAGGACTGAGGACAATCTACGTCCAGGGATGAGACCAGTGCCAGATTTATGTACGGTATAAGCCAGGGGTAGGCAAACTAAGCCCTGGGGTCCGGATCCGGCCCAATCGCCTTCTCAGTCCGGCCCGTGGACGGTCCGGTAATCAGCGTGTTTTTACATGAGTAGAATGTGTCCTTTTATTTAAAATGCATCTCTGGGTTATTTGCGGGGCCTGCCTGGTGTTTTTACATGAGTAGAATGTGTGCTTTTATTGAAAATGCATCTCTGGGTTATTTGTGGGACATAGGAATTGTTCTTTCCCCCCCCCTCCAAAATACAGTCCGGCCCCCCACAAGGTTTGAGGGACAGTGGACCGGCCCCCTGCTGAAAAAGTTTGCTGACCCCTAGTATAAGCTGAACAAGCTATATCTTAGGGCCCCACTCTCTTGGAGCCCCGCCCCCAATATACTGCTACTTAAGTGTATTTCAGTTCAACAACAAATATGTATTTTATTTTGTTATGTGCAAATGGCTTTAGATACCTATTAGGTCCATAAATTACCCTATAGCTTAAATTCAACACAAAAAACGGCAAGAATTTGTTGTTGACAAAGGACAGCTGGACATATAAAGGGCCCCATTACCTTCAGTAGCTTAGGGCCTCATTAAACCTAAATCCGGCCCTGGATGAGACATTGGTGGATAGAAAGTTATGGCCCGGGAAACTGCCTGTGGAAAGACTGGTTGATGAGTGTTGAACACATATGGCCTGATTTTCCATGTTAGGAGTAAGTAAGAATTTTTCCTCTAGGGCCATGTGGCGAAGAGGGTCACCAGGGTCCGAATTTATCCTTGATGTTGAGGCTGTGTGTGGATTGAGCCTGTAAGCAGGGTGGATTTGATTTAAATCAAATCGATTTAAATCATGATTTAAATCACTAGTCAGTAAGACTTGATTTAAATCATTTTTTTACAGAAAGACGCATTCTTGCTGGTATAATCTTAATATTTACAACCAGATGAAGGTTTCGTTTTTGGAATAGTAAATTTTCAGAGTAGTTTTTACAGTTATATCAGAAATTACTCATTTGGTTATACTATTAGAAATACATAGATAATTATGAAATTATTGTGAGGTTTAATAAGTTAACTGTTTATATTTGGACAACTTTTCTACTATACTTTATTGGAAGGAGAAAAATAATCATTTCCTTAATAACAATTTAAACAATTTATTGAATTAAAACAACATTACAGCAGATGTATCCATGTTTGTTAACTGATGTGGTTAAACAATTTTAAAAAAAACTTAGACTGAGTTTTAGCACACATGAAAAACTTAAAACAAATCTTTATTTCCTGATGAATAGCCTTTGGACTATAGTGTAACTTAAATAGAAAACTATCTTTAGAAAGATTTTTCCTCCAAAGGCATTTTATTTTAAAAATCCAATTTAAATTAAAAAAAATCTGATTTAAATTTAAAAATCTGTTATTTTAATTTTTTTTTTTTTTAATCAGTGATTTTTATCCACCTTGCCTTTAAGCTGCCAGTTGGGTGCTTCCTATTCCAGGAAGTAGGTCCTGGTTTGTCTTGTATTTTGGTCCAGATCATGTACTTTGATCTGTGAGTACATAGGATCTGCTTTGTATAGGGCAGGTGGTGGCAGGGCTGGGTGATATTTAAATATATCATCTAAAACCGATTTCAAGTCCACATCACAATATTGGTTTCATATTGCAGCATATTGCGAATTTTGTGTGTGTGTGTGTGTGTGTGTGTTATGCGAAAATCGCAATGTGGGGGAAACCGTGAAGCCAGCCAATGCTTCACTTGATTCCTGCAGCCCCTGGATTCCTGGACCATCGGTGGGCCAGATTGAGAAGACGATTGGGCCGCATCTGGCCCCCGGGCCTTAGGTTGCCTACCCCTGGTATAGAATAAATATTATCAGCATATAAAAATTAAACACAAACCCACTCTTAACAATTACAATAAATAATTTCTAAACTGCAATCAATAAAACAGACGGCAAGCCACAGTGCGTAAAATAATACAATACAAATTGAGAAGTAGAGACTGGAGGGTGGGGCAAGACGGCCTTGCCTGATGAAGTCTCTCCCCTCACAGTTCTTCCTCCAGAACCAGCTTCCTTATTGGCTCTAAATTCAGGATCCAATCTCTTGCGAGGGTCAGCTGTGTCCGAGGTTCCCACTGGGCAGCAAAACTGAACCTAGCAACCTCTCAGCAGATGGGTGGGAGACAGGCAGCAAGCCCTGCCTTGCCATTGCAGAATCAGGAATGCCCATTAAAGTACCTGGTTGCGCGCTGGCAGCCACAGGTCCCCACCTGCCCCACAGGTCGGCAGGGTCAAATTGGAACCCATGCCAGGTCCAGTTAGACCTATGGGCCAAAGGTTCCCTGCCCCTGCTATAGATTAGCAGGTGCCCACCCTATCGATCAGGAGAAGGCCTCTGTATTTTATAAGCCTTGGGAAGCACAGTCAGAAATGCCTGCTGCCTTTTCGGTTTGTAGCTCTTTGCTCCCTCCCTATCTTCTGGGGGAAGAGGGACGCGGGCGGCGCTGTGGGTTAAACCACAGAGCCTAGGGCTTGCCTACCAGAAGGTCAGCGGTTCGAATCCCCACGATGGGGTGAGCTCCTGTTGCTCGGTCCTTGCTCCTGCCAACCTAGCAGTTCGAAAGCACGTCAAAGTGCAAGTAGATAAATAGGTACCACTCCAGGGGGAAGGTAAACGGCGTTTCCGTGCGCTGCTCTGGTTCGCCAGAAGCGTCTTAGTCATGCTGGCCACATGACCCGGAAGCTGTACACCAGCTCCCTCGGCCAATAAAGCGAGATGAGCGCTGCAACCCCAAAGTCGGCCATGACTGGACCTAATGGTCAGGAGTCCCATTACCTTTATCTTCTGGGGGAAGATTCTCTAAGGAGATTTAAGAACCCCTGAATTATTGTTTGACAACATGCTGTGTGCTGACCTCTTGTCTGAAACCTCTTTTAGCCGCCAACTCCAGAAACTGACTACCCCAACCTTTCTCCCGATGAACTTGAGCCCTATCCTGAAGAAGATTATTCTCCGGTTGGCTCCTACCAGCCGCTGGACGGACTCTGCGTTCCCTCTGCATACCAAGGCTGGCCGTCCTATGGCAACCAGGAAGGACTGGTGTTTGATGGTGACCAGTATGCCTCCAACCTGGTAAGGAGGGCTCGGAAAGCCTGTGGGTCTGTGCACTGGGGTAACCATGCTCCATTTGCCACGCTTTGCCATGCTGTTGTTTGTTCAGGGTTGCTGGGAGTTGTCACTCCAGGAGGGGGAACTACAGTACCCAGAATTCTTTGAGGGGAAAGAGCGTGCGCAGAGTCACTAAGCACAGAAGAGGAGATAAGCATTCCCAAATGGAAATAAGCGTAATCTTATTCCACCAAAGGCTACTTTGGCCACTCAGCTGTAAAAACTCAGACCTGTTTGCCAGCTGCCTTGTAACACCCTTAAATCTTCTGTGTTTCTGCCCCCTCTGCTACAAACTGAAGAAGGCTGGAGTTTATTCCCCATTTTAACCAGAAAGTGTGTCCTCTTGGCTGGCCTGTTGTTATAGCCACTAGTTGTCATGGGTCATTGAAAAAAACCGCTTGAGGCCTTTGATGCCCAGTAAGGAAATGTCAGATGATCATCACTGAAAATTATAGCAAGTGATCATGTTATACAAAACATTATCGTAAGTGGTCAATGAAACCAGCAACCCTGTGAAAATAACAAATACCGCCTTTTTTAAAGCTGGCAAGATCCTGAGCCTGTTTTAAAAGCTGCTTTGGGGGCGGAAATTCAAGGTGAAGATTCTTCTTCTGATTTGGGGATTAAGCTTTGAAGAAAGTTTTTTTTAATAAAAAAGCACAAGTCAAAATTCAGTTTTTCCTCTGTTTTCTGTTTCTGGTAGCCCTTATTAAATGGTATGGACTAGCTGATGGCAAGGCTTTTCTTCTGTGGTAATATCAACACAGGGACACGGATGGCGCTGTGGGTTAAACCACAGAGCCTAGGACTTGCCAATCAGAAGGTCGGCGGTTCGAATCCCCACAATGGGGTGAGCTCCCGTTGCTCGGTCCCTGCTCCTGCCAACCTAGCAGCTCGAAAGCACGTCAAAGTGCAAGTAGATAAATAGGTACCGCTGTGGTGGGAAGGTAAACAGCGTTTTCGTGCGCTGCTCTGGTTCACCAGAAGATGCTTAGTCATGCTGGCCACATGACCTGGAAGCTGTACGCCGGCTCCCTCGGCCAATAAAGCGAGATGAGCACCGCATCCCCAGAGTCGGCCACGACTGGACCTAACGATCAGGGGTCCCTTTACCTTTACCTTTAATATCAACAGAAACACAGGAATATTTGGGCAGGGCTTCAAGGGCGCTGTGGGCTGATCAGCAGCTTGTAACATGCTCCTGTTCTGTGTTGCTCCTGCTAATAAAAGTATATCTTCCAGGTCACTGCATCCGGCCACCATCACCACAGTACCAGCAGTGGGTCCAGCCTGGACAGCAGCCCTTTTGGAAACTGGGTACCCTTCTCTGGGCCAAAGGAGGGACAGGTAAGGAAAACCCTCAATTGTCTTGGACTGGTGGAGGAAAATCTGAAGTGGGAATTCATATCCCATTGAGGAAGGGATATATACGGGTTTCCTGATCCTTCCTGCATTTTGAACTACAAGGTTCATCTGTGGAAAGATTAGGGTGGGGGAGAGAAATGAATAAGATGCTATAGGGTGGTGAGCTGAGGACCCAATTTCCTTCCGCTCCATAAAGAGTCAGCTGATAACTCTTGTGGCCACAATTCCCACGTCTTCCATTTCTCTTCTGTTTTCTCTTGATTGGTAACTGGGAGACTGGGCATCGCATGTAAGACCACATCTGCAAACATACTGGTACATTTAAATTTAATATATAGTCCTTTAAATATTGGATGTGGCCTAAGGGCATTCCCCAGGCGGCTGTTTTATATTCTTGCGGGGTGTGTTTCAAATGTATGGTGTGTACACAGATTTTCCTCAGCATTAGGAATGGGATTAGGAATGGGAAAGGGGGTGAATAATGTTACGGGATCTCCCCAACAGCTAGGACAGATTTAAACTATAGCCTTTTCCTCCCCTCTGCTCAGTTAAAAACGCTTGAAAAGGCTGGGATGCTCTTTCGGACAAAGACTGCTGATAAAGGCAAACGCCAGAGGTAAGAATGATTTGTTTGTGTGCATCTCCTTCTGATCTTGGGGTTTGGGGCAGGTTGTTATGGGGTCAATCAAACCCCCAGGTATCCTGGATCCAAGCTGTTTGAAAACCTCCTTTTTTAAAGATGTGTTCTTAATTGAGAAGGTGTGTTTGGTTTTGAAAAAAAGTTTTTAATGCAAATGTTTTTTTAAGCAACAGAAGCTTGTAGACCCAATCTTGAATCAGAGGCAGCCTAGTTTCTTTCACGCCAGGGAGTGACTTCTTTTGTGTAAACAGAGCTGGGATTTCATTGCAGGATTGTTGTGGGATAAACAGCGCTGCACAAAACAGCAGTGCTTTAATTCCGTTTCCAGCTGATTGCAGAAGGGCAGTTCCAAAAGGCCCTGGGGTGGAAAGGACTTTTGGCCGTGCAGCAAAGCCTTTCCTTATGTTCAGCAGCTCTGGCTCACCATCTTGTCTTCTTCCCACATCTCTCCTTGGACTTTGCTGGTCCTCTGTCTCTCTTCCTCCTCCCCAGCCCTTCTGTCTCCTCCTTTCTGCCCTGCTTGGACTGCTTCCTTGGAACTGACCTCAGCTTGGCTTCCTGGTTCTGTCTCCATCTCTTCCTTCGACCAAATGCCATGGCCTGGTTCCCTCAGTTGAGAAGTCCCACCTTCTGCCTTGCTGACTCTTCATCAGAGGCCCTGAACTTGCGGAGAGGTGCATGGCATGAGACCTGGATGTTGTAATAATTGCATGTGTGAACTCTCCCTAATGCCAAAGTTGGTGACAGAAATGTGGAGCGAGGGGCGGGTGGAAGGGAATCAGGATAACTGAGGGTAGGAGAACCTTTTCCCTTGAGGCAGACAGAGTTCCTCTCCTCCGTTTCACGCTGCTCAGTTAGCACTGCTCTGTGAATGAGGTTTCCTTCTCTTCCTTCCCTTTCTCCCCTCTTAGGAAGAATTGGAGTTCTTCATGGACAGTCCTGGAAGGTGGTGTCTTGACTTTTTTCAAGGACTCAAAACACTCCACGTCTAGCAGTGTGGTGAGTCCTCAGCCCTGGCTTGCTACCCCAGTTGAAAGGTAGACAGTGGAGGCTGCTCCACCAAACCTCGGCCTTTGCTCAGCTGCCTGTTGTCTTATTATTTGTACTCCTCCCATCTGACTGGGTTGCCCAAGCCACTCTGGGCAGCTTTCAACTTATACCAAACCATAATAAAACATCCAGCATTACAAACTCCCCTATACAGGACTATCTTCTGATGTCTTCTAAAAGTTAGATACCGTATTTTTCGCTCTATAAGACGCACCAGATCACAAGACGCACCTAGTTTTTGGAGGAGGAAAACAAGAAAAAAAATATTCTGAATCTCAGAAGCCAGAACAGCAAGAGGGATCGCTGCGCAGTGAAAGCAGCAATCCCTCTTGCTGTTCTGGCTTCTGGGATAGCTGCGCAGCCTGCATTCGCTCCATAAGACGCACACACATTTCCCCTTACTTTTTAGGAGGGAAAAAGTGAGTCTTATAGAGCAAAAAATACGGTATTTGTTTATTTCCCTGACATCTGATGGGAGGGCGTTCCACAGGGTGTGGGTGCCACTACCGAGAAGGCCCTTTGCCTGGTTCCCTGCAACCTCACTTCTCGCAGGGAGGGAACTGCCAGAAGGCCCTCAGAGCTGGACCTCAGTGTCCGGGCTGAACGATGAGGATGGAGACGCTCCTTCAGGTCTAGTGGGTTGAGGCCGTTTAGGGCTTTAAAGGTCAGCACCAACAGTTTGAATTGTGCTTGGAAACGTACTGGGAGCCAATGTCGGTCTTTCAGGACTGGTGTTATGTGGTCTCGGCGGCCACTCCTAGTCACCAGTCTAGCTGCTACATTTGGGATTAGTTGCAGTTTCCGGGTCACCTTCAAAGGTAGCCCCACGTAGAGTGCATTGCAGTAGTCCAAGTGGGAGATAACCAGAGCATGCACCACTCTGGCATCAAGCCAAGTTATGATATGTTAAAATGAATATAAAATTATTGAATGTATAAAATTGAAAATCATAGATAAAATACATTAAAATAATAATAAAGGCAACTTACAACATGAAAAGATTTAGGTAACTACACACAAGACAAAAGCAGGTCCTCCGCCGTTGATCTGTGACCCAGTGTGAACGCCTAGCGTGGGTGTGGGTGCCACTACCGAGAAGGCCCTCTGCCTGGTTCTCTGTAGCTTCACATCTCGCAATGAAGGAACCGCCAGAAGGTTCTTGAAGCTGGAGCCCAGAGTCCAGCTTAACAATGGGGGTGGAGACACTCCTTCAGATATACAGGGCCGAAGACGTTTAGAGCTTTAAAGGTCAACACAAACACTTTGCATTGTGCTTGGAAACGTACTGAGAGCCAGTGATCTTTTGGAACCCCTCCAGGCTGCTCTAGTTTGTTCTGTGGTACTTATCCAAGCCAATGCTTGCATGTTATTGTTGTCCAGAGGGACTATAGCACAACAAAAGCAGGGCATCTCCTCCTGCCGAATCTTTGTGGTATATAAAAAGTTGCAGGGTTTCAGAAGGAAGTTACACAATATGCACTGGTTGGAAATTCAGCTGTGTGACTGCCCCAATAGCATCATGAGCACAAACCATCGTAAATGCACAATAAAAAGGGTGTCTGGAAAACCCCATAATTTCTCTGCAGGGTATAATTTGATGGGTAAGTGGGTGGGATTTTTGTTTTCTCTGTAGTTGCAAGCAGTCATAAAATGTGGACTTCCATGCTGCTTCTGTTTCCTACCTTCACCCTCAGAAACATCCCTCCGTGTTGAGTAGCCCTGAGCACACTGTGGATCTTAGTGGAGCAACACTTTCTTGGGCTGCAAAAGACAAGTCGAGCAAAAAGAACGTCTTGGAGGTAAAGGATGGTGGTCCCCATCTCTGCTTCTGTTTCCGTAGCAACAGATGATGGCAAAATGCATGGAGGAGGAAGCAACACATGCCTGTTCTGCTCCTCACCAGGCAATCTGTCTGTTACACATGCCTGAATGTGGCTATTCCTGCAAATATCAATTCAGCAAACTTATCTTCACTGGAAAAAAGGGAACACACATTTTTAAAAACAGACAGACTTTTAAGGCAGTCTTAATGCTGATGGTACAGATGAGTTTTGGCCACAAAACCACAACACTCCATCTTCCAAGCATCTTCCTCTATGAAGACTAGACTTATCAAAAGTGAATCTTGTCATTTCCTAAATACGGGCCACTTCTTTAAAATGAAAGTTATGGTTGCCATGCAATGTGTCTTGCGCTGCGTCGGTTACAAAAGGCAAAGATTAGTGTCGGGAGTCCATATTTGTACATGGCAACCTGGTTTCAAGTGGTGGGGAAACCTAGCCGAGTCTTTTTCCCTGTGAAAGCCTGTCTCTGGAGCTGCCAGGCATATGATAAGCCTGACACTCCTCTGTAAGATGTGTCCTGTGCGTTTCCAGTGACCCCATTGGAACATGAAGGAAACTAGCAGCAAATCCTAGGCGCAGAAAGTAAATCTCACACTATATAAAGCTTCAGTAACTTCATTTCCATGTTTGATGGTGGCGCTGTGGGTTAAACCACAGAGCCTAGGACCTGCCGATCAGAAGGTTGGCGGTTTGAATCCCCGCGACGGGGTGAGCTCCCGTTGCTCAGTCCCTGCTCCTGCCAACCTAGCAGTTCAAAAGCACGTCAAAGTCAAGTAGATAAATAGGTACCACTCCGGTGGAAAGGTAAACGGCGTTTCCGTGCGCTGCTCTGGTTCGCCAGAAGCAGCTTAGTCATGCTGGCCACATGACCCGGAAGCTGTGCGCTGGCTCCGTCGGCTAATAAAGCGAGATGAGCGCCGCAACCCCAGAGTCGGCCATGACTGGACCTAATGGTCAGGGGTCCCTTTACCTTTACCTTTTGTGATTAGCTGGAAGAGGTTCTGTATGAGCTCAATGCTGTCCAGCAATGTCTTGTTTCCACAGCTAGTATCTTCTACAGAAAGGGTGGTTAACCCAATAGCCCATGGCCCATATCCAGCACCCCCAAATCTTGTTTTATGGCCCCTAAGATTCCCCTTCATTTGTTATTTAAAACAATTTTTAAAAAATAATAAGTTAATGCCCCACAGACCCCTCAAATTTGCCCATTTCTTTTATAACATCATATTTTACATAAAATTACCCACTGCTCCCGGAGGTCCCCTTTGTGATGTCAAAAGGGTTTCAGTAGTCCCTTAACCCCACCCTTCTCCAATTTGTGCATTATATGGGAGAGTTGCTGGGCTAGAGGGCAGGCTTTGCGGTTTGGCTCTGAGATCTGGCACAGTTAACCTTTTAGAAATTTTGAAATACTGTACAGGAACGTCCTCAATGAGAAACCCGTGAGAATTGTACTGAATCTGGGGCGCATTTTGCTGAGTTCTTGGGGTTGTGGGGAGCATCTTCTGTCTGGATGTCACAATCGCATGGTTCCTCTGTTCCAGCTGAAGACACGGGAGGGATCCGAGTACCTGATCCGGCATGATTCAGAGTGCATCATCAGCACATGGCAGAAGGCAATTGCTGACAGCATCAGTAAACTGGTGAGAGTGGGGCTTGTCCCATGTTTTTATCACAGGTAGGGCTGGCCCACCCATGTGGCAAGGTGAGGCAACTGCCTCAGGCAGAAGAATCCACAGGGACAGCAGATCCCGATGTCAATCTTTCTTCCCACCCCTCTTTTTCCTTCCTTCACCCCTTCTCTCCTGTCAAGGAGTAGGCTGCCATTTTGCGGTCTGCCTCAGGTGACAAAATGTCTTGGGCCAGCCACGAATGTAAGAAACCTCAGTTGGGTTCCTGTCAGGTGTTTTATGGCAGACATAACTCAAGGGGTTAGCAAGGACTTCCAGGAAGAGGGAAGCATAGAGCCTGGGGGGAGAAGTAGGCCTTATGTTCATCAAGGGGGAAAACAAATGTTGTAAACCGCCCCCCCTTGCCCCCAGTTCTGTGCATCAAGTGTAAACAAGGTTGGTCTGAATGTGACAAAGAGGTGCGCTGCCTCAGGTATCTGATTGTGTGTAATATGAAAGGCTGTGTTGCAGTTTTTCCCCTGGAAAAAATAAAATCAGGAAATTACATGGATTCCACACACACACACACACCCAATGCCATTTGGATCTGATTTAGTATGTTTATTTGACTTTTCTGTTTAGTTTAGTTTTTTAATGGCCATGTTAGAATTTCATGCTGTATGAAAATCTCAGAAGTTATTCCAATGGCCCAATATTTTGAATCTTCTTTCCTAATGAAGTTCAAATAATCACGTTGCAAACCTAAGCATGCTCACTCAGATCTCACTTAAGTTCAAGTGTGTTAAAGGTTGTGGCATTAATGTGGTGTTTGAGTGTTCCATTCAAGCAACTTCAAAGCTTTACTTGGAAATTATTCTTATTTTTGACACCTCAGTGGCACACAATTCTCTTGCATTTTATTTTTTTAAGGCTTGATTTACAACTTTGAAATTGCCCACTTTCATTAGTATTGTATCCATGTGTTGTATTGCTAATTAATTTTGTGAAACACATATTTGGAAAATGGAAACAAATGCAACACTGGAAAATTTCATTGAATAGTCTTCAATAAAACTACATTTAAAGAGAGAGGACGCACACTGAAAAATTTCCATTGTAGAAAATTTCCACCCCATGTTGCTAATTAAGGGGCATTAAATAATTAGTTTATTACGTATTCTGTTTTCTTTTTTGCCATTTGATTTTCTGTCTTGATCGGCTTCTATGTGTTATTAAAAATACTGTGTAATTTTTTTTAACTAGTTTGTGCGTTGGGGAAGGACAGCTCAGTCCGCTTCTGGTTTGTTTATTCATAAGTCATTTCCTTCCTGTTTCTGCATCACCCTGCAATTTTATTTTTTAAAAGCAACCTACAAAAATTTGCATGTTGGGTACACATTTTAAACATAAAATGTGTGTCAATATAATAACGATGTTGCTAACTACGTGTTTATCCAGTAAGGGCAATTAGATTGGTTCACTTAGGAATGTGGACCTAATGAAATCCCTGAGCATCCCTAGTTTGCATATCCTGTGTTATTTGAAGATCTTTAACATTTCTTTATTGTGTCGTTTTCACAAGAATTCAGTCAGGAAGCTTCCGTCAATTGGCAGCCAATTCCTGGGAGATATTTTATTCTGCTAGCCAGAATAATGGGAGGAAAATGGCATCCTTGAGAAGACCTGTACACACCCAGTTACACTTAGGAGTTGTCCACATTTGAGCATTGTCAAGCTGTTTGTCCACCTTCCACCCCCATTTGAATTAGATCAGAGTGGTCCACACTTACACCTATTTAAATTTGTATATGAGGAGCAACTTTGGTCTTTTCCATTCATGCCAGTAGGTGTTCTATTATACCGTGGTACCTCGGGTTACATACGCTTCAGGTTACATATGCTTCAGGTTACAGACTCCGCTAACCCAGAAATAGTGCTTCAGGTTAAGAACTTTGCTTCAGGATGAGAACAGAAATCGTGTGGCAGCGGCGCAGCAGCAGCGGGAGGCCCCATTAGCTAAAGTGGTGCTTCAGGTTAAGAACAGTTTCAGGTTAAGAACGGACCTCCGGAACGAATTAAGTACAGTGGTACCTCGGGTTAAGTACTTAATTCGTTCCGAAGGTCCGTACTTAAACTGAAACTGTTCTTAACCTGAAGCACCACTTTAGCTAAAGGGGCCTCCTGCTGCTGCCGTGCCGCCGGAGTACGATTTCTGTTCTTATCCTGAAGCAAAGTTCTTAACCTGAAGCACTTTTTCTGGGTTAGCGGAGTCTGTAACCTGAAGCGTATGTAACCTGAAGTGTATGTAATCCAAGGTACCACTGTACTTAACCCGAGGTACCACTGTACTGCTTAAGTACCAGCAGAGGCTCTGCACAGATAGCTGTGCAATATCAGGTACATCTCCCTCATTTTGTTCCCTCAGATTTGAAGAAAATGAGAAAACTGCACAAGCAAACCACATGGATTACAGTGGTACCTCTGGATAAGCACACTCTGGTTGCATATCTTTCAGGATGCGAACGCGGCAAACCCGGAAGTATTTTTCCAGGTTTCGCTGCATGCGCAAAAGTGCTAAATCGCACCACGTGTAGAAGCGCTAAATTGCGCCACATACATGCGCAGAAGTGACACCTCCGGTTGCGAATTTCTCGGGATCTGACCAGAGCTCCGGAACAGATCCCATTCACAACTGGAGGTACCACTGTACAGTGGTACCTCGGGTTACAGATGCTTCAGGTTACAGACGCTTCAGGTTACAGACTCCGCTAACCCAGAAATAGGGGATGCGGGTGGCGCTGTGGGTAAAACCTCAGCGCCTAGGACTTGCCGATCGTATGGTCGGCGGTTCGAATCCCCGCAGCGGGGTGAGCTCCTGTCGTTCGGTCCCAGCTCCTGCCCACCTAGCAGTTCGAAAGCACTCTTAAGTGCAAGTAGATAAATAGGGACCACTTTATAGCGGGAAGGTAAACGGCGTTTCCGTGTGCTGCGCTAGTGCTGGCTCGCCAGCTGCAGCTTTGTCACACTGGCCACGTGACCCGGAAGTGTCTTCAGACGGCGCCGGCTCACGGCCTTTAGAGCGAGATGAGCACGCAACCCCAGAGTTGGACATGACTGGCCCATACGGGCAGGGGTAGCTTTACCTTTACCTTTTAACCCAGAAATAGTACCTCAGGTTAAGAACTTTGCTTCAGGATGAGAACAGAAATCACGTGGTGGTGGCGTGAGGCCCCATTAGCTAAAGGGGTACCTCGGGTTAAGAACAGTTTCAGGTTAAGAACAGACCTCTGGAATGAATTAAGTTCTTAACCCGAGGTACCACTGTATTTAACATGGTTTGCTTGCATAGACTCTATAGGACCGCAGTGTCTTTAGTCCCCCCACCCAAAAAAAAGTCTGTTTGGACAAGACTGAGCCCCACAAAAATATATATATATATTGAGGGGCCAGATCTTGTGGCGGCAGGCCTTGTCGGGCCTTGCAGTGGCGGTGAGCCTCACAGCAGTGGCGGGCCGTGCAACATGTGTTGATGGGGGACCCCCAATGTTGGGTGGAACTGGCTGCCTCTACAGTTTTCTGGTTTTGTGCAAATGTGAGGGATCAAAGGAGGAACTGTATTGTTTAGGAATGTGCATGAAATAGTCAGGAGCATGGCTGGAGAAGAAATGAAGGCATTCAGGAAGTAGTGACTGTGGAAAGAAGAGTAGCAGAAAGTGGCGATGGATCCACCTGCCCCAAAACGCTGAAACAAATGTCTGTGACCCTGATTGGAGTGCTTTGGAGCCCAATTTTCCCCCGGTTTACTGGATGATCCCCATATCAGGCAACCCCCATATTTTGCAGGGGACAAGCGTTGAGAGCGGTGTGGACAATGCAAATGAAATGGGGATTCAAGCAGCTGCAAACACACCGTAAAATGTCGTGTTCTCTTCAGAGGTGCCGACAAAGGTGACCCTTGTATTTCTTTCAGCCTACAGATTTCCCTCCGGAAGACAACGAGGAGAATTCATTGGATTTGAGATCGAAGGATCAGCTAGGAAGCAACCGAGAGAAAGAGGGTGAGAAGAAAAGCCCAGGTCAGTGTTAATACTCAGTGCAAATTTTTGGTTTCAAACAGAGAAATGGATTTTTTGAACGAAATTTTCCTTCACAAATAGTTCAAACAGTTTATATTTGTCTATTACAGTATTATTATTATTGTTGTTGTTGTTGTTGTTGTTAATTTACATTGATGTCACATTCCCCCCCCCCAAAAAAAGCAGCTCAAGGCATTATACATTATTCTCCCCTCCCCTCCTTTTTTATCCTTCCGACAAGTAAAAATCCATCCATATACACCCCCAGTGGTGCAGGAGCTTGTTTTTGCACGTCTGTTACAGTGGTACCTCGGGTTACAGATGCTTCAGGTTACAGACTCCACTAACCCAGAAATAGTACCTCGGGTTAAGAACTTTGCTTCAGGATAAGAACAGAAATCGTGCGGCGGCAGCGGGAGGCCCCATTAGCTAAAGTGGTACCTCAGGTTAAGAACAGTTTAAATTTAAGAACGGACCTCCAGAACAAATTAAGTTCTTAACCCGAGGTACCACTGTACTTGGAAGTTTGTCTTGTGCCTGTTGGGAGGGACCTTTCAGCCTGGGGTCTCTGTCGCCACACTTTCCCTTTGCTTGCTCCTCACCTGAGCACGGTCTGGATATTCATTCTAGATAACAAAGATCACGCACCCGCCTCAAAGATTCTGGACAAGGCAAATAGCACGTTGAGGGTCATGTGTGCAGGGCCGCTGCTAGGGTGTGGTGAGGTGGGCCCCCGCCAGGGGCACAGGCGAGGGGCGTGTGCAAAATCAGCTTAAAAATATGTCCATAAATAAAAATATTGATTATTGCCTCATAAGCAAAGGTTTTAAATAGAGGGTGAATTGAATGGGGGGGGGGTTGGAGGAGAGGCAAAAAGAAGTGCTGATTTGTTGGTGACTAGGGATGCAGGTGGCGCTGTGGGTTAAACCACAGAGCCGATCAGAAGGTCGGCGGTTTGAATCCCCGCGATGGGGTGAGCTCCCGTTGCTCGGTCCCTGCTCCTGCCCACCTAGCAGTTTGAAAGCACATCAAAGGGCAAGTAGATAAATAGGTACCGCTCTGTCGGGATGGTAAACGGCGTTTCCGTGCGCTGCTCTGGTTCGCCAGAAGCGGCTCAGTCATGCTGGCCACATGAGCCGGAAGCTGTACGTCAGCTCCCTAGGCCAATAAAGCGAGATGAGCGCCGCAACCCCAGAGTCGGCTACGACTGGACCTAATGGTCAGGGGTCCTTTCCTTTAGGCGGGTGCAATCTGGATGGTTCTGCCAGGGGCGCAAGCTCCACCTAGCTACGGCTCTGCCATGTGTGAACAGGCCCTTGGAACTGTCTTGAAAGAGAAGCTTGCATTTCCTCTTGTACCTCTTCTCTGAAGCATGTGGGCAGGCTCAGCCTTCAGCAGAAAATAAATCTCCTCCTGTACTAAAATGCCAAATTCTCCCCCCTGCAGCCTCCTGGCATTCATCCACCTCTCTCAACTCGGACAGCGATTCCAGCAAAGTTCGCAACAAACTCCTGAGGTTTCTGCAGAGGCGGCCAACCCTTCAGTCCCTGCGGGAACGAGGCTACATCAAAGGTATATTCCTGGAAGATCTAAGAGTCCATTAAAAAAAAAAAATTGGCTTTGCGACTACGCTGATCAGCCAAGGCCAATTTACAGAGGTTTCAGCCTTTGTATTGCAGCTGTTCAATTTAGGTACATTTAGAACACATTTGAAACACATTGCTTCCCTCAGAGAGTCCTGGGAACTGTAGTTTGCCCTTCACAGAGCTACAGTTTCCAGCATTCTTTGGGGGAAACCATGTGCCATTAATGTATAGCGTGTCCCTAGCCTGCGTGTAAGTTAAGAAGGCTTTCATTTGTTTATAGCTGTCTTGTTTTTTCCACAAGTTTCAAGGATGGCAATGAGATATAAATAGAAAGGATATTTTGGATCATGTTTCTAACCTGATTTCTTGCGGGGTTGTTTGCTTCTTTAATCCAGATCAGGTGTTTGGATGCCCTCTGCAAGTTTTGTGCGACCGTGAGAAGAGTACTGTGCCTCAGTTTGTGAGGCAGTGCATCTGTACTGTGGAGAAGAGAGGTACACAGTTCTATGCCCCCAAATAAATTGAAATTATGCGCCCACTACCCCCAGTTTTGTTGCTTGCATGCATTGTACAACTTCAGCAAAACTTGCAAAACTTCTTCCGTTTTGTGCCATTCATATTATCTGGTTTTGCTGAGTCGTGGGAAGTCTTGAGAGTCTTCTTCTTCTTCTTCTTCTTCTTCTTCTTCTTCTTCTTCTTCTTCCTGCTAATCCAGTGAAGGCTGCTCTGTTGAGGCCCATGGGGCACAGCGCCACCAATCTGCCCTCAGCCACCCCCCACCTGCCTGCCCTTCTTGCTTCCCCCTGGACTGATAGTAACATTACTTATTGGCTTCCTCCACCTTGGTCTCGGTGTTGCCCTTGAGCAGGGGTCAACAAACTTACCGTGTCTCCAGTGCCGATCGCGCGGCAGGCTGGAGGGCAGGGGAGCGCGTGTCCATACGTGTGCGCACACGCTATTTCCGGCGCACTTCCGGGTCGGAAGAGCACTGGAAATAGCTTGTGCGCATGTGCACGGGCCTCCTCCGACCGGATGTGCACCGCAACTAACGCTTGTGCATGTGCAAATAATGCTTGCGCATGCACACAAGCTATTTCTGGTGCTCCTCCGACCCGGAAGTGGGCAGCCGCGCAGCGCAGCGCCGGTAAGAGCGGGCAGCAGGCAGCGGGATTCGCCGCGGGCCATATAAACGTGTCCCTCGGGCCTTATCCATCCCACGGGCCTTAGTTTGGGGACCCCTGCCCTTGAAGAACTCAGGAGAGATTTAGATGGCCCACAGGACTTTAACAGAGTTCACTCTCCATATCATTGCCTGCAGCTCCACCTACTGTTTGTGCTCCCTTCCATTCACCCCACCAGTCCGAAAAGGGCACAAGCCCCCACTAACCTAATCCTTGTGGCAGTCAAGATAAGTGTCGAAACATGTGGGCCCGGTGACATCTTGGAAAGGAGCTGAGCAGCAGGATTTCCAGAGGTGCTTAACTCCTTGACGCTTCCCACTGAAGCAAAATATATTGTGCAAAGGAAGAGAGATGCATGCAAATACCCGTAATTTGCATGATACCTTCTCAGGCTCAGACTTATTGTTCGTGGCAATACTTTTGCTCTCGTGGGCCTTTAGTATAAGAGCCATAATTTCTCCTCCCGCAGGTTTGGATATCGATGGACTCTACCGGATAAGTGGGAATCTGGCGACGATACAGAAACTGCGCTACAAAGTGGACCATGGTAAGGGACTCCATAGATTCAGCTTGGCAGAGGACAAAGCTTAGCAGTACAATGTTCCCCTTGTGTGCAGAAGGTGCTAAGTTCAATCTCTAGCATTGTGTGTGTAGAGAGAGAGAGAGAACGCTCTAGAAAGGGTATTGGTTGAATATTTATGTGGATTATTAGTATTGTTATTCTAAACCACTGAGCCACTTGGGCTTGCCAATTAGAAGGTTGGTGGTTCGAATCCCTACAATGAGTTAAGCTCCCATTGCTCTCTTCCAGCTCCTGCCAACCTAGCAGTTTGAAAGCACACCAGTGCAAGTAGATCAATAGGTACCACTGTGGTGGGAAGGCAAACGGCGTTTCTGTGCACTCTGGTTTCCATCACAGTGTCCCGTTGCACCAGAAGCAGTTTAGTCATGCTGGCCACATAACCCAGAAAGCTGTCTGTGGACAAACGCCAGCTCCCTCGGCCTGAAAGCGAGATGAGCGCCGCAACCCCATAGTCTCCTTTGACTGGACTTAACCGTCTAGGGGTCCTTTACCTTTACCTTTTACCTTATTAATTACATTTGTATACCACTCTACATGCAAAGATCTGAGGGCGGTTCACAGCATAAAAGCACAAAATTCATAATAAAAGCAAGATCCCCACACACAATTGTACTGTGATAGAAAAAAATGAACGAGTAACTGTTGTTGTTGTTGTTGTCGTCCTTTTATCCTAAGGCCCCAGGGTTTAAAACAGCTTATGACAATTTACAATACCCGAAATAAGGCGGGTCCTAAAATATATACATCTTAGTTGTCAAAAGCTCTGCAATTCTATGATTCTATGATAAAATCATAGAGTTGTTTCTAGACCTGCTGCTCTCCCACGTTCACAGCCAATCAGAGTTGCCCAAGTGGTGGGACTGAAGCTGGACTCCTTCCACAGCCGCTCTGTGTTGTGACCGAAGGGGATCCTCATTCATCCTCGTATTTTAGATTGGTGCAGGAGTGGCCCTTGCTGTGCCTCGGTCAGGCCCAAACATTCTGGACAAGAGTAATATTGGCTCCTTATTCAGCAGCCCTAGGATACTTGCTTAACCTGTTTCCCTGCCGTCGCTTTTGCAGATGAGCGCCTGGATCTCGACGACGGCCGTTGGGACGATGTCCACGTCATCACGGGGGCCCTCAAGCTTTTCTTCCGCGAGTTGCCGGAGCCGCTCTTCCCCTTCAGTCATTTTGACAGATTCATTGCAGCCATCAGTAAGAGACGTTGCTTTGGGAAGGGGGAAGCTGAGTGCAAGCATCAGAGCATCTTTTGGTCCTTGCAATATTACTTAAAGGTGCATCTGTGAGAGCGGTTCTCTGTTTAGTCAGTGCTTTCGAAAAGACAAGCGCAGGAAAAGAACTCAGCTGCTTCTTTTTAGAGGCCTGCTTCTCTTGAGGCCTTCGAGCCGCAGGGGGAGTCTCTATTTCAGAGCTAAACAGGACGATACCTTGGCTAAGAATCTGTGCCTTAAGCACAGGTTGGCTTTTGCACAAATTTGTCAGTGCAGGAGGGCCAGATCCAGATCAGGACCCTAGTGTGCAGAGTAGGCACCTTAATCCTCCCCTCCCCCTCTGCTATGGTCCCAGTCCAGTTTGGGGAGGCTGTGACTGCAATTTGCATAAGGGAAACAAGTTTTTATGAGAGTACGTTTTTCATTGAAATTTTTAATTGGGAGGGCTGGCCTGGATTTGGGATCACAACGCGCAATAAAGGGTTAAAGCCTGCCCTCCATGATAGAGTCTCAGGATTCCACACAAACACACTCCAGAAATTTGTGAATTAAAAACAACAACCCTGTATTAAAGAGCATAGTAATACATCATGTAGCTTGGACCTCAGAAAGCCCTGTTTGGGATGAGATCACTATCAGCTAGCCTCCTCTGCCTCAATTCCTGCCCACAAAACATAGCATCCTCCTGAGCCAATAATAATAATAATAATAATAATAATAATAATAATTGTATTACTTATACCCTGCCCATCTGGCCAGGCCTCCCCAGCCACTCTGAGAAGCTCCCAACAGAATATAGTGTACCTCAAGTTAAGTACTTAATTCGTTCCGGAGGTCCGTTCTTAACCTGAAACTGTTCTTAACATGAAGCACCACTTTAGCTAATGGTGCCTCCCGCTGCTGCCGCGCCGCCGGAGCACAATTTCTGTTCTCATCCTGAAGCAAAGTTCTTAACCTGAGGCACTATTTCTGGGTTAGCGGAGTCTGTAACCTGAAGCGTATGTAACCTGAGGTACCACTGTACAGTATTAAAAATACAATAAAACATCAAACATTAAAAACTTCCCTAAACGGCTGCCTTCAGATGTCTTCTAAAAGTCAGATAGTTGTTTATTTCCTTCACATCTGATGGGAGGGCGTTCCACAGGGAGAGTGCCACCACCGAGAAGGCCCTCTGCCTGGTTCCCTGTAGCTTCACTTCTCGCAGGGAGGGAACTGCCAGAACGACCTCAGAGCTGGACCTCAGTGTCCGGGCTGAACGATGGGGGTGGAGACGCTCCTTCAGGTATACCGAGCCGAGGCCTTTAAAGGCTTTAAAGGTCAGCACCAACACTTTGAATTGTGCTCGGAAATGTACTGGGAGCCAATGTAGGTCTTTCAAGACCGGTGTTATATGGTCTTGGCGGCCGCTCCCACTCACCAGTCTAGCTGCCGCATTCTGGATTAGTTGTAGTTTCTGGGTCACCTTCAAAGGTAGCCCCACATAGAGCGCATTGCAGTAATCCAAGCAGGAGATAACATGACTTTTGTAGAAACAGAAGAGCTGGTCCGTCTGACACACAGCTAGGTGTTGTGATAAATGCCGGCTGCTGAAAAACAGCAGCCATGTGTGCTTTGTCATCAAATCAAATATCTTTAATACGGTCAATGACCAGCAAGCAATTTATAAAATAAAATATGGCAATATAAGTACTATTGTACTACAGATAACAGTGGAGATATGGCCAAATCACAAAATTGGTACTTATGTTTGTGACCAAGTTTCAACTTTTAAGGTTTTAAGGATTCAATTCAAATGTCACTACTGTTTATCATTGCTCGTCTTATTCTTGTTGCAATGTAACAGTACTTCGCCACAGGCCTGTTGATTTCGGGGTCTTTGTCAGCTAAGAGGTGTCTGATATAGATGTCGTCTGTACTACGAGGTACTTTCCTCAGAATCGGCTCGATCAGCTCTTTTCTTGAGTCTCGATATAATGGGCAATATAAGATGACATGCCCGATGGTTTCAATTTCGTTGCTGTTACAGGGACATAATCTTTGTTCGATCGGTATTTTGTTGTATCTTCCCTCTAGAAGAGCTGAAGGGAGAGCATTAAAGCGGGCCCTGGTAAATGCCCATCGGTGTTTAGCATTATGTAGAACTTTGAGATAGTTTGCTAAATGGGGGCTTTGGGAATCGAATAGGAGTTTATGAGTTATCGGAAGTTGACTAAAGTCATTTTGGGCTTCAATGTCCCTGAGTCTTTCTTTAATTATATTCTTGGCCCTTCCCCGTTCCTCACCTCTCTTCCCAACATCTAGTGAGGGAGATGTCTGACGTGGTATCGTACACACAGACTTGCCCTGCTCCGTATTTTGACTGCTGCAGCGCGGCGAAGAAATGCTTAGCACGATGGTATGTCATGTCAGGCATTTCCCATACTAGACACTACAGTGAAAGGAGAGGAGCTAGTAGATGCACTGCTGGTTTTTGCCCACTTCCAGCCGCAAGTTGCAATATCAAGATTGAGCCCTGAGATGCACACTTCCAATGTCTCCAAAGGCAGTGGCCCCAAGTATTGGGTGGCAGGGAAGTTGGAGGGAGGACTATAGCAGAAGTGCAGGCTTCTACATTTATTTGTACAGTGGTACCTCGGGTTAAGTACTTAATTCGTTCCGGGGGTCCGTTCTTAACCTGAAACTGTTCTTAAGCTGAAGCACCACTTTAGCTAATGGGGCCTCCTGCTGCTGCTGCGCCGCCAGAGCACGATTTCTGTTCTCATCCTGAAGCAAAGTTCTTAACCCGAGGTACTATTTCTGGGTTAGTGGAGTTTGTAACCTGAAGCGTATGTAACCTGAAGCGTATGTAACCCGAGGTACCCCACTGTACAGTATTAAAAATACAATAAAACATCAAACATTAAAAATTTCCTTAAACACGGCTGCCTTCAGATGTCTTCTAAAAGTCAGATAGTTGTTTATTTCCTTGACATCTGATGGGAGGGTGTTCCACAGGGCGAGTGCCACCACTGAGAAGGCCCTCTGCCTGGTTCCCTGTAGCTTCACTTCTCTCAGGAAGTGAAGTATGTACCTAGAGGTATCACTGTATCTCTATAGGGGGCGGGGATGCACTGAATGAAATCTCTTCCTCTGTTTGGCATTGCAGAAATTACAGAGCCCTCGAAGCGCAGCTACCGCTTACGGGAGCTGGTGAATTCTCTACCTCCTGCTAACCACAATACCATGAGGGTACTTTTCCAGCATCTCTGCAGGTGAGCAGCTGCATCTCCCGATTCTCTGGGCTGGCGTAAGGGTGTTGAGTGCGAATTCTGAAGCCCAGCCCTTCGAGTCCCTGTGTTGAGGTTATCCTCCCATTCCACAATCCTCCCATTCAATCTTTGTCTTGCTGTCGCCCAGCCTTTTGCATCTCCTCTCCACACCTGTCGCCAGCATGCTGACTCTCCTGTCCCTAGGCTCCTGTCTGTAAACAGGACTCTAACCCTGTCCACACCCCCAGACAACCCAAACTTATTTATTATATTTTTTACTCCACCTTTCAGACGTTTTCCCTGGGTTGTTTATAGAGGAATTTTCTTTTAGCTGCACTGCTTTGAATTGATGGTCAACGTTCTGTGGGTGATTCTTTCGTTTTTTTCACTGTTGGAAAGCATTAGTATTTGACGATATCGTATGGTGGGTGGAAGAGGGATTTGCACATGGTAGCAAGTGTCTTTTAACCCGTGTTGGAAGACACTTGGACCACGTCCGCACTAGACATTTAAAGCTCCCTTATACCACATGGGACGCGTGTGGTGCTGTGGGTTAAACCACAGAGCCTAGGACTTGCCGATCAGAAGGTTGGCGGTTTGAATCCCCACGATGGGGCGAGCTCCCGTTGCTCGGTCCCTGCTCCTGCCAACCTAGCAGTTCAAAAGCACGTTAAAGTACAAGTAGATAAATAGGTACCGCTCCAGCGGGAAGGTAAATGGCGTTTCCGTGCGCTGCTCTGGTTCGCCAGAAGCAGCTTGGTCATGCTGGCCACATGACCCGGAAGCTGTACGCCGGCTCCCTCGGCCAATAAAGCGAGATGAGTGCCGCAACCCCAGAGTCGGTCATGACTGGACCTAATGGTCAGGGGTCCCTTTACCTTTACCTTTACTATACCACTTTAAACCGCCCAAATAATCCTGGGAACTGTTGTTTGTTCAGGGTGCTGAGAGGAGAACCTCCAATTCTCCGCATAGAGCTACAATTCCCAAAGTTCCCAAGAAAGAGGGATTATTTGCTAAATCACCCCTGGAGGGACCAGGGGTCTCCTAGTGACTCTCGGAACCCGTAACAAAATACAGTTCCCAGGATTCTTTGGGCGAATCCATGACTTTTTAAAGCGCTGTGATACTGCTTTATGTGTGCAGCACAGATGAAGGTGAACTACAGTAAGATGCCACCACCTAGCGAGGATGCCCAGATGAGATACATCTCTAGCTGCTGCATCTCAGTGTCTCTCTTCCCCTTTCACGAAATCCTTCCTCTCTTCCCCGCAGGGTTATAGAGTTCCGGGAGGAGAACCGCATGTCTCTTCAGAGCGTCGCGATCGTCTTTGGGCCAACGTTGCTGAAGCCAGAGGCCGAAGAAGGGAACATGACTATGTACATGGTTTTCCAGAACCAGATTGTGGAGCAAATCCTTAGCCAATACAGCTACATCTTCCCCGAGAGCTAGACCTTCCCAGCAGAGCAAGGAGCCTGGTTGAATGAAGGAGCAGCTGCAATGCAAAGGGGCAGGTCCCATCGCTGTGGGGACGACGGTGTTGCTGGGCAGTGCCAAGACTAGAGACAGTGAAGATATGGGAGGGAGGGAGAGAAACGACTAGCAATAAAACTGTCAATGTAGGATTCAGAATGTCCACGGTTGCCTCTCTTGAACGTTGCGGGTCAGGGATGTGAAACCCTGCTGGACGCGAAAGGAGCTCATTGTTTGGGTTAGTGATCTTCAACTCCCACCCGGAATATCTTTCGCTGAAGGATGTAGTGTGGACAAAATTTGGGGGAGAATGGGAGGGAGGCTTCTGTGGCCAAGTGCACACCATAGTGTTTTCAAGCATCCTGGCTTCTTGTTAAGGAATTACAGGGATTGTCTTGCTACAACTGTCCTGTGAATCTTCAGCTCTTTTGAGCAAACTTTTGTTTAAAAAAGCACGTCCGGATAGTGGGTTTGAATAGAGCCAGAAATCCATTCCAAGGGCATCAATCACCCAAACGCTAGACCATGTGGCACACACCACCTGTCTCTGCCCATGCGCAACACGGAAAATTGCAAGATGCCATCTCGTGATGCAGGTCACAAGCGTTTATGGGAATAATGGCGGGTTCAGCATTGTAGGGTTAACAGCAGTGCATCTTCTGCTCATTCCGGTGCATGAGTGTGATTTTAGCCAAGCGTGAGGGTAACGCTCCTCCTGAGATTTGCAAGTTTGTGTTCAGTTTTCCTCCCCAAGATGGAAGAGTTGATTGCACTTGACAGCCAAGACCAATTTATTGAGATTGCCCTGTTTGTGGTATGCAACTTTGTCCACCTGCAGTGTGCTTCCTATACATGTTCTACCTCTGCAAAAAAATTGATCCCTGGGAGCATCTACCACTGATTGAAGCTTATTTCCACATGATTGCAGGTGTGTGTGCTTGTGTTTCTTTGTGTCATAGAACAAGGCACATGCAGGGCACACACAACTTTCGACGTTGCACGAGAAGCGATATCTGTATGAGAGTTTTCATTGGCAAACTTTCTGGTTCGGTCAAGAGGATTCAGTTTGCATGTCTAGTGCCAATATTGACAGTGAAGAGCTTGTGCTTTTAGCACCAACGGTGATTGAGAAGGCTAGTTTCTGCCATTTGGGAAAAGTTCCGTGGCTTAGATTTGTGAACTTCCTGCTCCAATGTTGCGCCACTCATCTGTCACACTGCTCAACAGCACAAATAAGTGGCCGAGTCTCACACTGGTAACAGTGTGGTCTAATTCTTCCCCATTTCCAGTGAAAAGCGCCATGTGCTGGAAGGCTTGCTGCCTTTTTCATCCTGCCCTCCTGGTTTGGCCACTGCTGCTGGTACATGAATAATTCAAACGTCTGAGTGCACATAGAAGCCCAGCCAGGGGCCCAGGGGCTCTGAGCCATGAGTGTTTAAGGTTGCCTTGTCTTGGGAAAATACTGGATTTCATGGCCTGCCATTCTACCAGGAAGTACTTCGCATGGGAAGAAGAGATGCTGTTAAAACTGTGATACATCAGTGGCTGGCACAGCCAGAACCAGTCTACAATCTACTGAAGGATTGGGAGTGGCTGGGGGGCAGGGGGAGTATCTTGTTTTTTTGCTAAATCAAGCATTTGGGAATTCATAGGGGGCCCTCCAGTTGCTGCTTGTATTGCATTCAACAAAAGACAGAGCACACTCATTGAAAGCAATGAAAGCTCATGTCCATTAACTTAAGGGGGTCTACTTTGAGTAGGGCTAGTAGGACCGCCCTACAGCTGCCATCTTCCTCAACCATTTGCCTGGGGCTGATGGGAGTGGCCACAGGTTGTCTGGCTTAGAGGAACACTGTTCCAAAATGACACCTAACCATGACTTTGGTTACACCGGATTTTGCCAACTTGGTGCCCTTCAGATGTTCTAATAATAATAATAATAATTTTTTATTTATACCCCATCCTCCCCAGCCAAGACTAGGCTCAGGGCGGCTAACAACCAATAATAAAAACAAGTTGATTAAAATACAATTTAAAAAACATGAAAATACAACATTAAAACATTAGGATGCAGCCTCTTCACAGGAGGAGAAAGGAAAAAGAAAGAGGGGGAGGGAATCAAACTGATTCTAAGCCAAAGGCCAGGTGGAACAACTCTGTCTTACAGGCCCTGCGGAAAGAAATCAGATCTCGCAGGGCCCTGGTCTCGTGAGACAGAGCGTTCCACCAGGCCGGAGCCAGTGTTGAGAAGGCCCTGGCTCTGGTTGAGGCTAATCGAACTTCCTTAGGGCCTGGGACCTCTAGGGTGTTGCTATATATGAACCTTAAGGTCCTCCGTGGGGCATACCGGGAGAGGTTTTGAACTGAAACTCCCATCAGCAGCTGGGACTGGAGGGAATTATAATCCAAAACATCTGGAGGGCACCAGCTTGGGGAAGGCTGGTATACAGGAATTTACCATGTGGTCTCTCCAGCATAGGCTAGATCTCCACCTGCGTAGGTTCCAGGACCATGTGGCTTTGGCTGGAGGCATTGAATGTGCAATGGGCACATCTAAGTCCCTCGCACAAAGCCATAAGCGGATGTAGAAAAGTGACTTACCAACCTACCTCGAGGGGGGATGGGGGGGAATTGTATTTATGATTTTGATGAACAATGAAGGAGGAATGTTCATCCTGCTTTTTCACTTGGCTAAGGACAGGATCTTTTCTGTGTCTTCCCTCCCAATCTCACATGATGTAAACCTGTCCGCTTTTCCTGCACTGTCTGGCTTGGTGTCTGACCTTCAAGACACAAAACCTGCATCCCAGCAACCTTTTACAGTCCACCGTAAGTGATAAATGAGTATTGCTATTAAGAAAGTGCCCTTTCCCTATGCACCTCCCATGCAGAAGCAGCTATGTATTTCCAATAATAATAATAATTTATCATTGGAGGGGAGGGGAGGGATGAATTCCTCTCCTCCTTTTTTTAGCCATGTCTTGTTATTTACTGTTTTGTGTCCACAGAGCTCTGGGCTACCAGAGGAGTTGTGTGGTTATAAATCCTTGGGAGAGGGAATAATCACAAATTAGAATGTAACATGCCTCTGATAAACGTTGGCCAAACAAGTTAAATATACTTCTTTATCCCAAAGCATTTCCTGTTCCTGAAAAAGATTTGACAGGAGAGTCAAAGCATTGTTCGCAGGCACAACAAAAATGAGATACTCGAATCTTTTTGTTCAGGAATTGGACAGTTAGGACATCTCCGTTGTGGCATGGGTTTTGAGGAAGCACAAAATGATTCAATCCCTACCACTTGCCTTCTACATTAAACAGGTTTTGATTTTTAAATTGCTGGTCATTTTAGGAACCATCTTAGACAACGGTGGTTGGACCTGAAGGATTTTTTTGTTTTGTTTTTTTGCTGGAAGACAATTTGTGACAATTGATTTTAAAATAAACAATAACCTTTCAATGAACAAAGTGTATGTGTTTATTTGGGATCGTGTGATGTATTGTTTCCCGCCCCCCCCAAGTACCGGCACCTTTTTTTCTAGAGGAAAAGCACAGGTGTTATGTTGAGTATTTAGGATGGAAGTTACGACATCATTTTGAGAAATGAAGCATTCTGTGCATTTGCCTTTGGATTTGCTTTTTTGCATTATAGGATTGTTATGTACTGAGTTGAATAGGATCCAAAAGGCAGCAGTCTGATTGGTCCTAGAACAATAGGATTCAGAATGCAGCAGTCTGATTGGTCCTAGAACAATAGGATTCAGAATGCAGCAGTCTGATTGGTCCTAGAACAATGGGATTCAGAATGCAGCAGTCTGATTGGTCCTAGAACAATAGGATTCAGAATGCAGCAGTCTGATTGGTCCGCAGGAGCCACCCAATCCAACTCCAGGTGGAAGCGAATCCGCAACCTGATTGGCCTTCAGGAGAATCCCAGAATTAGCCAGTCACGTGGGGCCCATTGTGTAAATAACGTCTATAAAGCAGACATTTCGGGGGAACTTCCATTCTCACTAATATGAGCTGAGTAAAGAGCATGAAATCCACACTCGACTCTGAGTATATTTCAAGGATCTTCCTTGTGGCTGAGGCTACAGTCCAGTTAGGGATTCAGTTCTCTTCACTCATTTCCTAATGTGGAATTTGCCGTTCCCAGTTGCTACACATGGAGTCTACCTCAACGTGCATCGCCTTCACGCAGACCTTGAGCTGCATTTTGCCATTTAAATGCCCCATCTCTCATTCTGCGTGCATCCTGTTAGGAGTTGCAACTGTTCCCGCTGGGATGAGGGTCTCCTCCAGCTGTTAGCTGGCTAGCAGACAGGGCCGTCTTTAGCAGATGCGGCGCCGGGGTGCAAATATCCGCCCAGCACCCCCAAATTACCATGCATAGTTGGGGGGCGGTGAAGCTGCGCACTGCCTGACATGGAGGGGCAACTCTCCCCCATGCCGATGCAGGAGCGCAATCCCCACAGAGACTTGGGAGGGAAGCTGCGCCCTGCCAGTCATATGGTTGGCGGGGCACAGCTGGCGTGCGTGCAGGGAAAGGGGAGGCCACCAGCCAAGCCGCGCAGCTCCCCCACTCGCTGGGGCACCCCTGAGAGGCTGGCGCCCAGGCGCAATGCACAACTAACCCCTATGGGAAAGATGGCTCTGCTTGCAGGCCAAAGTGACGTGAATGAATGAATGGATGAATTTATTATTTCAGTCACAGACCTGTTCCTGCTCATACAAAAATCATGGAAGTCAGAAATTGGGATTTGGAACTACCGTATTTTTTGCTCTATAGGACGCACCGGGCCATAGGACGCACCTTGTTTTAGAGGGGGAGAACAAGGGGGGGGGAAATCTCCCCCTCTCTGCTCAGCGCCCCTTCAGCGAAGCGGCAGGAGAAACGGAGCCCCTTCCATTTCTCCTCCCGCTTGGCTGAAGGGGCGCTGCGCAGCTCTCCCTCTCTGCTGAAGCCGGGAGAGTCTTGCTCTCCTGGCTTCAGCAAAAGGAACCTGAAGCCTCCGGAACGCAGCGGGAACTCACGCTGCGCTCCGAAGGCTTCAGGCGGCTATCCCTGAAGCCTGGAGAGCGAGAGGGGTCGGTGCTCACCGATACCTCTCGCTCTCTAGGCTTCAGCGAAAGCAACGCGTAGCCTCCGGAGCGTGGAGGGAGCGCTCCTTCTGTGCTTTGGAGGCTTCACGTTGCTATCGCTGAAGCCAAGGAACCTGCATTCGCTCCATAGGACGCACAGATATTTCCCCTTAATTTTTGGAGGGGGAAAAGTGTGTCCTATAGAGCGAAAAATACGGTACATTGCCATGTGAGCGAGATGAATAAACACCCAGCAATAAAAGACAATGGGTGAGGGTTTACCCCAGCAATATATTTGTCAAAATTACAAATACCCAAATACAGATGGTCGTTCACCCTGGCTAGATTCAACGTGCTGCCATCTGCCTTATTGCAGGGCAGATTCGAGGGTAAACCATACACGGAAAGAGTCTGTCCCTGTGGCTTGATGGAGGTAGAAACTGTCTCTCATGCCTTGTTACGACGACGTTTCTACGGGGACATACGCTCAGCATTTATCTCCCCTGCTATGCAAAAATCTTCAAATGGGTCCAAACTCCAAGGTTTAAAATCTCTGGTAGAGGACAAAGATCCAGAGATCACATTAAAGGTGGCCAAATTCTGTGTGATCGCCATAAAATATGGGAACAAGCTGTGATATCATGATTAAGGTTTTAAAAGACAACTTCAGGTTATATTTTAGTGTATTAAGATCTAATTTATATATTTTAATTGCTGCTGTCTCAAAGCAAATCTAAAAAAATGTAGTGTAAAAACTGACAACTGGGAAACACTGGCCTGCGAACGCTCCAATTGGAGAACAGCCCTTACCAAATGTGTCACAAACTTTGAAGACGCTCAAACTCAGGACACAAGGGAGAAACATGCTAAGCGGAAGGCACGCTTGGCAAATCCACACCGTGATCAACTCCCGCCTGGAAACCAATGTCCCCACTGTGGAAGGACGTGTGGATCCAGAATTGGCCTCCACAGGCACTTACGGACTCGTTAAAACCGTGTTTATGGAAAACAATCTTACTCGGCTACGAGTGATCGCCAAAGAAAGAAGAATGTACAGTGGTACCTCGGGTTAAGAACTTAATTTGTTATGGAGGTCCGTTCTTAACCTGAAGCACCACTTTAGCTAATGGGGCCTCCTGCTGCCGCCGTGCCGCCAGAGCACGATTTCTGTTCTCATCCTGAAGCAAAGTTCGTAACCCGAGGTACTATTTCTGGGTTAGGGGAGTCTGTAACCTGAAGTGTCTGTAACCTGAAGCGTCTGTAACCCGAGGTACCACTGTACTGTCCCTGTTATACCAAATTGCAAATTTAAATGTATCCCTATTGTGTTTCAAAAAAAGGGAGAAAGTGATGTGGTTTTGTCCATGACAATATTAAAAACATGATAAAACATCAACCATTAAACACTTCCCTAAACAGGGCTGCCTTCAGATGTCTTCTGAAAATCAGATACAGTAGTTGTTTATTTCCTTGACATCTGATGGGAGGGCATTCCACAGGGCGGGCATCACTACCAAGAAGGCCCTCTGCCTGGTTCCCTGCAACCTCACTTCTTCCAATGAGGGAACCACCAGAAGGCCCTCGGAGATGGACCTCAGTGTCCGGGCTGAGCGATGGGAGTGGAGACGCTCCTTCAGGTATACTGGACCGAGGCCATTTAGGGCTTTCAAGGTCATCACAACACTTTGAATTGTGCTCGGAAACGTACTGGGAGCCAATGTAGGTCTTTCAGGACCAGTGTTATATGGTCTTGGCGGCTGCCCCCAGTCACCAGTCTAGCTGCCACATTCTGGATTAGTTGCAGTTTCTGGGTCACCTTCAAAGGTAGCCCCACGTAGAGCGCGTTGCAGCAGGCCCGAGGGAGATAACCAGAGCATGCACCACTCTGGCATCAAGTCAAGTTGTGATATGTTAAAATGAATATAAAATTATTGAAATGTATAAAATTGAAAATCATAAATAAAATACATTAAAGTACAGTGGTACCTCGGGTTAAGAACTTAATTTGTTATGGAGGTCCATTCTTAACCTGAAACTGTTCTTAACCTGAGGTACCACTTTAGCTAATGGGGTCTCCCGCTGCCGCCGTGCGATTTCTGTTCTCATCCTGAAGCAAGGTTCTTAACCCGAGGTACTATTTCTGAGTTAGCGGAGTCTGTAACCTGAAGCGTCTGTAACCCGAGGGACCACTGTACTGCCCCTGTTATACCGAATTGCAAATTTAAATGTATCCCTATTGTGTTTCAAAAAGAGAAAGAAAGCGATGTGGTTTTGTCCATGACAACTACATTCGGGCACTTTCTGCCACAGGGAAGGGTGAGCTCAGCATCCCTGCTGAGCTTGCCCCCACCCCCAAATCCCACCTCCATCCCCTTAGCTTGGCCAGCCCACTTTCTAATCTCTCCTCTGTCCATTTGGCATCTGTTCAGTATTATCCTGCTAAGGAATGCAAGCAGGAGGACCTAGTTCACCAGGAGTCAAAGAGAGGGTTGGTGCGGCCGGGACCAGAGGCCCGTCTTCGCTTGGTGGACTTTTGGCAAGGGGGACCCTTTACCCGAGTCTTCCCGCAGGTAAATGGAAAGAGAATAAATGTTTCTGCACAGTCGCTTGCTGGTTTAAGGCGTGTTTGGTTCACTGGGTGAGTGGGGGGCAGTTCTCCCATGTTCTATAGGGTGCAATTAGTATTTTCCCCTGTTGCGTTTTGTTGTTGTTGAGGTCTTGCTTCAAAAGTGGTGGCTGTTTTTACTGCGGGGGAAGAGAAACAGCCAGAGTTTAGTGATTAATCCTCTTTCAAAGAACAGCAGCAAGAAAGAAAACCAGACATTCCACAGGCAGTTCTGAAGGGGCCACTGTTTGCTGCGAATAACTTTTTTTTTTTGCTAAGACAAAATTCCTGAGTGAGGAGGAGGAAAAGGTAACAGCAGCAACAGCAGCTGTGGATCTCTCTGCTCCTTTCCTTCCTTCCTTCCTTCCTTCCTTCCTTCCTTCCTTTCATCTCTTCCCTCCTTAAACTCTTTGGAAAAGGTGGTAGTTAAAAATAGTTCATCATAATAAAATTATTGCAAATTCAGGGAGATAAGTAGCTAGACAACCTTTCGACAACATCTGAAGGCAGCCCTGTATAGGGAAGTTATTCAATGTTGAATGTTTTATTGTGTTTTTTATGTGCGTTGGAAGCCGCCCAGAGTGGCTGGGGCAACCCAGTCAGATGGGCGGGGTATAAATAATAAAATTATTAGCATGATTATTATTATCTGAACTACCCTGGATTTCTTGTGGGTGGAACTGCATCCACAAACAAAGATAAGCAAAAGGGCCATTTTGAAAGCAAAGAGAAAGAGGGAAGAGAAAAAGATTTATCCGTCACAAGCTGCACAGGCAGAGAACCTCCCCTTTTTACATGTTGGGAAATAAAGTAAATTTCTAGCTCTTCAACACCACAGAGACAGACGACGTGGAGGTGCTTAGAATTTCCAGTGGTCAAACGAATCACCTTTCTGTTATAATCAGAATAAATGAAGCAAAACATGGAAGTTTAAGTGTAGTTTGTTCTGATTTGTGCCATTTATCTATAGGCTGAAATATCTGACTTTTCTTAGTGCGTATTTTAGGAATCTGTTAAGCTCTAGACTAGAGACAGGAGGTCAAACAAAATACCCTACACATTAGGTTACATCCTGGCCTCTTGCACTGTAAAGTAGGCCCATAACTTAACACACGCATAACTTGTGCACATTCAGCTTTATGAACTTGGCCAATAAATAAATAAAAAGGGGTTGGGCAGCCAGGAAAAAGACTTTGGCAATTGCACCCACCATTGAACCCAATAACTATAGGCGGTTTTGGCTTTAAGTGTGATCCCCAGATCGTAAGTTGCGGGCCTTACTGTACCTGCAAACTGTGCCCATAATCCTCAAAGCCCCAAAGAAAGCCAAGAAGTTTTGTTACTGCTGGTAAATAAAAGACTGGGCCTCTCCTTGCTTCCGTGTACAGAAGCCGACCAGACTGGCGGCGGCTGAATCTTTCTTTGCCACAGACTGAGCGCACACCATGCATTTAAACCACGTGGTTTTGCTCCAAGAATCCTGGGAACTGTAGTACGTTGAGGGTGCTGGGAATTGTAGCGCTGTGAGGGGTAAACGACAGTTTCCAGGATTCTTTGTGCGCAGGGTGTGTGTGCTTTAAATATACAGTGCTACCTCAGGTTAAATACTTAATTCATTCCGGAGGTCCATTCTTAACCTGAAACTGTTCTTAACCTGAAGCACCACTTTAGCTAATGGGGCCTCTTGCTGCTGCTGCACCGCCGGAGCACGATTTCTGTTCTCATCCTGAAGCAAAGTTCTTAACCCGAGGTAATGTTTCTGGGTTAGCGGAGTCTGTAACCTGAAGCGTCTGTAACCTGAAGCGTATGTAACCCGAGGTACCACTGGATGGGAATTGCATGCCCTCCAACATTTCTCCGATGAAAATAGGGACGTCCCAAGGAAAAGCGGGACATTCCAGGATCAAATCTGAAAGTTTTTGTCAAACCGTAACTGTCCCTGGAAAATTGGGGCACTTCGAGGGTCTGGGATTGCAGCTTCTCCCACCTCCCGGCACTTGATGTTGGAGGCAGCCGCCTCACTTTCCCCACTCGCTTCAAGATGACGACTGGGCAGGCCTAGTGAGGCCAGCAACGCTTCCAAGGAAACACTCTCCTGTTCCTTGCACTGTTTGCTTTGGGCCGGGAAGACGGGGGGGGGGGGGGCAAAGGTCAGCAGCGCCACTGGTGTTTGCTCCATTGCTTTCCTCGCACGGAAGTTCCTCCCAGCAGCGGCGGCGGCTGTGATCCTGCGGAGGCCAGGTGGGTTTCCCAGGTGGGTTGGCTCGATTTGCATGAGGACACTCACCTGGTCCTGTTCCAGAAGGTGCATCACTGTGTGTATTAGCCAAGGGAGGGGCCGTTGGCCACAACCACCTCTTCCAGATCAGCCCTTAAGCGTCATTGTTTGGGGTTGTCGTTTGGGTTCGCACAAGGCATCGGCCCACAGGTGGCCATGTGAAAAAGAGGGGGGATGTGCCTTGTACCTTTTAATAGTTGGGAGAATTTCAGCAGATTTATGTAATCCGGCGGACAGTTTCAGAATCCATCAACGTGCCTGCCTAATTGCCATCGAAATAAAAATACAGTGGTACCTCAGGTTACATACGCTTCAGGTTACAGACTCCACTAACCCAGAAATAGTGATTCAGGTTAAGAACTTTGCTTCAGGATGAGAACAGAAATTGTGCTCCGGTGGCGCGGCAGCAGCAGGAAGCCCCATTAGCTAAAGTGGTGCTTCAAGTTAAGAACCGTTTCAGGTTAAGAACGGACCTCCGGAACAAATTAAGTACTTAACCTGAGGTACCACTGTAAAGGGGGTAATTTTTTAAAAAATAAGCAGACACACAGCGCACCCAAGAAATTTTGCTGCCTGAGATGAAGGACAAGATCGTGGGTCGCTCCAGCTTGTTCCATGTACAGAAGCCAACTAGAACAGCAATTTAGTTCCCCTCCTCAGCATACATCAAAAGCGCTCTCATGTCGTTTTAACTGCCATGGCTTTCTCCATCGGGACGTGGGTGGTGCTGTGGTCTAAACCACTGAGCCTCTTGGGCTTGCCGATCAGAAGGTTGGCGGTTTGAATCCCTGCAACGGTGTGAGCTCCCGTTGCTCTGTCCCAGCTCCTGCCAGCCTAGCAGTTTGAAAGCACACCAGCACAAGTAGATAAATAGGTACCACTGCGGTGGAAAGGTAAACGGCATTTCCGTGCGCTCTGATTTCTGTCACGGTGTCCCGTTGTGCCAGAAGCGGTTTAGTCCTGCTGGCCACATGACCCAGAAATCTGTCTGTGGACAAACGCCGGCTCCCTCGGCCTGAAAGCAAGATGAGCGCCACAACCCCATAGTCGCCTTTGACTGGACTTAACTGTCCAGGGGTCCTTTACCTTTACCTTTTTTTAAACATGGCTTTCCCCAAAGAATCCTGGGAACTTTAGTTTGTTCAGGGTGCTGGGAACGAGAGCTTTGCAAGATGGGCACCCTTAACCCTTGTCTTATAATGTTACAAAAATAAGAATCGGGGTTCCCTGAGGATCAATGCAGATCTCCATGTGCTGCCTTTCTTTTTTTTTTTTTTTTTAAATTTTATTAATTTCCCATTATTTATACATTATATCCATATTTCAATATATCTCATACATTTTGGACTTCCTTCAGCGTCATTGACATTCATTCGTGTTTATATCTTTAACACACATTCCATTCTTTCATATTGCCATTCGTTCCTCCCTTCATACATTATTTCTATTGAACAATACTTATTAGTTCTTTACAGTGCCTCTTTAAATCCCACTAGCGTTGTATTTACAAAACATTTATTCTCCAGATAACCCACAAATTTCCCCCAGTCCTCAATAAACTTTTGATCCTTAGTATATCTGATTTTCCCTGTTAATTTATCCAACTCGGCGTATTCTGTCAGTTTTACTCTCCACTCTGCTACCGTTGGGATTTCTTCCTGCTTCCACTTCTGAGCTATCACAATTCTGGCTGCCGTTACCGCATACTGGAAGAGTTTGCAATCCTTTCTTCTGATATCCTTTCCCACAATGCCTAATAAAAAGGCTTCTGGCTTTTTTACAAAAGTATAACTTAACATCTTTTTCATTTCGTTATAAATTTCATCCCAGAAGTTTTTAACTTTTTTACACTCCCACCATTGATGATAGAAAGTCCCTTCCTTTTGTTTACATTTCCAGCATTTGTTATCTGCCTTATACATCTTAGCCAATTTTACAGGTGTCATATACCACCTGTAGAGCATCTTCATCACATTTTCCCTCAGTAACGTGCATGCCGTAAATTTTATGTTCACTCTCCATAACTTTTCCCAATCCTCCAATTGAATGTTATATCCGAAATCCCTTGCCCATTGTACCATCACTGATTTTACTTCCTCCTCCTTCGTATTCCACTCTAACAATATTTTATACATTTTTGACAGGTTTTTATATTCGTTATTTATTATCTCTTTTTGGAATTTCGATTCCTTTTCCTCGTAACCCCTTTCCTTCACCTCTTCTTTAAACATTTCATTTATCTGAAAATAGTGCAGCCAATCATATGTGAATACTTTAACCTGATCGTAAGATTTTACTTTCCACTTCCCTCCTTCATTAGTGACCATTTCTCCATACTTTCCCCACTTTTCTCTCATGTTAACTTTCTTTACACTTATTATCTCCAACGGGGATAGCCAATGTGGGGTTTTCGGTTCTAATATATTTTTATATCTATCCCAGACCTCTATTAGTGGACCTTTGAAAATGTGGCTACAAAATTCTTTATGCACTCTCTTTTTGTCCCTCCATAGATACGCATGCCACCCAAATCTGTTATTGTGCCCTTCCAGATCTAGTAATTCTTTATTCTCCAACTTTACCCATTCTTTTATCCAACACAAACATGCTGCTTCGTAATACAGTCTCATGTCTGGTAGGGCGAAGCCCCCTCTTTCTGTTACATCTGTTAATAACTTAAACTTAATTCTGGGCTTCTTTCCTTCCCAGACGTATCTAGAAATCACCTTTTGCCATTCTTTAAAGTTTTTTTGTACCTTTTAATATGGGTATCGTTTGGAATAAAAATAACAACTTTGGGAGCACCATCATTTTAACCATAGATATTCTTCCCCAGAGTGATAATTTCAGCCTGGTCCAGACCTCCAGATCTTTTTTAATTCCATTCCAAACCGGGGTGTAGTTATTTTGGTATAAATCGATATTTTTATTGGTAAGCCAGATTTTAACCACCTCAATTTCAGTTCGTTGCTGTACTAATTCAATCTTATCCTGATCTAAGTTTTTAACAATCATTTTTGTCTTACTCTTATTCAATTTAAATCCTGCTAACTTCCCAAATTTCTCCATCTCTTCCAAAATCTCCTTTATACTCTCTATAGGTTCTTCCACTGTTAAGACCACATCATCTGCGTAAGCTTTAACTTTGTACTCATTTGAACCTAATGTTACCCCTTTAATTTGTTTATTTTGTCTTATTGCATTTAGTAGGACTTCCAAAACCGCAATAAAGAGCAACGGCGAAAGCGGACATCCCTGTCTTGTTCCTTTGGATATTTTTATATCTTCAGTAATGATATTATTAATTATCAGTCTCGCCTTCTGTTCTGTGTAGATTGCCTTTATGCCATTTAAAAATTCATGGCCCACCTCCATAATTTCCAAATTTTTCAACATGAAGTCCCAGACTACATTATCGAAGGCTTTTTCCGCATCTACGAAGATTAGGCTGGCTGGTTTGTCACATCTATCAGAAAGATATTCAATTAGATTAACTATACTTCTTGTGTTATTTCTTATTTGCCTGCCCGGTAAAAACCCGCTTGGTCTTCGTGTATAATTTTTATTAGTATCTTTTTAGTCTTTTGGCTAAAATTCCGGCAAAGATCTTATAGTCCGTATTTAATAAAGAGATAGGTCTGTAGTTCTTAACTTGGGTTAGGTCCGAATCTTGCTTTGGAATTATTGTGATAAATGCCTCCTTCCAGGTGGCTGGGATATCTCTTTCCTTTAGAATGTTATTCATCACGTCAATTATCGGAGTCATCAATGTGTCTTTCATTTCTTTATAGTAGCTCGATGTACACCCATCTGGGCCCGGTGCTTTCCTCTTTTCAATTCTTTTATTACTTCTTCTACCTCTTCTCTATATATTGGGGCATTTAGCTGTTCCTTTTGATCTATCGAAATCTTCCTCACCATCTTTTCTTTTAAATATCTTTCTATTTTTTTTTTATTGTTCCTTTCTTTATTCCTGTATAGTTGCTCATAAAAATCCACGAATCCTTTTCTAATTCCTTTCGGGTCAGTTGTTTCTTCTCCGTTTATTTGTATTTTACTAATTGTATTTTGTTCGTTCCTCCTTTTAACTTGCCAAGCAAGCCATTTTCCTGACTTATTGGCGAATTCAAAATTTTTCTGTCTTAACCTTTTGATGTTCCACTCAACCTCTTTATTTATTAACATAGCAAATTGAGTTTGGAGGGACTTTATTTCCTGCATTATCCTTTCATTGTTTGGTTTTTAATCAATTTTTGTTCATTGTCCATGATCTGTCTCAGAATCTCTTTTATCCTTTTTTTCTTTGTTTTTTCTTTTCCACGCATTTTGTTGAATAAAAAGGCCCCTCATTACTGCCTTACTTGCGTCCCATACCACACTTATTTTCACCCCTTTATCTAAATTATCCAAAAAATATTCAAATAGTTTCTTCCGTATTTTTTCAACGAACTTTTGATCATCCCATAGGTTATCATTCAGCCTCCATCTGAAAGTTCGTTCTTCAGCTCCCTTCATCTCCATTTCTATTGGGTTATGATCAGAAACGACTTTGGCCTGGATTTCAATTTTTTGAATTCTTGGTGTCAATTCATTTGATATCCATATTTGATCTATTCTTGACATTGATTGGTTCGGTTCTGAGTGATATGTGAATTGTTTCTCCAGAGGGTGCCTAAGTCTCCAAATGTCTATTAAATTACAATTCTTAGTCATCATAAAGAATGTCTTAGGTAACTTTCCTTCTTTGTTCTTCGTTTTTCTTAATCTGTCCATTTCAGTTGAAACCACCCCGTTCATGTCTCCCATTATTATGATTTTTTGATCCATGTGTTCAAATAGCTTCTCTTCCAATAATCTAAAAAATTCTGTTTTGTTTCCATTTGGTGCGTAAATCCCGACTATTATCAATATTTCACCTTGCCATTTAATACGAACTGCTATTATTCTTCCTTCCTCATCCTTAAATAATTGGTGCGATTCAATTTTATTTTTAATATAAAGTACTACACCTCTTTTTTTCTCTTTATCCGAAGATATGAATTCATTCCCTAACCTCTTATTGATAAGAATTTTCCTATGCTTCTTGGCCACATGTGTTTCTTGGAGGCATATGATGTCCAAGTTCTTCTTTTTTAGAATACGTTCAATTCCGTTCCGTTTTTCTTATCGTTCATTCCATTAATATTCCAATTCCATAATTTTAGCGTCATTTTCCTTACCACTGATCAAATTTGAATTTTAACCTATATCCTTTCTGTCTCTTCTCCTTCTTCCTCTTCTTCGTCTTCCTCAAATTTTCCTCCGTTCTGTTCTTCTTCTTCTCCCAATTCTGGTTCCTCCCTCAGTCTTAGTCCGCCTTCTGCTCCTTTAGACTCCTCCTCTCCCTGTTGAAGCTCTTTATATCTTCTTGTGAACTTTCCTATTTCCTCAGGGCTTGTCAATCTTCTTTTAACTCCTTTATAAAAGAATGAGACACCATGTGCTGCCTTTCAACTAGATCTACTATTTTATGTACACAGGCGTGTGAAAATGATTTGTGGTGCTCCGATATCTTCTTTTTTTTTTTTTTAAAGCAATTTATTGGGTTTTACAATAAAAATAGACATGATGAACAATATAACATTTGTCTTAACATAGTTTCACATTTTCTTTGGACTTCCTCACATCTCCCACTCCCACTTTCATCGTTATAACATTTTATCAGCAATTTATCATCTTGTTTAGATTCTTATATCCCTTCTATGTTTCATAATCTTGTAATTCTCAAAAGGAGTTAAATTTTCACAATCTTATTTGTTTTCTTAAAGAAATTCTAGATTTAGTGGTGCTCAGTTGTTTTAGTCTAGCATCTTATTTAACATTCACTCAAATTACAATATTTTTGTAGATAATTCTTAAATTTCTTCCAGTCCTCCTCTATCCTCTCTTCTCCCAGGTCACGAATTCTGCCGGTCATTTCAGCCAGTTCCATATAATCTATCAGTTGCATCTGCCATTCTTCCAGTGTGGGTAGATCTTGAGTTTTCCAGTATTTTGCGAGAAGTATCCTTGCTGCTGTTGTTGCATACGGTGCTCCGATATCTTCTTTTCCGGAGGGATTAAATGGTATTTTCTTTGCCGTTCCATTGCATGTGATGAACATGTACACCATTGTATTGAAACTGGAGCAAAACCATGTCTGTTCCCCAGGCGTACACACACACACCAAACACCTGGAGTGAGCAACAATTGGTGTTAGGCACAGAGCAGTGAAGGAAAGTAGACTGCAATCCGCCAATTTCTGCAATCCATCAATTGGCCAATTTCTGGTGAACCACCAAGTGCCTGTTCTGCAGGGATTCTTGAAAAGGATGCTGAACATGGTGGAATTTTCACCTGGTCTTGCAAGGCACTTAACAAGCATTAAGCAGGTGCACATACTCAGGAACACTGAATATGGATTAGTCATGCCTTAACATATCAAGAGGGACGCAGGTGGCACTGTGGGTTAAACCACAGAGCCTAGGACTTACCGATCAGAAGGTCTGCGGTTCGAATCCTCACAACGGGGTGAGCTCCCGTTGCTTGGTCCCTGCTCCTGCCAACCTAACAGTTCGAAAGCATGTCAAAGTGCAAGTAGATAGATAGATAGATAATACTTTATTCGGCTATAAGCCCACAGGGTAAAACAAATCAATAGATAAAAATCAATAGATAAAATCAATAGCATTTTACAATCTAAAATATCAACTAAAATATTTCAACGCATAATCTCTAAATGTACCGTGTTATGGCCTTGAAGATAAAGATGGTGCATAGAGTTTTCTGAATTTTTAATAGTCATGCAGCATTCCCTGAAGTCTTTTATATGACAGAACTGAGATCAGGAATCTAGCAACCTGTAAAGTTCTATAAGAGTCAATGTCCTGGAGTAGATAAGCTAGATGTAATTCAGGTGGTTTAGCAGCAATTTCCAGAATGATTGAACTCAGGATCCTTGATCGGGGAACATTATATAAGGGGCAATTAAACAAGATATGATAAAGGGATTCTATCGATTTGTTGTCACATGCGCACAAAACAGAGATTTTACCGTTAGAAAATCTATTGCTCAGCACATTTGAGGGGAACACATTAAATCTGGCTCTAACAAATGCGAATCTATGCGACGCAGCCGATAAAGTAGACAGATATCGAGGTATCTGGGACATATATGTAATGCCCTGATATATCGGGGAACATGTACCTCCACCTGTGGTAAGATTTTGTTGTAAATCTACCTCCTCCAGTCTTTGTTTGATGACCTTTTTAGCTGTAATTAGATCTAAATTAAGTATATCGGAGGAGAGATTCCATAAGACAACAGTTTGGAATGGATTTTTGTTGCCCATGGGCTGGTGAATTCATCTCTCCAAAGGCACTGAATAAGATGGTAGTTTGGCAATTTATGCCAAAGGGACAGCCAATAATTAAAGGCATGTCTCCACATCAGAATCTCAAGGGAGGGGGTCTTAAGTTCTAAGCGAATGGCAGAGTTGCTTACACAGGAGGGTAGTTTCAAAAGGCGTCTTAGAAAAGATTTTGCAATGTCACCAGAGGCAAGAGGTTTACAAAGACGCCCCATAAAGGGACCGCATAGGCCATAGTTGCAACCACTTTTGCACTATAAACTTTTAAGGCAGATGGAACATGCATAGCCCCCTCAGTAAAGAAGAAGCGTAGTATAGCGTAGATAAGGGCTTTCACCTTGTTTTGTAGATATGTGATATGCGCTTTCCATCCCATATTATACTGGAAGTAAATTCCTAGATATTGAAATTTGTAAACTTGTTCAATTGGCTTCCCCTCAAGTTCCCATCTATACAGTTTACGACTCCTGGAAAAAATTAGGACTTTAGATTTGGAATGGTTAATAGTAAGTAAATTTGTTTGGCAATATGATGCAAAAATCTTAAGGGCCCTCCTCAAACCGATTCGAGAATAAGAGAGGATCACCGCATCGTCAGCGTACAATAATAAGGGGCAGCGATAGTCTGCAAGCCTGGGTGCATGAATGGAGGTTTGGGCCTCAGCTAGGGGCGTCCTCATGTCACTAATATAAAGGTTAAAAGATAGGGGCAAGGATACACCCTTGTCGTACCCCCTTGTTTATTGGAACTGAGTTTGTGAGATCGCCCTCAGGTGTTAACCTCACCCTAGCAGCCGTCCCTTCATGTAATTTAATCAATAGCCACAACAGCCTTTTTTCTATGCCCCACTTTGCCAGTTTTTCCCATAACAGCTCTCTAGAGATACTGTCAAAAGCCGCCTTCAGGTCTATAAAAGCGGCACATAGAAGACCATGAGTAGGGGAAGAATATTTCCGCGCCAAATGATATAGAATTATAGCATGGTCAATAGAAGCGCGATTTGGTCTAAACCCGACCTGTTCATGGCCTATCAGATTGGAATCTTCGGCCCATTGGGTTAGTCTGGTTAGCAAGAAGCGAGTGTAGATTTTTCCGATGATTGATAATAAACTGATATTACGATAGTTTCCTGGGTCCTCTGGTGGTCCTTTTTATATATAGGAATTATGATGGACTCCTTCCATGATGTAGGTATCTGGCCCGTGGCATTGATTGTATCAAAGATTTTTGCAAGAATTTTAGCCCACCATATTGGATGTTGTTTAATAGCTTCCGCCGGGATCAGATCGGGCCCTGGGGCTTTATCAGTTTTCAGTTTGGCAATTAAATCTACTATTTCCTCCGGGTCAGTATCTGGCCATATGGGCAAGTTACTTGAGAGAGTATCAGATTGGATGTTAGAGATGTCTGTCTGGGAGAAATATTTTCTTAGAAATTGTTCCCATGTCGGGGCTGGGATAACCGTCAATGGGTATTTCCTCGATCTTTTGTTGATTAAATTCCAAAACCGCGAGAGCTGCGAAGCTTAGAGGCAGCAATCAGCGCTTGCCAACGTCTTAGCTGCCACTCGTGCTTGGCTGACTTCTGAGCCTGTTTGTAAGCAATTTTGGCCTGCAAGTACTCTGGGGGGAGAGTTTCAGCTCCAGAGGCTTTATATCTGTTGTAGATACAACAGAGAGAGAGTCTAGCTTGCTTACATTTGGCTTCAAACCAAGGAGCACCGAACCTGGGTTGATCTCGTTTTGCGAGGTGAGCCGGCATCGTAAAGAAGCTAGTTAAATCTGCAGAGAAGTGGAAGAACCACTCCAGTATCCTATTTGGTTCAGACAGCTCCGCCAATGAAACAATAAGGGATTCGGAGCTATTCCTCTGGAAGAATTCTGCATATTTTTGGGCCTGTTTCATGGACCATTTAATGCCTCTTACTTGAGCTGTGGCATTTAAACCTACATGAATTGGGTGTGTTCCGCTAACCGGGTGCCAGTCAAGCGTTAGCTTGGCCGCTAGAGGTAGGTGATCACTGGATTGTACATTATCTACTTTGAAATAAAAGAAATTTGAAAATAGGTCTTCTGAGACTAGAAGATAATCTAGGACACTATTAGATGTTGTGCCCAAATGAGTGAATTCACCTGGCACGTCCGGAGGGCAGTTGCCATTTAGAATGTTCAAATTCATACGAATGGCCAATTGATAAAGAAGGACTCCCGCTTCATTCACTCTGTTGTCCTTGGATCTTCTTGATGTGAAAGAGATTAAATCAGATTTTGGGTAGGGGGGAGATACCCACCACTTGGCCTTAATTATCCCATTCCAGTTGGCAGCTGTACGTGCATTGAAGTCACCACCCATTATCGATGGAATATTAGGGTACTTAACATAGCATGCCAATAAATGATCTTCCAGAGAATCCCATCTATAATGAAGGTCTAGCAAGTAGATAAATAGGTACCGCTCTGGCGGGAAGGTAAACGGCATTTCCATGCACTGCTCTGGTTCGCCAGAAGCGGCTTCGTCATGCTGACCACATGACCCGGAAGCTGTACGCTGGCTCCCTCGGCCAGTAAAGCGAGATGAGCACTGCAACCCCAGAGTTGGTCACGACTGGACCTAATGGTCAGGGGTCCCTTTACCTTTACCTTTAACATATCAAGAGAACCTGAGGACAGATTCTTGTTTTGTAAAAAAATATCTCACATCACAAGGACTCAGTGGAAGATGGGTAGATACCGCTTGAGACAGTCCAGTTCATCCCCTCATTTTTGTTCCCTTTCATTCTAGGTGGAAGCGCTTCTGAAGTGTCCTAAAGTGTCCTATGTCCTAAGTGTCCTCTTCCCTGAGGGTACAAGGGGCCAGCAATGGAGACGGTTGTGATTGTGGCCATTGGGGTGCTGGCAACCATCTTCCTGGCTTCTTTCGTGGCTCTGGTTGTGGTGTGCAGGCAACGTTACTGCCGGCCCAAGGACTTCTCGAACCATTATGATACCAGGTGAGCGTGCAAATTTTTGAAAAAGAAATTGTTATGTACTGAAGTTCTCACCCTGGGCCAGCAGGGGGATACTGTAGATAGTTATGCAAATGAAGGATCGAAAGTGACGTTCAGTGATTGGATAGTTTGTATGCAAATGAAGGATCGAAAGTGACGTTCAGTGATTGGATAGTTTTAGAAAGTTGCTACAGTTACATTGTTCTGGAGCTCTATATAAGCAGGCTGACTGAGCTCTTCAGTTCTGTTCTGTTCTGGCCTCTGAATAAAGAAGAGCTGTTGGAAGAATCGCTGTGTGGTCTGATATGTTCACCCACAACTTAACAGAAACGGTGAGGATGCGACGTAACGTTCCCCTCCTCGTCCGTCTCCAATTCACGAGACGTTGCACCGGGTGATGCAGACGAACTCTGTGCTCTCAAAATTGAGTGTCGGGATGGGAAAAAAATATTGAATATATGGAAAATAATTGTGTACAGCTGAAAACGCGGGCACCATTAAGATAAAATTCAGCAGTGTAAATAAGTTTTGATGGATGCACTAATGGAAAACCAATTGGTATTGTTTTTGTAAAATATTTAAGATTTAAGATGTGTAAAATGAACCATGGAAAGAGAAGAAGGGAAGTCACTGATATCTGAAGGATGTGAAATGAGTATTTGAAATTGTAAAACTGAAAATTTAATAAAAATTATTAAAGAAGGAAAGAAAATGCTGATCCCAGTTCACCTTTGAACTTTCCCCTCAGGCCCATCGTTGACTTCAGTGGCACCATGGAAACCCAGTCTGAACCTTCAGAACTAGAATTGGATGACGTAGTTCTAACAAACCCACATATTGAAGCCATCCTGGAGAATGCAGACTGGATTGAAGATGCTTCGTAAGTTTTGCAGCGATGCCTCCCCAGGCAGCATAAAATGGGGAACAGGGGAATTTTTTTTTATTCACCCAGAATTGTGACAGGTATTAGGAATCACTTCAGACGTCGTCTTCTTCTTTGGTGATCACTTGTAGCCGAACAAAATTGTCTTTCATGAACACGGTCTTAACAGTGAGTCCTTAAGTGACTGTGGAGGCCAATTGTGGATCCACACATCTTTCCACAGTGGGGCCATAGGTTTCCGGGTGGGAGTTGATCATGGTGAGGGTTTGCCAAACATGCCTTCCTCTTAGCATGCTTCTCCCTTTCATCCTGAGTTTGAGCGTCTTCAAAGTTCGTGACACCTTTGGTAAAGGCTGTTCTCCAATTGGAGCGTTCGCAGGCCAGTGTTTCCCAGTTGTCAGTGTTTATACTACATTTTTAAAGATTTGCCTTGAGAGAGTCTTTAGACCTCTTTTGTTGACCACCAGCATTAAGCTTTCCATTTTTAAGTTCAGAATAGAGTCGTTGCTTTGGAAGACGATAATCAGCACAACATGACCAGTCCAACAAAGTTGATGTTGAAGAATCATTGCTTCGACACTGGTGATCTTTGCTTCTTCCAGTACGCTGGCATTCGTTTGCCGGTGTAATTAATTAATACAACACCAGAGATTGTAGTCTATCTGAGTGTTTAGCACCAGGGTGTGAAACTCAGAGCAGCTGGCTAGCCAGACTTTCCCCATGGAAAATGCTCTATAATTTTTCATGGGGGGGGGAATAGTTGACTTTGATGGGAGAGAGATGAATGGTGAACTTTGAGAAATACCCCTTGCATTAGGAGCAGGGAACCAATGAGATTTTTCAAAATTTGCCGTTTTCCCAATTTTGCAATGCAGCTCCCTAACCAATAATCACGTGTGCAATCAGTCCTGTGATTTTTCCGTTTTCTGCGTTGACTACAGAAGCTTGGATGACTCTTTCAGTGGTATCTGCTAAAATGCCTCATTGCTTCTCTGACTCACTGCTGTGTTTCCCCCCTCTTTCTTCCTCCTTTCAGGGGCCTGGTCTCCCATTGCATTGCTATCCTGAAGGTAAATCCCATTTTTGGGGGTGGGGTGGGGTGGGGACTGCAATGTGAGGATGCTATGCTCGGCGGCCCAGACTCACATCATCCCTCTTTGGACAGATCTGCCACACCCTCACCGAGAAGCTTGTTGCCATGACGATGGGTTCGGGGGCCCAAATGAAGCCTCCGGCAAGCCTCAGTGACATCATTGTGGTTGCCAAGCGGATCAGCCCCAGGTGAGAGTTGCCAGGGGGCGATGCCAAACTGGCGGGAAGCACTAGAGCAGGCCGAGGGAAGGTTTGCATCCCTCCAGGTGTTGTCACATGACAACAACAAGGGTGCAGAGCAGGGGTCGGCAAGGTTTACCTCGCCTGGGCCGGTTCACTCCCACAGAGATTGCTCCATGGGCTGGATTGCGTCTGCGCAGATGCGATTTTCGGCATCTGCGCAGACGTGATTTTCAGCATTTATACCCCTATCTGGCTGGGTTTCCCCAGCCACTCTGAGCATTTCCCAACAGAATATTAAAAACATGATAAAATATCAAACATTAAAAATGTCCCTAAACATGGCTGCCTTCGGATGTCTTCTAAAAATCAGATAGTTGTTTATTTCTTTGACATCTGATGGGATGGCGTTCCACAGGGTGGGTGCCACTACAAAGAAGGCCCTCTGCCTGGTTGCCTGCAACCTCACTTCTCGCAGGGAGGGAACTGCCAGAAAGCCCTCGGCGCTGGACCTCAGTGTCCGGGCTGAACGATGGGAGTGGAGACGCTCCTTCAGGTGTACTGGACCGAGGCCGTTTAGGGCTTTAAAGGTCAGTACCAACACTTTGAATTGTCCTCAGAAATGTACTGGGAGCCAATGTAGGTCTTTCAGGACTGTTGTTATATGGTCCCGGTGGCCACTCCCAGTCAGCAGTATAGGTGCTGCATTCGGGATTAATTGTAGTTTCCGGGTCATCTTCAAAGGTAGCCCCACGTAGAGCATATTGCAGTAGTCCAAGCAGGAGATAACTAGAGCATGCACCACTCTGGCAGGACAGTCTGTGGGCAGGTAGGGTCTCAGCCTGCGTACCAGATGGAGCTGGTAGACAGCTGCCCTGGACACAGAATTGACCTACGCCTCCATGGACAGTTGTCAGTCGAAAATGACTCCCAGGCTGCGTACCTGGTCCTTCAGGGGCACAATTGCCCCATTCAGGACTCTCAATCACCTCTGGACTACAACTCTACTCCTCATCCCTGACCATTGGCCATGCTGGCTGGGGCAGGTGGGAATAGGAGTGCAATGACAGGTTCTCCACCTTTGGTCTGACTAATGACTTTCCATCCAGGGTTGCAATTTTTAAAAAAAAATATACAATTTTCTGCAGTGCAAAAAGCATGGGGGGAGAAACATAAGAGACCCACAGTTTGACATCATTGGGAGCCGCCCAGAGTGACTGGGGAAACCCAGCCAGGTGGGCGGGGTATAAATAAATAAATAAATAAATAAATAAATAAATAAATTGTTGTTGTTAGCTGCCGCATGAAAAGTGTGTGAACAAACTATGGCCATTTCAGTGCACACGTACTGCAGAAGTACTTTAATGTTCGATGTTTGATGGTGTTTTTATATTTTGCTTGAAGCCCCCAAGAACGGCTGGGACAACCCACTCAGAGGGGCGGCATATGAATAATAAAATTGTGGGATGTGAAACACAAGAGCAGTCAAGTACAACATTCCTAGAGTGAACCTGTTTACACATGGGGAGGAATGTTTGTCCAGCCAGCAGGTAAACTTCCTGTTTCCTTCTGAGCTGGGACAGACTTCCTCTGCATGTGACTAGAGGTGGGTGTGGCCTCACCTGTGCAGGTAACGACAAAAGCACAGGGCAGGGCAGCCATCTCTCTCTCTCTCTCTCTCTCTCTCTCTGACTACATGCATCGAAGAAGCAACATCTGCTTAGCCAAAGATGCTCTCTTGGCCTCCAGCCAAGAGAGGACAAAAGGACTGTCTCTTTATGAGATAGTTTCCAGGTGTATGTTACTTTTCTAAGCTAAGTCTGCCTTCTGGGATCCGATTGTGAACAGAATATGAGTAAACTCTTTTTATACTTTTATAGAAGACTGTGTCGTGTCTTATCTTTTATGAGGGAATAAGGGGGAAATACCAGAACAGTTATTATATAGGCTTTAGCGAGCCTGAGCAAACGCATCCACTGTGAGTTTAAAAGGGGGAATGTTACTCTGCTAAATTGTGAACTTGTTAACACAAGTTGGAAAGGCTATAATCAAACAATATATCCTCTCCTGCATCCCTGAACATTCCCACAAAAATTAATAGTAGTAGCAGTAACATCAGTCTGCAGATTCTCCTTTATTCCAGCCCACTCCTTCCCCATCAACCTGAGTTGTATTGGGCTAGGGCATATTATTTATTCTCACACTCCTCTCTTTCTTAATGTGCCTGTAGTAATAATAATAATAATAATAATAATACAACAACAATAATAATAATAATTTATTATTTATTTATTTATTAAAATGATATTTATTGGAAATTTTTTTTTATAAAGTTACAAAAAAAACAAAGTAGAAAAAGAGAAAAACAAACCACCTCCAACAATACAAATACAAATTCAAAATAAGAAAGAACAGAAAAAAACAAAAATACACCACAAACATTTAAAAACATTTAAAAACAAATCCATTATTCTCAAATCCTCAACTGTCATTACCTTCTTTCTTTGACCTCCTCCTCCTCCCTTTTTTTGTATCCTAGTTGTTAATTATCACAGCAAACCCTTTCCATATTTCATAATATTCTGTCATTACATTACCTTAAACTATTTTAATCTTATCTTTCTATAAAAAAAACCTTGAAACTTAAAACTTAAATCTTGTCCTTACCAACTTCTCATAACCATAATATTCTTTCATAATTCTTTAAACATTTTTACTAAAGCCGAGTAATTTCATTCCAACATTTTTCTAACATTCATCAATTTTATAAAACAGTCCTAATAGTAAAAAAAAGAAATAAAAACAAATCCAATCTTCATCCAGCATCCCTTCCTCCTGGTCCCGGGTTTTGTCAGTCCTTATTATCCCATCGATCTAGCGCATTAACCTGGCAACCTTATATCCGAGGCCCTTAAGTCTCTTCCATGTCCCTTCCGCAGCTCTTCTTCATATTTGTGACTGTATTTTCCCTTGTCTCCTGCTCGTGGGAACTCCAGCTTAGCAATATTTTTGGCCCTTCTCGACAGATCAGCCCCTTTTCCATATTCGACACTAAATTCCATGTGGTATTTAAAAACATGTTTCAAAAACCCTCCAAAATTAAGAGCCCCCGCAGTCCCAAACACCTCACGGCCCATTGCCAGATTTGAAAAGTCCAAACATCCCTGCATAGGGGGGTCAATCCAGCCCCCCATTTCCAAGCCAAACCAAACTTTTTCTTTCCAAATCTGGCTTTTTCCAAGTTCATTTGTCAAATCCGAAAGCTCATATTCCTGTTGGGCCTGTTCTGTCAGGACACACTCCTGATTTAATTCCTGGGTGGGCTCCACATATTTTCCCAGTGTCTGTTCAAAGTTTCCCACTGCCTGTTCAAAATTTCTAATTGAATTCGCCATCAAATTCGTCTTCTCATGTAACTGTTCCAGTAGAGCATTTGTTTTATAAAAAGCACACAACAGAGCTTCTGAATACATTGTCCTGCAAGGTCAAATGTCTGTTCCCACGATTGTAATCTGTAACAGCTGCCGGCTCCCTGGAATTAGTTACAGTTTCACAGTCTCCCTCTAGGGGGAAAACTTCTATTTGTTCTTGCAACAAAGTTTTCCTTTTTGAGATATTTTGTCAATATTTGTTCCTTTAAACTGCGAAAGGAAACAGTGGAATCACTGTGTTTCTCTTCTTTTAGCTATCTGTCAAAAACGTTTGTTTCCGGTCAATGAGCTTCAAACGTCAGTCCTGACACCCCGCTCCAGGATCAGGACGGTGGAAAGTTACTTTACTTTAAATTCACTTCTGCAGGTTTAAACAGTCCGAAAAAGATCCCCCTTCTTCTCCTGCTGTCGAAGGGGGGTTCCACAATTTTAAATGATGAAATCCAATCCTTTAGAGGCGATTTTCTGAGCTCTTGTTTATGTTGTCTTTGCTTTATTCTGTCTACAAAAGAACGGAAGGCTGACTTCCTGTTTAGACCTTCCCGTTTCAGTACCAAATTGAAATAAATTTTTAAGTCCAATTCCTTTCTGCTCGCAAGTCCTTATTTAAAGTCCAGTTGTTCAAAGTTTAAGTACTCACGGGTGCTTGTTTTAGAATCCAAATTGTCCCAGGAAAAAGGCAGCGCTCTCCGGCAACGGCTATGTGGCTTCGCTCCATGGAAATAGCAGTTGACTCACAGCACCGCGCCACTTCCCCCTCTTCACTTCGGAGCCCGTTAGTGGGTTCCTTTGCGGGTTGGGGGGGCGCTAAAGGTGCCCGCCGAGTCCCATGGTCACAGGCTTCATCCGCCTGTGATTTTTAAAGGGGTCCCCGCTTCACCGTAGCGGAGAAGACCCGTTTCGTGCGGAGCTAGTCCCTCCAGTTCAGAGGGAGTCCTCCATTGCCGATGGCGCCACCCCGGAAGTCCAATAATTTATTATTTATACCCCACCCATCTGGCTGGGCTTCCCCAGCCACTCTGGGTGGCTTCCCAAAAAAATATTAAAATACTGTAATACATCAAACATTAAAAGCTTCCCTTCAGATGTCTTCTAAAAGTCTGGTTGTTGTTGTTCTCTTTGACATCTGGTGGGAGGGCATTCCACAGGGAGGGCGCCACTACCGAGAAGGCCCTCTGCCTGATTCCCTGTAACTTGGCTTCTCGCAGTGAGGGAACCGCCAGAAGGCCCTCGGTGCTTGACCTCAGTGTCCGGGTAGAACGATGGGGGTGGAGACACTCCTTCAGATATAAGTGCCTGTAGCTCTTATTAATCCAATACACACCACTTGTGTTGCAAAGGGCCTTGAAAGAGCCGTCTCTTCCCCATAGACGATTGGGTTTTCTTTTCCTCCCAGGGTCGATGATGTGGTCCGATCCATGTACCCACCACTGGATCCCAAACTCCTGGATGCCAGGTGAGTAGGCAATGTCGGATAGGCGAGTTGTCAGGAATTGTGCAACATCCTCTTTGGCAATCAATCATGGCCGAGTAAGATTGCCTTCCATGAACACGGTCTTAACAGTGAGTCTGAAAGTGACTGTGGAGGCCGATTCTGGATCCACACGTCCTTCCACAGTTGGGACATAGGTAGGGTTACCGTAAGTGAAAATCTGGACACAGAAGTTGTTGAAGTGTTTTGGGGTTGTGGTTTTGTTTTTTTTTTGCTTTTTTGTGTTTTTTAGCTATTTTTAAAGGAAAATTGCAAAAATAAAACCCTGACACTTCCCATACGGGCTGCAATGACGCCAGACATTTTGAGTGCTTTTCAGAAATTCTGCCTGGGTGCCATTTTTGAAGGACAAAACCCAGAGATGTTCAGAAAATGTCCGGAACATATTGGAGCCCTAGACATAGGTTTTTGGGTGGCAGTTGATCACGGTGAGGATTTGCCAAATGTGCCTTCCTCTTAGCTCGTTTCTCCCTTGCGTCCTGAGTTCGTGGTTCTTCAAAGTCCATGACACCTTTGGTAAAGGCTATTCTCTAAAGGGACGCGGGTGGTGCTGTGGTCTAAACCACAGAGCCTAAGGCTTGCGTTCCAATCCCCGCGATGGGGTGAGCTCCCGTTGCTCGGTCCCTGCTCCTGCCCACCTAGCAGTTCGAAAGCACATCAAAGTGCAAGTAGATAAATAGGTGCCACTCCGGCAGGAAGGTAAATGGCATTTCCATGCGCTGCTCTGTTTTGCCAGAAGCGGCTTAGTCATGCCGGCCACATGACCCTGAAAAACTGTCTGTAGACAAATGCCCGCTCCCTTGGCCAGTAAAGCGAGATGAGTGCCACAACCCCAGAGTCGTCCAAGACTGGACCTAACGGTCAGGGGTACCTTTACCTTTTTATTCTCTAATGGCCTTCTTGAGCCACATTCATACCAAAAGTTCGTCCCATGGACTTTATTGTATTTTTGTTTTGTTTTATCATTATGATGAGTGTTTTCCGTTATAGTGTTTATCATTATGATAGTGTTATAGCATTTTATGAATTGATTGTTTCGGTTTTACGTCATATATCACTTTGGAATTTATACTGTATTTTTTTTTTTTTAATTTAAATTGATTTTACAACTTCATTCACGCTCATAATCACAAATAATGGAAATTACACAAGATTCTTCCCAATCTCAAGACTTCCCTCCTCCCCTCTGTGGGTTCTTTAAGTAATTTTTTAAACTGCATATTATAAGTCCATCTAATTGACAGTCCTCCATTGTTTCCCAAATCTGTGCAACATTGCAAGAGTTATTTAAAACTTGCCAAAGAGTTCAAGTGTTTACAGTGGTCTTTCAAATATGATGTAAATTTATCCCATTCTTTACTGAAGTTTTGATCCTCCTGGTTTCTGATTTTCCCTGTTAATCTTGCCATCTCTGCGTAGTCCAATAATTTCATCTGCCAGTCTACCCTAGATATCTTACCATCTTTCTAACTCTGGGCAAGAAGCATCCTTTCAGCTGTTGTAGCATACATAAACAATCTTTTCAGTTCCTTTGGTATCTCTGCATCTACGATTCCTAACAAATAGGCTTCTGGTTTTTTAACAAAAGTTATTTTAAACCTTTTTTTTTAATTCATTGTAAATCATTTCCCAGAATTCCTTTATTACTTTACAGTTCCACCACATATGACAAAAGGTGCCTTCCTTTGCCTTACATTTCCAACAAACATTTGAACTTTTCCTGTACAATGGTACCTCGGGTTAAGAACTTAATTCGTTCTGGAGGTCCGTTCTTAACCTGAAACTGTTCTTAACCTGAAGCACCACTTTAGCTAATGGGGCCTCCCGCTGCTGCTGCGCTGCCACCGCACAATTTTTGATCTCATCCTGAAGCAAAGTTCTTAACCCAAGGTACTATTTCTGGGTTAGCGGAGTCTGTAACCTGAAGCGTCTGTAAGCTGAAACGTCTGTAACCCGAGGTACCACTGTACATTTTTGCTAATCAGAGTTAAATATCAGCGATACATCATTTTCATATAATTTTCTTTCAATTTCTTTCTTTTAATTTTCTTTTAACGTATAACACACTGTATTGAATTATTTTTAATCCCGTGAACAAACAACAAATACAGTGGAGCCCCGCAAGATGAATGCCTCGCAAGACGGAAAACCCGCTAGACGAAAGGGTTTTCCGTTTTTGAGTTGCTTCGCAGGACGAATTTCCCTATGGGCTTGCTTCGCAAGACGAAAATGTCTTGCGAGTCTTGAGATTTTTTTTTCGCTCCCCCCCCCCTTTATCTAAGCCGCTAAGCCTTTAATAGCCTTTTAGCAGCTAATCCGCTAAGCCGATAAGCCTTTAATAGCCGCTAAACCACTAATAACGCTAATCCGCTAAGCCGCTAATAGGGTTGCTTCGCAAGACGAAAAAACCGCTAGACGAAGAAACTCGCGGAACGGATTAATTTCGTCTTGCGAGGCACCACTGTAGTAATTCCTTTTCTGTGCCGGGGGCAGGGGAATGGGGGCATTTGGCTGGATGGGTCCCGCTCCCTCCTTATTCTAACCAGTCTCCTTCCTTTTGAAGGACAACTGCGCTGCTCCTTTCCGTCAGCCACCTGGTCTTGATCACCCGCAATGCCTGCCACTCTCCCAGCCGCATGGACTGGATCGACCAATCGCTGTCTGCAGCAGAGGAGCACATGGCTGTGTTGCGCGAGGCAGCCCTCGCCTCTGAACCGGAGCGCTCTGGGCCCAGCGGCGATGCTTTCCTGCAGGAGCAGTCGACGATCTGAGGGAGGAAACCGAAACCCAGAGCTCCTCGGATGAACTGCTCCCCGACGTTTCCTCCTCTCTTCCCCTCATCTAGCGCTGCGGTCGTGAACGCGATGCTTGTGCCGCCTGCCGCATAGTGTAGTTTTGCTTCACGGTTAGCACCCCAAGCGATACAGGACTGAATCTCCGCTCCCTTGATGTCACAGTTCTCTCCCATGTGTGGAATTGGTGACACTGAGGTGGTTTTGATGCCAGGGGATGCTGTTGGTGGTGGTTGTTTTTTCCCCACAGCGAGAAGAAAAACGTTATTTAAGTACAAATAAGGCCACATAAAGGGGTGCTGTGTCAAAAACTGCAAACCATACGGATTGCAAAGAGCTACTTTAGGTATGTCTGGGGTTTGAGGGCATGACTAGTAGGATTTCTGGCTTTGCGTTATTATCCGAGACCTTTATTATCACAAGCTGCCTTTAAAAGCTCCCTCCATTTCTGGGAATGTAGAAATGTAGTTGGATTCTAAGGCCTAAAGTTTTATTTATATACTCTGAGCCTCCTACAATCCAAACTGAGGACTACAGAAAGCTGGAATGTACCACTCTTCTTCTTCCAGTACATTTCTGGTGCACAGAACCGAAGTTTAAGTTTAAATTGTGTTGTTGTTTTTTTAACGTTTAAAATGTAAGCAGATTCCTCCCTAATACAGCTTATGGCACTTCCACATGGGTTGTTTTTATTGAGCATTCCTCATAGAATTATAGAGTTGAAAGGGACCCCGTGTCATCTAGTCCAGCCCTCGGCAATGGTGAAATCTTGATTTGTTCACTTACAATTTGCGCAGAGGTTATATGACATCACTTGAAGTCCTGTGCGATTGTCTTTCACTTTCTGTACTGAAAAAAAGTCTGATAAGAAGAGAAGGAATAGCAAATTGCACTGGAAAGAAAGTGTGGCAAAATAACCACTGGCTTGTAATAACCACTGGATCTTTGTGTACAAATCAGAATGAATACGCAATAAACAGCCAGTTGGATTTCCCCTTTGTCTAAATTGGCTTTGTGCAAGAGGTTTTTCCTCCTATGCAAAGGAACATGTTTATACTTTTGGAATAAACCTGTCAGCATTTTTATTCCTTTGGAACTGTATATGCATAAGTTTCTTGATAACATATTTAGGGTGAGTGCCGCCCATAGGCCTAACCATTTGGCCACCATGCCTTGCAAACAAAAGGGGCCTTTTCAAACTAAAAGGGCCCTTTTCAAAATATATATTTGGGGAATAAAATATCTAGGGCAGCTCTTCAGATCATCTTTTCCCCATCAAATCTGTGTATGTCCCAGTCTGAAAATGAATTTAAAAAATGAATTTGCTCATGCTCGAGTGTAAAATGAGAGCTGAAGAGACTGAGACCCATTCCATGTCATGCTATCAGATGCAGATATCGCTCCACCAGGACCAGCCCAATACATTTAACCATTTATATTTGAGCATTAAACACATCCCTTGAAATTCAAAGTACAGGAGTAAATAAGGCAGAAAACCCCACCAACACCTTTCCTTCTCCGTTGCAGCTAAACTACAACTGTAATAAATAAAATAATTAACAATCTGCTTCACTTTTGTGACAGAGGGGGTGGAAATGTCTTCACGCAGTGGTAGGGCCATACCAATACTAAAATCTAGATGTATGTGGACAGTTTATGGCTCAGTGAACTCTATACATGTTCAGAGATATTTGTTACCAATACTGCGAATTTTCAAGAACATCCACTATCCCTTCTTTTTAAGGAAGATAACTTCTCTCAAAACCACACACCTTCCTAGCTTGGGCTGTGCAAATGTTTTCATCTGTTGACTTGACGCTCCTATTTTTTCTCTTCATTCAAACTGTTCTCTTGAAATAAAATATGGGAGTTCCCATCACCTAAACTTAAGAGTGCTTCCAGACATGGGAGTCCTATTGCAAATAGGTGTTTGACATCCTTTTCTTTTTCTTTTTAAATGACAGGGTATTTTGTGGAAAGTATAAACCTGGATTAAAGGTGGGAGATACAGGCTGCTGTTTAGGTGCTTACGATGGGGGGCGGAGATGCTGTGAAAAGATTGCATGCAAGAATGACACCAACAATAAATACCTATCTGGAACTACTGCTTAGTCAGGAAAATAGTTATCCAAAGGTGGGTCAGCACCATTTATAGACTTTGACAATGCTATGTAATTTGTTAAGACCTACTTTATTACAATGGGACACAGGTGGTGCTGTGGGTTAAACCACAGAGCCTAGGACTTGCCGATCAGAAGGTCTGCGGTTCGAATCCCCGCGATGGGGTGAGCGCCCGTTGCTCGGTCCCTGCTCCTGCCAACCTAGCAGTTCGAAAGCACGTCAAAGTGCAAGTAGATAAATAGGTACCACTCCGGGGGGAAGGTAAACGGCGTTTCCATGTGGTGCTCTGGTTCGCCAGAAGCGGCTTAGTCATGCTGGCCACATGACCCGGAGCCAGCTCCCTCGGCCAATAAAGCAAGATGAGCGCCGCAACCCCAGAGTCGTCCGCGACTGGACCTAACAGTCAGGGGTCCCTTTACCTTTTTACTTTATTACGGTAAAATTTGCAACAGTTCTCTACAGAACATTGCTGTTGTCCCAAACTGTTCTTAGCTGTGTCTGAAACAAAATAATATATTGTACTGGATGGGACACCTGGATGTAACAACATAGTGTGATTTACTTGGAAACTTGTGTTGAATTAATGGCCCCATACATTTAAAGCAGTATTATGCCACTTTAAAGAGTCACAGCTTCTCCCAAAGAATCCTGGGGAACGTAGTCTCTTAAGGGCGCTGAAAGTTGTTAGGTGACACCTGTTCCGTTTACAGAGCTAGAATTTCCAGAACGGTTTAGCAAGCAATTCCTCTTCTCTGGAAACTGAAGCTGTGAAAGGGGAATAGGGGGTCTCCCAACAACTCTCAGCACCTTTAAAGAAACTACAGTTCACAAGATATTTTTTTGATTTTTTTTTATTAATTTTCCAAAATTTTAAACTAACAAACAAACCTACATCATAACTGTACTTAATCCAATCTTAATAACATTGTTAAGTGACTTCCTCAAATTCCCTTGACTGAATTTCAATATATATCATTGTAACGGTTTTCCAAAACAAAATCTCATAAAATTTACTTAGTCCTCTTAACATCTTTGTTTCTTTTCATCTTTGCTTTAAACATAATATTCTATAACTTCACATATTTAAATCCTTATCCTATTTTTTTTTGCAAGTATTTCTAATTAATTTCTAATTTCTAATTAATTTATCTTAGCATATTTAAGTAAATAATCTTTGAAGATTCCATTCTTCCTGGTGCTCCTCCTCCTTCTGGTCACGGACTCTTCCGGTCAGGTCCGCTAGCTCCAAAAAGTCCATCATCTTCATAGTTCTCAGGATTTTATGGGGAAAGCCATGATGGTTTAAAGTGGTATGATACTTCAAACATCCCATGCATTTTTGTAAACCACTTTGAGGGTTTGTTTTTTTGCAATCAAGTGGTGTATAATTTTTATGAAATAAATATAAATAAATAAGATGGGGTGGTCCTAAGCTGCATCTGTTTTCAAGCAGTGCCAACAACCACGGTTCTGTTATCATCACTGCCATCATGCCTCTTTTTTATTATTATTACATTATCCATGCCTATGGTAGCTGAAGCTGAAGCCCAGCAAAATCATCATATATCAGGCCTTAGCGAGGTTGCACATGTTGCCTGTACATGTTAAATTCTCAAAATTATGGTGGGGGGTGATGACAATTCTATAACTGTCACACAACTCATAGTTCTGCGGTTAAATAACATCTGTTGATGAAATTTTATTGTAAACACATTTGCTGTACTGTATTTCCCCCTCTGAACTTCCTTGCTAAAAAACCCCCCAAAAAACCCTTACAGTTGCATGCAAATTAAATGCATCTCATTCTGTTTCTTCCAAGCACACTGCTGGAAGCTGCGGTGAAAATTTGAAGGCGACGGTGAGTTTGGGTTTGTTGTTGTTTAGTTGTATCCGACTCTTTGTGATCTCATGGACCAGAGCACGCCAGGCACTCCTGTCTTCCACTGCCCTTAGGCAAGTGCTTTTCTCAGCCTTGCACACACAACCCGTAACGCAGGGGTCAGCAAACTTACCGCGCCTTGAGCTGATGTCTCCAGCGCCGATTGCGCGGAGGGCGAGGGAGCGTGTGCCCTTATGCGTGCGCACACACTATTTCCGGCGCACTTCCAGGTCGGAGGAGCACCAGAAATAGCTTGTGTGCATGTGCATGGGCCTCCTCCGACCCAGATGTGCACCAGAAATAACGTATGCGCATGCGCAAGTAACGCATGCACAAATAACGCTTGCGCATGTGCACAAGCTATTTCCAGTGCTCTTCTGACCCGGAAGTGGGCAGCCGTGCAGTGCAGTGCAGCGCCGGTAAGAGCGGGCGGTGGCGCCCAAGAAAGATGTTAAATTATTTTTGTATGTCACAACGGCCACCTGAATATTACTTGCTAAAAATTGGAAAACACAAGAACTACCAACAGTGGAAGATTGGCAGATGAAGATGATGGACTTTTCGGAGCTAGCTGACCTGACTGGAAGAATCCGCGACCAGAAAGGAGTTGCAAGAGGATTGGAGGAAATTTAAGGACTATTTGAATAAATATTGTAATATAAAAAATTAGAAATTACTTGAAAGAAACAAATAGGCCTAGGATTAAACTAAGTTATAATTAAATAAATGGGATTTAGAATGTTAAGAAAAGTAAATAAGATGGACTGTAATTGGAAATTGTTTTAGTTTAATAATGACATTGGAAAGCTGATACTTTTAATTACAAAGAAACTCAGAAGGGAGAGATTTGAGGAAGTTAACCAAGATGTTTAAAAAGTTGGATTTGTGAAGAATTAAGTTTTTTGGTGTGTTTTTTTCTGTTTTCATGTATCATTTTGCTTTGTGGTTTGTGTTATCACTGTGGAAAATCTAATAAAAAATCTATTTTAAAAAAAAAGAGCAGGCAGCGGCGGTCGCCGCGGGCCGGATAAACGAGTCCCTCGGGCCTTATCCAGCACTCAGGCCTTAGTTTGGGGACCCCTGCCATAATGCATCGATTTATTTATTTTTAATCCAAAGCATTTCTGCACTCCCATATCATAAAATATCAGGGCAATGTACAGCTAAAAATAAAACACCCTTTAAAAAGAATCCAAATAATCATTAAAGTGGCTGGTTAATCGGTTTAAACAGCTGCAAAGACCTGCTGGTGTAAAAAGATTCTCAAGAGCTGTCCTAAGGTCCCAGTCTGTGGAATGCTCTCCGCAGGGAAGTTGGCCTGACGCCTTCATTATACACCTTTCAGGCGCCAGGCAAAAATGTTCCTTTTTAACCAGGCCTTTGCTTGATCTGATTGACATCCTATGCCCTTTTTAAAATATGTCTCTTTTTTCTTTGGAGGGGGATGTTATTGGGTTGTTATTTTTATTTTGATTAGATATTTTGTGGTTTTTATGTTGATCTTTTCTGTGAACTGCCTTGAGACCTCCTGGTATAGGATGGGATATAAATTCAGTAAAAAAAATACATGTATGTAAATACATACATAAAAGCAATATGAATACTCTGCTCCCATCCAAAGGCCAAGGATATGGTATTTTTTAGTGACTGCACGACAAGCAGGTGTGATAAGGCCTCACCTGTTGGATTTCTTTCCACCACGCAGCTTAAAAACAAAACGAGCCTTGCATGGAAACAAAGGGAGCAAGGATTAATTAGTCGATCGACGAGGCCAGAATTTTTATTTATGACTGTGGCTGCTGAACCTGAGTGTAATTCCAGGTAAATTCAGGCAAGAATACAAAATTTGAGAATATGGCACAGTAGTGCATTGCGATCCTGTAAGCTTCCTCCTGCTCAAACGGACATGTTGCTTTTCTAAGCTTTTTGCATGGCTTTTGAGTCGATTCCTAAACGTTACGCTTGCAAATTCTTAAATTGGCAATCAAAAGAACAAAAAATCCTTCCAGGGGGCACCCGGATTTGAACCAGGGACCTCTTGATCTGCAGTCAAATGCTCTACCACTGAGCTATACCCCCTCTTCCGGCAACATGCTCGACTTCAACGTAAGGAAACCAAACTCGAAAATCGAGTCTTTCTTTCCAAAAGGGATTAACGGAGATTTAGCAGAGAAACGCCCTCTAATGCCAGAGCGTGCAAAGCACCGGTGCCCCAAACGTCAAAGAATTGTTGCTAAACGTTAATTCGGTTACAACAAAAGCTGGTTACGGTCCCCAAATTTAGACAATTAGTGACTCATTGGGGAGCAACTGATTTCCGATTTAAGATACTTTTTTTAAAAAAAAAGGGTAAAAGCTTTATTTATGTTTAACAATTGCTGCGCTTTGTATATGCTGTTTAGGGAAGCTTTTCATGTTTAACAGGTTATTTATATTTTAGTGTTTTGTTGGAAGCCGCCCAGAGTGGCTGGGGAAACCCAGCAAGATGGGCGAGGTATAAATAAATAATTATTATTATTATTATTATTATTATTATTATTAATTAATGAATGTATTTATTTCAGTGGTGATTTGCTGGTTACATTTTATGATCAATGTACTTGCGATGCGCTATTATAGTGTTGTTTGTTTCTAGCCGCCTTGGGATGCGTTGGAATGAAAACGGCATAGAAATGATTTATATATTTAAAAAATCAATTTATATAAAATATCAATTGAAGGTTTTAAGGCGGGCTCCTCCTGAGAAGTCTTTAGTCCCCAGTCCCAGATATAAGTGAGCTGCTTTCAAGTTGCGATCAGTACAGGGTAGAGCGTGAGAGTCTTAACCTCTGGGTCCTGGGTTCGAATCCCGACTCGGGCAAAATAGTCCTGCATTGCAGGGGGTTGGACTAGATGACCCCTGCGCCGGGTCACTTCCCACTTTATGATCCAGATGCTCAGAGAGACGATCAGATGCTTTTATTCATTCATATGTTGTCCCAAAGTCTCGGGACAGCGTGGAATTAGGCAGCTCCAGAACATTTGGGGGTGAACCGCAGTTCCTCGGCGATGATGGGAAGTCACTCTGCACATGCTCGCTGGTGGCGGCGGCTTGCAAAACGACTAACATCACTTATTATAATTTATGAAACCGCAAGAGTAGTCGATTTGTAGGGTCGATCATCTAGTCCGACAACCGCCCTGGGTCTACAATCCATCAATCAATCAATCAATCAATCAGTCCATCAGTCCATCAATCCATCAATCCATCAATCCATCCATCCACCCATCCATCCATCCATCAATCAATCAAAACATCATTCCATTTCAGCTCAAGCCCTTTTTTTAAAGGCTGCACGGTTCTGTTCGGTTACACGGGAGCAGCGCCCACTGAAGTCAGCGGTGCGTCCGCTTGCTTCCAAGTAAACCACGCGGAGAAACAGGATAGGGTTTTGCAGGGGAAGAGCGGCTGCAGTTAAAGGCGCGGGTCCCTAGGTGGCGCTGCGGCCGGCGCTTTTGGATTTCCGCCTCCGCCGTCACGTGAGAGGGGCGCCGCCTCACGTGACGCGGGCGCCTCCCGAGGAAAAACTACTAACTCTCCCGGCAGGCCTTGCGCTTCCTTTTCATTTTTTCCGCCGGCCGCGCAAGATGTCCAAGCGAGGTGAGGCCTAGCTTGCTGAGCCGGGGCTGCGGGTGGCGCGGAATCCGTCTCCATCCCGGCGCTTCGGCGGGGATAAGGAGACGCCTGGTGGCGGGTTGCGCGCGTGGGGACCTTGGCTGCCACGGGGGCTGGGTATTTCCGCGTGGAATACCGTGGGGTGCGGGGAAGGGGACCCTGGAAATCCAGAGGAAGCGTTGGGTCGGGTGGGAGAGAGGTGTTGCTTAAGGGCCCCGCTGGCACCCTCGCAAGCACGCGTTTCAGGGCCTTGAGCCGCATTCTGACGTGCTGTTAAGGAGAGGGTGCCGAGACGTGTCCGCGCCCGTGAAGCTGTACAGAGTTAGCGAGCCAATATACACGTCCCTGCTGGAGGAGAATTAAGAAAAAGGGGTTCTGGGGTAGCAGAGGAAGGACATGCACTCAAAATACGTGTACTTGGCCTTAGGCCTAAGAGGAAGACTTGGGCAGGATTCGCAATTTCTAGAGCGCTTTTAGGATGTGGGGTGCTATATCCTCTTCCCAGAATAAGGTCGCCTGGTCTTCTGCCCTGCTCTGGATTTTTCTGTAATGATGATGATGATAATAATAATAATAATAATTAATAATACAGTAATAGTAATAATAATAATAATAATAATGTATTTGTACCTCGCCCATCTGGCTGGGTTTCCCCAGCCACTCTGGGCTGCTTCCACAAAGACCAAAAATACACTAAGATGTCACACATTAAAAACTTCCCTGATCTTAAGCATGTATAGTTGTTGATTTTTAAAGCCTAAGTTTAAAAATCCAGCTTCTATTGTGCTAGCCATCCAAAACATCTGCAGACGCTTAATATAGAATAAAACCACATCCAAATCTAACAGAAATGTTCGGTATAAGGACAGATAAAATAGAGGAGAGTCTCGTGTGAACTGTGTAAATCAGACCTACAATTAATGGCTATTTTATCAAAATTCTTTGCCCTGATCTTCCTAGCTGCAAGAGCAACTTTATAAGTTGTAAAGTTGACAGCATCACTCAGCAGCCATTTCGCCCTCTCTATCGTAGTTAAAACGATAGTTTTTTATTAAAAAATAATTTCCCCCCTATTTACTGCTACCTCCAGTCCCTTACCTTTATTTTCCCTCCTGTGGGATTTCAGATTGTAAGCTCCCAAAGGCCTATATTCTGTAAGGAACCAGGCAGTTGTGGGTTCAAACCGCTCATTGGGCGGAAGATTCCTGCATTGGCGGACTTTATGATCCTCAGGATCCTTTCCAGCGCTACAATTCTGTGTCAATTGTTGGTGCTGTTAATATATATATAATATATAATATATATATAATTAAAGAAAGAAAGATGAGGCATACAGTACAATCATGTTTATCAACCAGGAGCTGTAAGCCTTAATCTTGCTTATTTCATGTTAAAATACATAGTAGTTGGGCCTCCCCAGTGTTTCTGGATCAAGTATGGAAACTTGTGGCCCTCGGAACATTATTGGACTCCGGTGATCATCTTCAGCCCGTGTGGCAAATTGCCAGGAGTGACAGAGATTGTATTCCACAAAATCTGGAGGAGCGCACCGGTTCCCCATACCTGGTGAACAGGGTGGGTTTCCCTGGGCGGTGTGACGCATGTAGTAGGTTTTCTTTTATTTCTTTCGTTTTGAAGAGCTGAAAGTTTTCATCTATCAAAATTGAATATCAAGTTTTAAGTAGCCATGCATGAAACTGCTTAGGTTTCGCGCACCACTCTTTAAAACTCGTCGTTTATTTCATCTTAATAGACTTATTGGAGCTGAACTAGACAGCAGTTGGTCATGGCAGCGGTGATGAAAGAGTGGTTTTGCGTATAAAAGGGACTTGTGGGTGGAGAAAACCCTTCACTGTTTTGGGAGAAGCGAAACAGACCTTAAAAAGTGGTAGATGTTGCGTGGGTCTTGGGCTAACTGTATGTCTTTCATCCCTGTCTCCATAACAGGACGTGGTGGTTCGTCTGGTGCGAAATTTCGCATCTCCCTTGGTCTCCCTGTGGGAGCTGTTATAAACTGCGCAGACAACACTGGTATGTAGTAGTTGAAAAAAAATAATATAGTACACCCCACTTGTTATTCTTTAAGCTGTATTACAAGAAAAGCTGAGGTGCTGAAATTTTTTTGCTTGTTATAGAATTTTGCTGTGCAACTGTGGAAAGGTACAAGTGTTCTTCTATGATTTGCCTGTAAAAGGTTCTGTGTTCAATCTGCGCCATCTCCAGCTGGGATGAGAAAGCCAGCAGTCTTTTAATAGAGTATTAAAGGGAAAAATAAGGTTAGAATGTGTTAAGATAATTATAGGATAGAAAACAGAGGAAGATGGAAAGGAATTGCTGAAACAAAGAAGTGGAATACAAAAAGGGAGGTGTGAGGAGGTCGTGGAAACAAGTGAATGAAAGATAAGATAATGAAATGTTTTTGTTTTTGTTTTATTAGTTTTATGTGATAGTGTTTTGTAGTGTTTTTGTACTGTATTGCATTGGTTTGTTTGTTTGTTTGTTTTTTGTTATAATTATTTATTTATTTATGTTTTTTTCTTTTGTAGTGTTGTGTTTAAATTGTTGGAAAATTAATAAATATTATATAAAAAAAAAAAGAGAGAAAGCCAGCAGTCTTGGGATTCTTGGGAGCTGCTGCCAGCCAACCTAAGCTCTAGCTTACCTTCGAATTTTGGGTTGCAAGCATCAGGGCAGAAGGGGGTGGAGGCAGTTGGAAGAAGCTTCCCTAAGGTGCATTGATCAGCATGCAACTTACTTTTCCTCTTATCTGAAGAAGTGTGCATGCACACGAACACTTATACAGTGGTACCTCGGGTTAAGTATTTAATTTGTTCCGGAAGTCCGTTATTAACCTGAAGCACCACTTTAGCTAATGGGGCCTCCTGCTGCCGCCGCACCGCCACAGCATGATTTTTGTTCTCATCCTGAAGCAAAGTTCTTAACCCGAGGTACTATTTCTGGGTTAGCGGAGTCTGTAACCTGAAGCGTATGTAACCCAAGGTACCACTGTACCAAGAACAAACTTAATTGGTCTCTAAGGTGCTACTGGACAATTTTTTATATACATTTCGACTGCGTCAGACCAACAGACCTACCTGAATCTATTCTTCTTAGGTTGGTGTAGATGTTTGCTGGCATTTTGTTCAGTCAGAATGGTGGCATATCGTGGTGTGGCTTCTACGAAGGGCGATGTATGGGTTCTTGATCCTAGCTGGGGAGAGAGGGGTAAAAGTGAATTCCATTGCCTTGATCTCTTTCCATTCTGAATTTGTGAGAAGGAGCGGCCTTTATTCAGTTCTGACTCTAAACAGCAATGCTCATCGAAAATGTAACTGGGCAGAAGCGGCAGGTTTCCCCTTCTGAAAAGCACTTGTTGGGTCTGCTTTCCCGTGGCCCAGGGAGTTGTCGTAGAAGGGTACAGCAATAGCACAACTTTTGGGTGAGGCGACAGCTTGTGCTGCTTTGCTTCAATCAGTTGTGTCACATATACTTGAAGAGGAAGTCTCTTTGACCTTTGCTCCGGGGTGAATAGAATGATGATGATTCTGTTTCCTTTGCAGGGGCCAAAAATCTATACATCATCTCTGTGAAAGGGATTAAGGGACGCCTGAATAGGCTGCCGGCTGCTGGTGTGGGAGACATGGTAATGGCTACTGTCAAGAAAGGCAAACCAGAGCTCAGGAAGAAAGGTGAGTGATGGAGGAAGCTGGATTCGTGGATTTGAAGCCCCCTTACTGTGTTAATTGCATAGGGACTACAGGTAGTGGGAAAATAGCTGATCGTAAGGGAGAACAGTGTTGTGACCTTGATTGTGTTGATGAGAGATAGAATGCAGTCATTTTAAAATGATGGAAAATATTTGACCTAAATTATGTTCTAATTCATATGTCTCCAGGATGCGCATAAATTGGCTGTTATTCACAATTAAGCAGATTTTTTACCAGCTAAGTAGGTCCTTCAGTACTATCTAGGAGCATAATGTGTGGTCATGCAACGTACAATTACTTGCATATATATATATAGAGAGAGAGAGGGTGTGTGTGTGTGTGTGTGTGTGTGTGTGTGGTGTTAGAGTTAGTCTCCCAGAGGGCAGGTGGATCCTCATGTTAGTGTTGGATGCTATACCCAGAGCCAAATGTATGCTGCACTCAAAAAAACATTTTGCTCCAAGAAAAGGTGTATTGTGTCCTGTAGTTTAAATAATATGTTGGCCATTGATGTCCTGTCCATTAGAAATCGTGCTTCAGAGCCAAGGCTAGGTCCACCGAAACCTATGTACTGTACATCTTGTTTTCATTGAATTAAATGGTAGGCTTAAGCCTATATAATCCATACACATACACTATCAACTATAGAACCCTAAGGAAATTGATGGTTAGGAGGGTGCATATTACCTTTGAGTTTAAGCCCAAGGGTTGTGGTGTACCTGTGCTGGCTGCATATTCTTTATTCGGCAGCTCGTACTGAATTTCTCTTCCTTTCTGCAGTGCATCCGGCAGTTGTGATTCGTCAACGGAAATCGTATAGGAGAAAAGACGGGGTGTTTTTGTACTTTGAAGACAATGCGGGGGTCATAGTAAACAACAAAGGGGAAATGAAAGGTATGGTTGATGACTTGGGGTAGGAAGCCCTCCCCCCAAAAGCCACAGTAGGCTTGCAACTTGCGTGGGCAGGGGTTGCGTTCTGGGGGTTGCACATGAAGCTGAAATTGCATATAATCAGAACAAGCCCAGAACTGCCCCCATGTGACCATCCCTACCTTTCTGAAGCCAGTGGGCCTCCCCCCACAAGACTTGCTTAGCTGTCTCTGGAAGGCCCAGAGCCTGGGCAAAACCAAAATCCCAGGGCCTAGTAAGCAAGGTGAAGGAAGTGTTTGAAAGCTCTTTCTGCACTGAGAAAACCCAGCATGGAAAGAGCTTTTAAGCTCTCTCCCTTGGCATGTGTTTAATTTGTGCGATTGTAGCTGACCGGCTGTAAAGCTGCAATTGCGCAAGTAAAAAGAGTGCAAATTGCGAGTCGACTATATTGTGAAATTATTGCTTCAGGTTTGGCTTTGCAGCTGAAGCTGCCGTGCCAGTGTGTTAATGACTTCTTCCCAAGACCCATTTATTAAATACAAATTCAGCAAATACGTTTCATAGGAATTCCTTTGCCAGTGCTTAATGGTGGTTTTTACAATTTTTGCCCCCTCCAGGCTCTGCTATCACAGGCCCCGTAGCCAAGGAATGTGCAGATCTGTGGCCCAGAATCGCCTCCAACGCTGGCAGCATTGCATAAACCTGTCTTGTAAAAGTCCAATAAAAAAAGTGGTTGTACCAAACTCGTTGACTTGTAGCAACTTCACAATTTGTGTAAGGTGTTTGAGTGAGTGTCCTGAAGACAGCAGAAAAGCTTGGGTCAATCACTCTCCCAGCCCAATCTTATCTCATAGGGTTGGTGGGATAAAATGGGGTGCCCCTATGTGTGCCTTGTGTCCCCTGGTGTAAATGCAATAAATAGTCTGAAAGCTTCACAAGGACAGCTTTTCAACTGTTGGCCTTTCACTTGTCCAGTAACGGGGGTAATCCCTCTTGTTTAAACTTTCCTGCTATGTGTTCCCAGTTCAGTGAAATTATGCTTTCATGCAACTTGCCTGCAATTCATCTGTCTGCCAGAAAACACTAGGATTTGGGCTTGTGTCCTAGACCTTAGGGCCTTAATATCAGTCTTCTGAGACTCGGGAACTGCTTTCAGCAACAAGTGTGCAGGAAGGTTAGCTGATCTGTAAGTCATCCTGTGATCCAGTTACGGGTATGTGGAACCAGTTGAATAAGCATACTCTACGGTGATTTCCCAGCTTGTGCAAGTGTCAGTTCTGGTTGGCCTTTGGCATTACACTAGTCTGTATCGTGCCCAGTGTTCTTCTGCATCTTTCTTGTCTGTGATCTTTTGGAACATCCTTCTGTACTATTTATTACTGTTTAAAAAGTTGAGAACCTAACCATTTGTGTTAATTATGCAGTTATACCTGTATCAGTTCCTGAGCAAGGATAGTAAAATTAAAATATTTTGAACTTTGAAGTTCCAGAGGTGTTGCCGAAAGTATTTCAAGTTAAACTTTTAATCCGTACGGGATAGAGACTTTGGTCAGTTTTTTCTATGCTTGTACTGTCCTATTTTAACTGGGCAAAAATAAAAGAGTTAAAATAATTTTAAGCCATAAAATAATGACAAACCGCTAGATCAGGCTTCCTCAAACTCAGCCCTCCAGATGTTTTGAGACTACAATTCCCATCATCCCTGACCACTGGTCCTGCTAGCTAGGGATCATGAGAGTTGTAGGCCAAAAACATCTGGAGGGCCGAGTCTGTGGAAGCCTGGGCTAGATAATCCTGTAGTGATTATTTAGTGGGATGTGTACTTTTTAATGTACTCCTTAACACCCTGTTGGGAGTAGGTCCTTCGCAATAAGAATTTTGTTCAGTACAGCCATGGGAGAACATCAGAATTCTCCACTTTTATTTCTGTATGTCGGGGATCGCCAAACCGGTTGGACTAAGGAGAACATTTAGGAATTTAAAGAACTGCTGGGCACCGCAAAATACCAGTTTCATAAGAATAGTACAATGATCAGCCTCCCACCAACAGGCTAATAATAATAATTTATTATTTGTACCCCGCCCATCTGGCTCAGTTTCATCATCATCATTTTTTTATTTGTATACCGTCTTTCTAGCTTACAATACTCAAGGCGGTTTACAAGCTGAAGAAACAAAAAATGTACAACTTACAACCATCTAATGCAATACAAAAATGTGATAATAAAACAAAACTTCAAGCAACCTACATCAAAAAGTAACATTCAGCAATTATTAGATATTACAAAACAATATCAACATATAAAAATTAAACAGAAATTCAACAGTTACAATAAATAATTTCTAATCTATAATCAATAAAACAGCAAGCCACAGTACACTACAATACAAATTGAGAAGCAGAAACTAAAGGGTGGAGCAAGGCAGGTGGAAGGAGGCCTTGCCTGATGGAGTCTCTCCCTTCAGTTCTTCCTCCGGGTGGCTTCCAACAGAGATTAAAAATACATTAAAACATCACTGGTAATAAACATACATCACCAAACTACTAGACTAGCAGATAGCACCCACAAGAAAAAAAGTATTTTAGGGGAAATGTATGAAATTTGAAGGGACGGGACCTTGGGAGTTGCCAAGGGAGGTGTCTGAGGGCATCATGCCCACGAGTGCCATGTTGAACTCGCAGCACAAATACGGCAGGGTGAATTGCTGAGCTCCGAATGTGATGTCTAGTCTACATTTGAGTTCTCCCAAGTATGTATGTGATGTCCTTAAAAATATATATGTACCTTGTTGTGCATACATATGGCTCCCAGCTGAAGAAAGAAGCAGCTAAGAAATCGAGCAGAAAAGAATGTTTTTTTTTCATGGCATAGAAATACTATTCGAGATCTTTAGCATTTTTGTTAAAATATTTTTATTATGTATTTGATAAATTCCAACTCCCATGGCCCATTTTTGAGGGTAGGTTCCTTCGTGAAATAAGAGGATTTAAAACAAGACATTTATGTGCATTGGGTCAGTGCATCTGGCTGTTAACCAGAAGGTTGGTGGTTCGAGCCCAGCCAGAGACGGCTTGGGGCAGAATTTCTGAATTGCAGAGGGTTCAATTAGATGACCCTCTTGGTCCCTTCCAACTATCTTCTGTTCCACTGGAAAGCATTATTCCCCCCCCCCCTTAATCGATCAAGACTGAGATGAGTCATCTCGAGCCTAACAACCTGTTGGCAACCTCTGTTGGTTGTTAGGAGGCAATTGTCTATGCTGATAGCATCACAGTGACACTGATTGTGTGGTCAGGAAGTAGTGAAAGTTGCTGGGGAGGCGACGGGGAAAGTGGTACAGCTGGGAGTAGCGACCAGTGGCTTTTTCTCTTGCCTCGGACAAAACATGACTTGCGTCACACGGAGATGCCTACAAAGGCAAAAGGAGTTCATCCTCGATGGTGTGGCCGTAGACACTATAGCAAGCAGCTACACCAACCTCCTGCCCAGGCTGTGGTCTGCCTTGCCTCCTTATAATGCTCAGTTGGACATCCACGCGGCCAGCTACTTCTCATCCCCAGTGGTCAAATCTGTGCTGAAAAGGACAGAACAGGTAAGTGCATCTAAAGGATAATAAAACCAACTCGGCTGACAATCACGCAGATACTGCAGGATCTATTGACTCGTGATCCTGCAGGACAATTTTCCGTAGAAACTTGCTCCTAGTTTGTGGTCCGCAAACTGCCCACTTGGAGCTTTCCGGCCAGGCCAGCTCCTCCATCCCATAATAGTTTGCTGCCATTGATTTCCTTGGCTGTGCAATGTGTCTGCATCTGCAGTGCTAGGGTGAGTCGCCACGTGCTGCAATTTAATTCACGTAAATGCTTAGCACAGCTCAGTAATACCTCTTACTGGTATGTTAGATCTTTGCCCGAGAAAGGAAAGCATTGTGCATCTTTTTGAAAGTGTATAGTAATTGAATCCATTGCTCTTGGAGTGGTGCGTGGGTTTGCCTGCCTTGGAGGTTGTTAATAAAAGGCTGGATCAGCATTTGACGTGCTTAGCCATACAGAGGTTACTTTTTTGCCCATTAGGCTAGTAAAATCCATTGTTGCTTTTTCAATTATTTTAAATCTAGGTTGCTTCTGGAGGCAGAATTATGCCCCTGTCAACCTCTCTTAGTGTCCAGCCAGATTCCAATCCATTCAGCACACTGAAAGTAAATGGGGAAAATATAATGAAGACCCAATCACCACCAGGCTCCTGAATTGTGCCCTAAATCAAAAAAATAAATTGTGTCCTACTTAAAAGACCTTGGAATGTTTCCAAAAGATAGATAGGCTGTGCATCTTCTATAGGTGTTCAGAAGGAGCCTATAGCATGGCCTATGGGTGTTCAGGAGGGGTGCGTGAAATCTTTAATATCTTCTATATTTGGACTTCCCTTTCTTGGAATGTTTCGGCTTTTGCTGCTTGATGTCACAGCTGCCTCTATGACCTCACTGTACGCACCACATGCCCCTATGACATCAGCCCCAATTACATTAGGAAAAAGGGAAGGAATGTGATGGGCAATGTGAAAAGTTGAAAGGACTCCTCCTTCCCCGCCCTGCAAATTTTATCGCTTCATCGTGCCCAAAAATATCTTAACTAGAAGGAATTTTTTAAAAAATGAGTTCTGTACAGCCCCTAGCACGTTGCTGGTACTAAATTGCTAAGCAGCATTAGTAATATATTTTTTAATTGCTTTTGCTTGTGACAGACCCGCGGAGGTACCTCGAGGGATGGCTGGATAGTAGATTATTTTCATATCTATGGGCCAGGACAGAGGTACCTGAACAGGAGAAATTGGGCAGGGGCAGGTGAGAGAAATACTACGACTTTTCTATGCCTGTGTTTTGTCGTTCCTCCCTCTCTCTCTCTCTCTCTCTCTCTCTCTCTCTCTTTTCTTGGCGCTGTTCCCCCTATTTCATTGTGGGAATCAAAGGCTTTTGAAGCTGTGTTTGATGCTGCAGAAATGACTTAATTCAGGAAACATCCATGTGATACATTTAAAGCAGTATATACAGTGGTACCTCGGGTTACATACGCTTCAGGTTACAGACTCCGCTAACCCAGAAATAGTGCTTCAGGTTAAGAAATTTGCTTCAGGATGAGAACAGAAATCGTGCTCCAGGGGCGTGGCAGCAGCAGGAGGCCCCATTAGCTAAAGTGGTGCTTCAGGTTAAGAACAGTTTCAGGTTAAGAACGGACCTTCGGAACGAATTAAGTACTTAACCTGAGGTACCACTGTACCGCCATAAACAAGCATGGCTTCCCCCATGGAATCATGGGAACTGTAGTTTGTTAAACGTGCTTAACCCGCCCTATTTCCTTCATAGAATGACAATTCTCACAGTTCCCTGGCAATGTGGGAAAACCCCACCTAAGGTCCCTCACACAGACAAATCCTTTACTCACTAGCAACGACGAGAGACATCCAAGAAGTCTGCAAAAGCAAAGTTCTGTTTCTTGCTCTAGCAGGAAAGATTTGTACAGTGGTATCTCGGGTTACATACGCGTCAGGTTACATAGGCTTCAGGTTACATACTCCGCTAACCCAGAAATAGTGCTTCAGGTTAAGAACTTTGCTTCAGGATAAGTACAGAAATCGGGCTCTGGCGGCACGGCGGCAGCAGGAGGCCCCATTAGCTAAAGTGGTGCTTCAGGTTAAGAACAGTTTCAGGTTAAGAACGGACCTCCGGAACGAATTAAGTACTTAACCCGAGGTACCACTGTACTGAGGATGCTAGACAGATGGTAACTTAGACATTTTATTAATGACCTGGGTGGATGCAAGAAGGAGTGTTATAAGAATTCTAAGGTCTCAAATATAGAATAAATGTTCATAAATGTACAAGGCAAACACATACATAAGTATATAAACCACATGTCTGAAATAGGTCAGGAGAGCAATCCTGAAGCCGCTTTGACCCTCCCAAATTGACCTCAAATATTTCTCTGCGAGGAGGAGGGAAATGGGAAAAGCTTTCCAATTGTCTTTGGACTGTAGGGTCTTACACCCTCCTGCAAACACAGTCTGGCAAGTACAGTGGAACCTCGGTTTTTGAATGTAATCCGTTCCAGAAGACCGTCGGACTTCTGAAATGTTTGAAAACCGAGGAGCAATGGGCAGTCTGCAAAATCCACTGAGAAAAAAGAAAAACACAGCGGAAGCTGTTCAACTTCCGATGCACGTTCGAAAACGGAAGCAATTACTTCCGGGTTTTCGGCATTCGGCTTCTGAGATGCTCAAAAACCGAGGTTTCACTGAATCTGTTAAGCTGAGCAAACTCAATTACGTGCAAGAGATTCAGGAACTAAAGTATTTACCATCACCTGGGTAGCCAGGCTACCCAGAAAATGCAAGAGTTGTTCGCGACTGGATTTAACTGTCAGGGGTCCTTTAACTTTACGAACAGGACGCGGGTGGCGCTGTGGTCTAAACCACAGAGCCTAGGGCTTGCTGATCGGAAGGTTGGCGGTTCGAATCCCTGCGATGGGGTGAGCTCCCGTTGTTCGGTCCCTGCTCCTGCCAACCTAGCAGTTCGAAAGCATGTCAAAGTGCAAGTAGATAAATAGGTACCGCTCCGGCTGGAAGGTAAACGGCGTTTCTGTGCGCTGCTCTGGTTTCGCCAGAAGCGGCTTAGTCATGCTGGCCACATGACCAGGAAAAACTGTCTGCGGACAAATGCCAGCTCCCTTGGCCAGTAAAGCGAGATGAGCGCCGCAACCCCAGAGTCGTTCCCTACTGGACTTAACTGTCAGGGGTCCTTCACCTTTACCATAAGGCATTATCAGGTATCCTGGCAGACAGGAGAGAAGCAATACTCTCAAATTTCTGCTAGAGCTGGCCTCTTCCTGTGATGCATGTATGATGTTTTGGGGGGTGGTCTTGGGGTACAGGGTGGGCAACTTCAAAAGCCATTATGGGGTCTTGCGCACCATTGTTCAGGGTTCTCCTCTGTCCTGCGTGTGGTGACCCTGTTGCAACAGTTTATTTCCTTTTACATGAAGAGCAGGCTTATTAGCCGCTTTGCTTTCAATATACAGTGGTAGCTTAGGTTAAGAACTTAATTCGTTCCGGAGGTCCGTTCTTAACCTGAAACTATTCTTAACCTGAGGTACCACTTTAACTAATGGGGCCTCCTGCTGCTGTGCCACTGCCACACAATTTCTGTTCTCATCCTGAAGCAAAGTTCTTAACCGGAGGTAATATTTCTGGGTTAGCGGAGTCTGTAACCTGAAGCGTCTGTAACCTGAAGCATCTGTAGCCCAAGGTACCACTGTACAATGGTACCTCCGGTTGTGAATGGGATCTGTTCCGGAGCTCCGGTCAGATCCTGAGGAATTCGCAACCGGAGGTGTCGCTTCTGCGCATGTACGCGGCGTGATTTAGTGCTTCTACACGTGGCGCAATTTAGTGCTTTTGCGCATGCAGCGAAACCTGGAAGAATCCTGAAAGTACCTCAGGTTAAGAACTTAATTCGTTCTGGAGGTCTGTTCTTAACCTGAAACTGTTCTTAACCTGAAGTGCCACTTTAGCTAATGGGGCCTCCTGTTTCCGCTGCGCGATTTCTGTTCTCATCCTGAAGCAAAGTTCTTAACCTGAGGTAATATTTCTGGGTTAGCAGAGTCTAACCTGAAGCGTATGTAACCTGAAGCGTATGTAACCTGAGGTACCACTGTACTCTGGTTGGCCTCTGCTTTCTTCACGACCAGGGAGGGCTCTATACAGGCTTCCCTGTATAATTCCCATAAGGGAATTAGAGGAATTATCTTACAGCAGGGGTAATAAATAATTAGTTTCTCCCCCTCTCCTCACCCCAGAGTGGCTGGGGAAACTCAGCCAGATGGGCGGGGTATAAATAATAAATTATTATTATTATTATTACAGGCCATTCTCCGCAGCAAGTGGCTGGCCACTATTGGCACTTGATGGACGTAAAACCGGTGAAAGGGTACAATGGACGTTACGGCTACCGCCGCAACACCCCTGATCTCCGCACTCGTTCCTCTTGCTTTGGCGAAGTCACGTGTTTCCCCATCCATTGAAGCGTAGAATATGATTTATTCACTGCCTTCCTCTTATCATACTCTCCATTTGTTGTCAATTATATTGATTTCTCCAAAATAATAATAAAAATACTTTTAATTTATTTACATGAACATTGTGTGTGTGCTTCTGTGTTGTGGGGTGAAAGAAGAATAATGTTACTGTGATAGGAATTTTGAGGTCTTAGATATATGGAAATGTTCATAAATGTACTAACCAAGCACGTACATAGATCAGCACAGGAAAACCAACCTGGAACCATTTTGATTCCTAAACTGACCAAATGTTTTCTCTGCAAGGTCAAAGTGGGAAACCTCCCCATTGTCTCTTTCCTCACAAATCCTGTCTTAAGGGCACATTTAAGATATGAATAGGGTGTGAGCCTGTGACCTGGCCCAGGAACTAAGTATTTATCATTACAAAAGACTGGCCAGGCTCCCCAGGCAACCCAATCAAGTAACCTGCCAGACAGGAAATAAACAAGGACAGGAGAAAAACAACATTCAAATTTCTGTTTTAGACCGCCTTTTCTGTGATGTAGGTATGATGTATCTGAGGGGTGGTCTTAGGTTACACCCCTTCTGTGATGTATGTATGTTGTTTCTGGGGTTGGTCATGATCTACAGGGTGACAATTTCAAATGTCTTTATAAGGCCTTGCGTGCCATTTTTCTGGGTTCCTCCTCCTCTCCTGTGGGTGAGGGGAGCACCCTGTTGCAACAGATCAATAAAGATCAGGCTTACTAGCTGCTTTGCTTCTCAATATTCTCTGATTGGCCTCTGTTATTCTCTCCTACCAATAGGGAACCTATGTAAGGACTCTATATGGGCTCTTGGATACCCCATAAGGGAAAAGGGCAATTTTTGTTTACAACATTACAAAGGTTGGTGCCTCCCCCTCTCTCTGCCTAGCGGTGGCAAGAACCTAGGGGGGTCCCAGGCACTCACCCAAGGCCTGTGTTCCTTTTGTTACGGAAATCACGGGGGAGGGGCACATCTTTAAAGTTACCGTATTTTTCGCACCATTGGACGCACATTTTCCCCTCCAAAAATGAAGGGGAAATGTGTGTGCGTCCTATGGGGCGAATGCAGGCTTTCGCTAAAGCCTGGAGAGCGAGAGGGGTCAGTGCGCACCGACCCCTCTCGCTCTCCAGGCTTCAGGAAGCTCTGCGCAACCCTCGGGAGACCGACTCCGAGGGTTGCGCAGAGCTGCCTGCAGTCCCGGGCTCAGCGCAGCTCTGCGCGGCCATCGGGAGCGGGGCGCGAAGTCCCATCCCGCTCCGGATGGCCGCGCAGAGCTGCCTGCAGTCCCAGGATCAGCGCACTTCTCCCCATCGCCAGCCCCACAAGCTCGGGGGACAGCGGGGAGGCAGAGCGCACCTTCCCGCTGTTCCCCGACCTAGTTCTTCTAGCCCCGCACCTGGGGGGGAAATAAAAATATTTTTCTTTATTTCCCCCCCAAAAAAACTAGGTGCGCCCTATGGGCCGGAGCGTCCTATGGAGCGCAAAATACGGTAAATATTACAAATATTATGCCTGAATGTATCCTTTCAACTTGACAGCTCAGGGAAGTTAACTAGCTTTAAAAATAATATAAAATCAACTCCTTTGCTGGTTTCTTCCATTCCAAAGCTATTTCCCCCTTGAAAGGGACTCCAGGAAGTTCCGAGAGGTGACAATTGCTGAGCTGATCGTTGGCCAAGGAAAGCCTAATCACATCACCAAATTTGCCAAGCGGCCAGACATGCAAAGGAAGTTCTATTGTACTTTGGGTGGTGGGACTTCAGAGGTGTTTGCCTATGCTAATCTTATACCTGAGTCTTGCCCTGCCATGTCTGCTTATGCTAATCTTGTACCAAGGACTTGTCTGGACATGTTTGCCAAAGTTAAAAAGGTAAAGGGACCCCTGACCACTAGGTCCAGTAGTGGCCGACTCTGGGGTTGCGGCGCTCATCTCGCTTTATTGGCCGAGGGAGCCGGCGTACAGCTTCCGGGTCATGTGGCCAGCATGACTAAGCCACTTCTGGCGAACCAGAGCAGCGCACAGAAATGCCGTTTACCTTCCCGTCGGAGCGGTACCTATTTATCTACTTGCACTTTGATGTGCTTTCAAACTGCTAGGTTGGCAGGAGCAGGGACCGAGCAACGGGAGCTCATCCCATTACGGGGATTTGAACCACCAACCTTCAACCTAGTGTAACCCCTGTCCACCCCTTCCCGTTTGTGACATGTCAGTGATGTAGCAATGATGTAGCAATGATCCTCTACGAACTGTATTCTGGGATATGGTGGGAAAGTTTTAAAAGTCTTGGTCACCCCATCCTCGGGGTTCAAAATTCCTGTTGCGCAGTAAACTTTGGTCTACAGCTATTTGCTCCGGTTGGTGGCTGGACTCCTTCCTTTATTCCGCAGGGACCCGCGGGCTCTGCCCGACGAGCTGGGTGACTGAGCAGCCTCACACCTAGATTTTTCCATAACACTTTGGAGAATTGAGACGCGGCAGAGACTGTTGTAGCTTTAAGAAATAGGGTTTATTCTCCTGTTTGCACCTTCAGTCTGCATGGAGGGAGTCCAGATCTTGCAGCGTGGTCATTTCAAGAGGGTAGCAGTATGCCCTGCTTGTGTGGTTCCCCTGCACTGTTGGAAACTGGATGCTGGGACAGAAAAGCCTTCTTTCCTTATCAGGCCTGAGCTGATGCAAAGACCGGGGAAGGGGCTCAAAGCAGGACCCCCTGTAGCACACGCTTTTGGTACACATAGTGAGAAAGGCAGCATAACAATAAAAGTAAAATTCCAATAAAAGTCCATGGACCAGAAATAATATGGGCAGATATTTATATTTATATTATATTTACTTTTTTCTTTAAAAAAAGTTTAGGGGTACTCTCATTTTGACTCAAGAAAACCACCATTTTATAGTTCACATGGGGAAAAATAAATACAGTAAATGAATAAAAGGCCGCCATCGGGGATAGCAACGGAACTGACGATTCACTGTGCTAGAGAAGAACAAATTTTTATTTTTGTAGTTTCTGCTCTTGTTAGATTCACAAAATGTTTAGCGGTATGCGTCCCCCTGTGTCCCCCCAGAAAAAAGCACCAATTATATCATATCATATTATAATAATATCTGCCCATATAATTTGACTTCGATTGTTATTATATTGTACCTTTGCCATTTATTTATTTCATAAAGTTTATACACCACTTACTGCTTAAAAAAAGAGAAAAACCCTCCTTTTTGCTGCTGGCAATTTCAACTGCACTACCAGAAACGACAGTGAGGAAGAAAGCAAGAGAGAGGGAGGGAAAGAGAAAGAGTTATGCGCCTAGAATTCATAGAATCAGAACGGTAGGGACCCCCGGGGTCATCTAGCCCAACCCTCTCTCTCTCGCAGGAATGGGGCGTCTCTGTATAGGCGCGTGTGTCCTTTAGCGCCACCTTGCGGCCCAAAGCGCAGGTTCGATTTCCTGCAGGCGGGGTGGGCTGGGAGAACGAGTTGTGCCACGTCATCACGCCGCGACGGCTGAAGAAGAGAACTGGAGGCGGGGTGCGCGGGGGAGAGTGTGGCGACGTCATCACGCCGCGACGGCTGAAGAAGAGACCGGAAGGGGAAAGCGGCGAAGAAGCCACCGGACGGCGCGGCCTCCTCCGCAGTCGACATGGGGGGAGGCGACCTGGTAAGGACGGGGGTGGGGGGGGGGAGAAGAGGGTGGGGGGAGGACACGGGGGGTAGTTCTTCCCCCCAAAAAAGCTGTGAGTTGTTGACAAGGAAGGGTGGTGTGGGAAGTTCGAGCCCCAGTGGAAGCACTGAAGTGTTGTGGGGTTTTGTGTTGATTTTCCAGGGGCCGGACTGGATGACCCCCGGGTGTCCCTTCCGACTCTACAGTTCTGAGTCTATGATGCAAAGCACCTGCGAAGGCCCTGGCGGCCAACGCTCAGATACGTGGGGGGAAGGGACGGGACGGACCCAGCTTTGAAAGGGAAGGAGGGTGTTATTGTAAGGCGCTAGGCGTTCACACTGGGTCACAGATCACCTGCTTTTGTCGTGTGTGTAATTATCTAAATCTTTTCATGTTGTAAGTTGCCTTTATTATTACAGTGGCACCTCGGGTTACAGACGCTTCAGGTTACAGACACTTCAGGTTACAGACTCCGCTAACCCAGAAATAGTACTTCCCTGTGGGAGAAAGTGCCCAAATGTTAGTTGTCGTGGAGAAAAACCACATCGCTTTCTCCCTTTTTTTGAAACACAATAGGGATATATTTAAATTTGCAATTCGGTATAACAGGGACAGTACAGTGGTACCTCGGGTTACAGACACTTCAGGTTACATACACTTCAGGTTACACACTCCGCTAACCCAGAAATAGTACCTCGCGTTAAGAACTTTGCTTCAGGATGAGAACAGAAATCGTGCTCTCGCGGCATGGCGGCAGCGGGAGGCCCCATTAGCTAAAGTGGTGCTTCAGGTTAAGAACAGTTTCAGGTTAAGAACGGACCTTCGGAACGAATTAGGTTCTTAACCCGAGGTACTACTGTACTTTAATGTATTTTATTTATGATTTTCAATTTTATACATTTCAATAATTTTATATGCATTTTAACATATCATAACTTGACTTGATGCCAGAGTGGTGCATGCTCTAGTTATCTCCCGCTTGGACTGCTGCAACGCACTCTACGTGGGGCTACCTTTGAAGGTGACCCACAAACTGCAACTAATCCAGAATGCGGCAGCTAGACTGGTGGCTGGGAGTGGCCGCCGAGACATTATAACACTGGTCCTAAAAGAGCTACATTGGCTCCCAGTACATTTCCAGGCACAATTCAAAGTGTTGGTGCTGACCTTTAAAGCCTTTAAAGGCCTTGGCCCAGCATACCTGAAGGAGCGTCTCCACACCCATTGTTCAGCCCGGACACTGAGGTCCAGCTCCGAGGGCCTTCTGGCAGTTCCCTCATTGCAAGAAGTGAGGTTACAGGGAACCAGGCAGAGGGCCTTCTCGGTAGTGGTGCCCACCCTGTGGAATGTCCTCCCATCAGATGTCAATGAAATAAACAACTACTGTATCTGACTTTTAGAAGACATCTGAAGGCAGCCCTGTTTAGGGAAATGTTTAATGGTTGATGTTTTATCATGTTTTTAATATTCTGTTGGGAGCTGCCCAGAGTGGATGGGGAAACCCAGCTAGATGGACGGCTTATAAATAATAAATTATTATTATTATTATTACATCCCCCTTTTTCTGCGGTTCCTTAAATTTATTTTTAATATCTTCTGCATATCCAAATTAACTCATTTACTTAAAAACTATATTTGCTCATTTATCCAAATTTACTCATCTGCTTTAAATATATACACATAAAACTGCAGGTTATTTGAATAATCCTGCCATTTTTCTTATCTGTTTACAGTTTATTTGTAAATATTCAACAAACCATTTCCATTCTTTTATAAAAAGTTTGTTATCTTGATTTCTTATTTTCCCGATAAGTGCTGCCATTTCTGCATATTCCTTAAGTTTTTGTTTCCATTCTTCTTTTGCTGGTACTTTTTCTTCTTTCCATTTTTGAGCAAGTAACATTCTTGCTATTGTTTCTAACTATGGAAGGGTGGCATAAAAACAAAACGGTGGTGGTGGTCTGCCTTGCTTTTAGAATTCCCCAGGTTAGAATAATAGGATCTTAGAATTGTAGAGTTGGAAGGTACCACGAGGGTCATCTAGTCCAACCCCGTGCAAGGCAGGAATCTTTTGCCCAATTCTGGCAATAACCCATGACCCTGAGGTGAAGAGTCTCCTGCTGCACCAACTGAGCTATGCCAGGTTACTTGTTGTTGTTATATAGTTATTAATACTGCGCCCCTGCCTTTTCCCTGACAGGAGTCAAAGCAGCTTACAGATAAAAATAAGAACTGCTAAAAGAGAAAGCAATCATTAAAGCACAATTGAATATTGATGGAATTAAAACTCTCGTTTTAATTGTATCAGTCTTCAGTTGCTTAAATTTGTGTGTGTGTGTGTGTGTGTGTGTGTGTGTGAAAGCTCTGGCAGCTCCAGCTGGGGCTGGGAATGCGTCATGTCGGGAACCCTAGATACCAGCTGCCAGTCAGTGTAAATATTATTATTATTATTATTGCTACTTATTATTATTATTACAGTGGTACCTCAGGTTAAGTACTTAATTCATTCCGGAGGTCTGTTTTTAACCTGAAACTGTTCTTAACCTGAAGCACCACTTTAGCTAATGGGGCCTCTTGCTGCTGCTGCACCGCCGGAGCACGATTTCTGTTCTCATCCTGAAGCAAAGTTCTTAACCTGAGGTACTATTTCTGGGTTAGCAGAGTCTGTAACCTGAAGTGTCTGTAACCTGAAGCATATGTAACACGAGGTACCACTGTATTATTATTATTATTACTACTTATTCCTCGCCTATCTGGCCAAGCCTCCCCAGCAACTTTGAGCAGCTCCCAACAGAATATTAAAAACGATAGCAAGGGTCATTCCTGCCGCTCATGAATCGGGCGAAACCTGCACTTCCATGCTTTCTTTCCCCTTACTGTTCCTGGCAGCGTTTGCTGTTTTGGTACACCATTTGCAAGGGAAACCTTATCACCTGTTGTGCCAAGTTACAGGGAAGCAGGCAGAGGGCCTTCTCGGTAGTGGCACCCGCCCTGTGGAACGCCCTCCCACCAGATGTCAAAGAGAACAACAACTACCAGACTTTTAGAAGACATCTGAAGGCAGCCCTGTTTAGGGAACCTTTTAATGTTTAACAGACTACTGTATTTTAATACAGTGGTACCTCGGGTTAAGTACTTAATTTGTTCCGGAGGTCCGTTCTTAACCTGAAACTGTTCTTAACCTGAAGCACCACTTTAGCTAATGGGGCCTCCTGCTGCCGCTGCACCGCCAGAGCACGATTTTTGTTCTCATCCTGAAGCAAAGTTCTTAACCTGAAGCACTTTTTCTGGGTTAGCGGAGTCTCTAACCTGAAGCGTCTGCAATCTGAAGCGTATGTAAACTGAGGTACCACTGTACTTTGTTGGAAGCCGTCCAGAGTGGCTGGGGAAACCCAGCCAGATGGGCAGGGTATAAATAATGTATTATTATTATATACCTCAATTCAAGGGTCTCATTCCTGTTCGCAGAACCTCAAGAAAAGCTGGCATCCACAAACCCTTCGTAATGTGGAGAAAGTTTGGAAAGCAGAACAGAAGCATGAAGCCGAACGGAAGAAAATCGAGGAGCTGCAGCGAGAGTTACATGAAGAACGAGCGCGGGAGGAAATGCAGCGCTATGCGGAGGACGTGGGGGCCGTCAAGTATGTTGGGCAGGATTTCCTTGGCCGACAGGCATATTTAGGGCTTAAATTGAGCAGATGCTTAGCGTTTCTTCTTCAAGCAGCTACACTGGTAACCAAAATGCCACAGAAATGTGAATCAGTTAGTAGAAACAGCCTCATAGGATGATGGTTTCTCAGGTTCTTTGGGGAAAACTTGGAGTGAAATTATACTTGTTCAGGGTCAGAAACTCAGATATATATACTGTATTTTTCGCTCTATAAGACGCACCTTTCCCCTCCTAAAAAGTAAGGGGAAATGTGTGTGCGTCTTATGGAGCGAATGCAGGCGGGAGGCTCTGCTCAGCGCTCCCTTTAAAGAGCCGCGTGGAACGTGTGTGTGGCTCTCGGGCACTTTTCCCCGAGGAGGGAGAAGGGCAGCCCATAAGTCCCGTCTTCCCTCCTTGGGGAAAAGCCCCCAAGAGCCGCAAACACGCTCCACGCACTCTTTAAAGGGAGCGTGGCTCTTGGGGGAGCCTTCCTCCCACTGCCAGGCGATCCCACTTGCTGTCCTGGCTTCTGGCTTAGCCACACGCAGCCTCTCCCGGGCAGGGGGAGCTTTCATCTCGCTGCTCTGAAGAGGCTTTGTGTGGCTGTTCCAGAAGCCAGAACAGCAAGAGGCTATCCCAGAAGCCAGATTGCTCTTGCTGTTCTGGCTTTTGGGATTCAGAATTTTTTTTTTCTTGTTTTCCTCCTCCAAAAACTAGGCGCGTCTTATGGTCTAGTGCGTCTTATAGAGCGAAAAATACGGTGAGCTAGGCACCTCCCCCCCCCCGTGAGGCTTATTATTTCTATTCATTTCATTTCTATACTGCTTTATATTTTAAAGAAAAACATCTCAGAGTGCTTTACAACACATTGAAACGTCAATGCAGAATAAAACAAATTCAAGCCTCAAGGAAAATATTTCAGATCCCTTTCTAAGTGACATTTTGCTTTCCCCATATCTATTTACCCACTTATATAGCAGCCCCATAACAGAAGTACTCGGGGCAGCCAGTGTGGTGTAATGGTTAGAGTGTTGGACCAGTATACGAAGAAGAGTTTGGATTTGATATCCCGCTTTATTACTACCCTAAGGAGTCTCAAAGCGGCTAATAATCCTTTCCCTTCCTGCCCCACAACAAACACTCTGTGAGGTGAGTGAGGCTGAGAGACTTCAGAGAAGTGTGACTAGCCCAAGGTCACCCAGCAGATGCATGTGGAGGAGCGGGGAAGTGAACCCGGTTCACCAGATTATGAGTCTACTGTTCTTAACCACTACACTGGAAGATTGGGGTTCAAGTCCCTACTCAGTCATGAAGCTGACTGGGTGACCTTGGGCCAGTCCCAGCCTCTTAACCTACCTCATGAGGTCGTTTTAGGGATTAATTGAGGGGGGGTGAACCATGTACTCATTGGAGAAAAAGGTGGGATATAAATTCATTAAATAAGCTCTTCTGCATGCCTGTTAAGAAAACTGGAGGGGCCAGCCAGATGGAAATGTCAGTTATCAGTCTGGCATCCAGAGATCTCCCATGTGGTCGCAACAGTGCTATTTTTCTAGAAAAAGGGGTGCCAGAACTCACCAAGATTGCCATCCTCGTTCTCTTGGAGTGGCAACGACGCCCACCTGAGAGGTGCCGGAACCGAGTTCTGGTCAATCCCAGCTGAAAAAAATAGCAATTGGACCAGTGCCAGTAGCAAAATGCACCTGGTGCCTGGCTAATTTCTAACACTAATCCGTAAACAAACTCCTGTGTTGCAATATAGACGAGCTGAACAATAGAACACAACACGATGGCCAAGAACAATGGCACTAAACACTATTTATAGACTAATACAAATGATCAGAAATTACAACCAAAGTCTCTAAATCTTCCTCACCAGTCGCGGTAGAATAATTCAAAAGTTCGATATCAAATATCACCGGAATGGAGTTTCCGGATAACCAATCTGTTTTGTTCAATGCTTCATCAGCCAATCTTGATCAATGCTTCATCAGCCAGACTTGTAAGAATTAATATGAGAATGATGCAGTTAAATTTCTTAACAAGCCAATCTTACATGTAAGCAAATATAAACACTGTAGAAAATATACTCTGGATCAGTGCTCATATGATACTGTAGTCACTGAATTTTTGAATTCCGGCGATATTTGGTGACAGATTATGTATAGATCGAACTTTTGAATTATTCTACCGCGACTGTTGAGGAAGATTTAGAGACTTTGGTTGTAATTTCTGATCATTTATATTAGTCTATAAATAGTGTTTAGTACCATTGTTATTTGCCATCGTGTTGTGTTATATTGTTCAGTAATATCTAACACTGACTTGTGTATATATGTTTGCCTGTGTCTTTATTTCTGTTTCTAACTTGCGCTATTTCTAAACAAAGCACAGGCACAAAAACGTATTTTAGAAAGTTTAAAATTACCCCCAGATCTGTTTCACCTTCCGTCGGCTACTCAATCGTTTCCTTGGTCAACTCTTCCTTATAACAGTTTGAGAAATGCTTCTGTTGTAGAGGAGACATCTTTTGCTTTCTCTCAGCTCCCACCCACTTGGTCTGAAAAATATGTTTAATGTCCTTTTCTGCCAATGAATTAGGAAAAAAGATGAGAAGCTGGAGTGGATGTACCAAGGACCAGGAGGCATGGTGAACAGAGATGAATACCTTATGGGCCGCCCAGTTGACAAATACGTCTTTGAGACCATGGAGGACAAGGAAACAGGCTGTTCCTCTGAGACCGGCCTTCTGCCAGGCTCCATCTTTGCCCCTGCAGGTGCCAACTCTGCCTTGGATATGGCCAGCAAGATCCGAGAAGACCCGCTGTTCATGATAAGGTAGCAAAAATATTTAGCTTTATATGGAACCAGTTGGTGCTCTTAAGTTTTGTAAAGTACAGGGGAATCAAGGCCTTTTTAGTGTGACCATGCAGTGGGAGGACGACGACGTATTGTTTTCATTAGTGTCACCAGTTCCCCACCTTAATATGTATTTATTTAAAGTGGGATTTTTTTTACCTTGCTAAAAACTCCCAAAAGTGGCTTTAAAAGGCCAGTAGTAGCTGTGGTCTAAACCACAGAGCCTAGGGCTTGCCGATCAGAAGGTCGGTGGTTCAAATCCCCGCGACGGGGTGAGCTCCCGTTGCTCGGTCCCTGCTCCTGCCAACCTAGCAGTTCGAAAGCATGTCAAAGTGCAAGTAGATAAATGGGTACCATTCCTGTGGGAAGGTAAATAGCATTTCCAGGCGCTGCTCTGGTTCGCCAGAAGCGGCTTAGTCATGCTAGCCACATGATCCGGAAAAACTGTACCCCGGCTCCCTTGGCCAGTAAAGTGAGATGAGCGCCGCAACCCCAGAGTCATCCACAACTGAACCCTAACGGTCAGGGGTCCCTTTACTTTTCTAGTAAGACAAAGGTGTAAGAAAAATGTAAAGCTGAGACATTACGTTACATTGCAGAAACTTGCAGTGATGCGAACCTTGCAGTTAGGTTTCATTGCAATGTTGGGATAACAGTGCTGTGCATGGGGAAATCTCATCATAACCTTGAAATCTCTCCCCACCCCCGGTTTTTAATGTTGTTATTTAGGAAGAGGGAGGAAGAGAAGAAGCGTGAAGTTCTGAACAACCCTGTAAAAATGAAGAAGATCAAAGAACTGGTATGTTAAGGCTGTGATCCTATGTACCCTTAGCTAATATTCTATGGGACGTGCATAGAATTGTGCTATTGTCTGTAACAAATCCTTATAGCAAGGATTAACATGTACAATGTCCTCTTGTCTTTGGGGTGGGGGGAAATAGCATTTTAATTCCAAGGTTGAAATGTTTAGGTGTGAAGGCGTGGACTCTGGCATTACATTGGTGCTGATTTAATTGGCATTATATTGGTGCTGATATAAACGTATTGAGGATAAATGTAACCTTCATCTTTTAATTGTGTGCTCACAACCAAGGTGGTTTAAAGACTGGTACAGGGAAGGGTGACTTTCCACCCCACCCCTTTTCCAATGCCTGATTATGGTTGGAGCAGCAATTTTCACCTATATATTATCAAGAGATAATTATTCCAACTTTATCTAATGCAGAATAGGACAAAGAGAGGTGGTGGGAAGAAGTCTTTGTCCTCGCACTCCTTCACGGGGTAGAACTGCGTTATAAATCACTATGTTGTTTGATATGTCTCCTTCCCCCACCCCCAGTTGCAAAGCAGTTTGGAGAAGAAGAAGAAAAAGAAGAAGAAAGATAAGAAGAAGAAGCACAAGAAACACAAGCACCACAGCCCCAGCAGCAGTGAAGACGAACAGGCAAAAGCCAAGTACGTTTAGAGAGAGCCAGTGTGGTGTAGTGGTTAAGAGCAGTGGACTCGTAATCTGGGGAACCGGGTTCGCTTCCCTGCTCCTCCACATGCAGCTGCTGGAGGACCTTGGGCCAGTCACACTTCTCTGAAGTCTCTCAGCCCCACTCACCTCACAGAGTGTTTGTTGTGGGGGAGGAAGGGAAAGGAGAATGTTGGCCGCTTTGAGACTCCTTCGGGTAGTGATAAAGCGGGATATCAAATCCAAACTCTTCTTCTTATACGCAGTGCGACCTTGTTCAACACTCATTTCCTGTTCTTAATTAGCAACGTATTTTCCACTCTTGGTTGGGTTGGTCTTGTGAGGTAGGGCTTTGTCACTCATTTTGATGTTGATAAAGGAGGCTAAGGAGAGAGTGATTTGCCCACAAATGCAGAGACAGGACTTGTACCTACTCTGCCCGTGAAGCAGCAGTGGATATTCAGTATCTGCTAAGTAATGACAGGCAGAACAGTTTTCTTTCTCCCTTCAGAAATGTCCTTGTGGGGGGCAGAGGCACCTCCTTTTCAAGCCTATGCACTTGCACATCTTTCTCCTGCCTCAGGCAATTCGTTGGATCCCCAGGGAGTTCCTGCTGCCAGGCTTGCCTTGTTTTCCTTCCCCTTGTCTATCTGTTAGCCTGGGTTCCTTGACAAGGCTTGGTGTCTACAGGTTAGGCATTCAGAATTAGGTGCCATGTAAACCACAGAGCCTAGAACCTGCCGATCAGAAGGTCCGTGGTTTGAATCCCCGCAACAGGGTGAGCTCCCGTTGCTCGGTCCCTGCTCCTGCCAACCTAGCAGTTCGAAAGCACGTCAAAGTGCAAGTAGATAAATAGGTACTGCTCCAGCGGGAAGGTAAATGACGTTTCTGTGCGCTGCTCTGGTTCGCCAGAAGCGGCTTAGTCCTGCTGGCCACATGACCCGGAAGCTGTACGCCGGCTCCCTCGGCCAATAAAGCGAGATGAGCACCGCAACCCCAGAGTCGTCTGTGACTGGACCTAACGGTCAGGGGTCCCTTTACCTTTTTAATATCTGAGACTCTGTAGCTATCAGACCACCTGGAGAGGTTCAATAATAACCAGGCTGACAAAGAGGCTGGCATAAATTTTGCTTTTGTCCTTTGCTCTAGGTCACGGGAGAAAATGGACCGCTCTTCCTCGGAGCCTCTTCACCCTAAAATACCCGGGTATGGCTTACAGGTACGCCCAAGCTGTCTACCCTTAAGTCTCCCCCCCCCCACTGGGTGGCATTTACAGTGAGCAGAAAGGAAGGGCTGAAGACCACGGCTGGCAAGCATGGTTGCCTCCATCACCAGTCGCACCTTTCTCCCATTTCAGATCCAAAACGCCAGCCGCGAAAGCACATTTGGCCACAAGGTCCAACAGAGTTCCGGGTCGAAGAGCCGCGGCCTGTCGCCAGAGAGGACGTCTGGCAAGAAGAACGCTTACGAGGCGGAGCAGAGCAGCCGCAGGAGGTCAAGGTCACCTAGGCACAATAAACAGTAAGCAAGGAGAGGGGGGCAGCTGTTGCTGGGTGCCTATTGATAGTGCTATGGAAGCCAGTCTATTTCTGGCTTAGAATCATTTACTTGTGGTGGAGTGTCATGAGAAAGCAGAATGGGGTCTGAGTGTACTTAAAGGGAGATAATCCCATCTCCAGCGTATGTCTCACCCACCCTGTGTTCATCACCTGAGACCCTTCTTTGTGTGTCTCCTCCGCAAGAGGTCCAGAGAGTGGCAGCGGAAGAAGGGGCCATTTTTGCCATGGCTCCCTGTTTGTGAAATGCTCTCCCCAGGGAGGCTTGCCAGGCGCCTTCATTAGATATCTTTAGGTGCCAGGCAGAAAAAGTTTATTACTTCTCTGGCTGATTAACATTCTATGGCCTTTTTGTGGGAGGGGGGATATTGGTTTGTTCAACTTTTTTATTACGTATTTTGTGTTCTCATTTTGTATTTTTATCTTGTGACCTGCCCTGTAATCTTCGGATGAAGGGTGCTGTACAAATTCAATTAATAATAATAATAGTAATTGTACAGTGGTGCCTCGCAAGACGAAATTAATCCGTTCCACGAGTCTCTTCGTTTTGCAGTTTTTCGTCTTGCAAAGCACGGCTATTAGCGGCTTAGCGGCTTTAAGAAAAAGGAAACGAACTCGCAAGACGTTTCGTCTTGCGAAGCAAGCCCATAGGGAAATTCGTCTTGCGGAACGACTCAAAAAACGGAAAACTCTTTCGTCTTGCGCGTTTTTCGTCTTGCGAGGCATTCGTCTTGCGAGGTACCACTGTACAGTGGTACCTCTGGATGCTAACGGGATCCGTTCTGGAGCCCCATTCGCATCCTGAAGCAAACACAACCCGCGTCTGTGCATGCGCAGGTCGCAATTCGCCGCTTCCACACATGCGCGTGACGTCATTTTGACCGTCTGTGCATGCATGAGCGGCGAAACCTGGAAGTAACGCGCTCCGTTACTTGCGGGTTGCCACGGAGCGCAACCTGAAAATCCGAAGCTACTTCAACCCGAGGTATGACTGTACAAGATTGGGAAGGGGCAGGAGAATGGAATAGGTCCAAGACTCATTGGGACCAAATGGTTATTTTCGTGGCGGATATAAAAAAAGGATCTTCCTGAATTGCAGCCACAACATCAAGGAACAGAAGGCAAAAAGGAGTCCTTCGCCGAAGCAAGAAGTCTATAGAAGACCACAGACCTCAAGGTATGTTTAAGTGGGTACAGCGCCAGGGGGTGCATTGTGAAGAAAGGGAAAGAGCTCTATAAGGCTGCATCCTTCATGCAGGAGGCTGCAAGATGGATTGGCAAAGCAAGGCGACGATATTCAAAGTCCCGCACTTGGTGTTTAATTCAAGTCCACCTTCCTGGATGCTGAAGGCCAGAAAGCTGCTCTTAGGTGCTTTTTTTTAGGTTTTAGACTTCAGTTCTGTGCCCTGGGTGGTCCAATGTACTTAGTAGACCTGGTTAAAACCAGAAGAATCCTGGTGTGGGTGTGAAATCTAGATCCCTTAATGCCCATGTGCCATGCTCTGCCCTGGCTTCCTTTTCATTTCCGGGCAAATTCAAGATTGCCCATGTGCTCTAAAGGAGCTTGACATACTGCAAGTAGCCAGAGGCAGTTTGCTGTAGCTAAGAGAAATCCATTTGCTCGGAGTTCCCCAGTTAAGCAGGGATTTGATTTGAACCCAGGTCTTTTCACTTACCCTATTTGTATGACCGCCCATCAACCCATGTTCTCCTTGGTTCACCAAAAAAAACAAAAAACAAATAGTGTTCAGATCCGATAACACTGATCAAAGTTACAGCATTCTGCTGTAGCTCCAGCACTGGAGGCTGGGCAGACTGAAACTGAACATGATCTCCTTTAGGAAAAAACTCTCTGCGGAAGAGCTGGAGAGAAAACGTCGAGAAATGATGGACAATGCCAAGTGGCGGGAAGAGGAGAGAGCGAAGAACGTGAACAGACACAGAAAAGAAGAGGAGCGAGAGCTCACCCGGGATAAACTTGACAACGGCAATGGGAAGTTTATACAGTGAGTTTCCTCCCTTCCTCTGAAACTTGGGGGGGGGGGGAGCTATAGCTGAGCATGTGCTTTGGGTTCAGTCCCTGTCATCTCAAGTTAAAAGGATTGAGTGATGGGAGACCTTGGAGAACCACTGCCCAAAATATTAGACGTCACTGGGTTACATGGATGCGGGTGGCGCTGTGGTCTAAACTGCTGAGCCTCTTGGGCTTGCTGATCAGAAGGTCGGCGGTTCAAATCCCCGTGATGGGCTGAGCTCCTGTTGCTGTTTCCCAGCTCCTGCCAACCTAGCAGTTCGAAAGCACGCCAGTGCAAGTAGATAAATAGGTATCGCTGCGGCAGGAAGGTAAACGGTGTTTCTGTGCGCTCTGGTTTCCGTCATGGTGTTCTGTTGTGCCAGAAACGGTTTAGTCGTGCTGGCCACATGACCTGGAAAGTTAAGGTAAAGGTAAAGGGACCCCTGACCATTAGGTCCAGTCGTGACCGACTCTGGGGTTGCAGCGCTCATCTCGCTTTATTGGCCGAGGGAGCCGGCGTACAGCTTCTGGGTCATGTGGCCGGCATGACTAAGCCGCTTCTGGCAAACCAGAGCAGCCCACGGAAATGCCGTTTACCTTCCCGCCAGAGTGGTACCTATTTATCTACTCTTGCACTTTGACGTGCTTTTGAACTGCTAGGTTGGCAGGAGCAGGGACCAAGCAACGGGAGCTCACCCCGTCGTGGGGATTTGAACCGCCGACCTTCTGATCGGCAAGTCCTAGACTCTGTGGTTTAACCCACAGCGCCACCCGCCTCCCTTACCTGGAAAGTTAGCTATAGACAAACGCCGGCTCCTTTGGTCTGAAAGCAAGATGAGTGCTGAAACCCTATCATCGCCTTTGACTGGACTTAACCGTTCAGGGGTCCTTTACCTTACCTTTTTTTTCTTTTTTTTACATGGGCCAGTGGTCTGATTTAAACACCTTCATGCTTTCCTATAAAATTTCAGTTCCAAAACTAAAGTAAGGGTTGCACGTGGCTCAGGAAGTATACCGTATGCAGTTGGTATGTGGTTTAAGAAAAGGCTTTTCCCTTTCTGAGCCCATTTCCACCTCTTTCCTTCCTGCCTAAAATTCCTTTTGGTGGGAAACACCCTTGGGGTAGAAGGCAGGAGGCTGCTTTTTCCAACCCATCACGTTTCTTTCTCTCTCGGTTTTCCTGCAGCCACATAAAGCTTGAGAGTGCGTCAACCTCTTCCCTTGAAGACAGGGTCAAGAGGAACATTCACTCCATCCAAAGGACAGCGGCAGCCCTGGAAAAAAACTTCATGCAGAGATGAGACTTGCTTCTGACTTCCTCCACCGGACCACTGGACCAGATAGGGAAACCTTCGTATAAACTCCACAGCTCAGGCCAGCTGCCCTCTCACTGTGTGAGAGGGCTTATACCTGGGTATCATGAGGAAGACATTATCTTTGATGCTTTGCTATAAGGGTCGTTTTTTTCCAAACTAGGATGTCGTAAAGGCCTGTGGGGTCCCAACTTTTGGAAGAGTTTGATGTACTCCTGGCAAGGCTTTTTGATGGTAGGCCCTGGCTTGAAGCTCCATAGAGCTATAACATTTAGGCTAGAGGGTATTAGCTAGAGGAGATTTGCATCCACAGTGAATGGAACAGAAAGAAAGAAGAGGCGGTCCTTTCGCTTCTGATTATGTCATCGCTTCTTATAAGGAGCACAGCTGCCAAAACCCCGTGTATTTTATTGGCTGATCATAATTCCTTTTTTGTTTCTTAAATAACTTGATATTATTGGGCATTGGACCCATCCAAAATTTAGTGAGGCAAGTGGAGAATTCTGGGGATTATAGTTTCCCTTTGGCTTATGTTTCTGTTTTGTTGAGTTATTCTCCCCCACCCCCAAGACTGGTGTTCTATCCAGTCCATTTTTAAAACAACTTTTAAATAAGATTTTGTGCTGGGTACCTAATACCGTAGAGACAGGGGTGCCTTTTATAAAAAGAGGCTTTATTTTATTTAAAGCGTTTTAGTGGAGACAGATGCACTTTCTGAAGTGAAACTTAGCTCTCTGAAGAATAGACAAAAAGGTAATACCTGACCTAACGGGACAGCCGTCTTTGTGTAGTCTGTGATGTGTAAATGCTGATCTTTGTATAAAATCCAGCTGGAATAATAGATATTGTTTCTCTTAAGCAGCTGTTTTAACCTTTTTGTGGTGATTTATCTTGATAAGCCGTTCGCATTCGCAGGTCATTTGAAATATTGTTGTGTTTCATGTGGAATGGCAGAAGAATGTGCGGTGATTGCAGGGCTGGGGGAAGCACACAAATCCCCGTTTTGTAGCAACTGGCTTTGGAAACAGGCCCTTTTAGAGTGAAAAGAGGGCTGTCAAGTATGTTCCCAAAACACTCTGCTTACAAGGACAGTGACTATCCTCACCCACAAGGCTTTTAAAACAATCCCGGGATAGGTACAAAGAGCTATATGGGAGGATGAAGGAGCAGCCTCTCTGTAGCCTGCAGCCAGCGCCTCAACTCAAGGCACAGTTTAGAAGAAAAACTACTCACTCTTCCTGGTTTTTTACCCTTTCAAATTATTCTATATTTGTAAAGATGTGTTAACTGTTGTGCCAGGAAATTTCTACTAAATATGAGATTTATTTATTTTTTAATATCTATTTATCATTACTTATGGCACAAAATTTTCCCTTCTAATTGAAGAGAGAGGGCAGAAACTAAAATGGTAAAGGGACCCCTGACCATTAGGTCCAGTCGTGGCCGACTCTGGGGTTGCGGCGCTCATCTCGCTTTATTGGCTGAGGGAGCTTCCGGGTCACGTGGCCAGCATGACTAAGCTGCTTCTGGCGAACCAGAGCAGCACACGGAAACGCCGTTTACCTTCCCGCAGGAGAGGTACCTATTTATCTACTTGCACTTTGATGTGCTTTTGAATTGCTAGGTTGGCAGGAGCAGGGACCAAGCAATGGGAGCTCACCCCGTCACAGGGATTCAAACCGCCAACCTTCTGATCGGCAAGTCCTAGGCTCTGTGGTTTAACCCACAGCGCCACCCGCGTCCCTTGGCAGAAACCACTTGGCTGCTTTTGGCTGTGTACTTACATTTTTAATGGTGAAAAGGGGCCCCTTAAGAAAATCAACTACAGCAATTGTATAATTCACAGGAGTGAATGTTAGTATTTTGACAGCTGTCTCCAAAGTTAACATGGCCACTTTATACCTTCCAGGAATCCCTCCTGGCCCATAGCCCTGTATGAGATTTCTCTGTTTCCTCTTCTTTCCTTAGCTTCTTATTTCTGATCTTCAGACTCTCTCCTTCTCCTTTCCCTCAGGATCATGATTCTCAAGCATCTACATGTTTGCTTCCTTCTTCTTGGCTACCGCACCTTCTTTGAATAATGATTACCACTGTCCACTTCCACCTCAGCCCAATTATTTTTAGGCCTTTGTCCCATCCAAACTGCTCTTTACTTTGTGAAACTAGAAATAAAGTGGACCAGCTTATGATTATGACATGATAGTCATCTTCGGATATCTCAAGCACTGTCCCATGGAAGAGGGAACAAGCTTGTTTTCTCCTGCTCTGGAGGGTAGGACTCGAACCAGTGGCTTCAAGTTACAAGAAAGGAGATTCCGACTAAGCATCAGAAAGAACTTCCTGACAGTGAGAGCTGTTCGACAGTGGAACGGTTGTGGACTCTCCTTCCTTGGAAGTTTTTAAGCAGAGGTTGGGTGGCCATCTGCCATGGATGCTTTTAGCTAAGATTCCTGCGTCGCATGGGGTTGGACTAGATTGATTGATTGATTGATTTCAGTTTTGTGTGTGGGCATGAGGTTTACCTGGGAGGAGTCACCCTTTTTCTTTAGGCTTGTTTAAATGTAGGTGCTGACCTGGAAAGCCCTAAACGGCCTTGGCCCAGTATACCTTGAAAGTGTGTCTCCACCCCCATCGTTCAGCCCAGACACTGAGGTCCAGCTCCAAGGGCTTCTGGCAGTTCCCTCACTGCAAGAAGTGAGGTTACAGGGAACCAAGCAAAGGGCCTTCTCGGTAGTGGCACCCGCCCTGTGGAACGCCCTCCCTTGAGATGTCAAGGAAATAGACAACTATCTGACTTTTAGAAGACATCTGAAGGCAGCCCTGTATTGGGAAATTTTTAATGTCTAATGCTTTACACAATTTTTTATGTGCTGCCAGCCACCCAGAGTGACTGGGGAAGCCCAGCCAGATGGGCGGGATATAAATAATAAAATTGCTATTTTTATTATTATTTATGAATGATTTCCCACCAGCCCAAAATGGGCTGGAAGTTGGGTAGTTGTGGGGGAGACAATGCTTAATGGAGAAGAAAAGAAAGAAGGGCTCAAATTTACCCATACACTGGACACTTTTTTCTCTTTGGGTTGTCAAATGGGGTGGAGGAGCTACTGAAGGCATGACAGCTATGAGCGAAAAGGGAGACATGGCTCTACAATAATTGCGTGAGGTTCACTCCAGCCACAGGCAGCGCTGTCTGCAAAAACACCACGTCCCTGACGTACCATCGCAATTCCCCCATTCATAATTCCAGGCGCCTCGCCGCTGATTGGTCGTAAGACGGAGAGGCGTGGTCCCTCCCATCTGTACGTCACTTTCTCTTTACCGGAGCGTACTAATACTGAAAGAAAGGGATGTGGAGAAAATCTTTCTGGTTCCGCTGCACGAATCTCCCTTTAACCAGTCTCAGATTGATATTTTTTCTCCCCTCCACACGGGGAACCCCCGCGTGCCTCGGCTTTAACTATCCTCGCAGCACTTTTCTCCCCCCAACTGAAGCGCAAATGGTACATCCCGCCCCGCCGCCCGCCCCCCTCCCTCCGGCCGACGCCATCTTGACGCCTCTGCGCAGGAGCCGAGCGCGCGGGGTGCTCGTTCCGCGGTGGAGCAAACCACCGAGGAGGAAGCGCGGGGGGGAGGGAGGGGTGGAAGGGAGGTGGGCAGGCGGGGCGGGGCGACGTGTTGCCCGCGGACGAAACTACTTCTGGCGGCCGCGAAGGGGTGTCTCTGTGTGTGAGGCGGGGGGGGGGGGGCGGGCAAGCGCCCGGATTCGGTTCGCTAGGGAGGCGGGCGGCGCTATTCGGCAGCTGACAGCGGGTGGGTGGGGCGCGGGCGCGACCATTATGCGGACGGCGGGGGTGGCAGCGCGGCGGCCGATTCTCTGAGCGGAACCACTTGGTGGCACGCAGCGGGGGGGGGGGGGCGAGAGGGGTCTGCTGCGAGCCAGCGGCTCAGGTGATACAGGTGCGGCGGCGGCGGGCGGTACCACTCTGAATTCTCTCGCGGGGGGGAGAGGGCAAGAGAGCGAGGGAGGGCGTGCTACTGACGGGCTTGGAATGGTAACAGCTCTGAGGAGGCGTGGCCGGGCGGTACCATTCGGGGGAGGCGGGCGGGGAGGCATGCCACAGACTTGACGTGTGCGTGTCTGCGAGGGGGGGAATGTTCCATTGCGCGTGGGTGAGGAAGGCTCCATGTGGTGCTTCTGGAGGGCCCCGTCGAGGGTGATACCTCTGCATTCAGCAAGGGGGGCAGAGGGAGGCAGGAGGTACCACTTAGGGGACTGAGGGGGGGCAACTTTTGGTTTTGGGGGTGCCTCTCTGGGGAATGCCAGGCAGTGCCAGCGCATGGGGCAAGTGGTGCCATTTTGAGCTGTGGTATCGTAAGGGGTGTGCCTTTCACCCAAAGAGCATCAATAAGCGGGTATTGGAAGGGACCATGCCCAGGCCCCGCTGCTCTTAGGGGGCTGTGAGGGGTGCGTGGCGGTGGTGGTGGTGTTTTTGGGCAAGCCAGGAGCCCAGAGGACCCCCTGGCCGCCATGGCCTCCAACTGCACCGGAGGCACGGCCTCGGCGAACGTCGGCGCGGCCATCGGAGCGGCGCTGAGCGCTTCCAAGACCAAGACGAAGAAGAAGCATTTTGTGTGCCAGAAGGTGAAGCTCTTCCGAGCCTCGGAGCCGCTCCTCAGCGTCCTGATGTGGGGAGTCAACCACACGGTGAGCAAGAGAGGCATGCAAACGTAGGTAGATCCCTACTCCCACTTCCCTTGAGTCACGCACAGGCGAGAGACGAAATGTGGCATTCATCCATCTCCATTAGGAGAGGTACACCTTCTCATGCCATGAGTCTTAGTGGCAGATCTTTCGCATCACCTGTTTGTTTGTTTTCAGTGACTAAGCTCGGAAGAACCAGTTCTTACAGGTCCTGTTGCCAACATGGATTAGGATGCATATTCTGCAGGAGAACATGCTTGGCGGAAAAGGGAATTTAAAAGTTCCCATCTTTTGACACGGGTGGCCTGTCAGGTTTTGTTGGGCTGCAGTTTCCATCAGCCCCGGCTGGCGAGGCCAATGGTCAGGGTTGATGGGTGATATAGTCTAGCAAGATCTGAAGGGTCACCATTCCCCAACCTCTATTTTAAAATACTGTATTTTTCGTTCTATAGGACGCACCGGACAATAGGACGCACCTTGTTTTAGAGGGGGGAGAACAAGAAAAAAAAATTCTCCTCCTCTCTGCCCAGCGCCCCTTCAGCGAAGCGGCAGGAGGCGCTGCGCAGAGAGGGGGAGAATTTTCCCCCTCTTGTTTTCCCCCTCTAAAACAAGGTGCCGTTTAAGGTGCATTCAGTCGCCTTCAGGTGGCTACCTTGGAAGCCTGGAGAGCGAGAGGGGTCGATGCACACCGACCCCTCTCACTCTCCAGGCTTCAGGTTCCTTTCGACCTGCTCTTTGGGGCTGGCGGGGGGAAGCCCACCACCAGCCCCAAAGAGCAGGTCGGGAAGCAGCGGAAAGGCACGCAGCGGAGAGGCTCCTGCCATAGCCGCGCGTCACCTCTCCAGCCGGGAGAGGGTCGCGGGGCTATGGCTTCTTCGCTCCATAGGACGCACACACATTTCCCCTTCATTTTTGAAGGGGAAAAAGTGTGTCCTATAGAGCGAAAATACGGTAATCTAGTCGTTCGCGGAGCATGTTGTAATATTCGTAATACAACAGCTTGGGGTCATCCACTGCAGCTGACTATCGGAACATCCAAAAGGATGGACTTCACACAGCACATAGTTTAATTCTGGAAGAGGCCACCACAAAATGTGGTGGTGGCCACCATCTTGGATGATTTCAAAGAAGATTAGGCAAATTCATGGAGGATAAGGCTATCAGTACCTACTAGTTATGATTATTATATACTACCTTAGTATTGGAGGCAGTAAGTCCCCAGTTGCTGGGGATCACGAGTGCGAGAAGGCTATTGTGCTCATGTTGTGCTTATGGGCTTCCCATTGGTATCTGGTCAGCCACTGTGAGAGCAGAGTGCTGGACTTGGTGGGCCTTTGGTCTGATCCAGCAGGGTTTCTATGTTCTTGTTAAATGCTGTGTGAAGGGGTAACAGCAACAGCACTGTGTTTAATGAACTTGAAGGAGGGCCCTTCTACGTGGATGTCTTTCACATTGATTTCACACAGTGAGATAGGCAGGTACAAGTCCACCTCCCAGTTTACCTTATCTAGGGTGGCTTTCCCTGTTGACCCTTCTCTTCAGCTGTTATGGGAAGAAGAGACAAAAGGTTTTTCAGCCACTTCAGCAATTAACTCCCCAGTCCTACATGTTTCTGCTCAGAAGTAAGCCCAATTTCCTGCAGTAGGACTTACTCCCAGATAAGTGCAAGTAGGATTGCACCCTAAATCAGATCTAAGCAAGCAAGTTTCCACTTTTATATTGGCTTGGATGTGTCTGTTTGGAGTAAGCTGAACACTACAAACTTGCTTCTATAAATACATTATTTTGCTGTGATGAATTCTGATTTCTTGGGTTTAATAATTCACAGTTTAAAACATGCATGCATAGTTTTGGATGGTGGTTTGGCGCTTGATGAGGCTTGTAAAATATTCCAAATATTTCCCCAACTATTATTGGTGCTACGGTGACCAGGCAAATGAGATTTTGTCAGCCTTATTCAAAACCCCTCCTTTTACACCAGGTAACAGAAATGAGTGGTCACTTCCTCTCCTGAGGACAGAAGTGTTTTGCTGAATCTGGGTTCCAATCCCCATTCATCTTGAGCTCGCGCTGTTGCAGTTTATTGCTACTCTATTGATCACCTGTGTCAAATGGGAAGAGTACCTTCCCGAGTATCTGGGTGGAGAACGAGAGAAGATGGCAACATTTTCAATATGCAACAGTGTGCCAGATAAATGCTACACAAACATCTTATCAACTGTTGCAATTTAATAGTCATTTTGGTTGCAATCATTTGTACACCAGCCACCCAGGTGTTGTGGAACTCCAGTCCCCATGAGCCAACAGGCAGGGCCAGGCGGTTGAAAGGCATTGTCCCACACCTGGAGGACTGCAAATTCCACGTTTCCCACCTGTGCCCTAAAGGTGTTTGCTAGCTGTGGTTGATAAAATGGCACCAGATAACTGGCAGGGCATTTATTGAGTAGCGCAGGCATAGGCAAATTCGGCCCTCCAGACATTTTGGGACTACAACTCCCATCATCCCTAGCTAACAGGACCAGTGGTCAGGGATGATGGGAATTGTAGTCTCAAAACATCTGGAGGGCCGAGTTTGCCTATGCCTGGCAGAGCCCCCCTCCTGTGGACTGGGAACAATGCTGCCTGTTCAGGAATTGTCTACAGTATATATGCATGTACTGGTTTGTGAGAGGGGGCTGGATTATTCAGTGGTGTGAATATTGGCGCCATGCATAATTTATATGAGCAAAGTGCCCCCTTCCCCTGGACTTTCACATTCCCTGTGATAAATATGGCAGTGTTGTCCTATGTGTCATGCATAAACTCTGTGAAACCACACCTCACTCTCGGATTATTGGATATTCCTCTGCCTCTGCTAAGCATGAGACAAAATGCAGTAGCAAGTAGAGAGAATGTCAACTTTGGCAATGTGTCTTGCTCAGCAGGAAACTGGAGGGCACAGGAGACCTGGATTATTATTATTATTTGTCTAGGGTTTGATGAATTGAGTAAAGTAACTGGACGGCTTGAATTTACAAGCAGCGCTTTTACCTGCAGCTGACCTGTAATTTTGTAATATTGATTTAATGGCGTGTTTTGTTGCAACTGCGTTATTCAATTTGTTTTAAGTTGCCTCAAGTAATAGGAAAGTCGCCAGGCAAACGCAGTGAATAAAAAGGAATAGCTTTGACCAATCCTGCCAAATCGGTTGGGTAGGTTTGTGTTGGACAGAGGGGTCACATAGTTGTTAATCTGTGGGGTTTCTTGTTGCCAGAGGTGATGCTGGCCACCAGCATAAAAGGCTTAAAGATTAGATGCATTTATGGGTGGCACTGAGGGTTAAACCACAGAGCCTAGGACTTGCCGATCAGAAGGTCGGCGGTTCGAATCCCCGCGACGGGGTGAGCTCCCGTTGCTTGGTCCCTGCTCCTGCCAACCTAGCAGTTCGAAAGCACATCAAAGTGCAAGTAGATAAATAGGTACCGCTCTGGGGGGAAGGTAAATGGTATTTCCGTGCGCTGCTCTGGTTCGCCAGAAGCGGCTTAGTCATGCTGGCCACATGACCCGGAAGCTGTACGCCGGCTCCCTCGGCCAATAAAGCAAGATGAGCGCCGCAACCCCAGAGTCGGTCACGACTGGACCTAACGGTCAGGGGTCCCTTTACCTTTACCTCTTTATGGGTATGCAACTATTAGTCCCAACAGCTCAATAGAGCCTCCACGTGGCAGGGGTAGGATACCTCAGATTGCAGAGGGGAAACCGCAGTTCTTGCCTTAATGCCCTGCCTCTGCCCTTCATGGAGGTTCCTGGCTATCCCCTGTCAGACGTGGGAGACCCTTGCTAGTTGCCCCTTCAGTGTGACTCAGAGTTGGCAGTTCACAGAAACGGTTTGACTTCTTAATCATTTGGCTCTTCTCAGGAAACAAATTGTGTGGATTTCTTTATTGTGGTTATTATTGTTGTTGTTGTTATTACAGTGGTACCTCAGGTTAAGTACTTAATTCGTTCCGGAGGTCCGTACTTAACCTGAAACTGTTCTTAACCTGAAGCACCACTTTAGCTAATGGGGCCTCCCGCTGCCGCCGCGCCGCCGCCACACGGTCTCTGTTCTCATCCTGAAGCAAAGTTCTTAACCTGAAGCACTATTTCTGGGTTAGCGGAGTCTGTAACCTGAAGCGTATGTAACCTGAGGTACCACTGTAATTTGATTTATATACCACCTTTTTTCAAAAGATCCCAGGGCGGTGCACAACATTAAGAACATATTTTACGGTGCATAAAAATAAGAAGCATAATAGTAGACAGCAGACGAGAATGGTCTGCAGGACAAACTAGCAGCTGCTCTCCAGGGTCTCAGGCAAAGGGGTCTTTTCCAACTTTGGTAGCTGACCTGGTAATGCTGGGAAGTGAAAGTCCGCCTTTTCTGCATTCAAAGTCATTTTTATGTCACCGAGCGACAGAATCTTCTCTTAATTTCGCAAGTATAAGCATGAAGTGTGCTGCCAATTTAGATTCAGGGAAGAACAATACGCCTTGGCTACTAGAAATTCAGGAGGCACTAGCTTTGGGGGTTTCAAAGGGGGTGAGGCCTGTTCACAGGTTCTTATAGGATCAGTGAAAACAGTTGGTCCTGGCAAGTATTAACCACTCCTCAATCTTAACCTTATAACTGCCATTTGTCCAGATTTTAATTTGTCTGAATTAATTTTAAGATGTATTTTAATTAATTGATGCCTGTTTTTATGTATACTGTCTTATTTATATGATGTTAGCCACTCTGAGCCCAGCTCCGGCCAGAGAGGGCTGGGTACAAATAAAATTTATTATTATTATTATTATTTATTATTATACTGAGGGGCAGGTATGAAGCATGGGTAGGTCTTCAAATCCCCACTCAGTCATGAAGCTGACTGGGTGACCTTGGGCCAGTCCCAGCCTCTTAACCTACTTCACAAGGTTGTTGTAGGGATTAACTGAGAATGTGGGGTGAACCATGTACTCCTTGGAGAAAAAGGTGGGATATAAACACATTAAATACGCCCTTCTTAAGCTTACCTGCTTAAGGAAGTCGGAGAGGTCAGCGAGATGGAGATGTCAGTTTCCAACCTGGCAACCAGGGATCTCCATGTGGTCGCAATTGGACCCACAACAGTTGCAATTATTATTATTATTTATACCCCGCCCATCTGGCTGGGTTTCCCCAGCCACTCTGGGAGGCTGCCAACAGAATATTAAAATACAGTAACCTATTAAACATTAAAAGCTTCCCTAAACAGGGCTGCCTTCAGATGTCTTCTAAAAGTCTGGTAGTGGTTTATTTCCTTGACGTCTGGTGGGAGGGCATTCCACAGGGCTGGTGCCACTACTGAGAAGGCCCTGTGCCTGGTTCCCTGTGACCTCACTTCTCGCAGTGAGGGAACCACCAGAAGGCCCTCGGAGCTGGACCTCAGTGTGCGGGCAGAACGATGGGGGCGGAGACCGAGGCCGTTTAGGGCTTTAAAAGTCAACACCAACACTTTGAATTGTGCCTGGCGCCTGGGGAATTTCAAACACTGCTAAATGACTGAGCTACTCCTGCTTGAGGGGTCTTGTCATGGCTGTTGAAGTCCCCCAGGATTAACTTCTTGGGAATTCTCAGCGCCAAGTAAGGTAAGGAGACTATTCGGTAGTGGTGCGGACAGGGTGCTAAAAGAATCCCTAATGTGCCCTGCGGCTCCAACACCAGGTGTGAACTGTCAAAAATGGGAACCCTGTTGTACTGGAAATCTGGCCTGGGAGATGGTATTCTGAGAGGGCAAAGTGACATTGCCTTCCTGACCATCGAGCTGGTCTGGTACTGCAATGAAAAATAATTATTCCCAGTTACCTCAGCGAGTCTTTTCTGTTCTATTCGTGTTTCCAGTTGAATCTCTCCTGGGTGTTTTGCAAATTCTCAAATGCCTGAAACGCCTTAACCTGCAGTATAGAGCTGGCAGTGGAATTTTTTTTACCATACTTTGCACTCAGTTCCTATACTATAAAGGGTGATATATATATAAGAGCAAGTTTTTCCACCCTTGTGGTTGAAGGTGGGTGGGTGATGCCTCCTGTAATGTAAGGAACTGAAAAAGCTTTCCAGTAGTCAAGGCACGCCCTCAGTCCCTTCCTGTTATAGTCCCTTGAATATTAAATGAGAATAAATCCTACACAAAAGAGAGAGAAATAATTGCATTACAGTGGTACCTCAGGTTAAGTACTTAATTCGTTCCGGAGGTCCGTTCTTAACCTGAAACTGTTCTTAACCTGAAGCACCACTTTAGCTAAAGGGGCTCCTGCTTGCTGCTGCCGTGCCACTGGAGCATGAGCACAAGAGATTTATGCGTGATAGATGAGTTGGTCCCACACTCCAAGGATAGCAGTGCGAAAGCTGGGTCTGAGAAAAGTACCTGTGAAGTAATTATGGAGATATAGTGGTACCTTGGTTCTCAAACGCCTTGAGTGTTACGCTGAGGTCTGTCTGTTTTTGCTATTTATTTTGCGTTTTTGTTTTTGCGGCTCTTTTCTGTTTTGTTGTTGTGACTGTGTGGAACCCAGTTCAGCTACTGATTGATTGATTGTGGTTCATTGCTTTCATTTTATGGAGCAATGGTCTCATTAGATAGAATAAATTCATGTTAAATTGCTGTTTTAGGGGTTGTTTTTAAAAGTCTGGAACGGATTAATCCATTTTGCATTACTTTCTGTGGGAAAGCGCACCTTGGTTTTGGAACGCTTTGGTTTTGGAATGGATTTCCGGAACGGATTAAGTTTGAGACCCAAGGTACCACTGTAGTGTCAGAAGTTTGGATCCAGAATCTCTGAACTATGCAACAATCCCACCACATGTGAAGCAATGGTTCAGCATGTCCACAACCCTGCCAACATAAACTGAAGTAGCCTTTGCCAATTCTAACTAGGCAGGAGTGGAGTCCGATGCCATCTTAGCAATGTTTTCAACGTGGCTTCCTGTATTCTTACAGAGATGGTTTTAAGTGGGGGTTTAGACCATATTGCTTTCCATACTTGATCCTCTCTCTGAAGGCCCAGATTACTCTCCCACACTGATTGTAGCCCCTGGGAAGAGCCCAATACTTTACTAAGTAGAATTTTGTAGCTATTGAAAGCCCTACCCTTATTATTTAAAGGTAAAGGGACCCCTGACCATTAGGTCCAGTCATGCCCAACTCTGGGGTTGCGGCGCTCATCTCGCTTTATTGGCCGAGGGAGCCGGTGTACAGCTTCCGGGTCATGTGGCCAGCATGACTAAGCTGCTTCTGGCGAACCAGGACAGCGCACGGAAACATCGTTTACCTTCCCGCCGGAGCGGTACCTATTTATCTACTTGCACTTTGACGTGCTTTCGAACTGCTAGGTTGGCAGGAGCTGGGACCGAGCAAAGGGAGCTCACCCCGTCACGGGGATTCGAACCGCCAGCCTTCTGATTGGCAAGTCCTAGGCTCTGTGGTTTAACCCACAGTGCCACCCGCGTCCCTTTTAGCTGTAGAGTGGTTTTGTACAATTGCATCTAGTGTGCCAGAAGTCCTTTTCAGACACCGCATGGTAGAGTTTAGGCTTGTGAGAGGTTATTGCCACCCATGTCCCTTTACCCTTATTATTTAGGGTCTCATTAATACGAAGTAGTTCAAAGGGAGGAACCATGGCTTGCTGCAAAGGAGGAGCAAAGAGGTTGTATATGTGGACAACATGTTTGTTCACATCCCAGCTTTATACGCCAAGATATAGCCATCCAAGCTTGGCCAATGAGTTCATAAGACTGGATTCCAGTTCCCACAAATGCATGGCACGGGCAGCTGTAGCCTCAGGATTGTACCTGCTCAGTAAACGCAGCAGGGAATTCAGTGTGGCAATGCATTAAGCGTGTGGTTGAATATAAATCTGGTTTCTGTTCTGTACAATTCTGCAGGTCCTCACATAGCGCTGACTCTCCCAGTGAAAGTTTAATGGGGTTTATTGGCTCTGCGCTCACAAGTGCCAGCAGTACAGATGGTTTTCTTTTCCCTCTCCCTTCACTGCCTATTTAGATTTTGTGTTTCTTTTTCAGATTAACGAATTGAGTAATGTCCCTGTCCCAGTTATGTTAATGCCAGATGACTTTAAGGCCTACAGCAAGATTAAGGTGGACAATCATCTTTTCAACAAGTGAGTAATGAGCGTAACTTTTGATCTGATTCTTCCCTAGATAGGAACTTCAGTATATAAATAGCTGGTTTCTTTTTACTTGATGTACAATGATGTATCGCCCATAATTTCACAGGAGTCACTTTGCAATGGAGGTGAGAGAAACGAGAAGCATAGACCGTAGAGGATCACGGTTTTATATACAATTTCCCACGTGTCTGTCTGTGTACTCTAAACCCTGTTGGTGTGTGGATATGGCTTGGAAGCTGCATCTCATCTTTTGAAAAAGACAGGCCGTGAGAAACATTACAGCTCCTATTCAGGTCCAGCTGCATATGGCTACTTATACGTTTTTATGCTTTCAAGCCCAGTTTGATGTTCTGATTACATTTTCAGCCTATCATGGTTTTGGACCTGCATACCTTAAAAGGAGACCTCCTTCCGTATGTTTATTTTCACTTAACAAAATTTATATATCAGTTCTTTTTTTAAGAAAAGCTCTTTTTGGCTTGCAAAAAATGTAAAATGTAACTTCTACAGGTCTGGATAGGCTCACCCGCACAAAAGTGTTTTAAGCAGAAGCCAAAAAGTATATGACGAAACTGCCACAGGAAGCAATTGGCAAAATCCTAAAACTAATGATTTTTAATTTGTGGGGGAATGAATGGATTTTAACTGAACAGCACCCGAGGTGTATATGTGTGTTCTTGGGGTGTTTGTGAAGTTCAGTGCATATAAATAAACACCCCATATGCTAATGCTATGGTTTTGTGTATTTCAAATTCATTCCATCATTCAGCAGTTTAAACCTGTGTTAACAAGAGACACAGATACATCTTGTATTGCATATGGAAAGAGCTCTTACCGCTTTAGCTCAAGATTAGCTTGCCCACAGTTTCCCCTCCCTGCCTCTGGACAGCTGTTATAAAACCAAGGAACACTTAGATTGTGCATTTTGTGGCTACACTGTTCATTAACCTTGCAATTTTTAGCGCTTAGTGCTTTTCAACCGCTTCTGTATATTTTGACCATGACGTTTTGGAATCTGATTTGAGGCCACCTCATTCTGCTTCAGGAGACTGATATATTCAAGGTAGCATCTACCGTACCTTGCAGAAGAAACCAAGAACAGAATAACTTCCCATAAAATAAAGGACAATATTTGTTTCTGTCTAAATATAGGATTTGGGGTGCAGGAAATTCATTTGCCCAGCATTTGAACATAGGAGTGGGGAACAAACTAGCTGGGGTTAGTATCCTGGGAACACTTAGTTGGGAATTTGACCTGTTGAACACAGTGGGGATTCCAAGTAAAGAGTCATAATACTGTGCTGCAAATTGGTACCTTGCCATAATATTTGTTCTAGGTGACCACTCCTTGTTGTGCTTATCTTGCAAAAATGTTTCATAGATGTTGATGAAAGGGAAGGAGAATTTCCACTGCCCCTTTTAAGAACTCTTCAGGGGGTTATGCCTTCGTCTTCTGCAGCAGCACACTAGCACTATATTAATTGTACAGTCGTATCTTGGAAGTCAAATAGAATCCGTTCCGGAAGTCCGTTCGACTTCCAGAATGTTCGAAAACCAAAGTACGGCTTCTGATAGGCTGCAGGAAACAGGCATGTATGGATTTGCAACATTCGGGAGCCAAAACGTTCAGGAACTAAGCTGTTCAACTTCCAAGGTACGACTGTACTCTTGTACTATTCCAGAGCAATGGAGCAACTATCTCCAGAAGTACTTTCAACATTTGTGCAAGGGGAGCATGTTGTTAGGATATAGTTCCGTTCCACCTTAAAAGGGAACAGGCATGACTGTTACGTGTCACATGCCTGTTTACTTCCAGCAAGTCTGCTGGGAACTTCCGTTTGCATATTGCTTTTGCTTTTAGCTGTTTTGCTGGAGACGAAGGGAAGCAGACATGTTTTCCTTTGTTCCTGAACTATGCTGAATAAATGCCTGTAATTAATGCTTACATCTGCCTCTGTCCGCCACTTCTGCTGTGAGAAGATTTATTCACTCTGCTGATAGAGCTTGCACAAGTCTCTAAACGTATCTGAGGCTTGTGTTGCTGATTGATGCTGTTCCAAGGGAGACCGGTGATCGTCTGGCTGCTGGCTAGTGGCTGGAGCCAGCTGGGGGCCAGTCTGCTGCCCCCGTCTCCCCGGCAGTATTCCAACACATGTAATGCGCCCCAGTTCAGGTTTATGGGATGGGATCTGGTCAGAAATGTGCTGGTATAGGTGCCATAACTCCTGCAGCACGTTAAGATTTCTGGCTGGCACATACCTACCAATGTGACTCTGCAGAGACACAAGGGGGAAAGACCTTTACTTGGTACAGATGTAAATGGATCTGGTTGCTATATAAGATTAAGCCAGTGTCTTCTGAAAAGCTGGGGGCTATGTCTGCACAAACACTGCCAACTTCTCTTAAGTTGCTGGGCAGAGTGAAAATGCAAGTCCTAACAAGAGTGTCACAGCACACATCAAGAGGAATCACCCGCTTGTCTTCCATTGGATTCGATTGGCAGGATTACAAATCAGGGAGAGGCTGAACTTTTATCTATTGGTTACATCAGCTCTAGAGAGTATTGCTGTGGTGCGATAGTAAACATTGTCTGAGAAAATATGCCAAGAAAGGAGGTGAACAGGCATGATGCAATGGTAATTGGGTAGTGATAAATGCAAGGTTATGGAAGGCTTTGACAAACTGCTATCTAGCAAAAGGCACAGTAATAATAATAATAATAATAATAATAATAATAATAATAATTTATTTATACCCCGCCCATCTGGCTGGGCTTCCCCAGCCACTCTGGGTGGCTTCCCAAAAAAATATATAAATACTCTAATACATCAAACATTAAAAGCTTACCTAAACAGGGCTGCCTTCAGATGTCTTCTAAAAGTCTGGTAGTTGTTGTTCTCTTTGACATCTGGTGGGAGGGCGTTCCACAGGGAGGGCGCCACTACCAAGAAGGCCCTCTGCCTGGTTCCCTGTAACTTGGCTTCTCGCAGTGAGGGAACCGCCAGAAGGCCCTCGGTGCTGGACCTCAGTAATGAAAACCACATTAAAAGCTGGAGTTGCTATGTGGTTTCACACCGATCCAATTTAGTCCAGGGTTCTGTTCTCTTATGGTGGCCTGTGACTATTGTTCCTTTATGAGCTGGCACCAATACTAACATAATTGGGTCACAAGTACTACAGTGACAATGTCAGCATTAAAAATGCAGCTCTGATTGAACCAGCTCTCTCTTTGATCCAGAAGAGATCTCCATCAACAGAATGGAGGGGAGGGCTCTTTTTGCAACCTTGAACATTGCCAAATGCACCAGTTACTGCCATGAGTGGCTGTTCCATTCTTTGGATGATTCCTCAAGTGTCACAAGGTGTGATACAAGATGACATTGACTGATTTGTGGCATGTGTTACTAGGATAAAAGCTAAACGTGAACTAGCATGTCAAACCACTAAGCGATAGAGCCTAATTATGCAGACCACACTTCCTCCTTGGAAGCCTGCACATGCCCAGGTCATAGAACTCGTTTGCTACCAGCTTTGGGTCGAGTTATAGCAAAAGAACAGTGACTGTCCACTACACAAAATTATATGAATTAAGAGGATCCAGTACCATCCTGAAAGAGGTTGACATGAGTTTTTGCCATCTTGTGAAGGGGAGATCTCAAGGACTGCTCATGAAGAGGCAGAAGTAATGATTCCGTTTTTTAAAAAAAGGTTTAATGTTAGAGAACACTTTTCACTTGTGCTCCATAAAGCATGGAGACGGTGAATTAGTGCGTATATAAAACCAAATTACATCTAAATGCTGAAAGATTGGAAGACTCATTTTGTCAGAAGTCTTTTTTTATTTAAGTGTTTAATTAAGTATTAATTAGGAAGATTATGGGGTTTTTTTATGTACCTAAATTTGCTTTTTCTTTTTTCTCTATTTTCTTTTTTCCCCTTAATTGTTTTTTCTTTAATTTTCTTTTTGTAGTATGAGATTGTAAATTCTTTGTATAAGTGTGCAAATTAAATTAATAAAGATTATTTAAATAAAAGAAAAGAAAGACAGCTTCTCTGCATCTGCTTCTAGGGAGAACCTCCCAAGTCGCTTCAAATTCAAGGAGTATTGCCCACTGGTGTTCCGAAATCTCCGCGAAAGGTTTGCGATTGACGATCAAGATTATCAGGTACGGAGCATTCAAGCAAGCGGATGAGTCGAAACAAAAGGTTGCAATATGTTGGGAGTGGTTTCTGCAGAGGGTTTTGTTCAGGGGACTGGGGTTTGTTTGCAGGGTGAGGCCAGGGGGGAAGTCCTTGCAGGAGGAAGCTTGCTTCACTGGAAGCAAGACAGATCCAGCGTGAAGGATGCAGGATGAGCCAAGGGCCAAAGATACTAGTCCCTGGGGCCAAGGTGGGAAGTAGCAGGGTTACTTTTCATGGGGATGAGATCGGGAAGTAGGGAGGTTCAATGAGGAGGAGGAGGAGGAAGATAGCAGTAGGTGACCATGCAAGCAATGGAAAGGAAAGCCTGCAGCGCTGTGGCAAATTCAGAAGTGCAGAGCCCCTTTATGATAACCACAGCCATGCCTCTTCTGAGATTATACAACTTTCTAATATTGTACAATAATTGTAAATTGTAATTAGGTCCAGTCGTGGCCGACTCTGGAGTTGCAGCGCTCATCTCGCTTTGTTGGCCGAGGGAGCCGGCGTACAGCTTCCGGGTCATGTGGCCAGCATGACTAAGCCTCTTCTGGCGAACCAGAGCAGCGCACGGAAACGCCGTTTACCTTCCCGCCGGAGCGGTACCTATTTATCTACTTGCACTTTGACGTGCTTTCGAACTGCTAGGTTGGCAGGAGTAGGGACCGAGCAACGGGAGCTCACCCCATTGCGGGGATTCAAACCGCCGACCTTCTGATCGACAAGTCCTAGGCTCTGTGGTTTAGACCACAGCGCCACCTGCGTCCCTTCACAATAATCTTACAATTATACAATAATAGTAATTAAGGACGCTGTGCAATGATTGGTGCAGTTCTCCATGTGTTGCCTTTCAGCTAAATCTACTGTATTCTGTGCACGTACATGGGCAATTGATTTAGAGTACTTATTTCAGAGTGACTCTGTTGTCTGCAACAGAGCTCATACACCGCTCTCTTGAAATGGAAGTACCTTGTGTTTTCGGTGCCCCTAAATGCTTGGGCTTGGGGCATACAGGGGCTATAAATCTCCCCTTTTTTGCTGTTCGGGTGTCTCTAAGACATTACAGACAGGGGCCCTGCTACAGAAATGCTAACAGGTCTTTGACCCCGGTCCCATGACCCTGGACCACTACACCACTAGGCACAGTGAAGATCTGTGGTGGATGTGCAGCACAGTCCAGAGTGCCAGCCTCTTCCCGGACAGGCTTGTGTTTGAGTGTGTTTTCAGGGGCAAAGGTCTGGTCTAGAAATCGATCGCTGCTCTGGAATGCAATCCTGGTATATAAGCTGTTATGGCAGCTTTTATGGGAAAACAGAAGAGGTTTCTACACCTGCAGCTGTTTAAAGCAGCTTTGGAAAGATACTGAATACCCAGAAGGGGTGTGTGTGTGTGTGTGTGTGTGTGTGTGTGTGTTCATGCATGGTGAGTGAGCTTTCAGTGAAGAAAGGGACATGACGTTTGCAGTCTATGTGCTTCCCTCTGTTCCCCTTTGCACACTCCTCACCCCCAAACCTTAGCTCTGTCAGTCATCAGGGAATGGCTTCAAACTTGGAAAGAAAAAAGGACTGCTAAAACTTGTTTAGTTGTGTCTGACTCTTCGTGACCCCCTGGACCAGAGCACGCCAGGCACTCCTGTCTTCCACTGCCTCCCGCAGTTTGGTCAAACTCATGCTGGTAGCTTCCAGAACACTGTCCAACCATCTCGTCCTCTGTCGTCCCCTTCTCCTTGTGCCCTCCATCTTTCCCAACATCAGGGTCTTTTCCAAGGAGTCTTCTCTTCTCATGAGGTGGCCAAAGTATTGGAGCCTCAGCTTCACGATCTGTCCTTCCAGTGAGCACTCAGGGCTGATTTCCTTCAGAATGGAGAGGTTTGATCTTCTTGCAGTCCATGGGACTCTCAAGAGTCTCCTCCAGCACCATAATTCAAAAGCATCAATTCTTCGGCGATCAGCCTTCTTTATGGTCCAGCTTTCACTTCCATACATCACTACTGGGAAAACCATAGATTTTACTATATGGACCTTTGTTGGCAAGGTGATGTCTCTAACTCTGCTAAAACTAGATCGAGGTAAAATTAGAGAACTGATTCCAAAGAGTTAGTTAGCTACTTCGATATTTTATTGCTAACCTTTCCCCTTGGCTGAGCAGTTAGAATATTCATAAACATTCCAGCCAGTGGTTAGTGGGGTTTCCTAAGGGGCAGCCATTTTTGCTGGTTCAAAATGCATTCCTCTGATTGGTTACCTTTTAAAGTCAGCAGCAACAAACAGACAGCAACTCTTGGTTTCAATTGCAAAAAAAACCAAGTTTAAAAATGGGATGATTGCAATGCCAAGGATCTGAAAGATGAGGGACGTAGTGTTTTGCTTTGTTCACAGTTCTCTATATTAAGGGGAGTGGGTGGCGCTGAAGGTCAGCGGTTCGAATCCCCGCAACGGAGTGAGCTCCTGTTGCCCTGTCCCAGCCCCTGCCAACCTAGCAGTTCGAAAGCATGCCAGTGCAAGTAGATAAATAGGTACCGCTGCGGCGGGAAGGTAAACGGCGTTTCCGTGCGCTCTGGCTTCCGTCACAGTGTTCCGTTGCACCAGAAGCGGTTTAGTCCTGCTGGCCACATGACCTAGAAAGCTGTCTGTGGACAAACTCCGGATTCCTTGGCCTGAAAGCAAGATGAGCGCCGCAACCCCATCGGCGCCTTTGACTGGACGTAACCATCCAGGGGTCCTTTGCCTTTACCTTTTACCTATATTAAAGTGCAGGCATGCCAACATAATGGAGCTCTGTTGTGCACAAGGCCTGGCACCCTACTGGCATGGCACAATGTGCTTCCGATGCAGCGTTCAATGTCCTTCTTACTCCTGCATCAAGTGAAGTTGCTCCAACTTTCACAGGGCTGGTCTGAAGAGGCGGCCGGTGCATCTCCTCCTTGTTCTTCTGTTTTCTTCTTTGTAGAATTCCGTGACGCGGAGCGCCCCGGTGTACAGTGACAGCCACGGCCGTTGCGGGGTCCGTTTCCTCACCACCTACGACCGGCGGTTTGTCATCAAGGCGGTGTCAAGTGAAGACGTCGCAGAGATGCACAACATCCTGAAGAAGTACCACCAAGTAAGGGAGGTGGAGAGAAAAAGGGTGTCTTAAGCACTAAGCTGGCATGACTGGGAAGCGCTATTTCTGGTAATGCCTGGATTCTGGGTCATTTCTCTACGGGAGCTTCCTGCCCTCCCAGCACTGGACAAGAAAGCAGTTCTGATTATCTGCTTTGCTAGGTTCCCGCAGTAGAGCCAGGTTGTCCTCAGTCCCACTGCAGTCTAAATTGACATTTCTGGTACTGAATTGAGCTAGTTCCTGCTCTGGTTTTCCAATGCAGGGTATGCAAGGCTTTCACCATGGAGCCCGATAAGGTTATCAGATTTTTTTCAAAGAATCCAGGGACACTATTATTATTATAGTACATTTCCGAGCACAATTCAAAGTGTTGGTGCTGACCTTTAAAGCCCTAAACGGCCTCGGCCCAGTATACCTGAAGGAGCGTCTCCACCCCCATCGTTCTACCCGGACACTGAGGTCCAGCGCCGAGGGCCTTCTGGCGGTTCCCTCACTGCGAGAAGCCAAGTTACAGGGAACCAGGCAGAGGGCCTTCTTGGTAGTGGCACCCTCCCTGTGGAACGCCCTCCCACCAGATGTCAAAGAGAACAACAACTACCAGACTTTTAGAAGACATCTGAAGGCAGCCCTGTTTAGGGAAGCTTTTAATGTTTAATGTATCACAGTATTTTAATATTCTTTTGGAAGCCGCCCAGAGTGGCTGGGGAAACCCAGCCAGATGGGCGGGGTATAAATAATAAATTATTATTATTATTATTATTATTATTATTATAGTTTATATACTGCCCTATACTTGAAGGTCTCAGGACAGTTCACAGAAAAAATTCAAGATAAAAGACCACAAAATACAGTGGTACCTCGGGTTACATACGCTTCAGGTTACAGACTCCACTAACCCAGAAATAGTACCTCGGGTTAAGAACTTTGCTTCAGGATGAGAACAGAAATCGTGCTCCGGTGGCGCAGCAGCAGCAGGAGGCCCCATTAGCTAAAGTGGTGCTTCAGGTTAATAATAATAATAATAATAATAATAATAGTAATAATAGTAATAATTTATTCTTTATACCCCGCCCATCTGGCTGGGTTTCCCCAACCACTCTGGGCAGCTTCCAACAAAACACTAAAATACAATAACCTATTAAACATTAAAAGCTTCCCTAAACAGGGCTGCCTTTAGAACAGTTTCAGGTTAAGAACAGACCTCCGGAACGAATTAAGTATGTAACCAGAGGTACCACTGTACATAATAAAAATAAAAAGAACAGCCCAATAGCCCCCTCCCCAAAGAGCCACATTTTAAAAGGGCATAGGATGTAGATCAGATCAACCAAAGGAAAGGCCTGGTTAAAAGGAAGGTTTTTGCCTGGCGCCTCCAGGTGCATAATGAAGGTGCCAGGCGACCTTCCCTGGGCATTCCACATTCAGCAGCAACTGGAGGGCCACAGTCTAGCCATCTCTGCCACCGGAAATCACAGCCAATAAAATGCTGCCGGTCTCACTCTCCCATAACTCCTTGCAAGCCTTTGCTCACTGCTCTCTAAACATATATTGGGAGCAGCCGCCACAGAAACCCAAATCTGTACTGGAGGATGTATACCTGAGTGTACGACAGTTCCAGGAAGAGAAATAATTAATAGTAATAATCACTTATCTGAAACAACAACAACTCCCCTGGGCAACTCCCAACAGGATATTAAAAACATGATAAAACATCAAACATTAAAAACTTCCCTAAACAGGGCTGCCTTCAGATGTCTTCTAAAAGTCAGATAGTTGTTTATTTCCTTGACATCTGATGGGAGGGCGTTCCACAGGGCGGGTGCCACTACCGAGAAGGCCCTCTGCCTGGTTCCCTGCAACCTCACTTCTCGCAGGGAGGGAACCGCCAGAAGGCCCTTGGAGCCGGACCTCAGTGTCTGGGCTGAACGATGGGGGTGGAGATGCTCCTTCAGGTATACTGGGCCAAGGCCATTTAGGGCTTCAAAGGTCAGCACCAACAGTTTGAATTGTGCTCGGAAACGTACTGGGAGCCAATGTAGGTCTTTCAGGACCGGTGTTATATGGTCTCGGCGGCCACTCCCAGTCTAGCTGCCGCATTCTGGATTAATTGCAGTTTCCGGGTCACCTCCAAAGGTTTCGTTTATCTAAAAAGAAATAATCCCTTTGGTTTCCAAACTCTTGTTGTGAAATGTTTACCTTTTTTTGTATGTTTCTCAAATATACTTGCAAGATTTGAAGCCGTCCTGTCCCTTTTGATCAAGCTGTGCTGAAATTCTGTGGCCTGATTCTGACGGACTTCTTGTTCTTGTTTTCTCCTTGCCTCGTCTCCTCTTTAGTTCATTGTGGAATGTCATGGGAATACGCTTCTCCCCCAGTTCCTTGGTATGTACAGGCTCACTGTAGACGGCGTGGAAACATACATGGTGGTCACCAGGAACGTGTTCAGCCACCGGCTGACAGTGCATCGGAAATACGATCTCAAGGTGAGGGACGTTATAACATTCTTGCGTGGAGCCACATTCTGCGCATCTGACTGGCCATCGTGAAAACAGGATGTTTGGCCAAATGAGCCGCTGGCCTGATCCAGTGTGCTGTTATTACATTTTATTACATTCCAACTTCTTTCCTGTAGTGGACAGTCTGACAGTTTTCTTCCTGAGGAGATGGACATTGGAGGTGTTTTAATTATTTTACTGCATACCACGTGAGAGAGAGCATAGTTAGAAATGCTCAAATAAACAAACTGGATGGGGAAGAGGGGGAAAGATGCTTTCAGATATTTCACAGGTTACCCGCTTGCATGTGGATCCCGTCTCTCGTCATGGGAGTGTGGTATCCTGAGAATCTCAGCTTTCGAGGGTTTGCCTGTAGGGTAAAGGTAAAGGGACCCCTGACCATTAGGTCCAGTCGTGGCCGACTCTGGGATTGCAGTGCTCATCTTGCTTTACTGGCCGAGGGAGCCGGCATACAGCTTCCGGGTCATGTGGCCAGCAGGACTAAGCCGCTTCTGGCGAACCAGAGCAGCGCATGGAAACGCCTTTTACCTTCCCACCGGAGTGGTACCTATTTATCTACTTGCACTTTGACGTGCTTTCGAACTGGTAGATTGGCAGGAGCAGGGACCGAGCAACGGGAGCTCACCCCGTAGCAGGGATTTGAACTGCCAGCCTTCTGATCGGCAAGCCCTAGGCTCTGTGGTTTAACCCACAGCGCCACCCGCGTCCCTTTTAGCTGTAGGGTGGTTTTGTACAATTGCATCTAGTGTGCCAGAAGTCCTTTTCAGACACCGCATGGTAGAGTTTAGGCTTGTGAGAGGTTATTGGAGACCGCTTGAGGGAACCGAATATTAACACTGCGGTGTTATTGTGCTCTGGCTTTCTTAGGGATTTCTACATTAGCCTTCTGGGGCCCCTCTGGGCCATGTGAGAGAGTCTCCTGACCGATGCATAGAATATCTGCCTGCATAGAATTGCTACATGCGTTATGCACGTGGTAGCCAGAAGTTAAATATTTGTGTACTAAGTTCCTGCACTTGTATGTCACATGTGCAACCGTATTTCACATAGCCCCCCCCCCAACTTTTAAGCAATTTTAACACCCAAATTTTCATCCCACTGGTTGCATAAAATGGGTTTGCTTTTTTGTTGTTAATACTGTGAATTTGGTTTTAAGTCTCTCTGTCTCTCACTGCTGGAAATCTTCAGAAAGGCTCTCGGTTATCTAAGGTTCAACACTGGGGGCTATATTTTCTTGAAATACTAAGTTTATTGGCTCTAAAATAGGTCTCCACCCCTTTTCTCTCCAGGGTTCAACGGTAGCAAGGGAAGCCAGCGACAAGGAAAAGGTAAGAGCAGCGGTCGGGGAAGGCATTCTGAATAAATCTACAAATGTCGCTGCTGTGGCTATAATTCTGGTAGGCTTAGAGGAAAGGGGGTGCAGTTCCCCCTTAGCTTCAGAATTGTGTGCTGGGCATTGGAGAGGTGGCTGAATAGCTGTATAGCTGCATCTCCCCATTTAACTCATAACTTTTGATTGCCAATGTTAGAGAGAGCAGGGAGCAACAGCCTCTCTTGAAGTTTCATTCTGTTGATTTTAAATAAAAGAGTGAATCAGAGGGAGAGACAGAAATGGGTATAGCAGAGAGAGAAAGAAGGAGAAAAGGGGAAAGGGGTATAGCAGAGAGAAATGGATGAGAGGGAGATACGGAATGCTCCCATCTTTGGCTGTGGTCCCAGTGTGGTGTAGTGGTTAAGAGTGGTGGACTCGTGATCTGGTGAACCGGGTTCGCGTCTCCGCTCCTCCACACAGCTGCTGGGTGACCTTGGGCTAGTCACACTTCTCTGAAGTCTCTCAGCCCCACTCACCTCACAGGGTGTTTGTTGTGGGGAAGGAAGGGAAAGGAGAATGTTAGCCGCTTTGAGACTTCTTCGGGTAGTGATAAAGCGGGATATCAAATCCAAACTCCTCCCACCCGCTGTTAGCATATGGTCCCTACTGGATTGCTCCCAAGGGTATGCAGCCCTGGACGGGGGGGGGGGGGAGGTTGCTTACCCTTGCATTAATCACCAGACTAGCCAACTAATATTTCAGCTCGTTTAATAAATGAGGACCCCTTTCGATGGGTGACAGAGAAAAGGGCACCCTAGTTTGGTTATCAAGGCTGTTTCCTGGTAATTGTGGTTGCTGGATATATGTGGACTGTGCAGCTGGTATGCTTCTAGAAAGTTGCTCCTCCCCAAACCAGAGGATCTGATCCAATTTGGCTGGACTTGAGAGACCCGTTTGAGCCATAAGATTGGGCAGGCAGTGGGGGGGAGTAAGTGAGTAAGTAAGTAAGGTCAGGTGGAGATCTCCAATGACTGGATAGTCCAAAGGGCAGTTGGTTGCCTACCTCGCCTGTCCAGGCCTTTCAAACTCTGTGTGTGTGTGTGTGTGTGTGTGTGTGTGTGTGTCTCATCCAGGATTATTCTTCTTTGTAATTATAAGCAAACATAATTCCTATGGCTTCCCTTCCACCTCCCAAATTATGCTAGATATATGTTTGCCTCCAGTGAGCGGGTGTGTATGTGTCTTAAACGGCTTCCTTCATGTTAGAAACGAGAATCTTATCAAATGCCTGAAATGATTTCTTTTTTTAATGCAATGTTTTATTTTTCCATTTGGTTATTTAAGAAGTATTTTAATTCTCCTCCCTCATTCTGTCCTGTTTTTCGTACTAATCCGGAAAAGCCAGATGGCTTTTCTCCTATTTTAGGGATTGCCAGTTGATTAGATATTCAGATTACCAAATATTTTTAACCTGACGGGAGTATAAACCTTTCAGACTGTGCATCAGAGCCCTAAAAAGTCGTACCAAAAATGTCTTTTGGGACCGTCCTTTTCTGCTGTTGGGGGATGCTCACACCCATCGTATTGGTGGTACGTCCAAAAGAACGCTTAAGAATCAACAAGTGTTTTTTGGGATTTCGATTCTCAGTTGATTTTTGAAAATCAAACTTTTGTGATTGCAGGTTATTGAAAATGGCATTTAACCTTGCCAAATAAGCAGTTGCCCCAGAAGATCACGAGCAGTGCAGTGGGAAGAAGTCTTTTCACTCACACCTAAGGAAGTTGCGGAAGAAATAAAATTGCCCATTTGGCTATAGTTGTTAGCGTACCTGCTAACTTTTGAAAAATGCAGAAGAGGAAGATCTAGGCTTCCGCCCATGATCTTGAGGCCCTCATCAGCGCTAGTACTTGAGCCCACGGTAGATACAATATTCATTTTTGATGAATATTGGTGATGAAGATTCAGATGAAGAGATATATGTGAGTAAGAGAGTCAAATGGGTCATATTCCTATATCTGTACTAAGAGCAGTTAAAGGTAAAGGTAAAGGGACCCCTGACCATTAGGTCCAGTCGCGGACGACTCTGGGATTGCGGCGCTCATCTCGCTTTATTGGCCGAGGGAGCCGGCGTAAGCTTCCGGGTCATGTGGCCAGCATGACTAAGCCGCTTCTGGCAAACCAGAGCAGCGCACGGAAACGCTGTTTACCTTCCCGCCGGAGCAGTATCTATTTATCTACTTGCACTTTGACGTGCTTTCAAACTGCTAGGTGGGCAGGAGCAGGAACCGAGCAACGGGAGCTCACCCCGTCATGGGGATTCGAACCGCCGACCTTCTGATCGGCAAGTCCTAGGTTCTGTGGTTTAACCCACAGCGCCACCTGCGTTAAGAGCAGTTAAGATGCTACATATAAGGCTGTAGGATTTTGATATTCTGCTTTGTGCAGATTTTGACCTAAGAATTCTGAACACCTGAACCCTTTTAGCTGTTCCTAATATCTGGCTGCCAGGCGCCTAGACAGATAACTCTGGGAAACTCCCAACCAGAATATCTTCCCTTTCTCCTTGTCTCCAGAATCAGCTGATCCAAGAGCTTGTCCCTAAACAGGAAAGTTCTATTTCTGGCTAGCGTTGTTGAAAGCCAGCAATAAGGGTTTTGTAGACAGGCCACTTTGACCCGTCTGCAAGGCTACACTGTCATTCTTGAGATGGGGAAGAGAGAACTTGCACCCAGGACTCGTGTACTAAGTGTGGCAGCACTGTGGCTTTTTATAGTCCCAACAAACCAGAGGAAACCAAAATTTCCCCAGGGTTGGAAAAGTCACCCTGCAGCCTCAGAAGACATTACAGCCCTTGGTGCCCTTCAGTCTGTTGCCAGAAGAGTTGTGCCATGTGCGTCAGAGAGAGCATTGTTCTGGGTGTTTGAGCTTTAGCCCCCAGTAGCTCCCGGGCCGATAATTCCCGTTGTATATTTCATCCCCTCCCTAAATGCTTCCAGCGTCGAATTTGCCTTTCCCATCACCTCAGAGAGCTGACAGTTTTCGGTGAGCATCCTGTTATGACCAAGGCCTCTTTCCTGGATAGATGTGACCTCTTTGGATCTCATCCAGCCTCGACGTGAAATTGAGGGATTTATATATATTTTTTGCACTTATTCCAGTTCCATCTTCTCTCTAGGCCAAGGACCTGCCGACCTTCAAGGACAACGACTTTCTGAACGAAGGCCAAAAGCTCCACGTTGGAGAGGAAAGCAAAAAGAACTTTTTGGAGAAGTTGAAGCGAGACGTCGAGGTAGGGTTTGCTGAGCGAAAATGCGAACGAGTGAAAAGCTTGTCCACAAACCTGGATAGGATAGAAGGGGCATCTTTGCAGACTCATTTCACCCCTGTAAGTTAGAATGCTTATAGACATGAATTGAAGTACCATATATACTTGAGTATAAGCCGACTTTTCCAGCACATTTTTTATGCTGAAAAAGCCCCCCCTCGGCTTATACTCGAGTGAGGCAGGCGGCGGAGGGACGAGCAGCCCAAAAGGAGCCCTTTCAGGCTGCTTGTTCTTCCTCCACCGCTGCCGCCACCACCAGGTTTGTGGTGTGGTAAACTGGCTTATACTCGAGTCAATAAGTTTTCCCAGTTTTTTGTGCTAAAATTACCGTATTTTTCGCTCTATAGGACGCACTTTTCCCCCTCCAAAAATTAAGGGGAAATGTGTGTGCGTCCTATAGAGTGAATGCTGGCTGCGTGGCTAAGCCCAAAGCCAGAACAGGGAGGTGGAGCGCTGTTCTAGCTTGGGGATGGCTGCGTGCAAAGCCTCTGCAGGGCAGCGGGGTGCCTTCACCCCGCTGCCCTGCAGAGGCTACAAAGGCTGTTCCCAAGTCAGAACAGTGAGACGGAGGGCTCCGTCTCGCTCTTCTAGCTTGGGGATGGCTGTGCAAAGCTATCCCTGAAGCCTTTGGAGCACAGCGGGACCTTGCGCTGTGCTCCAAAGGCTTCAGGGATCTTTGAGGCTGGCGGTGGGGGAAAGCAGCGCCTCCCCCCCACCGCCAGCCCCAAAGAGCAGGTCGAAAGGAACCTGAAGCCTCCGGAGCCCAGCGGGAGCTCCCCCCCGCGCTCCAGAGGCTTTGGGTTGCCTTCACTGAAGAATGGAGAGCGAGAAGGGTCAGACCGACCCCTCTTTCTCTCCAGGCTTCCAAGGTAGCCGCCCAAAGCCTCCGGAGGCTTTGGATAAATGCACCTTGAACGCACCTTGTTTTAGAAGGGGAGAACAAGAGAAAAAAATTTTTTTCCCCTGTTCTCCCCCTCCTATGGTCCGGTGCGTCCTATGGTCTGGTGCGTACTATAGAACGAAAAATACGGTAGGTGCCTCGGCTTATATTCGGGTCAGCTTATACTCGAGTATATACGGTATGTTTGAATTCGAGCTTTGAGTGAGGCCAGAGTGCCCGCTCACCCAGGGTTTCATTTGCTGTCTTCCTGAGCATTTGGTGCTTGGGCTCAGAGGTGGACAAGTGCCTTCGGCTGGTGATTAATTGTCTGACAGCAGGATGACTAAAAGCCAATAGTCAGGAACGCAGAAGGTAGATGCAGTGGTCTCCCTCAAGGACAAATTGCCCGGGCTGGACAAAGGCAGGAGTTTTGTATCAGCCAGTCAGTGGCACTGGAGTGGTTATCTGGTGTCACCTGACTTCCCAGACATAAGAGGATTGTGGGCTGTTGTGCGACTGTTCCAGCCAGAACCATGTGCAGTCCTGACCAGGTGGCAACAAGAACTCTGTTTTTGATGCACCGGTTTGATCCTGGCAGCTCCCGAGGGCATGATTCTCTGCCTCTTTCCCGTCAGCCTCCTCTGGGTTCAAATACTGTATTTTTCGCTCTGTAAGGCGCACCAGACCACAAGATGCACCTAGTTTTTGGAGGAGGAAAACAAGGAAAAAAATATTCTGAATCTCAGAAGCCAGAACAGCAAGAGGGATCGCTGCGTAGTGAAAGCAGCAATCCCTCTTGCTGTTCTGGCTTCTGGGATAGCTGCACAGCCTGCATTCACTCCATAAGATGCACACACATTTCCCCTTACTTTTTAGGAGGGAAAAAGTGAGTCATAGAGCAAAAAATACAGTAACTGCCCTTCCTCTGCGCTCCTGGTAGGATTGGGCCAACACAAAAAAGCAGCACAATCGCCTGACCTCAAAGAGGTGAAGCCCAGCCTCTCCTCAGAGTTTGCCTCCTTTCAATTTTCACCCTGGAAGAGAGAGAGAGAGAGTGTACACACCCTGGAAGTGTGTGTGTGTGTTTGTGTGTGTGTGTGTGTACATACACACGCACACACATATACACATACATTATGTACACACACACACACACACACACATATATATATATATATAGGGGGTGTGAACGAAGTGTTCCTCCAGTCTTAATTCCAGAATAAAGTTTGCCTTTGCCTTTGTCATTTGCTGGTATGGAGAATGGGGGCTTTTGGAGCAAAAGGGTGAATTTGGTAGGTACGTTCTGAATTGATTCTAGAGAGTGAAAACAGGACAAAAGGAAGGATTAGGAAGAATGGAAAGGTACGGGAGTATGCAGGAGTCCAGGGTAAGAGGTCTAGAGTCTTGAAGCTGATGCGGGGAGTTTGAAAAGGATCATAGTTTGAGATCAGAGCAGTTGGAGACAGAGAGAGAGAGAGAGAGAGAGAGAATGTCTTTCTGTTGGCTTCCAGTTTCTCGCTCAGCTGAAGATCATGGATTACAGTTTGCTGGTGGGGATTCACGACGTGGACCGTGCTGAGCAAGAAGAGATGGAAGTTGAGGACCGGGCAGAAGACGAAGAATGCGAAAACGACGGCATTGGTGGGAACCCCATTGGCTCTTACGGGACCCCGCCTGACAGTCCCGGCAACCTTCTCAACTTCCCCCGGTTTTTTGGGCCTGGGGAGTTTGATCCCTCTGTGGATGTCTACGCTATGAAAAGCCATGAAAGTGAGTATTTGGGTTCAGTGTGGGTGAATAGGGTGGAAAGGAGGAGATGGGAAGCCCAGTCTAAAGTCCTCTGGATGGAAGCCAGAGTGTTGTGTTGATAGGTTCCCGGACCACAGGCTTTATGGCTTTAAAGGTCGGCACCAGCTTTTTGAATTGTGCTCGGAAACGTACTGGGAGCCAATGTAGGTCTTTCAGGACCGGTGTTATGTGGTCTCGGCGGCTGCCCCCAGTCACCAGTCTAGCTGCTGCATTCTGGATTAGTTGTAGTTTCAGAGTCACCTTCAAAGGTAGCCCCATGTAGAGCATGTTGCAGAAGTCCAAGCAGGAGATAACCAGCGCATGCACCAGTCTGGCGAGACAGTGCGCAGGCAGGTAAGGTCTCAGCCGGCGTACCATAATGTGTACATGTCTTCACAAACCAGTGATGGGAGTGCACTGGATAGGAAGCAACTTTTATGTGTGTGTGTGTACACACCCCTGACTTTCCACAGCAATGTGCAACCACAGCAGGGAGCATTGGGTCTGTTTTGGGGCACACTTGCAGTGCCCATGGATCAATTGTAAGGCCCAGCAGGTCTGGCCAGTGTCCTGCATAAACCAGACTGTGGCTTAGACTGTGTCCCAGAATCCTTTGAAATGCACACAGGTTTCTGTTTGTTATGGGTTCCCTAAAAGTTGGAAAATCTCTAATCTTAATAGCATGAGAATTCCGTGGAGAGAACTCCTGTCTCTTAACAGCTGTTGGTCTCTGCTAGGTGTGTCTGAGCAACACTTGCTTTTCATTTCCTTATTATTGTGGTCCTTTCTCTTGCTCCACCCCTCCAGTCGAAAGCCATTGGGGCTGGTGCATTGGTAGTGGGAAGGCCCTTTTCTGGGGGGCGGGGGGGAATCAAAACAAATCAACTGCCAATCAAGCATCATGAAGCCAATTGGAGAGGCGCTGTGCAGATGCTCAGAGCAGCTGCTGACTTCTGGTCATGCTCTGCCACATTGAGATTGTCAGCAAGATACTACAGTCATCACCCCCTTCTGCATCTGTTGGGTTGGAAAGGTGGCCTCAACTCACAGATCTAACCACAAAAACATTTGGTCATACTTGAACTGCGCTTGCTAGCCAAAGAGTAGGCAGCCTGCCCTAAATATGACTCTTTGCCTGGATTAACCAGTTTTTTTCCTCTCTCTCTTCCTCTCTCATTGTAATCAGGTGCCCCTAAAAAGGAGGTCTATTTCATGGCGATTATAGATATCCTCACACCGTATGACACAAAGAAAAAAGCAGCACACGCTGCCAAAACTGTGAAACACGGGGTAAGACTAATCCATTCCTTTTGCTCGTTCAGAACCTATTGCTGGAAAATTTCATGGATTGCAATTCTAGTGTTAAGGGGGGCGGCGGCATTTTTCTCTCGTCTTTATCAATTAAAGAAGTCGTGTCTGTCATTTACCGTATTTTTCGCTCTATAGGACGCACTTTTTCCCCTCCAAAAATGAAGGGGAAATGTGTGCGTCCTATGGAGCGAATGCAGGCTCCTTGGCTTCAGCGATAGCAATGCGAAGCCTCCAAAGCGCAGAAGGAGCGCTCCCTCCACGCTCCAGAGGCTTTGCCTTGCTTTCGCTGAAGCCTGGAGAGCGAGAGGGGTCGGTGCGCACCAACCTCTCTCGCTCTCCAGGCTTCAGGGATAGCTGCCTGAAGCCTTCAGAGCACAGCGCGAGTTCCTGCTGCGCTCCGCACGCTTCAGGTTCCTTTTGCTGAAGCCGGGAGAGCAAGACTTTCCTGGCTTCAGCAAAAGGAACCTGAAGCCTGCGGAAACTTGCGCTGCGCTCCAAAGGCTTCAGGGATCTTCCCCCCACCGCCAGCCCCACAAGCTCAGGGGGCAGCGGGAAGGCTGCGTGCAGCCTTTGCGCTGTTCCCCGACCTGCTCTTTGGGGCTGGCGGTAGGGGAAAGCAGCGCTTCCCCCCGCCAGCCCCAAAGAGCAGGTCTAAAGGAACCTGAAGCCTCCGGAGCCCAGCGGGAACTCCCGCCGTGCTCCAGAGGCTTCGGGTTGCCTTCACTGAAGCCTGGAGAGTGAGAGGGGTCAGTGCGCACTGACCTCTCTCGCTCTCCAGGCATCCAAGGTAGCTGCCTGAAACCTCCAGAGCGCAGCAGGAACTCCTGCTGCGCTCTGGAGGCTTTGGGCGAATGCACCTTAAACGCACCTTGTTTTAGAGGGGGGAGAACAAGAAAAAAAAAATTCTCCCCCTCTTTGCGCAGTGCCCCTTCAGCGAAGCGACAGGAGAAATGGAAGGGGCTCCGTTTCTCCCGCCGCTTCGCTGAAGGGGTGCTGAGCAGAGAGGGGGAGATTTTTTTTTTCTTGTTCTCCCCCTCTAAAACAAGGTGCGTCCTATGGTCGGGTGCATCCTATAGAGCGAAAAATACGGTAAATTCTATTCAGTATTGATCCGGAGTAGATTCCAATGTATAGCTAGCAGAGTAACAACTTAAACACGTTGCAGGATTCCCAAAGAGACCAGAGGCATTTCATGCAGCAGAGCTTTACTGCTACTGAAGGCAAAGGAGCAGAATGGTCACAAATCCAATACATTCAGGATTGGCACTGTCCATAAGAAATCCAGTTGCAGCAGACTTAACTTAAACTTAACAATAACTTGTAATAAGTCTAAACCAGGTGCTGGCAGCCTAAGGCCCATGGGCCAAAAACGGCCCACGAAGGCCATTTAACCAGCCTACGAGCTGCCCCCGAACTGACTGCTCAGTGAGTCCCCACGTGCTGTGCTAAACCGGTACGGCACGGGGCCTTTCTTCTGCGGCTCTGGAAATCACTTTTGCGCATGCCCAGATGCCGGCAATTGCTTCTGCGCAGGCGCAATTTTTGGCGTCTGGGCATGCATGCGCAGAAGCGATTCCCAGCGTCATGCTGCGCTGTCCGGCCCATGGAGGATCTCCGCAGGAGTGATCCGGCCCATGCCGGCCCCTGGTCTAAACCTGAACGCTGCATACAGAACACCACACCGAAAAGAAAGAGAAACAGAAAGAGAGAAACCCGGGCCTCAAAAATAAAAAAAACCCGGGCCTCAAAAATACTGTGCTACCTTGGTTCTCGAACTTAATGCATTCCGGAAGTCTCTTTGACTTCTGAAATGTTCAAAAACCAAGGCACGGCTTCTGATTGGTGCAGGCGCCCCAGAAACAATAGCCGACAGCCACATCAGATGTTCGGCTTCCGAAAAACGTTTGAAAACTGGAACACTTACTTCCAGGTTTTCAGTGTTTGGGAACCAAGGCGTTTGAGAACCAAGGTACCACTGTACCTAATTGCGACCTGCTTGCCTAGTCATTGCTACTACTAGAGTTTGCCCTTTTCATGTTCAGTGAAGAAATCCGAAGAGTGCTTCCTTCCTTGCCTGGAATTGGCCCTTTTAATCAGGGTATGTGTGGCATTTGGATTTTTCAAACCACAGGGGTTGCAGAAACATAAGACTAAACGAGTGACATGTTCAAGAAATGTTTGCTAGCTCTACCACTAACCTTCCTCGTACTGTGGGAGCTGTTGTGCTATCTTCTGAGCCCCACCCATATGTCAAGGCTAATCTCTGTAGAGCAGCGGTTCTCAACCTGTGGGTTCCTACATGTTGTTGAACTACAACTCCCATCACCCCTAGCTAGCAAGGCCAGAGCTCAGGGATGATGGGAGTTGTAGTCCAACAACATCTGGGGACCCACAGGTTGAGAAAGGCTGCCGTAGAGGAAGGGGTTGGCATACCAGGACCTTGTGGGCGGCGGCGGAGTAAGCCAATCGGGTGCCTGGGGCGGTGCGCATGCCCTGTGCCCAGGGGCGGGGCCAGCCGCCCTTGGGGGCGGGGCCATCCAGGGCAGGACGTTCCACAGGGCCTCCGAGGAGTCTGCCTGCCTCCTCCCATTCAGCCACCCTACAGCTGAGGGGGAGGTGGCGGGCGGACCGTTTAGGGCAGAGCAGTGCCTGCAGGCACCCGAGCCACCACCCAAGAGAGACGCTTTGCTCAGGCACACTGCAGGCCCCGTGGTGGGTGCCGCCCAGCAGTTTGTCACCCCCCTCTCAGTGGTGACACCCGGGGCGACCAGCCCCCACCGCCCCCCTCTTCCTCCACCCCTGCTTGTGGGCCTTTGTAGGTGTGCCTGTGAGACCATCTTGGTGACCCGCGGCCTGGGCCCCATCTTCCAGCTGAGCATTCATTCTTGCTAGTCTCCCATGGGTATTCCTGCCCAGAGCTCACAGAGGAGGTGATTAGATACCTTGTCTGTAAGCGAACATGTTTGAGGAAGCAAAACTCCAGCTTCTTTCAGTGGGTGATTGATGTGGGTCAGTGGGGGGGATATTAGGGGTCAGGCGAAAACATTCCTCTTATATTGCTAATTATACAATTTACAGCCTTTAAATTGTGTATGTTTGGCAGGAGTTACTGTTTTCATTCGTTACTATGTTGTATATTTTTGTGTTTTTGTATTACAAGTCGCCCTGCGATCCTCTGATAAAGGGCAGTATAGAAATTAGACAAGCAAGCAAGCAAATAAATTGCTAGTCTTCCAGACTCTTTTAAAAATAATAATAATATTTTATCCCTTTTTTCCATATAGAAAGTTACATTTGTAGTAACAGTTACCGTATTTTTTGCTCTATAAGACTCACTTTTTCTTATGGAGCGAATGCAGGCTGCGCAGCTATCCTAGAAGCCAGAACAGCAAGAGGGACCACTGCTTTTGCTGTGCAGCGATCCCTCTTGCTGTTCTGGCTTCTGGGAGTCAGAATATATTTTTTTTCTTGTTTTCCTTCTCCAAAAACTAGGTGCGTCTTATGATCTGGTGCGTCTTATAGAGCGAAAAATGTGGTATATTCCAGTTCCACAAAACTGGTGACTTCCAGCTTCCAAACTCTCAAAGCGATGCACGTTTGGTGGCAATGTAGAATTTGCTTTAGCGCCAACCCTTGCCCGTGAAGGGGGTTTCATTGCTTTAATCTGTTTTGTTTTCCAGGCCGGAGCAGAGATTTCCACAGTCAATCCAGAGCAGTATTCAAAACGCTTCAACGAATTTATGTCCAATATCCTGACATAGTTGCCTTCCCATCCTTGGCAAAAAAAAAGCAGAGGGAGAAGACAAAGTGGGGGTGGGTGCAGGATGTGACTTCCAGAGCAACAGGAACGCACCTCACTCTGCTGGGGTGTGATGTTCAGTGAATGTGCGATAACCGTGTGACCTAGCAGAAAACTAACTCATAGCTATAGGCCTCCAAATACTCTGCTTGACCTGGTGGAAAAGTGGAGGTTTCTCTCTCTCTTTCTCCCTCTCTCTCTTTTTCTCTCTCTCTCTTTCTTTGGTTGCGAAAAAATCCAAACATAAACCTGAGGAATTATCTTTGAAGAGTATCACCATCTCCTGAAGGTCAGGCGCAAATGTGAATAAATAGCAGAAACTCCACAGACATTTGTCCCTTCGATTGGATCTGCTTTTCTTCACTACGAGCGAGAAAAAACAAACAAACCGCTTGTTGCTTCTTTCTCTGAGAACTGGATGGGAATAACCGTTTGCCGTTTGGAGGGGAAACTGTTACAGCGATGTGCAAAAGCCATTTTAAGTGAATTGAAACAGAGAACTTTCCCCTTTGGGTTACATTTCCCCATTATTATTATTATTATTTTGCACCAATGTTCATTTCAAAAGAGATGGGGTGGAATACGATGGCAAGTTGGCTGCTTAAAAAACCACGCAAGTCAATGGGAGGAAAGGAGTTACAGAAGAATTCTTACACCTGTCATTCTGGAGCCCGACGAAGGCCCTTGGCAAAGAGACTGACTCCGAAGGGGGTGTGGCAACATTAAATCATTCTCTGGACGAGTTGCAAAGACATTTCTTTTGGAGCACCTGGACTCAGTTGCCTCTGTAACATAACTGATGTTCTGGCAGTGTTAAGCTAATCATGGTTCAGCCAACTTTTTAACCCTGGATCTGGTTGTAAATCCCATAAGACGGTGCTTGCCATGAGAAGGCCGCCACTTTTTAAAGCAGCGTATTGTGTTGTGAATCAGTGTGTTGGAAATCTGTCTCCCTGGAGTTTTGGGAAGAACATGATCCTAGAACGTAGGGGGAAGAAACATTATAAATCGATGCAGCTGACTGTTCCGTAACCACTAAGATAGACTGTCTGTGAGCTAGGACAGAACGTTGGAATAATTTGTGCTAGGTCGGTTTTCTTCAAGAAAGCAAACTGTTCTTGCCCCATTTGAATTGCAACTTCTTTTCTCTTACGTCTGCAGACAGTAACGTTGGATTGAACAGCCACACTTGTTGAAACTGCCGAAGATTTGGAATGCAACGCATTGATTCCATGTTTTAAATCTTATGTGGGGTGGGGAGGGGGGGGTTGTTTGTGGGTTGGTTTCTTTTTTAAGATGGATATAACAGTTTTTGAGCCGTCACCTTGCAATCAAGACACTTTGCTTACTCTGCCTTGAAACTGTTTCTCACATGGCCTTTCTTACCCTGAATGTGGTTGTTGGGGAGTTTGTGTCTTGTGCTGTGTAGTATAGTTCTTGATTTGTGGATTCTGTCTTGTTGAGAATGTGGTGAATGTTTTCTTTCCTTCTTTCCCCGTTCCCTTGTAGTATATGCCCCCTCTTCTCTGATGGGATCCCCCCCGCCTCGCCCAATTAAAAAGAAAATTGATTCCACAATTGTAAAGACATAGAAAGTTTTGCAAAACTTGAAAATCGTGGAGTATGCTGTAAATAGATTGAGGTTTCTTAAAAGCCTAAATGAAACCTTGCATTAGGAATAGGATAAGAAGGTCCCTCCTCTTCTCACTTGTGACTTTAATTTATCAGATCAGCTGCAACCGTCTGCTATGTTTTAAGCATCGTGGGCAGATCTACACTTGTCATTTATAATGTTAAAAATGTGTTATTGAAATGTGACACCAGAGGGCACTGCAGAGCAGAACTCCACCGGCAATGCCATTAAGAATTACAGTATAGATTGTTTTATTTATAGAAAATCAGTGTAGATCCAGCCCAGCTGACTACAACTGGTTGTGAATATGGGAGCATGTGGGAATGGGGATGTCGGCAGGTTGTAAATGCTTTGAAAGCTTTGAAAGGGCCCCTTTCTTCTCTGGAAGCATGCGCTCGAAACCCGTTGTGAAATAAGAGCATACAGCCTGGGAAGATTCTCCACCCTTGGATCCATTTCTTGGGCGCTTGCATCTCGACTCTTAAAAGCCATTTCACCCTACTTTCCGCTAGGTTGCCATTAGAAATACACAAGCATCCGCGCCAAACACTGGTGAAGATATTCCTACCAACGTCTGTCCTTTTCGAAGCTTGGCAGTCCAGTTGGCCCTGGGGTGGGGGCAGATTGGATACATTTCCTGCTCATGCTGGGACCCGATCCAAAGGCCCATCTAGCCCAGCTTCCTGTTTCTCACAGTTGCCAACCAACCAAATGCTCCTGGGAAGCCTGGCAGGAGGACACAAGCCCTCTCTTGCTTGTGTGCCCCAGCAACAGGCACCTGGAGGCTTCCTGCCTCTGATAACCAGAGGCCATATCTAGCCCATCATGGCCTAAATATTCAGTCTATCAAACTCAATCGGTATACAGAAGCAGGCTCCCACACGCATGGAATGACCGTCCTGGGAGCTCAAGGCAAACTTCTTTTATTTAAGTACCTGTGGCCCACCCTATCTTTCTGCCTTTGTCTCTTCCCATTGCATTCCCATTGACCTCTCTTCTGCCCCCCCCCCGAAAATCCCTTGCTCTCAAACATCTTTGTCAGTTCTGTTCTCATCTAATTTGCTTGAAGCTCCCTCCTTCAACACAACCTTGCTAATAATAATAATAATAATAATTATTATTATTATTATTATTATTTATTATTTATACCCCTCCCATCTGGCTGGGTTTCCCCAGCCACTCTGGGCGGCTTCCAACAGAACATTAAAATACAATAACCTATTAAACATTAAAAGCTTCCCTAAACAAGGCTGCCTTCAGGTGTCTTCTAAGAATCTGGTAGTTGTTTTTCTCTTTGACATCTGGTGGGAGGGTGTTTCACAGGGCGGGTGCCACTACCAAGAAGGCCCTCTGACTGGTTCCCTGTAACAGTACCACCTCTCTCTCTCTCTCTCTCTCTCTCTCTCTCTCTCTCTCTCCCCCAGTCTCCCTTCAGAAGCCAATTCTTTTGGCTTGATAAACCCCTTCATTCTCTTGTAAGGTGAGGAATGTGATCCATGGATATGGGTTGTGTCTGCCCACCTCTCCACTGACAAAAAGCAAAAATCTTTCAGAGAATACACCCTTGGGGGCTGAGACAATCCCCTCCGGTTCATCCCTAGCCCAGCTAAAGCCTGAGTAACATAGTCATTTCCATATCTTGCTAGCCTTACTTTCTCCCTGCAGTCATCCTTTTGCCTGGGGGGGCAAGCACTGACATTTCTTTTTCCTGTCAAAGCCCATGAGCATATACATTGCTCTTTAAAATAAGCATGCAGCTCCCATTTGGAGTGAGTGCAGGCAGCCAGTTACTCCTCTAACCATTCAAGCCACCCCACTGGTATCTGGGGTCTCCTAAGTGTCACTCACCTGTAGGCAAAACTGCAAGCCGTTTATTGGATGCTGTTTGGAGACCTAAATATGAGAAGTCTTAAGCCCAAAGAGCTTTCCAGGGGGAGTTATGAGCAGGTGCTAGGTGACTTATCCAAGTTTCTCCACTCTGAACCTCTCACTAACGCCCTTTCCTGCGCCAACCTCTTTGTTGAGACCGTTTACCTTCGCTTCTCCTAAATTTGTTTTCTGCTCCGTGGCTATGAAGCCCCTGTCTGTTTTTGGCTTCCTGCCAACCCCCAACACTCTGCCTCTTCTCCCTAATTGCACCCCACCAGCAAACTTTTCCTCCCGCTCTCGTAGCTGTAGCCTTCTGCTGTGTCCCTCACCCGGTCCACTTTAATCTTCCCTTTTGTCTCTTCTGCAAGTCCCACTTCAGCAAAGCTTCTCCCCATTCATTCTCGCCCCCAATTACCAAACCCTACTCTAAGTATGGAGCCTCTCAGCTCTGCTCCCAACCACTGCATGTAGATGAGGATTCGGTCAGGTCTGCATATTGCACCACATTAACTGTTGGCTGTTAATGTGGAGCCTTTGGAGATAATTCCTGGACTCAACAGGACGGTTGTGTGGCTGGCCTTGTCTCCTCTTCTGCTAATGTTGGGTTTGATTGACAGGTCAAGGGCAGTTGGGTTTTCCCTTCCTCACAAAGCTTTTCCCTTAGATTTGCCTCCCCACAGACCTCCCCTCCAATCTAAGAGATAGAAATCTTGCAAACAGGTGAAACCAGGGCAGGAGACTTGAGAGCTCCATCATGCTGGTCTGATTCTGGCCCACTGCCCATTGCCAATCTTCATCTTCATCTTCTTCCATGCCGGATTAGTATCAAGCATTTCCAAATTCTTCTTCTGATGAATTTTGGAAGTATATTTTGTGAAATAAGCAGAAAAGTGCACAGTTAGTTCTAGAATGGCAGGATATTTATTGTTCATGGCAGAATTTGAGTCACCATAGTACACAGCCAGTAAACATGAATTATGTGTAAAGGATATTCTAATCAAGGCAGTTGCTTCTTTTGGTGCTGTGGAAGTGCCCCCTGCCATCATGACTACGATATGCTGCTGAAATTGCAGCTGCTGAACAGTCTTAATTCCCCCCCCTCCAGCTTCTCCCCCCTCCATCAAGAACCTTTTGCTTTCCCTCGGATTTTGGTGACCTCTGGGTTTCCTTTTCCCCCGAGCACCGACATTAAAACTGTCTGCATCCATAACCATAAGGAGGCCAGTGCTGTGGTGTATTTAAGTTTTGTTGTGTAGCCCAAGGTGACGGCACTGACGATGCAACTTTGCATCCGCATCAAGGGTGCTTAACTTTTTCTCTGGAGTCTATTCTGAAACTTTTGCACTTGCCCTGATGTCCTTTTCTAAGTGTGAGCTGTTTCCACGAAGGGCGCAGCTTGTCCGCACAGCCAGTGGGCTGCTGGCTTACTCTTGAACCTAACGGCCACCGGACACTTCTGTTGTCACTGAGCATTTGAACACTACCCACAGATTTAGTAGTAGTGATTTATATGGTCATTTCCCCCCAAGATCCTTAAGGCAGAGAGAAGTGTGGATAAGTGCAAGGTGGAAACATCTGCTTGCCTGGACAGAACGCCCTTTTCAAAAGCCAGCATCGGCCGTAATCGGTCCAGGCAAGGAATTGTAAACAGCCAGCACTTTCCCCCTGAGCAAGAGAGGTCAGCTGAGAGCCATCTTTTCAATCTCACACACACGTGCACCACAGAAGCAAAGTATTTTCTGGCTCTTGGAGAACACCTTGGTGGTGCTTTCTCAAAAAAGAGAGCAAAAGGCAGCCTAATTGCAATTTCAGTTGGAAGGATCTCTCTCTGTGTGTGTTATGCTGTTTCTATCTGCTCTCTTGCCTTGGGTATATGCTCTCTGGTGATGCCAAAGCCTGAACCCTAAGGGGTTAGACATATTTGTTAAGGAATCTATTGGTGGCTACTACCTACATGGTCCTCATAGTTTAAACCTGCATGCTTTGGTCATCACAAAGGAGAAGATGAGGTCATCTACTCAGGAGAAGAAAATCTTGATGAGAGTTGGTTTCTGTGCAGAGTGAGGGCTTATCCACACTTCCTCTCTTTCCAGGCACAGTCCGCACCTTAAAGCTTTGTGTCCAAGCGCTTGTTTTTCTTCCAGAGCTTTCTCCATGAAAACCTGCTCTTTAAAGTTCAATCGGAGCAAACAGCCATCCGCAGAAAACCAGAATTAACGTTTGCTCTGATTGAGCACTAAAGAGCGAGTTTTTGCGGTGAAAACTCCAGGGCAAAATTAAAAAAAGCAAAACGCTTGGACAAGGAACTTTAAACCACCTGGAAAGAGCGGGGACAAAAGGTAAATTGGATAAGCCTGGTGTTTGACAGCCATTCTACACATCCATCCCATGCTAACTTTTAGTGATTTGATGGGAGGTGGGTTATATTCAGGCACTTAGCACTTGAAAAAGATACTGTTGTGGGATTTTTAAGGGCTGGTGGTGGCAACCAAGTTTGTTTAATCATGTCTGCCTCCTTCAAATGTAAAACGGGTTGGGGCGGATCTTAATTGATTATTGCAAAGGTCATGGGTACCACTTTGTGCTCAGTTGTTTCAGCCAGTTGTTTCCAGCACATCTGAGCCAGCCTGGGAACGGTTTATGTTCGTACCCCTTGTTCTTAGGCTCCTGTTGTTAAAAACGCACATACACACATACACACACACACTTTGTATGCGAGCGAGACAACCAACAAGCTGCTATGCAGTCTCACTTGGCCCTGAGAATGAAAATCGTAGCGCAAGTCTGCACAGTGTCACCACACAGGTAGGTTTTTTAAAATTGTACGAATTGTAAATGCAGCTCCTGTGTCCCTAGTCAGGGTGAAGGAATCATGAGCTGCATTTTTTTAAAAAGCCTGTTTTTTGTGCTGCATATGCAGTGGACTCAAAGGTGTTTTTAAAGATGTATCACAAAAGGTTCAAGTAGCTGGTGACAAAAAAAAGTAAACAAAAAACGATGAAAAAACGCACCCGTTTCAATTTTCACAACATTTTTTTAAAATAGAGATTAAAAGTTCAATGTGCTTATCTGTTTGCTAGAAGAAGTATGAGACACTTAGTGTTTGGAAATGCATGCATGTTAACAAGGTGAAGTCTCCCAGGTGGGACAAACGAAATAAAATTAAAACTTTGTGTACAGTTCTTTTTTTTTAAATGTATTTCTGAGGCAGGGGGAAACTGGGGAGGTGGGTCTCCAAAGGGAGGCAGGGTGGGAAGAACTCACTTTCACATTCATTCAGCATCACAGGCCGACAAATATTTGGCCACAAGCCAGCAGTGGGGAAACTGCACCCAGGAAAAGCCACAGTGCCCGGACCAAAGCAGGGTTTGCAAGTGCCGCTGAAGCTGTGAAAGTTGGTGCCTGAAAAGCCCAGTGCCCTTTACCCACAGATGTGATTTCAATCCCTGCAGGCAAAGAAAGTGTTTCGTTTGATGTCACCCTGTGACTGACAGGTGCCCAGTCACACTCACTGTCAAAATAGCAGGGGCTGGGAAGGATCTCAGCCCAGTACAGTGGTACCTCGGGTTACACACGCTTGAGGTTACATGCGCTTCAGGTTACAGACACCACTAACCCAGAAATAGTACCTCGGGTTAAGAACTTTGCTTCAGGATGAGAACAGAAATCAGGCTCCGGTGGCAGCAGGAGGCCCCATTAGCTAACGAGCTGCTTCAAGTTAAGAACAGTCAGGTTAAGAACGGACCTCCAGAATGAATTAAGTACTTAACCCAAGGTACCACTGTATACCTGAAGGAGCATCTCCACACCCATCATTCAGCCCAGACACTGAGGTCCAGCTCCAAGGGCCTTCTGGCGGCTCACTGCGAGAAGTGAGGTTACAGTGGAACCTCATTTTACGTACCGTCCTCCTTGCGAACGCTGCAGGTTAAGAGCTCTGCTAACCCGGATGCGGGTGGCGCTGTGGTCTAAAAACCACTGAGCCTTGGGCTTGCTGATCGGAAGGTTGCGGTTCGAATCCCCGTGACAGGGTGAGCTCCCGTTGCTCTGTCCCAGCTCCTGCCAACCTCGCAGTTCAAAAGCACGCCAAAAAGTGCAAGTAGATAAATAGGTACCGCTCCGGCAGGACAGTAAACGGCATTTCCGTGCACTGCTCTGGGGTTTCTGTTCTGTTGCACCAGAAGTCATGCTTAGTCACCAGCTTAGCCATGCTGGCCACATGACTTGGAAAAACTGTCTGCAGAGCGGACAAACGCCGGCTCCCTCGGCCTGTAAAGCGAGATGAGCTTCGCAACCCCAGAGTCGTTCGCAACTGGACTTAACTGTCAGGGGTCCCTTTACCTTTACCTAACCCAGAAGTAGATGCTTCCAGTTGCAAACTTTGCCCCGGGATGCGAGCGGAAGTCGCGTGCCGGCAACGCGGCAGCAGCGGGAGGCGCCATTAGCAAAAGCACACCTCAGGTTATGAACGGTTTCGGCTTAAGAATGGACCTCCGGAACGAATTAAGTTTGTAACCGGAGGTACCACTGTACAGGGAACCAGGCAGACCTTGTTGGTAGTGGCACCCACCCTGTGGAACGCCCTCCCATCAGATGTCAAGGAAATAAACAAGGAAATCTGACTTTTAGAAGACATCTGAAGGCAGCCATGTTTAGGGAAGTTTTTAATGTTCGATGTTTTATCCTGTTTTTAATATTCTGTTGGGAGCTGCCCAGAGTGGCTGGGGAATAAAATAATAATAATAATAATAATAATAATAATAATAATAATAATAATTGTTATTTATTTGGCCCACCCAGCAAAACAGTCTGCAGTAAGCCAATGTGCCAGTGACTGGCTTTTGCCTTTTCCCATCTTCTGCTTCCTCCCAGTGGCTGCGTTGGCAAGGTTTGTTCTCAAGGCACTGTGGCTTGTTTACAGCACAACAAATCGCCACCTCTGGTTTCTCTCAGTGCCTGCCGGGAGGTAGGAGCAAAACAGGCGCGATTCATTTGTGCTCAGTAAACTATGGCTTGCCCTGGCATAAGGATATGGTCTTTCTGCGAGGCTCAAAACAAGCCGGAAATGTAGAGTTTTCCTTTTCTTCCAGTTCCAAAACTGAACTAACTTCACCGCTTTGGTTCTAGAGGAATTCCGAGCAAAGCCCACCTGTGTGTTGACAGATAACTAGCTTGAAATGACTAAAGCTTCGGGAGATCTGATCTGCTGATCGCGTTAAAATCCACCTGTTTGTTCTGCATGCTGCCTCAAAGGAAATTGAAGCTTAACAACGGCTTTTGAATCTGTTTTTATCAGAGGCTAGCAGGCGTTTTGCACTTCCGAGCAAACTTACTCTAGGCTTCCCTGCCGGCAATCAGAACTACAGAAAAATGAACTTGACATTGCAGGAAGTTCTAGACGGGCACCCTGCCACCCCCACCCCCCAATTTGCACGTGAACGCATATACGTGGAGTGCTGGGAAACAATTACGTAAATAAATAGAATCATATTCTTATGGCATGAGAGAGAGCTAGAGAGTCCTTGTTGCTTGTGAGGAGACCCTACCAGGCACCTAAAGAGGCCAGTCAAGTCAAGGAAGCCCCAGAGACCTCGGGCACAACAGGGCTTTGTTTAGGCTGCTCAGCCTCCCCACCTAACAGCTGATGCATGGGATAGAACAGCAGCGGTCCCAGATTTCCCCCATGTCCTCCAGCTGGCCCCAGAGCTTCAACCCTAGTTGAAAAGTGATTTGCGTGGAGGGAAAGAGAGCAGGACAGCAGGGGGGAAATGGGTGTTTAGAGGCTTTTTGGAGGGTACTCCTAAATTTATGCAATTTCACTTATGTGCGCGATGAACACAAGCCCTGTAAGGTCATTGAAATAAAAAAATTAAGGTCTTATATATATACCGGTAATAAATGTTCATAAATGTACCAAGCAAACACGTACATAAATATATAGTGGTACCTCAGGTTAAGTACTTAATGCGTTTCGGAGTTTCGTACTTAACCTGAAACTGTTCTTAACCTGAAGCACCACTTTAGCTAATGGGGTCTCCCACTGCCGCCGTAGCACAATTTCTGTTCTCATCCTCAAGCAAAGTTCTTAACCTGAAGCACTATTTCTGGGTTAGCGGAGTCTGTAACCTGAAGCGTACGTAACCTGAGGTACCACTGTAAACCACATGTCTGAAGCAGCACAGGAAAATAGCCCTGAAAACCATTTTGACTCCCAAACTGACCAAATGATTTCTCTGCAACGTCAAGGAAAATGGAAAAGCCTCCCCATTGTCTTTTCATTCACAAATCCTGTCTTAAGGGTATGTCTGTGTATGAATAGGGTGAGCCTGTGACCTGGCTCAGGAACTAAGTATTTATCATTACAAAAGACTGGCCAGGCTCCCCAGGGTATCCAATAAAGTGACCATTAATAGGTAACCTGCCAGACAGGAGGTAAATAACACACTCAGATTTCTGGTGTAGACCGCCCTTTCTGTGATGTAGGTATGATGTGTCTGGGGGTGGTCTTGGACTGCAGGGCGGGCAATTTAAAATGTCTACATAAGGGCGGGCACACCTTGGTTCTGGGTCCTCCTCCTTCTCCTGCATGTGATGGGAGCACCCTGTTGCAACAGTTCAATACAGATCAGGCTTACAAGCTGCTTTGCTTCTCAATATTCTCTGGTTGGCCTCTGTTATTTTCTCCGACCGATGGAGAACCTGCAAAGGACTCTAATAGGGCTCTGGTGTCCCCCATAAGGGAATCAGGGCAGATTTTCGTTTATTACATCATCATCTAACTCCAGTCCTCCTGTAGTACTGGTGGGACTTGCAACATAATAAATAAGGAATATTCTGTATTTCCACTTGACAAAAAAGAGCCTTAATAAAAACTACCCTTACGTTTGGAAATGAAGACTATGATTACAAGAGACTTTGGGGGATTTTCAAAATTACCTCTTTCAGTGGTCTTGAAATATGTAAATATGATGAAATATAACCTATGAAAAGGTTGACAGTTGGGCTAGCGGAAGATCCAAGTTTCTTTAATGTTATCAAGCCAATAATTTACCCAGAATACTGCTTTGTGCTGAAACTTGATAAACACGACAGTGGTACCCTGGTTCTCAAACGTAATCCGTTCCAGAATTCCATTCAACTTACGAAACGTTTGAAAACCAAGGCGTGGCTTCCGATTGGCGCAGGCGCCCCGGAAACAATAGCTGACAGCTGCACTGAACGTTCGGCTTCCGAAAAACCTTCAAAAACCGGAACACACAATTCTGGGTTTTCGGCATTTGGGAGTCAAAATGTTCGAGATCCAAGGATCCACTGTACAGTGGTACCTCGGGTTAAGTACTTAATTCGTTCCGGAGGTCCGTACTTAACCTGAAACTGTTCTTAACCTGAAGCACCACTTTAGCTAATGAGGCCTTCTGCTGCTGCCGCACCACCGGAGCCTGATTTCTGTTCTCATCCTGAAGCAAAGTTCTTAACCTGAAGCACTATTTCTGGGTTAGCGGAGTCTGTAACCTGAAGCGTATGTAACCTGAAGCGTATGTAACCTGATGTGCCACTGTAATCATCTTCGAATGGATTTTTCTTAATGACCATCTACCCTACTGCTTACTGTTTTCAGAAGTGATAAAGTTTGTGTATTATAAATGAAAAACCTAGTAGAATTCTTAGTGAAAACATTTATTCTGCCAACAATACATCTCATTTCCATCATATATAATTTTGAGCTCCGACAACAAAATCATATACGGTTTTCTTAACAGAAGAGCATTCCAGCCGTTAAGATAATGTCAAGTAAAATATTGAGCATCCCAAAACAACCGTGCCTTTTGCTTAGTCCATACGAGCTTTCAGTGTTCGGGTAGTAATCTTGTCTTTTTCACTGGTGAAGAAAGAAAAGAGGAGGAGAAACGGAGGTGAAATCTCACACGGATGCCCAGCAGTGTAAATCATATTTTTACCTCTTGGGGAATTTCCATCAAGCATCGGCCACTCACTAGAAAAACAAGGAGCTTAGCTAGGTTAGTCCAGCTCCCTTGTTGCAGATGCCAATTCTATTTTCCCTGGTGCTGCTCTTTAAACCTACCCCCAACCAGGAGGGGAAACTAAATTAACTTCATCACTTCCATGGGACTCATTTTTCTGGGTCAGCCTTGCTGGAGAGCTACTCTCCCTGCAGCTAAGCCATGAAGATCAATCAACCTCTTGGACATGTTTTGCAGCAAACGTACTGAAAAAAAAGAGACCCAACCACAACAAACCAAAAGCATACTTACATGACATGAACTATCACGCCCATGCCTGACACGGCATCTCTGTCCACCGCATTGAGCATGGCTTGGCCTATGGTTTCAAAGAGGTCATCTGGTTCCTGCATTCAAGAGAGGAAGAGAGAAACCCTTGTCTTGTACTTGGAATTCCTTTAGGTGTGTTGTATCTAGAATGAGCTTTGCACGAGGAATTAGATCACGTGGCCCTTAAGTTTTAATCTGACAATTTTAATCTTTAGTCTTTTAAAGGCCCTTAAATTTGTAATCTGACAACATGTGAGGTGGGGTGGATTACAATATTATTATTATTATTATTATTATTATTATTATTATTAAAATTTGTATACTGGCCTTCATCCAAAGATCACAGGGTGGTTCACAACATAAAAATACTAAATGACAGCACAAAATACGCAACAAAACAAAAACAAACCAATCACACACACCCCACAAGCACACCCCAAAGGCCATAAAATGTTTAATCAGTCAAAGGGCCAGTAACATAACAACAACAACAACAACAACAACAATTTATTATTTGTTCCCCAGCCACTCTGGGCGGCTTCCAACAAAGATTAAAAATACATCAAAATGTCACACATTAAAAACTTCCCTAAACAGGGCTGCCTTCAGATGTCTTCTAAATGTCAGGTAGTTGTTTATCTCTTTGACATCTGATGGGAGGGCGTTCCACAGGGCGGGCGCCACTACTGAGAAGGCCCTCTGCCTGGTTCCCTGTAGATTTGCTTCTTGCAGTGAGGGAACTGCCAGAAGGCCCTTGGCACCGTTAAGAGGCACTGTGCATTAGCGAGAGCAGCCATTTTTAGAGGCAGCCCCACAAAATCTTGCCCTTGCCAAGGTAATGAAAGCAGAAACACTCATGCCCATGCTTCTTGTGTGCTCCTGGCTAAGGCGGCATCCCTCTTACCATGTCTGGCTCCCACAGGGACTCGCACATGCCGTACATCTGCTCTGCGCAAGTCCCGCTGACCACAAAGTCCTCCGTTGTCATTGGGCAGCCGATCAGGTCTAAGGAGCAGATGAAGGGCTCGTACGTGACCGGGTCCAAGCCGGCTATCACTGGCTCCGTGTAGTAAGGTCCAAACCTGAAAGCAGCAGGAAAAGGCGTGTTAGCTATCCATTCAGTAAACTCGTCCCAAACACCATCTAACCATGACAAAGCTATGCTAAAAAAAAGCTATTAAAAACCCAACTTCGAGAAAAAGGGAAGCGGCAGGAAAATACATCCAATCACATTTCCATTGGGATGCCTAAGCAGACAAGTTTAGGTTATGCTTAGAATTGGCCAGATCTTCAAATATCTGGAGAGAAGGGCAGAACTCCCCAGCCCCTCCAGTTCAGATGTAGCTTGCTAGAGCTACCCAGAGCACTTTTTGCAGTACACCAGCTTTTGGCCTGACATATGTATTGATTTGTCTCAGGTGTGCAGAGTCCTCCCTTCCCTTCGGTAACTTCACAGACAAAAATTAACCAGAAGTTAATATTTTATAGTCCTTTTTATTCAGCAAGCAAAAATCCACAATTCTCCCACTTCCATCCCTGGCAACATCCTGGATGCCAATGGGAGGTTCCTCTTCCTCCTCTCTGCATTCTTTGTTCTCTAATACGGATGGACCTCCTAGTTCCTGGAGAGGGAGGGTCCCCCACACTCTCTAATGCCGCCTTTCTCAACCTGTGGGTCCCCAGATGTTGTTGAACTACAACTCCCATCACCCCTAGCTAGCAAGGCCAGAGCTCAGGGATGATGGGAGTTGTAGTCCAACAACATCTGGGGACCCACAGGTTGAAAACTGCTGCTCTAATGACATCTCTGCTGGCTGTTCCCTCCCTTGTTTCTCTTTCCATTATCTCGTAACTAGGCAACTCCTGTCAAAGCTGCTCCATGTCTGTGTCTCTCTCTGCTCCTGAAACTGCTGGAAACAGGGAAGGCGAAACTTCCCCCTCCTCCTCTTCAGAGCCAAGCTGATCTGCCTGAGAATGCATTCCCCCATCTTCCGATTCAGACCATTCCCTGACAATTTGAGGGGGTTGGCAGATGGATGATCCCGTCTTTGAAGAAGAAGAGAAGAGTTTGGATTTGATATCCCGCTTTATCACTACCTGAAGGAGTCGCAAAGCGGCTAACATTCTCCTTTCCCTTCCTCCCCCACAACAAACACTCTGTGAGGTGAGTGGGGCTGAGAGACTTCAGAGAAGTGTGACTGGCCCAAAGTCACCCAGCAGCTGCATGTGGAGGAGCGGAGACGCGAACCCGGTTCACCAGATTACGAGTCCACCGCTCTTAACCACTACACCACACGGGCTCTGAGCAGGAGGGCTGGGCCACAGGACCACAGGATGGATGCTTTGAGCAGGAGGGATGGGCCACAGGGACCTCCTTGTCTCTTCCAAATCAAACTGGTGCTTCAACAGAACCCACCAGCCAGCAGAGATTCCAGGAGTTTAGTTGCAGCTAGGGCTTCAATCTGTTCTAGGATTTATCTTCAGTTCAAGCCCATGCATTCATGTCCCCCCCCCCTCCAATGTTACTGAACTTCTTAGCTGAAATGCAATTCTTTTAAATCCTTTACCGTCTCTCATACAGCAGGTTAGATACCATACTCATCAGGGTCTGCGGTTTGATTTGCCGGCCTTCTTTCAGCTCATAAAGATTCAGCCGGAACTTGAGCCTTTGAGCGCTGTTAAAGAGACAAAAACTGGTGTTTATTTCATTTTAAGGCCCTAAATCCATTTTCCACTTGGTGGCTGAGGAAGCACAATGTACATATCTCAGGACATTCTGCAACTGCTCCCTATGCCATGGCGGATAGTTGTTTATTGGAGAATTTTGGACTAATTTGAGTAATCTCCAGTTTCGTCTATGTTTGCTTGCTTTATTTTTTTTATAAGACCAAGATCATAGGCTTAGTTGTTGCAGGATACAACACAGATCTATGCAAGTACTTTGCAAAACCTGCACCGGCTGGAAGCCCAGACTTCTCTACTACTCACAATTTGATAACTTCAGCTTAAAATTTAGAACTTTGAACCTATTGTCTCTACGAATTGGGGTGGGGGAGATTATTTAATGCCAATATGTTATTGCTCTTAAACACACACCCTGTGAAAAAAATTAGGCAATGTCATTTAATAAGCCATTCCTAAAACATGTTTGCATTTGATCTGATTTGAGTTTCAATTCAAAATTGCATTGTTCTAAGACAAAGATATTGCTGGACTACAAACCCCATTATCCTTGACCATGGGCCATGCTGGCTGGGGATAATGGGAATTGGGAGTCCAAAAACATCTAGAGTTCACTGGTTTACCATCTCTGTTTTAAGAGGGGAACATTTAGCTCATTTTTAAAATAATAATAATAATAATTTTTATTTATACCCCGCCCTCCCCAGCCAAGGCTGAGCTCGGGGCGCCTAACAAGCAATAATAAAAACAAGTTGAATGAATACAACTTAAAAACAAAATTAAAATACTGAAACATTAAAACATTAAAATAATATTTAACAACAACAACAACAACAACAGGAACTTGGCTTCTGTTTTCTAAAAAAGCAAACGAAAACAAACCCTCAAGGTACTGAATATTTTACCCTTTAGTTCACAGGATGTGTGTGTGTTGGTGATCTATAACATGCTCAGCTGCAGGGAATTTTTGCCTCTGGAAAAAACTGTCCCTGTCCAACAGCTCAGGTGATGAGAAAAACTACAAAACATTATCTGTATTTGTTTTCTATTTTCTGATATTCGCAACTTCCAAGCAACCTTGCCAAGAGAGCCACTCTTCCCATTTTGGAAGAGTTGGGGATACCAAGACCGAAAGAGCAGCAATTCACAAAAATCTAGCCACGAACCTCCCAAAAACAGTTCCCAAGGCCCCTAGCACTGGACAACACCGATTTTCTTGCTTTGAGCAAGAATAAATACTTACACTGTCTGAACATCAGTGGCGAGTCCAGCCAAACCGATGAATAATCTGTCTCCCATTGGGAAAATTTTCTGGAAATCCGTAGTCACCATCTGGGCTTGAATGCCAAACCTCCGGTCAGCGGCAATGGCAACACAGTTTTTCCCTTTCATGGCCATTACGGCCCCACCGTTATAGGACATAATAGACTGGGAAAGGAGGGAGAAGGCAGGCTGGTTAGTCAACATTATTAAGGAACCAATTCGGCAACACTTTTTCACTGGGATGGAGATTCTCCAAATCAGACCACTATGTGTGAGCCTCTTCGGTAGGAAGGTCAACTACACACATGTAAGGAAAGTGTGTCAGAGATCTGACACGATTCCCACTTTCCTCCAAATGTTGTTAGAATAGAGTGCGCCTCTGGGGGCGAAGTCAAAATGCTGCGCTAGCAACACCAAAGTGACCTCCCTGGGGAACAAGACTGTGCAGTGCATATGGAGATCCTGGGCTGCACGGACGACAAGACCAACTCTCTGCCTCGCTGATGCGGTTCAGAGGAAAGCAGAGCAATACGTTAAGCACCACCTTGGCTGCAGTTGTTGTTAGAAAGAAGAAGAAGAGGAGTCTGGATTTGCTATTCCGCTTTATCAGTACCCGAAGGAGTCTCAAAGCGGCTAACATTCTCCTCTCCCTTCCTCCCCCACAACAAACACTCTGTGAGGTGAGTGAGGCTGAGAGACTTCAGAGAAGTGTGACTGGCCCAAGGTCACCCAGCAGATGCATGTGGAGGAGCGGGGAAGCGAACCCAGTTCACCAGATTACGAGTCTACCGCTCTTAACCACTACACCACACTGGCATACAAGAAGCATACAAGGCTGTGTTAGGGACCCCACTACAGATTTGTGCACTCCTTAACATTTTCTTCTCCCAAAGATATCCCCGCAAGGCAGCAGACGCTTAAGAGCAGAATCTTCTTTCTCAAACGTGGGCCTCCAGCTATTTTTGGACTACAACTCCCATCATCCCTAGCTATAAGGTAAAGGACCCTTGGATGATTAAGTCCAGTCAAAGGCAACTATGGGGTGCAGCGCTCATCTTGCTTTCAGCCCGAGGGAGCCGGCGATTTTCCACGGACAGCTTTCTGGGTCATGTAGCCAACATGACTAACATGGAAATGCTGTTTACCTTCCCGCCACATCTACTTACACCGGTGTGCTTTCGAACTGCTACGTAGGCAGGAGCTGGGACAGAGCAATGGGAGATCACCCCATCACAGGGATTCAAACCTCCAACTTTCTGATCAGCAAGCCCAAGGGGCTCAGTGGTTTAGACCACAGCGCCACCCGCATCCCTAGCTATAGCAGGACCAGTGGTCAGGCATGATGGGAACTGTAGTCCAAAAAACACACACCAGCTGCAAGCCCAAGTTTGCAGAAACTCTGTCCCAGATGCACTACCTTCCCAGATGGTCAGCCCCATCTGCCCCTATGTGGACAATAAAGAAAACCTCAATTCCCCTAACCCCAGGTGGGCGCCTGGAACCACTGGACGGGGGCCATCTTTTGCTATCGCTTCTACCAGAGCCCGGGACGATACGTCATGGGGATTTGAACCGCCAACCTTCTGATCAGCAAGCCCATGGAGCTCAGTGGTTTAGACCACAGCGCCACCCACATCCCTAGCTATAGCAGGACCGGTAGTCAGGCATGATGGGAACTGTAGTCCAAAAAACACACACCAGCTGCAAGCCCAAGTTTGGGGAAAACGCTGTCCCAGATGCACTACCTTCCCAGATGGATGAGCCCCATGTGCCCCTATGTTAGCTTTTCTCAACCTGCGGGTCCCAAATGTTGTTGAACCTCAACTCCCATCACCCCTAACTAGCAAGGTCAGAGCTCAGGGCTGATGGGAGTTGTAGTCCAACAACATATGGGGACCCACAGGTTGAGAACCTACGTGCACAATAAAGAAAGCCTCGATTCCCCCAACCCTGGGCCACTTTACGGGGCGCCAACTTTCGCTATCGCTTCTACCAGAGCCATCGCTTCTACAGCGCCATCAGGACCACTGGTCTAAAAGCATGATGGGAACTGTAGTCCAAAAACCACACACCAGCTGCAAGCCCAAGTTTGGGGAAACTCTGTCCCAGATGCACTACCTTCCCAGATGGACCAGCCCCATGTGCCCCAATGCAGACAATAAAGAAAACCTCGATTTCCCCAACCCCCCGGGGGGGGGGCGCCTGGAACCACTTTCGCTATCGCTTCTACCAGAGCCCGGGGACGATCCCGGGCTGGATCAGGCCAGAGCCCAGCACACCCACCCTCCTCTTTCCCAGGGGATCTGCGGGAAGGGGAGCCGCCTTTCCCCGGCCTCTCCGTCCCCCGGCGATTCGCACCCAGAGCCTGGCCGAGGGCTCCCATCTTGGCAGAGGCGGGATTCAGCCAGGAGCAGCCGATCAGCGCCTCGACCACCTTGGTCCAGTGGCACCCCGTTCCGCTGGTCATTTTTTACCCCCCCCCCCCGCTCCCCTTTAGAACCCACCATGATGGACGCTGGTAAGAAAACGAGCCCTTATCCCCGCGCTCCTCTCGCTTCCTGACGCTCGCTGCCGCTAAGCCCCGCCTCCTCCTCTCTGCCACTGGCTAGCGTGGCCACTCGGGCCGCTTCCCATTGGGTAGCTGGGAGCCGTCAGTCAAGGCTCGGCCTCTACCCTCGGGGCGGCCGGCAGAAGGATGTGAAGAGTCATGGTTCCTCCTCCCGCGCAGCACACTCGCACGTAGAGATAAAAAATAGAGAGAGACGCATCTTCTCTCGTGGAGAGATAGCTTCCGGGTTCGCAATGGATTATTTTTTTCAATTTTTTTTAAATTTATATTTCACAAGTCAGAGCTATAACAATACAAAATACACACCCATATTTAGAGATTTCTCCGAATCTCTAGACTGCCCACCTTCCCCTCCCATGGGTCCTGTTATAAACCTTTTCAAATACATATTATTTTGTCGTCCAAGTTTTATGTCTCTCTCCATTTTATCCATAATATCTTCTGCATTACAAGTGCTATTGCAATCCTGCTAATGTTTTTATCTGGAATGGGTGTCGATTTTAGTCCCCAGCCCCAGGCGGAAATTCAGGATCACATTCTGCGCTTCGTCTGGAAAAATATATATATATATCAACCTCAGATATGCAGATGACACAACCCACAACCTTGATGGCAGAAAGTGAGGAGGAATTAAAGAACCTTTTAATGAGGGTGAAAGAGGAGAGCGCAAAATATGCTCTGAAGCTCAACATCAAATAAACGAAGATCATGGCCACTGGGCCCATCACCTCCTGGCAAATAGAAGGGGAAGAAATGGAGGCAGTGAGAGATTTTACTTTCTTGGGCTCCATGATCACTGCAGATGGTGACAGCAGCTGCAAAATTAAAAGACACCTGCTTCTTGGGAGAAAAGCAATGACAAACCTAGACAGCATCTTAAAAAGCAGAGACATCACCTTAACAACAAAGGTCCATATAGTTAAAGCTATGGTTTTCCCAGTAGTGACGTATGGAAGTGAGAGCTGGACCATAAAGAAGGCTGATCGCCGAAGAATTGATGATTTTGAATTCTGGTGCTGGAGGAGACTCTTGAGAGTCCCACAGACTGCAAGAAGATCAAACCTCTCCATTCTGAAGGAAATCAGCCCTGAGTGCTCACTGGAAGGACAGATCCTGAAGCTGAGGCTCCAATACTTTGGCCACCTCATGAGAAGAGAAGACTCCCTGCAAAAGACCCTGATGTTGGGAAAGATGGAGGGCACAAGGAGAAGGGGACAACAGAGGACGAGATGGTTGGACAGTGTTCTCGAAGCTACCAGCATGAGTTTGACCAAACTGCGGGAGGCAGTGGAAGACAGGAGTGCCTGGCGTGCTCTGGTCCAGGGGGTCACAGAGAGTCGGGCATGACTAAACAACAACAACAACAACAATATATATAATACTGCCTGTATTTCAGCTGCCTATGATATTATGCCCATGTTGCCTTGTATTCCATTCTCTGGCATACACCCACAATGTGTTTTTATGTCTAAAAGAACTCAGGTATAAACTGTGCTGAGCTAAGAAAGAGAAGAAACATGCGTTGCCATCTAATTGCACGCTAAAATTATGGATTTCTGTAAACAAACACCCAACAGGAAAAAACGCTTTTTTAAAAAGTGGCAGAAAGGAGGCTTAATAATATCTCAAATAAGTAAGGAATCGAGATTCGGAAATGATGCGCGACTCTTCTATTGCCTTTGATTCCTATCTCTATGAACAGCAACCGGAAGTGGCGTGAGATCCAATTGTAAGCCTGAATACTCCCCCCCCCAACCAAGTATCCACAGAGATAATAAATGAGAGAGATGTCTCATGGTTGGTTGCCCAAATGACAGCAAATTAGGAATGGTTTCTGACTTTCGACTGGTTAAAAATTGCAAATATGTTGTATGTCTTGTATTTTGACGGCCTACCGAAAGCCTTCCTTCTACAAGGCTTGTAAATTGAGAACAATTTGCATCTGCACCGCAATTGCTTTTTAAATATATTTTAAAGACTTTTCTGTCTTTTCTCTCTGTGGTCTGGTACCCAGGCCTCCTTTGGGAGGAAGGGTGGTATAGAATTTAATAAATTAAATAAACTAAAAAGCACCCCTTTCCCCCCAAAAAAGGTTACTGAAAAAGACCACGGAGGGGGGAAACAGAAACATACCCTCTAACATTTCTCCGATAAAAATAGGGATATCCCATTTCATAATTATAATTTTACTAATGTATTTACACCTCACCCATCTGACTGGGTTGCCCCAGCCACTCTGGGCAGCTTCCAACATATATAAAAACATAATAAAACAATAAACATATTTTATAGAACCTTCCCTACACAGGGCTGCCTTCAGATGGCTTGTGGGTCGGATAACTCCATACCCTCCAATATTTCTCTAATGGAAATAGGGACGTCCTAAGGAAAAGTGGGACATTCTGGGATCAAATCAGAAACTGACGGCTTCTCTAAATCAGTGGCATCCCTGTGTTATAATAATTTGAGGTCTCAAATAAATAAATTTAATGTTTATAAATTTACAAGGTAAACACATACATAAATATATAAACCACATCTCTGAAACAGTACAGGAAGACACAGGAAGACAGTCCCGAAACCATTTTGACACTCCCAAACTGACCAAATGTTTCTCTGCAAGGAGGGAGGATATGAAATAAAACCTCCCCATTGTCTCTTTGCTCACAAATCCTGCCTTAAGGGCACTTTAAAGATTTGAACAGGGCAAACCTGTGACCTGGACTCAGGAATTAAGTATTTACCATCACAAAAGGATGGCCCGGCTCTCCATGTAAACCCATTAACAGCCAGGTAAACCCAGTAGTGGTGTATGTAAGTGAGAACTGGACCATAAAGAAGGCTGATCGCCGAAGAACTGCCTCCCGCAGTTTGGTCAAACTCATGCTGGTAGCTTCGAGAACACTATCCAACCATCTCGTCCTCTGGCATCCCCTTCTCCTTGTGCCCTCCATCTTTCCCAACATCAGGGTCTTTTCCAGGGAGTCTTCTCTTCTCATGAGGTGGCCAAAGTCTTGGAGCCTCAGCTTCAGGATCTGTCCTTCCAGTGAGCACTCAGGGCTGATTTCCTTCAGAATGGAAAGGTTTGATCTTCTTGCAATCCATGGGACTCTCAAGAGTCTCCTCCAGCACCATAATTCAAAAGCATCAATTCTTCGGCGATCAGCCTTCTTTATGGTCCAGCTCTCACTTCCATACATCACGACTGGGAAAACCATAGCTTTTACTATACGGACCTTTGTTGGCAAGGTGATGTCTCTGCTTTTTAAGATGCTGTCTAGGTTTGTCATTGCTTTTCTCCCAAGAAGCAGGTGTCTTTTAATTTTGTGGCTGCTGTCACCATCTGCAGTGATAATGGAGCCCAAGAAAGTAAAATCTCTCACTGCCTCCATTTCTTCCCCTTCTATTTGCCAGGAGGTGATGGGACCAGTGGCCATGATCTTAGTTTTTTTGATGTTGAGACCAACTAAGTTTGTTATTGGTATGAGCTTTCGTGTGCATGCACACTTCTTCAGATACATAAGCACATGAAAGCTCATACCAATAACAAACTTACCGTAGTTGGTCTCTAAGGTGCTACTGGAAGGAATTACTTAATTTTGTTTCGACTACAGCAGACCAACACAGCTGTAACTAGAACTATGAAAGGCATACACAAAGTACCGTATTTTTTGCTCTATATGACTCACTTTTTCCCTCCTAAAAAGTAAGGGGAAATGTATGTGCGTCTTATGGAGCGAATGCAGGCTGCACAGCTATCCCAGAAGCCAGAACAACAAGAGGGATTGCTGCTTTCACTGCGCAGCGATCCCTCTTGTTGTTCTGGCTTCTGAGATTCAGAATTTTTTTTTCTTGTTTTCCTCTTCCAAAAACTAGGTGCGTCTTGTGGTCTGGTGCGTCTTATAGAGCGAAAAATACGGTAGTTCCTGCAATCCTGAAGTCTGCCCACCATTCCCTCTAAGGAAGGGTAGAAATTCAACAAGTAAAACCTCTAATCATTGCATCTCTGATGCTATGAGGCATTTTAAAACACTGGGACCCAATCAGGAAAGAAACAACAACATCTTTGTCTAGGATTGGGTTTATTTGTTGTGTTTTTGCAGGTTATTTGATCATTGCAAATCAGTTAAATGAAAAGAAGCGTTTAAACCTCCCTGGTGAATTATACTTTTCAGATTAATTCTGCAGGCTTCCACCGTCTTGTGCATCAAAGGGAAGAAGATTCTACCTGCTACATTCAGGAAAGTAGGGATTGCTAAAAGGAATGCCAGAAAAGGCCAATTGGGGCAGGATGAAACCTTGCAAGGCTCCAAATAAAAGGAAATGAAAACTCATTTTCATTAAATAAGAGTTGATGCGGATAAGGGAGGAAATGATTGACATATGTTTGCAACAGGAGCGGGAAACCTGGTTTTAAGAAATTGTATTCAATTAAAGCAATTTGGTTTGATTTGTAATAATTTGGGAAATTAATAAAAATAATTTGGACCCCCACCTACAATGTCTGAATACCTGCATCTGGTTTGGAAGAATGGCAGATGAAGATGATGGATTTTTCGGAGCTAGCCGACCTAACCGGAAGAGTCTGCGACCAGCAGGAGGAGGAGTATCAGGAAGAATGGATAAAATTGAATGATTACTTAGTTAAATATGTTAAGTTAAATTAACTGAAAACAGCTTGCAGATACTTAATTGGCTTAGGATTTTATTTCTGTTAAGTGATGAATTAATATGTTTAATTTCATAATGTGAAGATCTAAGGATGTTAATGTCTAAGTTAAATTTTATAAGAACTGCGATTTGGAAAACCGTTAAAAGGATAATGCCATGAATTCAACCAAGGGGAAGCGAGGAAGTCACTTAACAATGTTAATAAGAGTAATTTTCAATTACTACAATTTTCAAAAGGCTATGATTTATGTTTGTTTGTCTTATGTGTTTGTTTGTTTGTTTATAATGTTGTGAAAACCAATAAAAAAATTTGAAAAAAAGAAAGAAAGAAAAAGAGAATGGAGAATGGAAAGTTCCAGGTTATTCTTTGTGGCCTCTACCACCTTTTATGCCAAATTGAGCAGGAATAACTAAAATGCACGAATCCTAGAGAAGAGGCAAGACGCGCCCTGGGATCAACGGGGCAGCTGCGTTTATGGGGGCGGCCCCCTCGTTTTGCAAGCCGATGGGAAGCCAGTTGAGAAACAAAAGACACCGTCGTCCCTGGGTGGGCTCGAACCACCAACCTTTCGGTTAACAGCCGAACGCGCTAACCGATTGCGCCACAGAGACCGGCTTGCGGTGGGGAAGCGCTTGCCCTGCATTGCTAACTCCGAAGCCTAGTTAAAAAAAAATAATAGACAACGGTTCTGGATTCGACCGCTGGAGGCGGAATGAGTTTGGAAAGGTTTGGAAGAAAAGCCAGCGCGCAACACGATCTTCAGGTTGTAGCTGGTAGTGCAATGGATACAAGGCAGACTGCAGAAATAAAATGCATGCAAAAAAATTGGTATACCGTATTCTATTCTATTCTCCTTTTTCTGATTTTTTTTTGGGGGGGGGTACATGACTGTCTTTTTTAAAGCAATCTTCGCGTGCAAGAGCTGGCATTACTGCAGATTGCAAAATCCGCTTCCTCTTCTACCGCTGCCATTCACGCGCCACGCACTGCGCTGGCATCGCTCTTGCAGAGATAAAGGCGCTCTCTCCACGCAAGATCCTGCTCCGCGCGTGTCTTGTGGTGTCATGTGCGTGGTGGGCCAGCAGAGGGCGCGCCTCCTTCCTGCTCTTTGAACAGCATCCATAGAACTGGCGCAATAGCAGGTCTCTATCCGGGTCTTGGTTAGCAGCGAGGAAAAACTCCCCCGCGAAGCTCAGCGTGCAAAGCCTGTTTTATAAAACCCTCTTCCATTGCTCTTTGTTCCCCAACCTTTTCTTTTCAGTTTTTCCCTGTTATTTTATTTTCATTTCCCTTATTCCTCCTTCACCACCTTTGTTTTCTTAATACAGAAAATAATTTAAACAAAAACTGTTTAAATTAGCATTTGTTGGGGATTTTCTTGTGTTGCTTTATTATCCTTGGGTGATTCTCAAAGTGTGCTCGCTCTCAGAGCGAAAATATTCAGAAACAAGAAAAGTTGGGGTAGCTCAGTCGGTAGAGCATGAGATGCTTAATCTGAGGTTCGTGGGTTCGAGCCCCACTCTGGGCAAAAAGTTTTCCTACGTTACAGGTGGGTTGGACTAGATGATTCTTGTTGTCCCTTCCAACTCTACCATTCTGTGTTCCTGAGTATCTGCTGACTTAGGTTATTTTCCTGTGTGGTTGCTGTTCCTCTGGCTATTATTTATTATCATTACTATTATTACTATTACTATTACTATTACTATTATTACTATTACTATTGCATTGTGCCTTTTCGACAGCCCCCCTCCAAGTTTGTTTGTTTAAATATCCTTTGCCAGGTGTGCTGTTGAACTTCTTGTTCCAGGTAGATAAATGTAGGTGGCATCTTTCTTGGAGTCGGTTTTTGTTTGGTTGGGGCTATGGGAACGTGTAGCGGTGAGTTCCGGATGGTGTTAAGACTCCATCAGCCCCCAGGACGGTGGGAGCTGTAGTTCCCTAACCCGGGTTGGTATGCAAGCTTTTGTGTTACACAGAATTCTTGGTCAGGCAGAAGAGCAAAGACGGTGGAGAGGCTGTCCCTAAACTGTCAGTCTCTGCACCAGTTGAGGGTGCAGAATTAGAGCGATTAAGAGTCCTTCTGAGCTGTGCCACAGACCTGGATAAAACGACTTCACTTCTCCACGCCATTCTTCGAAAGCGACCTGTCTAGCCAAAGAATTTCGACAGTGATCACAATTCATAAAGTGATGCGCCCAGTCTTTGGAGGGAACCTGTATGTATAACCAACAACCTCAATCGGTTAGAGTCCATTGCGGGGTGTGGACATCAGCTACACCCTTTGCTTTCACTTGTCAGGCGACAGGCAAAAATTCAACGGGTGCAGCTTTTTCCCCGTTGCAGCGTGGCAAAAGGTGGCGCTTGTCCCCCAAGAAACAGAGCTTCTGTATCAAGACAATGTTTAAAAATAAGATTGCGGATTTAGGGGATGAAAACTTTATCCTGGTGTGGCCTGCCTTAGATTAATTCAGCTCCTCTCCAACTTCTGCGTCGATTCTCAACTGTTCTGCTCCTGTCGTTTTCTTATTGCACATAAAAGAGTATCATAATAACCACAATTCCAGCCTTTCAAGGTACTGTCGTTCCCCCATAATCGCCTAGGAGTTATGCTTTAGTCACAGGCTCTCATATTCAAAACGTCAAAAAATATATCCCCTTGGTGGTTGCACGGAGAGTCTGCAACTTCAGAATCTTGTGCATTCTGACGTTCAAAGCCACAGCGAGATTACTGTGATCTTTCATCGATCAGCTCACCCAGGAGCTCTTAAAAATGCTGCTATTCTTGCGCTTGTGTGTGTGTGGTTGTTATTGACAAGACCGAGGATGAGAGGAGAGAAAACTGGAGACTCATTGCTGAGCTTCAGAAAATGAAGTTATTAAAACTTTGCTAGGACTCTACCTGTTGTCTTTGTCCAGGGAGTTTTCTTGGCAGGGATACTGTAGTGGCTTGCCGGTTCCTGCTCCAGGTGGATCACGTTTGGGCAAAACTCTCCACTATGACCTGTTCATCTTGGGTGGCCCTGCACGGCATAGCTCATAGCTTCTCTGAGTTATTCAAGCCCCTTCGCCACGGCAAGGCAGTGATCCAGCAGAGACATCACCTTGCCAACAAAGGTCCGTCTAGTTAAAGCTATGGTTTTCCCAGTAGTGATGTATGGAAGTGAGAGCTGGACCATAAAGAAGGCTGATCGCCGAAGAATGGATGCTTTTGAATTATGGTGCTGGAGGAGACTCTTGAGAGTCCCATGGACTGCAAGAAGATCAAACCTCTCCATTCTTAAGGAAATCAGCCCTGAGTGCTCACTGGAAGGACAGATCCTGAAGCTGAGGCTCCAGTACTTGGGCCACCTCATGAGAAGAGCAGACTCCCTGGAAAAGACCCTGATGTTGGGAAAGATGGAGGGCACAAGGAGAAGGGGAGGACAGAGGACGAGATGGTTGGATAGTGTTCTCGAAGCTACCAGCATGAATTTGACTAAACTGCAGGAGGCAGTGGAAGACAGGAGTGCCTGGAGTGCTCTGGTCCAGGGGGTCACGAAGAGTTGGACGCGACTAAACGACTAAACAACAACAACACTCTACCACTTCGTGCTGCCGGTGTGCAAAGAAATCGCCTGTTTTTAAGGGTCCGTCTGCCATCATAGGACACCCCCCCCAGAAAAAAAAACACTCTCAGAGAGAAAGGTGGGGTGATCCCCTTCTCCCTGGAATGCAATATTTTTCTCTGTTCCGGGAGCTGGTTTTGCAGGCAAGCATTTTATGTTTTAAAAAATGCGATACCTCTCACCAGTAAGTGGAAGTTGTACGCGTGATTCTGCTGAACGCGTGAATCGGCCAGGTTCCTTTGGGGAATGAAGTCTGAAAAGGGCTTCTGAAATGAGCGAGGAGAGTTGAGATACCGCCCGTGGGTGTATATTATTTGAAATATGGGGCTGGGGGGAAGACACGGGGCAGAGGCCTTTTCAAAAGTCTGGCTGGCAGCCCTGCTTCCATGCACATCTGGTCAGCCAGAAGTTTCTCCAATGCGTCTTTCCCCAGAAAATAAAAAAGTCTACTCAAAGTTTGATAAAATAATGGACTCAATAAGGGTTATGGGTGGATGAGATGGGTGAAATCCAGCCCTCAAAAGAGCAGAAGGCTCTCTTTTCCCATAATACCCTGTAATTGACCTTAAAGTAGTCATATTTGAGGTTTTGCGCTACCGCTGATGGACTGAATCGCGCCAAAGGGTGTGCTAGTTGACTTACCAATGCCAGAATGCCTGTGGTATCAACAGCTGTTTTGCGAATCCCCACTGCTCAGTAGGTAATTCACTCTCTCCCTGCACTTTCCACATTTTTTATTTTTTGGTCTCTCACCCCTCTTCTTACAGACCCCAACCCGACCAACGTGCATTCTGTGCCTCAGGAAAAAAAAATACTTAATGCATCTGGTTATATACTGTGGTCCACGAAAGTTCATGGTATAATAAATCTTCAAGGTCCGCCAATTCTCCTTGTCGCTTTTCCCTCCGAGAGGAAATCCGGTTTTATGGCCGTTCTCAATCAGAACGTCTTGCACGAGTCTTCCCTTCCCCGCATCTTGAGGGTCGTGGGAATGGTATCAAAAATATTACTCCTCTTCAAAGAACTGCGCGTCTTTAGCCAAGAGAGAATTATTGCTAGCCAAGGATGTGATTGTCATGATCACGCATTTCCCCTCTTCAGTCTTAAAAACAACAACTCCGAAAGGCACGCGTCGCTTTGTTAAAATGGTCCCCATCCTAAATCTGCGTCCCCATTTGCGTGTGGTCGTTAGCAAAATCCCCAAGGAACGTCCAGACCAACTTTTACTGAGCGAAGCTGAATTTGCACCTAAAAGAGACGAGGGAGGAGATCAGCTGGTCTTCTGTGGGAGGCGGGTTGTTGTTGATACAAAAGCTTAAGAAATTGCATCTAGAGACATTTGTTGTTTAGTCGTTTAGTCGTGTCCGACTCTTCGTGACCCCATGGACCAGAGCACGCCAGGCACTCCTGTCTTCCACTGCCTCCCGCAGTTTGGTCAAACTCATGCTTGTAGCTTTGAGAACACTGTCCAACCATCTCGTCCTCTGTCGTCCCCTTCTCCTTGTGCCCTCCATCTTTCCCAACATCAGGGTCTTTTCCAGGGAGTCTTCTCTCCTCATGAGGTGGCCAAAGTATTGGAGCCTCAGCTTCAGGATCTGTCCTTCCAGCGAGCACTCAGGGCTGATTTCCTTAAGAATGGAGAGGTTTGATCTTCTTGCAGTCCATGGGACTCTCAAGAGTCTCCTCCAGCACCATAATTCAAAAGCATCAATTCTTTGGCGATCAGCCTTCTTTATAGTCCAGCTCTCACTTCCATACATCACGACTGGGAAAACCATAGCTTTTACTATACGGACCTTTGTTGGCAAGGGGATGTCTCTACTTTTTAAGATGCTGTCTAGGTTTGTCACGGAAGGAGATGCTGCTAATACAAATTGCAACGACTTCTCTCCCGGAGGCGCGCTCCATTGTCTCTCCAGTACCGTGGGGAAGGACTGGTCCCCATTTGCTCCGGATCCTGAACAGGCAGATAGATGTGGTTCTGCAGTTTTCGGGGATGCAGACTGTACCAGAGACCCCCACCCCAACTGCAAACTAGTGTCTCACCCCTGTCTTGTTACTGGACTCCGGAGCTTGCATTAAATCCAGGCGCTTCGCATATTCTTCCCCTCCAAAGACTTCCCTTCTGTTGCGCCCTCCCAATCATTTCACCACCTTATTTCCCCCCACTGTTGCTGCAACCCCTGGCACCTGCCCGATGGGCCATCGCACCTCCTCGCAAACACCCCCCTCTTCCTTCCGTCGCCATTCCAAAAATGGTCTGCGAGGACGCGAGGTCAAGTTGACGCGGCGATTCGTTAATTCGCCGCTCGATCCCGATTAGGCGCGCGTTGGTGTCACTCTGGACTGCCACGAGTTTAGGCTCTCCAAAGGATCCGGCGACGTTGGAGACGACCTTGTAGCTTCGGATCCTCACCTCTGTGGATGGGAAGCTGGATCGCGCCACTTAATCCGTGGTTCACCGCTTGCTAAAAGTCCGGATCGATAAATTTATCGCGTGTCATCTTCCTTCCCTGCCGGTTCCTGTGCCCCGTACCGATTTACAAGCCTGCCTGAACCAGGATTAACTCATTCCGCAGTAACCACCCCCTCCTCCTGGTTCTGATGGCAGCATAGACACGAGAGCGACCTAGAGGGTTCACACGTGACGGCCACCACGCCATCGCGATTCCCAGGGATTCTCTTCGTCTGTCCGCACAGAAACGTGCTTGCAAAAAAGCTGGGAGATATGCGATCGGGCTTTTTAGTTACTAGCGCTTAAGAGCTGCGCGCTGGCCGCGAGGAAGTGGCTTTTGTAGGCAATCTGGAGCGGCCACCTTCACTTTTTATGCCCCTGTCCCCAGCCAGAGAGCTTAAGCTTTCGTGAACACGGGTGCCACAAAAAAAATCGCTTGGTCTATAACTGGTGGGAGAAAACTCGTGGATGACATTGCTGCAGATTATGCCCACTGCTACCTCTCCGGAATGGACCTTGCAGGTCATCTGTCATGGATATATTAGCTGAGATCCCTGCATTGCAGGGGGGTGGACTAGATGACTCGAGGGTTCCCTTCCCATTCTACGATTCTGTGACTTTAAACCGGTGGCGCCACTGAAGAAGAACACGCCCTTCTCCAGCAAAGTCCCACTCCCCACTGGGGGAACCACATATGAGGTAAAGTGCATGTAAAAATTGAAAGTGTCATCTCAGAAAGATCTAACATTGCGAAGCAAATCAGGGCTTCGAATCTCCCTCCATAGAAAAAGTTAAAGTATTTTAGAAACAATCGACACCCCACCGGCTCACCCCTCCCCAAAAATATTTCCTTGGTGCAAATCCCACCTTGGGCATGGGCGACGTTTCCGAGAGAAGCGTGTTCTCGTGCTTGGAAACACGCGGGGAAAGGAGGCAGCTTCTAGATGGAGTCCAGTTTGTCTTGTTTAGTCACGAAACGGTTGGTAGTTAAAGTTTACTAGTTGCAATGCACCCTCTGCTTTAGGTGTTTTTGTTTTAATCTTAGTTTTGACGCTCTGCGTTTTAATTTACGCGCTCTTTGTAAAAAGGTGGGTCATTCCTCGCTTTAAAACAGAAACAAAAAGCTGTAATCTTTGTTTTAAAACAACAACAAAGCTCCTTTTCCATTATCTTTTTGCACGCGCCTTTAATTGGTTCTTTGGGATTCGTTATACAGATTGCAAACTTTTAGCGAACTCTTTATTCTGTGGGGAAGGGAGGACGTTAGCCCTTCCTTGAAGAAAGTGCCTGGTGCAAGTCACGGTTATAAAGTAACACACACACACACACACACACACACACACACACACAATACATACACCTGGGAGAAGACATATAATACTCGTTTTCAGATATTCTCTCTCTCTCTCCCTTTCCCAAGTTCTGAATTTTAAGGGCTGCATCTGCGTCGTGGATTTGAAGCCGACTCCTATTTAGAATTCGAATTCTTTTATACACGTGACAATTCCGCAAGCCTCCAACCAATGCATGCCTTCTTCTTGGAAGGATCACCGATTTACGCATCTCCCCGCGTAGCTCATGGAAGAGCAGAAAATCGGAGAACTGCAGTACGGTCCTTTTGTATATTCCAGAGATTAAAATACCAGGGTTGTTGTTTTTTAATTAAACTTTTTTTGGGGGAGGGTGTGTGTGCGTGCCTGTCCTTTTGCCTGCACCGGGTGCCCTTTCCACTTTCCCTCCTGCGCGTCTTTCCTCCCAGCAAAAAAAGACTCCGGGCCGACCGTGTGTGTTTCTGGGTGTGTGTTGTGTGTGTGTTTGTGTCAAACGGTCCCCAAAGCCGTCGCTTTTGTTCCCCGCACGATCGCAGGCTTTTCTCTTCTAAATCGTGGCTTTACAGTACTTCGATCGACGCGTTTTTTTTGTGCTTTCCTTTTTGCTTTTGGACGGGTGGCAAGGTTGTTTTTGTATTGTCTGGATGCGAAGTCTGTCTGTCTGGAGACAGAGGCGGAAGGGAAACCCGCACATTTTTCTTCCCACCCCCCCTCTCTGCCCCCCCCATCCCCAGATCCCGAGTCTCTCCTCCTGCTCCTCCTCATTTATTTATTTCCAGGGACTTCGCTCTTTTGCAAACACCCCTGAAGGAACGAAATCACGTGAGGCTCCCAAAAGGGGGCGGGGCTTTTTGTCCGGAGGAAAAGAGGTGGGGGGGAGGAGGGGAGGAAGAGGAGGAGGGGGGAAGGGCCATTTTGTAGATTTCTCCCTCCCTCCCTCTTTCTGTAGCCCGGCAGAAAGAGAGAGAGAGAGGAGAGGAGAGAGACAAGGCTGCCCAGAGAATCTCTCTGCCTCTATACTATATATATTTATATGTATATATTTAAACATTCCAGTCTGATCAGTGTAAGTGGGGCGAAAAGGGGGGCGGCGTCGGTTCCTCCCCCCTTTGCTTCTCCTCTCTCTTTTCTCTCTCCCCATCCGGTCTTTCGCTGCCTCGGTGCGCCCCTCTAGAAAGGACCCGGGGATCAGGTAGGGCTGCTATACTTTTCCCCTCCGAAATCTGTGTGTGTGTGTGTGTGTGTGTGTGTGTCCCTTTTTTAAAAATTAGCATTATTTGCTCCCGGGAACTCCCCCTCTTGCTTTCCCCTGGCGCCTTTTCCCTCCTTTCCCTTTGTCACTCCTTCTCTCTCTTTCTCCCTCTCCTCTTTTCCTTCTCTTTTCCCCCCCTCCTCACCCTGCCTGGCTTTCAAGATGGCCGATCTTTTCTCTCTCTCTTTCTCTCTCTCTCTCACTCTCTCTCTCGAAATTTTGCCAGCCCTCTCCGGCTCGGAGGAGCCCGCCTTTGTTGTTGTTGTTGTGGCCGCGGGTCGCTTTTCCCCTTCCCCAAATCGCGAAAGGGGGGTACCTCGGGAGGCTCTCCAAAAAGGTCTCCTCGGGTTCCCCCTTTGGAAAGCTCAGCTCCGCCCCCCGGGACCCCCTTTCCCTTGTGTGTGAGTGTGTGTTTGCGCGTCTGCGTCCCCCCCATCGCAACTCAGGAAGCCGGCGGCCAGCGTGGCTCCCTTCCCCGGCCCAGGGCTGCCTCTCTTCGGCTGCTGCAGCCACCAGCTCCGGCTTCCCCGGAGAGGCCTTTACCGCTTCGCTTGTGCGTCTGGGGCGTGTGGGTATGGTTTTTTGTGTGTGTTTGTGTGAGTGCGCAAACGGCGATCGCGGTTTTGACAGCCAGCATCTTGCAGGCCGCGGTGGAAAAAAGACTCTCCTCTGGTGTGGAGCTCGAGAGATCCACTCCTTTGGATCTCGAGAGATCCAAATGTCAGGCGATCCAGGGAGCCCCAAAGAGAAAGGCGCACGCGATGGCTCCTTCGGGCGCGCAGCAGCAGGCCCGGGTGATTTGGAGAGGACTGGGATTTATATTGGAAAAATAATAATCTATCATTTAAAAAAAAAGGGGGGGGGGCAAGAACCACAACATGGCGCGCAGGATGTTGTGGAGAGCGTTGTTGGTCTCGTGTGTGTGTGTGTGTGTGTGTGTGTATGTGTGTGTATAAATGGTAGGGGAAAGGGACATATTTCTTCTGCCTTGTGTTTCAACCAGCAAGGTGAGGACGGTGATGGTGCTTCCTTTGGCCCCAAACCGGAGGGGGTTTAAAAGTCTGATCTGGGGAACTCTAGAGCCAGAAAAGGGGTGTGTGTGTTTCTGTCATTCCCCCAAATCACATGGGAATATCGTTTTGGTTTTTTTGCGGTGTGTGTGTGGGGGGGTGAGGTTCGACAACATAGTTGTTTCCAAATGCGGAGAGGGGGTGGGAAAGCTGATCGGGCTGGGGCAGTTTGAGGCTGGAGACGCCAAAGCAACACTTGCTGGTATTATTATTATTATTATTAGCTGTCGCGATGTTTGGCGAATGGACGAAATAAGGGAAGTAGATGGGGATTGTGTGTGTGTGTGTAAAATATGAATGAGAGAACAGCTGTAGTGGAAAAGCCATATCACTACATATTTTTCACTGTGTGGCTACATAAATAAGAGCAGAATCCTATGGATGCCTTCTAGGAACACTGCAGGGTTTAATGGGGCGCTACGTGTGTTTAGAACAACACCCTAAACTTCCCCCATCAACCCCCCCATTACTGCCTTAATTTTCTTTTTTAAAAGACACCTGGTGGTAATTTAATTAGCCAATTGCTCTTGACGCCCTTGCAAAAATAGGATGCAATGTCAGAACAGACATGAGGGTGGACTTTCAGAAAAGTACCTTTTACTCTCAGTTTGTGATGGTTCATTCATTTCTGCCCCACTAAGAGTGGGGGGGAGGAACCTCTCCTTGGTCACCGGATCAAAATCGTATTTCCCTCCAAAATTCTGATTTCTTCTTTGTAAGCCCTTCAAAGAAACTTCTGGTATGTAGCTCCAGAATTCGAGGAAGGAAGGCGTCTCATTGTCTTCTCTAGAGTATAATAAAAGCAGACACCGTGTCAGTATTTTCTAGAGTGCAGGGAAGGAGACCTTTCTGGACCTTGCATTCCGTATTAGCTTCTAGAATGCAAGGAGGAAAGGATTGCCACCACCTCTGTATTTTACTCCAGAATGGAAAAGACACCGTTTTCAATGTGGGCCTTTAGACGGAAGAAGTGACCTTCCTTCCAAGTATTTGCCTCTTAAATTCTGGGAATCCGGAACGGGAATTTAAAAAACGGGAGGTTCTAGGATGCAAGGAAGGAGAGGGGGTCATCCTACTTGCAGAAATGTCCGGGGGAAATTAAGGGTTGGATTTCCATTTGTCTATTTTGCTGGAGGTTTCATGGACAGGTTTCTGCTCCAAGCTTTTATATAGAACATTCCCCTCTAGAATTCCAAGATAAGTTTCTGGAGAACTCGAGATAGGGCTAAGATCCAGATAAAGTTCAGCACTGCTCATTGTCTGTTAAAAATGCTTAATTTATTGGTTGGACCTTTTTAAAAATAGAGATGCTTCTCCTCGTGCCTTGTTTCATTTTTCTACCTTGAAATGTCGGGAATTACTGGCTTAAAAATAATAATTAATAATTCCCCACCTTCAGATGACTTGAAAGTCCTTCACGAAAGTGGTGGCAAGGGGAATAGGAGGAGAGGCTGTTTTATTCCTCCTTTATTATCTTCCTTTCCTCTGATCTGGGACAAGGTTATTCTCTCAATGTCTCCTGACACCTGCCCGTCGTTCTTAACCCTAACCTTGCAGTGTAGGCCACACAAGCAGAGAGAGAAAGGCTGGTGTTCTTGCGTTTAGGCGGAGCAAAACTTGTGCGTTTTTCTATGTTTTGCCGTTGTGTTAGCGCGACGAGGATGGAGAGTCAAGTTCAGATCTTAGGTTATAGACTGGGCTTTGTCGTTGAAAAGAGGATTCCTGCATTGCAGGGGGTTGGACTAGATGACCCGGGAGGGTCCCTCCCAAAGTTGCCATTCTATGAGAAGGATGGAGTTAACGATCAGTTCAAAGCGCTGTCCTGGAAGCGGAGCTTCTTCGTCTCTCTGCCGGTGGGTTTCACCCTCCAAGCGTCCCCCACCCCTGCGCATCTCAGCTCCCAGAAGTTGCCCAGTGGTAGGGTGCCGATAGCCCGGGGTACCCGCCTCGCTTTCTGCGCTTCCCAAGAGGTATCTGGTTCGGCTGGGCTGGATGGCGGGCCTTCTTTGGTCGGATCCAACAGAGGTCTGCTCAAGTTGCCTTCCTTATGAAGGCGCTTTGGATGGGGGGAACGGGGCAATGTGGGCATCTTCTGCCTACACTTAAGATTGCGCACCGTCGGCTGATGGCGAAAGGGTCGCCGTTTCCCCTGCGCAGAGGCCGGGTGAATCCTAAGCGCCTTCCTGCCCTGGCCTTTGGGCCGCGCAAGAGCGTTTCCCGCAGGATCGCGCGCTCTTATTCCATGTGGTGCAGGCTGGAGCGCCCGTGGCAGCGCAATCCTATGCACAGCCTTACGCGGAAGTAAGTACAAATGGGCTTACTCCCAGGCCAGAGGGACATAAAGGATGCCAGCCCAGGGCTCCCCTCCTTCCTCTACCCATTGACCTGGGAGTAAGTCGCGCTGCGCACAGGGAGATTTACTCATGAGGAAACACTTGGCCAGGATCGCGCTGAAAGCAGCCACCCCCTGCCCAGGAGAGAGGCGAGGGTCGGAGCTGATTTTGGCTTGGCATGGTGTATTTAAATCGGCGCCGAGACCCAGTCTTGCTGGCGATGGGTGTGGGTGGGTGGTGGGGGTTTGTTGTGTCTCGCTGGCGGTTTGTTGAGTCTTGCTTGGAGGTTTTGTTGCATCTTGCTGGCGGTTTGTTGTGTCTGCTTTGGAGAGCGAGTTGCCTTTTGAACCCACGTGGGATCGAGAGAGCTGATGGCGGCAGGGAATCCCCTCGGGGGAGATCGCTTATGAGAGCGCGTGCAATGGGGCTGGGGTGGCGCGCGTCCCCGCTGCAGAAAGGCTAGGATTTTAGGATCTCTTTCTCTTGCCTTCAGAAGGGAAGCATCCGACGCAGGTATTTGCCCTGCTCCCCGGAGGTCAAGGCCCAATACAGGCGTAACTCCCAAGTAAATCTCTTTCCGGATTGCAATTTTTTATAGTCTCAAATCCCACCCCATCCTTTGAAAACATTATTCCACTTTGACTTGGGATTTTTTTGGAGGTGTCTCCAAGATCTAGCCAAAGTTAGGCGTTTTAAAACACCCCAATGACTTCAGTGGGAGCGTATTCCTCCTTTTTGTTTTGAAGATTTATACGTCGCCTTTCGATGGAGTGATGGCAGGTTGTAATGCGAAGAAACGCGAGTGGCTGGGGCTGCGCAGGCTGGTGTACATGTTCGTGGCTAAGGCATCAACAGGGAATACCCCAATAGCTCTGATTCAGGGCTAAAAGTCATGGGTTTTGCGGATAGGTATTCTGTTCTAGGTTGTCAATTGGCCTTCAGCTTGGACAACAAATCCCAGTGCTCCAGAAAACCGGGAGGGCTTGACTGGAGAGCGCAAGCTTAGCAGTGGATCTGGAGATGTAACGAACACCCGGATCTGTTTCCTTCGCCGAATTCTAGAAGCTAATAAAAGGAAGGGACTGTCCTTGAATTTCTGTGTGGTGCACAGAAAGCCCGGCCTCTTCCCAACGCAGAAATCAATAAGAAGATCTAGAGAAATAGATGGATGCCCAGGGATAGGGGCTGCGTCGTGCAGAGATCCGTAGAATCTGGAATGGACGGGTTCTAGAGTGGATTACTGGATGCTAAAGAAACATTGGGGGGGGGCGTGCAGTGTTTGCCACACTTGCCTGGTGAAATATTACATGCACTCTCCCGGGGAACCTCGGAACTTGTTTCAAAGGGCCCTTCATGGGTCCCTGAGCATATGGAGCAACGAAGAGTGGCTCTGAGCACATGCAGAGTGCCCGTTAACTATTGAGTAATCGCTGTCCGCAGACATCTTAGAGGAAAATGTCTGAAACCCTGGCCAATTTTTAAAAAACAACCCAGCAACAACTAGGCAGTGACCAGGAGGCATTAAATAAACCATCTGAAAGATCCTTTCGCTCCACCCGTCTGTTTTCTCGTTTATTTAGGGATCTAAGTATTATATATTTCGCAAACGGCTTGGTGTGCGAGATGGTGATCCTCAAATTTCTGGAGGCTTGCCTTGGAGTTTGGGGGCTGCGGGTGAGAGTGGCAGGAGGTGTTGCCCTAAATTTACAGATCTGAATCTAACCTCAGTATAGTTCCTTAGGTTGCCCCTCCAGACTCACTTTTCCAAGAGTCGCGGCCCCGATGATGGGAACTGTAGTCCAAACCACCTGGAAGAGGCACCAGGTTGGTGCAAAAATAGTAGTAACCTTGACCGGGATTAGGGAGAAGAGTTTCCGGGCTTCGGGGAAGTCGGAGCCCCGGGGAAAAATTTAAAATAAAAGAAGGATTAAAGAAATGTGAATGCTAACCTTTATACTGGGGAAGAGGCCGATGTATTTAGGATGCAATTCGGTGCATGGGTAGGACATATTGGAGCCGCTAATGCGCAGCGCAGTCCTATGCCTCTCTACTCAGAGGTAATCCGGAGTGAGTTCAGGCACTCTTTGCATAGGATGGGAGCGCAACAACCCGGATTGCAGCCAGGGCTGGTTGCAGTCTCTTGCACACTTACATGCGGGGAATCCCCATTGCTGGCACCCCCCTTTTGAAATAGACCTTCGTAGGATCTGCTCCGCCTCCAGCGCTGCGCTGCGCTGCGCTGTTTTTCTGAAGATCCCTCCGTTTCCTCACTTCCTGGTTGGTTGCATCGAGCAAAACAGGCTTGCAGGCTTAGTTAGAGAAGGAGGCTGCCTCCCGCCCATTCACCCGGGAGAAATCCTTGCTATTTATTTTATCCGAAGGTTGCCTTTCAGAGCAAAACCCCACTTTCTTTAAACTCAGGGGCACGTGCTTCGGAGCGGGGGTGCCAACCTGAATAAAATATTGCGGGCGCCCAGGTAAGCCCCGCACCGCATAATGGATCACATGATGCAATGCACACGCACCGTTTGAATGGGGATGCCCATCAACTTTGTGGGAGCTCGGCCCCCTCAGATATTTTCTTGTGGGGGTTGAAGTCGGCTCCTGTGCTTCGGGATCCACAGCTGCGCGCTGTCTGGCAGCGTTTTCCGACCGATCCTGTGCATTTTTAAGCAAATAAATAAATAAATGCCCAAATGGAGTCCCTTTTAAGGGTCCTGTTCCTTTAACAATCGCAGGAAGGCACGATCTGTCTGCAGCTTCTAGATTCTGCAAATGTATTCGTTGAATGTATAGCTTGGCTGTGGAGCTTACCGGACCCAGATCTGTTCAGCTTCTGCAATGTTACAAGATGACAATCTTCCTAGATGATGTTGGATTGCAACCATCATCCTTGCCCATTGGCCGCGCTTGGTTGGGGATGCTGAGAGCTGGGGGTCCAATATCTGGCGGGGTGGGGGCAGACGTTTCCAGTCCCTAGGGGTGCAATGATAAAGGGAACTATCTTAAAGTAGTTCCTTTATCAGATGAGTTTTCGATTCATTGGGGTGGGGGGAGGAAGGCAAGGGGATGCAAGGACGCCCCCCCCCGGACCACTCCAATTAGGAGAGATCCAGGTTTTGAGTGACCCCAGCATTAACTGGAAATTTAAAATATGAAGCATGGTTTATTTGTATGTAAAGGCCGTCATCATAAATAGGACCTCCTTCTCCCAAAAGAGGTGTAGAATGGGAACATTAGTAGCTCGAAGGGGCCTAGAGAAACTCCCTCTGCCCATCTCTGCGCCGCCCACCCGATCCCCAGCACCCACTATTTTGTTTGGCGCCGCCGCTGGATATTTTCTCGAAGCGCTGAGTTTCGTTTTCATAGGGAGTGGTTTTAGCAGAGTAGAGAGTGCGTCTGAGCGCGTGCAGAAGGCCTTTCCTTCCAGGGCCCGTGTAACCAGACCTTCCTTGATCGTAGCGGATCAAGAATTAGGATTGGACCCAAAACGGACGATCTAACTTTGGGGAATCTTGAGCACTTTTGGGGTCGGAAGGGGGTGAGGAGGGAATCCGTTTTTTAAACGAAAATTGACCACTGGTGACCCCAAAGGGAGGGTTCACCTTATTTCCACACCTCCATTCCTCCTGTCCTCTGGGGAGCATAAAATCTGCGATGGTGGCCTGTTGGCAAAAATGTATTGGTTTTCCCAGACACACGCACCGATTTCATTTTTTATTTTATTTTTTTTGCCTGTGTAGGATTTTGGTCTTCTTGGTTTCTAATCCTGAGCCGTTTGCCTGTTTCAGGAGCTAAATAATGTAATGCAAAATAGGTGAACGGGGCTGCCCAGCGATATTTCACGTTGAAAAGTCCCTTTGATTTCAAAGGAGAGACCTCGATCTTCTGTAAATCGGAAGAAAATCCAAGTCTGTTGAATGGGTCGTTAAGCGGAAACCTAAGCATGCTTGCTCAGAAGTAAGCCCCACTGAGTTCAATAGGAGTTGCTTTGCAGGCTTCCTTTGGGGGTAACAGATAAGCAGCAAAAGCCCCTACCTGGGGGTAGGGGGAAGCCAGTATGGTGGAGCGGTTAGTGTGCTGACCTAGGAGCCAGGAGATCCGGGTTTCTATCCCTATTCGCCCATGAAGCTCGCTGCGTGACCCTGGACCTGCCACAATCTTTCAGTTTAACCCGATTTACAAAGTTGCTGTGCGGATAAAATGGGGAGGGGGAGAACCAAGCGCCTTGCAAGAAAAGCCGGGTATAAATGTAAATAAATGTAATAATAATAATAATGGCAAGCATATACTTTTCGCATTGGAACACGAGGAATTCCTAGAGCAGTTGTGTGCATGTCTATTTAAAAGTGAAGGCAGCGAGTTCAATCGGTTACGTATACCCTGTTAAGCCTGTACAGGATTGCATTTCTTAAAAGTGCATAACTCTGGCTGAGCTGTCAGGGAAGTCCCGGCCCAGGCGAGGTTTGTGAGAAGGCGCGCCAGCTTTCAGGCTCTGCAGAGCTCTTCTTCAGGCAGTCTGTACCTGTTTCTCTCCCTTGCTGATGCTCCTGCGCTTTCGGCAGTACTTGCGCAGGAGACAGGAGCACATCAGGTGGAAGGAAGCTTTCTTCATTTCCTACTCGTCCTGACAAAATTCCTTCTCTCTAAAGCATTTGGGGAGCGGAAGTAAATGAACAACACGCGCTCCCTCAAATAAGGGCGCACAACTAAGGGTTTACCACCATGCAGTGTAACTCCTAAACCAAGGAAACGCAGGGGTGCATCCACCCACCCAAACGTGTACAAGGGACCATTTAAAGGAGCCCGATTTATTAAATAAATATCCTATGCACATAATTACAGTAGAACCTCTGTACTCCGGAGCCCAGTTGTGGCCAGTAGGTCATTTTAAGCGTGCGTAAAATTGCGTTGTTAGGATCCGTTTTGCTGAGCGAGTGAGATCCTGTTGAGATCCACCCTTTGCAGGGGTAGCAGCCGAGATCTCTCTGCCCATTTTATTGGGAACCAAATCCCATTGCCTCCTCTCCGATGGGACTTTTCTCCCTGCCTGGGAAAGTGGGCGTGAGATGGTTTGCAAACTGGAGTGGGTCGCGTGCGTCTCCATCGTCCGTGAAAGGCTGGCTTGGTGACTTGAGGTCGCCTGATTCTTAGCTAGCCAAAAGTGAAAAAGAAAAGGCCATTTTGATCACCGATAAGAGAGAGAGAGAGACAGAGAAAAGTCGATTGATTTTAAGCTGCTCCACAGCCCATTCAACAAAAGAATCTTGCCAGAAAATAAGATGGGAATGCGTTCTCAGGTTTACGCGTAAAAGGATAGTTTAGCCTGAAAAGACGCTTGTTTGTTGCTCGTCTGGCTTTCTAAACGTTAAAGCAAGTTACAAGTTTCTTAAGAGACCATTCTGCTCAGCTTCCCATCCAACTCTTTCTCTTGCGCTGCAGCTAAAATCTCCCCACACACCCCCTCCCGAAGTCCGGGTCGTAAAACAGCCTTGTTACTTGGATTTCCTTTCTTTCCAAAGGGGAAAAAATGCTTCTGAGATCCCTTCTCAACAAATTGTCCCCAAGATACTGAAATGCGATTAGGCTGTAAATTTCAAGGTTCCTTTGGATACAGGTTCCCAGCCTGATGAGCTTGTAGTTAGAAGCAAACCCCTTTAAGTTCAATGGGGTTTGCCTCCAGGTAAGTATGCAGATAGGATTTCAGCCTTTAAGCGAAAGCACCGCTGGGAGATGTGCAAAAGCCTAAGCAATAATTTGGGAGGTTTTGGCTACACATCTGTGCAAATATTTTTCCTGGTTCCTAAGCAAGTTGGGCGAGGGGAGGGGAACCTGATGCTCTCAGTGACCTAAGAGGAAAACAGCAGGTTGGGGAGAAAAAGAGCAGCAATGGATGGATGCCTCCCAGCCCAGGCGTGTTGATTCACGGGTCATTGATATGTCTAGCCAAAGGCTGTTTGATCTATCCATCTCCATGCTGGAAGGTCGTGTGGGCTGAAGCACATCTGAAAACTATACAAAACGGGAAGGCTGAGGAAATGGGGAAGGTGGTTCATTTTATTTTATTTTATTTTATAATTTGCGCACCGCAGGTTGGGTGGGGAGGACGCTCTGGGCTTTTCACTTGCACTTTTGTAAAATATATTCCTTTCTCAGATTGTCTGTGCAATCAGTTCTCTAGAATTACCCACTCATCCCTCAGTCTGATAAATTTATTTCTTTATGTCTGTCTCTTTTCCACAGTCCCATTTTCCACAGATTTTTTCTGTGTGCAAAGGATCTGTTTGATTAAGATGGGAGGATCACTTGTAGTTTATAACCGTGTGTGTGTGTGTCTGAAGAAACAAATTAACTTCACATCCCAATAATAGACTGGGTGGGAAATCAGCCAAGCTCCTTCTTTTTCCTCCTCTTTTGTCTGGAATGAGATTAGCCCTTCCTTAAGTATTGCCTATATAGTCTCATCCTTGGTCCAGGATATGCAGTCTTCAGCCCTGCAGATGTTGCTGGACTCCAATTCCCATCAGCTCCAGCCAGCATGGGATGATGGGAGTTGTAGTCCAGCAACATCTGTGTGGAATAACAGCGGATACATGTCTTAAATGCATTACAGTAAGCCTGCAATTTATGCAGGGGGTTACGTTCCAGGGATTGCCCCTAGAGCAAACATTGCGTATAGTCAAAACACATTGGGTTCAGAGGCGGGTGGGATTGCCCAAGTCACTTTTTCAGGAATCCCACCCCTTTTAAAATTTTTTATTTTGCCACACGTGCGAGTTAAATGCACATAAATTGTGGGCTTACTGTAATTGCCTGAATGCAGGAGGAAGGTATACCTCTGTAGAGAGGAATGGGGAGGTTGAGAAATGCTCAGGTTTTTTTTTGTGTGTCAGGTAGGATCAGGTTGGTTCCATGGTTGCGTTCCGTTAATAAAGCTATTTCCACTTAGCCTAGAATTGGCTGGTGCAATGCAGGCAGCGATGGCGGCCAACTAGGGTGAGGATATCAGCCATTCCTCTTTCTTCTGTTCCAGGGGTAGGCAACCTAAGGCCCGTGGGCCAGATGCGGCCTATTTGCCTTCTCGATGCGGCCCACGGACGGTCCGGGAATCAGTGTGTTTTTACATGAGTAGAAAGTGTCCTTTTATTTAAAAGGCATCTCTGGGTTATTTGTGGGGCCTGCCTGGTGTTTTTACATGAGTAGAATGTGTGCTTTTATTTAAAATGCATCTCTGGGTTCTTTGTGGGGCATAGGAATTCGTTCATTCCCCCCCCCCCAAAAAAATATAGTCTAGCCCACCACATAGTTTGAGGGACGGTGGACCGGCCCACAGCTGAAAAAGTTTGCTGACCCCTGCTGTATTCCCTTGGTCCATCTTCCTTAACTCAGTTAGTTGCACTGTTAGGTAATGCTAGACTTCTGGATTTAAAGGTCTTGTGGGCCACAGCTCGTCTTTAGATGAGCGTTGCTCTAATTTCACTTCCTGCAAAATGTGATAAGCCAGCCCTGCTGCGTTGTTTGGTTTTCTTTGGTGGGGAGGTCCTGCTTCTCTTTCCTCTGAGTGGGGCCTTGCACCTCTGTCACAAAGTCTTATCTTGATTGGCACCGTTGAGCCTAACTTCTCCAGCTCAGGAGATAGTTAAATGTAAAGGTAAAGGGACCCCTGACCATTAGGACCAGTTGTGACCGACTCTGGGGTTGCGGCGCTCATTCCGCTTTATTGGCCGAGGGAGCCGGCGTACAGCTTCCGGGTCATGTGGCCAGCATGACTAAGCCGCATCTGGCGAACCAGAGCAGCGCACAGAAACACCGTTTACCTTCCCGTTGGAGTGGTACCTATTTATCTTTCACTGGTGTGCCTTCAAACTGCTAGGTTGGCAGGAGCAGGGACCGAGCAACAGGAGCTCACCCCGTCATGGGGATTCGAACCGCCGACCTTCTGATTGGCAAGTCCTAGGCTCTGTGGTTTAACCCACAGCGCCACCCACCTCCCCAGGAGATAGTAAGTAGCTCAAATTAAAATATTCAACTGAAGCAGGTCAGGTTGGTGAAGTATGCAAGTCTCCTGGTTTCTCAGTGCTCCTTAAGTGGTTCTTTATGGTACAGTTTTGAAGGAGAGAGTCTTGGATTAGGGGTTGTGAGACCACTTCCATGCTCAATCGTGAAGGTCACAGGGTGACCTTGGCTCCCCCTCTATCTCATCTAATCTATTGTGAGGATAATATGCGTGGAGGGAGACACCATGTCCATTGGCCCTTAGCTCATTAGTTTTATATAGTTTTTATTTTATTTTACAGATATAAACTTATAGCAAAATCAATTAAAGGTAAAGGGACCCCTGACCATTAGGTCCAGTCGTGGCCGACTCTGGGGTGCGGCGCTCATCTCGCTTTATTGGCCAAGGAAGCCGGCGTACAGCTTCCGGGTCATGTGGCAAGCTAAGCCGCTTCTGGTGAACCAGAGCAGCGAACGGAAATGCCGTTTACCTTCCCGCCAGAGCGGTACCTATTTATCTACTTGCACTTTGATGTGCTTTCGAACTGCTACAAATCTATATAAAGAGATTACTCCTGAATCTCACAACTTCCCCCCATGGGTCCTAATGTCAACATTTACAATTGCATATCAATTCATTATCCACATTTTCTTAACCATCTGAATTATCCATAGTTGTCGTTACCTTACAAGTGAGGTTAAAATCCTGCCAATGTTTTCATCTGCTTACAATGGTCTCCTAAATAAATTATAAATTTTTCCCATTCTTTTTTAAAGTTCTTGTCCTTTTGGTTCCTGAGCCTTCCAGTTAATTTTGCCATTTCGGCATAGTCTGTCAACTTGGTTTGCCATTCTTCCCTGGTTGGAAGGGTTCCTTCTTTCCATCTCTGGGCTAGTAACATCCGTGCGGCTGTTGTCAAATGCATAAATATTCTTTTCTGAACCTTTGGAATCTCGGTACCTATAATTTTTTTTTAAAAAAAGCTTCTGGTTTTTTAACAAACATTATTTTAAACTCCCCCCCCCCCATATTTCATTATATATCATCTTCCATAAAGTTTTTATTACCTCATACGACCACCACATATGATAAAAGGTACCTTCTTTTTCTTTACATTTCCAGCAGGTATTTGTGCTTGTTCTGTACATTTTTGCTAACTTACTAGGTGTCAAATACCACCGGTACATCATTTTCATATAATTTTCTTTCACCGTACAACGTGCTGTAAATTTCTGTAACTTCTCCCAATCTGCCATAAAATTAATAAATAATACGTTAACTGAAAGATATATAATGCTAGCTGGATTGTAAAAGACTGGGGTGAGGAGATCCCATTGGTGGAAACGGGCTATTTTGCAGAGCTGCCATCAAATGGGAGATAGCTAATAAAAGGGCATGGTGCCATACAAAGAGAAAACGTTTGTGAAAAGAAAAGACCAGATGGGTGTCACTGGAGTAGAGTTGAAAGACTTCTCTTCCAAAACCCACTAGTATCTGCTAATTAATTATCTTTCAAAGAGGCTTTCACAGAAATTAATTTCTTTTACAGGATTAATCTGTAAAAAGGGCTGTTGATTGATTAAAAGATTTTCAGTTGACTTATCTCCTGGCTTCCCATTAATTCATTTAAAGGAAGAAGCATATTGCAAAAGTCTTGATAGGTTTTTTCCTGAGGAGACCTGTAGTGTTTCTCTGAAGTGTGAGAGGGATTGATAATGCTGTAAATAAGCCACTATTTATTGCTAGATGGAAAGACCGTATTTAATATTTTCAAAAGAAGCTAAAGGGTTTGAACAATTTCCCTCCCCTTCAGAATATTTTTACTGGTTTTTCTCATTTATCTAAAATCTGAACGATTTAAATCTCCGCAAATAAACTTGTAATTGCTTTGTTCTGCCAGTTAAAGTTTGCAGCGCTACAGAGAGAGGTACTGGGACACTAGACTTTGTGGAAATCCAATTCCTCTTGCTAAAGAAGTTGTGTTCTTTAATTCCAGATATGTGAGCTGTCACACCAGTGATGAATAGTGTAGGGAATTCATTCTGCTTATGTTAAAAGATGTGTTTGTCTATCAAATTGTATTTGAAATGTTGGCACGGGGAACAAATTCTAGGAGAAACCTCAGCTCAAACTGATTCTGATTCAACATATGGGGGCAATGCTATGGCAAGATCCGGACTTAGCCAGGCTCAACCAGGGTTATCGTAAGTCTCCAACCTTGGAACACCCAAAGATACAGTGGCATTGCTGGCTGATTTAAATCTCAAAAAGGGTGGTGGTGGAGACAGGGACAAGAGAGGGAGAATTTAGGCTGGCTCCTAAACCCATTCACCTTGGTTGCATGATCTGGCCACACAAACCCATTTTAAAGTCTTGTTTTCCCTCTGCCAGGGTTTAGCAGAACAGCAGCCTGACTGCTGAAGTTTGGATCTGGCTTAACTTTAGACTGCCTTAACTTCCATGGTCTTTCTTTACACTAGCTTCTTGTACATAGGATTTTACTGTAGATGTACCTAACAAAGGAGGCGTTGGGGCTTCAAACCGAAAGGAAACATTATTCAAAGAGCTTTGTTTTGATTTGATTTTTCTGCGGGGAGCAGAAACTGATGTAATTTTTACTAGGGTGAAAAAGCTGATTGAGGGAGTTAATTAACATAGGGAAAGTCTCATAGACTAGAAGTTACGTCATGCACCGTATTTTTCGCTCCATAAGACGCACCAGACCATAAGACGCACCTAGTTTTTGGAGGAGGAAAACAAGGAAAAAAATATTCTGAATCTCAGAAGCCAGAACAACAAGAGGGATCGCTGCGCAGCGAAAGCAGCGATCCCTCTTGCTGTTCTGGCTTCTGGGATAGCTGCGCAGCTTGCATTCGCTCCATAAGACGCACACACATTTCCCCTTACTTTTTAGGAGGGAAAAAGTGAGTCTTATAGAGCAAAAAATACAGTATGTATCATGTGGGTTTGTAGCATATATGTATGTATATGTGATGCGTAATTAATGTTACTTGTTGGGTGTCCTTAGAGAGAGAAACAGATCTTTCCATGTAGCATGAATGAGGTCTTGATTTGTAGCATGAGGATTTTATTAAAACTAGCTTGCACTGGCAGGCTGGCTGGCTGGCTTCTTTCCAGCGTTTAATTTCCATTTAAGAAATAAAAGAGCGGTGCTCAGGCAACATGCTCTTAAGCCCCGACCCCTAAATCCAGATGTGTGAGGGCTGAGAAAAAACAGTCTTCACATGCAAACCTCCTTCTCCCATGTATTGGGAGAAAGAGCCCCCCCCCAACAATAAAAGGACTCGAGAGACAATGGAGTGCGCCTCAGGGGGTGAAGTCAAACCGCTGCAAAGTGACCTCCCCAGGGCACAAGCCTGGGCAGTGTGTATGGAGGTCCTGGGTTGCCCAGACGACAAGACTTCTCGTCTTCGCATGCAGGGCAAATCTAACTCATCAAGGGTTTTTGGACCCATTGGCTACCCTCACCTGGTTTAGCCGGCCAGTCGAAGCCATTCCCTGGGTGCGGCTGCTGTTGCATGCTAAATAATAATAACAATAATAATAATAATAATAATAATTATTTATTATTTATACCCCGCCCATCTGGCTGGGTTTCCCCAGCCGCTCTGGGTGGCTGGATTTCCCCAGCCGCTCTGGGTGGCTTCCAACAAAATATTAAAATACAATTGTCTATTAAACATTAAAAGCTTCCCTAAACAGGGCTGCCTTCAGATGTCTTCTAAAAGTCTGATAGAGTGGTACCTCGGGTTACAGATGCTTTAGGTTACAGACGCTTCAGGTTACAGACTCCGCTAACCCAGAAATAGTACCATCCTTTGCTTCAGGATGAGAACAGAAATTGTGCTCCGTGGCAGCAGTGGGAGGCCCCATTAGCTAAAGTGATGCTTCAGGTTAAGAACAGTTTCAGGTTAAGAACGGACCTCCGGAACGAATTAAGTACTTAACCCGAGGTACCACTGTAGTTGTTTTTCTCTTTGACGTCTGACGGGAAGGCGTTTTGCAGGGCGGGTGCCACTACTGAGAAGGCCCTCTGCCTGGTTCCCTGTAACTTCACTTCTCGTAGTGAGGGAACCGCCAGAAGGCCCTCGGAGCTGGACCTCAGTGTCTGGGCAGAATGATGGGGGTGGAGACGCTCCTTCAGGTATACTGGGCCGAGGCCGTTTAAGGTTTTCAAGGTCAGCACCAACACTTTGAATTGTGCTTGGAAACGTACTGGCAGCTCCCAGGAGCCAGAGATGAGAGCCACAGGTGAGAGCACAGGTGAGAGAGAGTGGGGTGGACAAACTACCCTCAGAGGAGCACAATATGTCTTTCACTATACTATCTCTGCCCTAACACCTCATATATCCCCATAGAAGTTCTGAGCCTAGTAAGCTGGATAGCTCAATTGGTTAGAGCAGGGGTCAGCAAACTTTCTCAGCAGGGGGCTGGTCCACTGTCCCTCAGAACTTGTGGGGGGCTGGGCTATATATTTATTTTTTTTGGGGGGAGGAACGAATTCCTATGCCCCACAAATAACCCAGAGATGCATTTTAAATAAAAGCACACATTCTACTCATGTAAAAACACGCTGATTCCCGGACTGTCTGTGGGCCGGATTTAGAAGGCAATTGAGCCAGATCTGGCCCCTGGGCCTTAGTTTGCCTACTCGTTAGAGCATGGTGCTGATAATGCCAAGGTTGCAGGTTTGATCTCCGTAAGGGACAGCTGCATTTCCCTTCATTGCAGGGGGTGATTCTCAGGGTCCCTTCCAACAATGCAATTCTATGTTCAGGGCTCACTTTGAAGCCCTTTCCTCTGAATTTGAGATAATGGGGAGCTAGTTATGATAATCAAGAGTGGCATTCTGTACATGTTCAGGTACATTTTTTTCTTTTAAGTGCATCTGTTGCAATTGCATGTTCTTTGTCACAATTCCAGCGTGTCAACGGTTCCGAGAACTGATGGGCTTTTACTAAAACTCTTTGCAGTAAACCGGACCGCCCCTTCTCAGTTTCCTTGCCTGCTCCCTTTGACAGCATTTGCAGATGGAAGGAGCGAATTTCTTGCCGTGAAGGAGGAGAGGAGGGGGGCGGCCAGGAAGAGAATAGATTGCAAAAGCAGACCTCTCCCAGAAAATAAAAATGAGGAGGGAGGGAAGGGGAAAGACACACAATCTGGAGAATAGGGGGGTTCCCAAGGGTACCAGATAGGGGAATTGCGTTTCAGGACCACAAAGATGCAATGTAATCGGCTGGATTTCTCTCCGGTGCTGGCATCCTGCCATCTGGAGCAGCCATGTAACTATAGAAACTGGCTCTCTGCCTTACACCAATCAGGAAATGTAACATCACCTGAGAATGCAATGGAGAGAACCACTTTGTTGATGCTGTGAAGGGAGGAAGCCAGCCCGCCATTCCTTCTTTGCTGTTCCTATTAAGTGAAATTAGGGGAAAGCTGGGGGGTAGGGAGAAAATTGTGAAGCGGGGAGGGGAAGAGCTCATGGGCGAGGTGGGGTGTCTATGTCCCCCAAGGAAATTGCGGAATGGAAAATGTGTGTGTGGCAAATAACATTTAGGGGGTTAGGAGCAGGAGAAGCAGTAGAGTTGGAAGGGAACCCAAGGGTCATCTAGTCCAACCCTCTGCAATGCAGAAATCTTCTGTCCCATGCGGGGCTCAAACCCAAGACCCTGATATTAGGAGTCTGCCGACTGAGCTATCGCAGCTTCTGGTCTTTGGGACCTGTATGTTCGTGGCTGATAGGTTCCCATGAAACGATGGGTGGTATTCAACTATGTTTCCATCAGAGTAAAGGTAAAGGTAAAGGGACCCCTGACCATTAGGTCCAGTCGTGGCCGACTCTGGGGTTGCGGCACTCATCTCGCTTTACTGGCCGAGGGAGCCAGCGTACAGCTTCCGGGTCATGTGGCCAGCATGACTAAGCCGCTTCTGGAGAACCAGAGCAGCGCACGGAAATGCCGTTTACCTTCCCGCTGGAGCGGTACCTATTTATCTACTTGCACTTTGATGTGCTTTCAAACTGCTAGGTTGGAAGGAGCAGGGATCGAGCAACGGGAGCTCACCCCATTGTGGGGATTCGAACCGCTGACCTTCTGATTGGCAAGTCCTAGGCTCAGTGGTTTAACCCACAGCGCCACCCGTGTCCCATTCCATCAGAGTAGACCCATTGAAATTAATGGACAAAATGAATTCGCGTGGAACTACTCTGATCAAAACTTAAGTCTGAATACCACCCTCTGAAAGGAAGATGGGTTTGTGATTTATTATTATTTTTTCAAAAAAAAATCATTGGCTGTGTGTCTCTCTTTCTTTGTTTCCCCTCCAACCCTTCAAGTTAAGCTATTTTTTTGTGCTTGTTATTTTTTTAAAAAAATAATAATTTTAAAGCTAGACATTGGAGGGAAAAGAGGGATGAAAGCATGTGTGCTTGTAGCATAGGGCAGAGGGCCTTCTTGGTAGTGGCGCCCACCTTGTTTAATGCCCTCCCATCAAATGTCAAGGAGATAAACAACTATATGACTTTTAGAATATATCTGAAGGCAGCCCTGTTTAGGGAAGTTTTTAATGCTTGATGTTTTATCGTGTTTTTTAATATTCTGTGGGGAGCCGCCCAGAGTGGCTGGGGAAACCCAGCCAGATAAGCAGGGTAAAATAATAAATTATTATTATTATTACTCCTTTTAAACCTGGGAATGCACGTGGCAGTGGTGGAAATAAGTGTGCCTATATTGTGTTTTGCAGACTTGTCACAAAACCCCTCACTCCCTGCTTTTGGGCAGTTCTTATATTATAGGGAGGGTACGGAGGGGGACTCTCTGCCCTTTATGGCCCCTTAATTTCTTTTTTTTAAAAGTTACATGGGAACTGTAGTTTAGATAAACTATGGGGTAGGAGTCAGAAAGTGGGGTCTGTGGGTTTCTGTAAGGGACCCCTACCTCTCCCTTTACAATTCAAGCACCAGGTTTACTTTCGCCCGTGGTTTGCTGCTTGTTTTTGGTAATCGTTTTTATGTTTTTGACCATTCATGAGAGCCCAGTATGGGGATTTAACTTCAGTTGATCTGAAATTTGTTACCAAGAACACTTTTTTTTAAGAAAAACAACACACACACACACACACACACAAAGAGAGAGAGTTCCTTTGCCCTCTCTTTGTCATGAAAGTTAATGTCTCTTTATAAACTCTATTTCCAATGGTTGTGGGATTTTGCTAATTCTTGTCCACCCCCCAACCTATGGCTTACTCTGAAGAAGACAACGGCAGCTTTCTTAACATGGCTCTTATTTTCCCAAGGCAGGCATGTCCAAAGTTCATTTTGGCCAGTCGGTTTAATCCGGCCCTTGTGGCAGTTTATTTCCTGGGGTAAAATCCTTAAAAAACCTCAACAACTTTGATTCTAAAAAAAGCTTAACAACTTTGGTTGGCCCTTAGGTCGGCCCTCACGGCCCTTCACTTCATCAAATCTGGCCCTCTTTGTAAAAAGTTTAGGGAAAAGGATAAATAAGGGTGCAGGAAACCCTTATTGTACTTGTAATGTTTTAATGTACTTTTAATTTTTTTGCTGGAAGCCGCCCAGAGTGCCTGGGGAAACCTAGCCAGATAGGCAGGGTATAAACAATAAATAATAATAATAATAATTATTTAGAATTATAATAATTATAATAATAATTATTTAGAATTATTTAGAAATTTACAATTTCTTCCTTCATTTTGTGGCGGACTTTGAGCACAGGCCCATGCAGGACCAGCCCTAACAGGGAACACCCTGGGCAGATGCCATGCATGGAATGTGTGGGTGCCATCTTGTTCCTCACCTCAGGTAGCAAAATGTCTCAGGCTGACTTTGGGCCCATGGCGCAAATGTACATTAAATGTACATATACCAATTTATGTTTACGGAAACAAATTTAGACCAGGTTTTGGAAGGAAAGCTGTCCTGTGAGAAAAGTTTTTTTTTTTTTAATGTAAAGGGGAAAAAACCCAAAAAAGGTGGAAGGGCAAGAGATCCAGTTGGAAAAGACCCTTTGAGGAACTTCTTTAAGAAGCGGAAGGGACTGCCATGGAACCAGTGACGATATCTCTTAGATTTAGGCTCCGGGAGGGGGAAAGGATGGCAAATTCTCTTGCACTTTTTCTTAGGTTCTCCACACAAAGTGAAAATGTGGCACATACTAAGTTTCCCCACCCTCTGGAAGCTGCAAGGGGCAATTTAATAGCTAAGTGAATGACAATAGCAAGTGAATGGCAAGTAAAAGGCACATAAAGAGATTCTCCCAGTGGTGTCCTCTGTGTGCCCCTAGAAAATTGCGGTGGGGCAAATGAGGTTGGGGGCGATGAGTAAATAAAAATGGAAGCGATATGTGTATCATAATGAATCAAAGCAAAACGCGTGTATGAGAGAGACTCAAAACATCCTTTCCTTTCCTCACCTCTCTCCCCTAAATTAGCATGTGCGCCTATGTTTGTGGCAATGCTGGCTTGTTGGCGGTTTAAAGAATCCCAAAACTTGGCCTAGCAGGAGTGGTGTGGAGAGGAAGCTTTTTTTTAACAAGCTGGTTTCCTTGATGAAACCTGAGACGGTCGCCTTCATCGAATTTCATATCCAGACCTTTTGCTGTTGAAACCGACAGAGCGAGCAAAATAATTGCTCCCCCATCTGTTAGGGCTGCTTATCCCTTATTCAGCTTTCCTTTCTCTTATGCCTCTCAGGTATAGGGAGAAAAGGTTGACTTCTGTCCTGAGCAGTTTTTGCTTTTCATCAGCAGACCTGAAAATATTTTTTAAAGCAATATGAGAATGGTGCGCCCCTTTTGCAAAGAGCTGGGCTCTGAGGAATCTGTGACCCTCCAGATATTTCTGGATTATGCCTGGGCCTGACGATTGTTAGAGACTAGCAAACATCTGGAAGCCCAAAAGCCTTGAAATGAAATAGGGCTTCACTTCTGCCACCATTGCTGATGTAAAATTCAACTAGTTATCTGGATGATTTCCATAACATGGATCTGAGGGGGCATTTTATCCTTTGTTTTGGGTGGTGGTAGGGATCGTCCTGGCCCAGAAACAATGTGGGTTTCAAACCAATTTGCAAACGCCATGCCGGTGTGGCATTTCTTTCTTTTTTTTCCATTGCTTGCTTTCCCCATCTTCCTCCTCCTTCCTTCCCCTCTTTTTTTCCCACCTCCACCTTGGGTAGTTGCAATAATAATCTGGCTTCTTGCCAAGTATAGGCGTTACTATGGAAACAGAAAAGCTGCCTCGGGGTTGTGGCTTCTAATGTCTCCTATTGTATATATTCAGCCCTATATAGTAGAGAGGAAAAGAGGGAGAACTATAATCACAGGATTCCCCCCCCTTCCTTTAAACCCTTCCTACATTTCATTGTATAAAACGAGGCTGCATTTCCTAGAAGAAACGGGGGGGGGGGGGGGAGAAAAGGCCTATTTCCCTTTCCCCCATCCTTGAAAACACCCGACATGCCACTAAATTTCTTCATCAGCCACAAAGGAGAAAACAACTTATTTTCTTCTTTGCATTTTAATATCGAGAGGGATGCTTTCGAAAATGTTTCGACACCCCTGTTATTTCCCCCTTCCCCATTTTAAACTGGAGGCCTTGATCCACAGAAGCTGTGGGTCCCCATTGATGTGGTGTTGTTGTTGTTTTGCAGAAATAGCGCCTATTTGTGGCGCATGAAGGGGTCCCCAATACGAGTGGGGGGGTGTCACCCGTGAAGTTATTATTAAGGTGCCTGCCATGGCAAGGTGCCGTAGAAAGGTTATGGCAGAAGGGGAGGCAGACCCTACCCGGAAGCTTAAATGTTAATCTGGTAAGGCTACATAAGCCTTATGGGGCCCTTTCCTCCCTGCCCCCCTGAAGCAGACTCTGTTCAGGGGATCTGCAAGCCTTATTTGTTTCTGTACAATTATTCCGTTATGTCGTGTTGACTGGGCCCAGGGATGGCCCAAAACAGTTGGCTGCCTGAGGCAAAGGACAATATGATGCCCTCTGCCCCCCCATTTCACATAGAGAAGCCAGTTGAATATTTCCTCAATACGGATGAGGGGGCAGGAGGCTTGTTTAGGATGGGCAATATAGCCTGGGGGGCACAAACAGCCCTGTCCTCCAGCAGAGGGGAACAGCCTAGGGTAGGGGCTGAGAAGAACAGCCGCAGTTCTGCTGTCGCCCCCCAGGACTTGACGCCCGAGGCAGTTGCCTTACTCTGACTAATGAGAGGACTGGCTCTAGGGTTCTGTATAATTACTTTCAGACTTGCCATAGGGTTTTGTTTTAGTCAGTATGGGGGGGAAAACCAACTCTCTTTTTCAAATACATTTTTAAAAAAGATAGGAAGAATATGAAGAGAAGTACGGCAGAAGAACAAACAAAATGGCAGACCTGGGGTGGGATATAAACTGTGTTTATGGAAGGCAATCTTACTCGGCTACGAGTGATCGCCAAAGGAGAATGTATCAGTCTGAATCTGGGGAGCAATGGAAGGCTATGTGATTGTTACTGTGCCCGACAGCCAAATTTACCAAATGGCCCAACTTTAAGCCATCCTCTGTTCAATATGGGACGTGTGTGGTGTTATGGTCTAAACCATTGAGCCTCTTGGGCTTGCCAATTGGAAGGTCGGCGGTTCGAATCCCCGCGACGGGGTGAGCTCCCATTGCTCTGTCCCAGCTCCTGTCAACCTAGCAGTTCGAAAGCACGCCAGTGCAAGTAGATAAACAGGCACCACTGAGGTGGGAAGGTAAACGATGTTTCCTTGCGCTCTGGTTTCCGTCACAGTGTTCTGTTGCACCAGAAGTGGTTTAGTCATGCTGGCCACTGGACCCGGAAAGCTGTCTGTGGACAAATGCCAGCTCCCTCGGCCTGAAAGCAAGATGAGCGCCGCAACCCCAGAGTCACCTTAGACTGGACTTAACCGTTCAGGGTTCTTTTACTGTTACCATATGCGGATGTGGGAAAGAAACACAGCACACAATCTGAAGTTGCAGCCACAGCATCTGGCAACGTTGCAGGGTCTTCTGGGGGTGGGGTGCACTTTTTTGCCCTTATGGATGCGGAGGTGGTCTTTGAAAAGGTGTGGCACAAGAGCTGGTTGCATATCAGCAGTGAGCTAGTGCCCTTGGGTTAATGTTAATGGAGCACCAAAAATCCATCAAGGGTGGATTTTTCATCCCTATTCAGTTTAGCTAGTGATCAACGCTCTAGAAAAAGCATCTCCTTGTTTTCAAAATTGTGCCAGATCAGCTTTAGAATAAGTATTTTATGATACTCTTCATCTGGTACCTCAATGATGCATTGGAGTCAGGGAGAGAGGCTCCCCTAGTCACGCAAATGCTTACAAAAGTTAATTTAACTTGGTGTCACCTAGACTACCCCTTCCCCATGCCAGTGGATCTGCCAAACTACTTTCCTAGCAGGAGATATTACTTAGCCTGAACACGTGTGGGGCTTGCAATTGGTGTATGTTTGCAGTCTGCTACAGAATAATGTCCAAAAAGTCAAAATTCTGTTAGATTATATAATCTGTGCATTGCATTTTTTATTTTATGGATTTATTTAGATTCCTTGGGCTTCCTTTTTTGGAAGAAAAGGTAGGGTTTTAAAAATAATTTTCTATGACACCATTTTTTGTATTGGTCCTCTGGGAATTGAAAAACCTCAGTGAGTAATGTGGTTTGCATGCCCCCCAGCTCTGGGGACTGCAAGGACTACTATATCCCATCCCTATTGTATCTGATGGCACTACTCAAGATACAATATGGAAAGAGCTTGTTCGTTCCCCAGATGATTTGCAGTCTGCATTTTATAGGCAAGTATACCGAGATCCATGTACAGCACTATGCATACAGGTGTACAGAAGATAGCATCCCAAGTCAAGATTGAAAAAAACCCCTCCTTTCACTTTTTCACTTCAGGGCGTGGTATTGCTCTGAAAGTGTATGAGCAATATCGGGTGAGGTCTCCAAAAACCAGAGAGCGAGGAACTGAGCAAGCTTTTTCTGTGGTCTGGGTTTCAGTGACTCTGTCTTTTATGTGCAGAATTCTTTATTATTCTTCAGAGGCAGCTTAATAAATGATGCAACCTGAATAACCTGTATAGAGCACAAATATATATATATATATATATATATATATATATATATATATGCGCATTAAAAAAAGCACAGTTGATACCCATCACTGCCCCTAGGAGAACTTCAAAGCACACAGTTTCTGGCAGCCTGCTCTGATACCCTGGTTTGAAATATTTGGCTATTGCCACAGATTTTCAGCATGACTGAGGTTGTCTTACTTACCCCGGGTCTTTTCCCCCCTTCTTCTTCCAGAGAGGATCTGCTGAGCTTCTCAGGATCCAAAATGCACAGGACCACCAGGATAAAAATCACAGAGCTGAACCCTCACTTGATGTGCGCTTTGTGCGGAGGCTACTTCATCGATGCCACAACCATTGTGGAATGCTTACACTCTTGTAAGTTTTAAAACCATATCTGGAAACTCCTGAGGATTAATGGGATACGTGCCTCATCCCTGGGCTCTCTTTTCAGCTGTTGAAATATGCAGAACAATAATCACCCCCCTTTGAGCATATGAAAAGGGCATTTTCCTCACTATCGACTGGGTGGCATCCCATGCTTCCCCCCTTGGCCGCCTCTGCCACCAGGGCCTTTCCCTCCCAAAAGTCCAGGCAGTGGCAAGACACAGGCATTACCTGAGACCATCAAGTGCTGGAATTTTGGCACTCCATGTGGCTTACTAAGTTCTATCAGTCTTATGAGGCTTTGCCTCATGGTAGGGCCGGCCATGGCTGTTGTCCGCTGTGTTGTAAATCTTCCGCTGTGGTGACTTTGTCCTCCCACCCCTGTTGCCTTCTTTCCTTTACAGTCTGCAAAACCTGCATCGTCCGTTACCTGGAGACGAACAAATACTGCCCGATGTGTGATGTCCAAGTGCATAAAACAAGGCCACTCCTCAGCATCAGGTATGTCATATTCATTTATATGTCAGCTGGGGCGGTTATCTGTATCAGACAAGTAGCCGAGCAACGTGCTCATGTAACCTTGAAAATATTGGAGCGGGGGGAGGGGCAAGGTCCCTTGACTCTCCCTATCTGGCACCCCTGCAGCCAAGGATGGGTTCATATACATGGAAGCAGCATGTAGCGGCTAGAGCAGGGGTCAGCAACCTTTTTCAGCCATGGACCGGTCCACCATCCCTCAGACCACGTGGTGGTCTGGACTATATTTTGAAAAAAAATAAATAAAAAATGAACGAATTCCTATGCCCCACAAATAACCCAGAGATGCATTTTAAATAAAAGGGCACATTCTACTCATGTAAAAACACCAGGCAGGCCCCACAAATAACCCAGATGCATTTTAAATAAAAGCACACATTCTACTCATGTAAAAACACCAGGCAGGCCCCACAAATAACCCAGAGATGCATTTTAAATAAAAGGGCACATTCTGATCATGTAAAAATATGCTGATTCCCGGACCGTCCGCGGGCTGGATTGAGAAGGCGATTGGGCCGCATCTGGCCCCCGGGCCGTAGGTTGCCTACCCCTGGGCTAGAGCTTGCCCTGTAATGTCTGTAACTGTGGAGAGGTTGTCACTTAGACCCAAAGAGACTTGCACAGAGCTAGGCAAAACCTGACGGTTGGCTTGAACCGCAGGTGAGGACAAAGGCAGGTCACCTGCTGTTATTGGGACATGTGATTGACAGGTGGGTAGCCCAACCTACCTATCAAATTTGGCATGCAGGAAGCTGTTGGACTGTGCTGAAATGGCAAAACTGACCGGAAAGCTCAGGAACCAAGTAGATCAAAACTTTAATAAGAAATGGGAAAAATTTATAACTTATCTAGGAGACCACTGTAAGCAGATGAAAACATTAGCCGGATTCTAATAACACTTGTAATGTAGCAATACTATGGACAATATGGAGAGATATAAAATATGGATTATGAAATAATATGCAGTTGAGAAGGTGTATAATAGGACCCGTGGAGGGGAAGGTGGGAAGTCCAGAGATTCGGAGAAATCTCTAGATATGGTTCTGCAGTTTGGATTGTTATAATTCTACATTTGTAAAATCAAATAAAAATTATTATTATTATTTTTTAAATTGGCATGCAGGATGTGAGGGAGTTAAGAGTCCAGCCTGCTGGCAAGATCCAGTTCCTTCCCAGCGAACCCACAGCACACCCTGTCTTATTAGGATTCAGCCTCAGTTTTTTGGCCCCCACCCAGCCTGTCACTGCTTTCAGGCACTGATCCAATACATGCACAGCCTAACGTGGCTGTGTTTCTCTATCGGGCGACAAATGGCTGCATTTCTGTATGGCAAAGCTGCACTGCTAATTAATGGGCTCTGATAATGTCTTTGGACCACAGTCTTTGGACCACAGATGAGCAAGCTATTGAAGAAGCTCTAAGAACTATTAAATCCGAGTATGATTGTGGTTTATGATGTATCGATCCATTTGTCTTGGAGCTCTTGCATTAACCTCCTGCCCGAGGCATGCACGCGTCACGCTTTTCCCAATTCTGCGTCAATTTAAACCTGCTGTGTGTCGCGGAGAGCCTGCCTCTATGCAAGATTAAAATGCAGAATATTTGCACACGTTCATGGATTTTGCACAATTTATTCAGCTTTAGCAAGTTGGAAAGAGAGTCAATGGGGTAAGCAGAGCACTGAGACCCACCCCCATCACCAACTCTCCTGCCTTTGTGGCTTTGCATTTTTTTTTGATGAAACGTTTCTTTTCCAAAAGTAAGCCCGCCCAGCAATGCTTGGCTTTGAAGTGGTTATCCGGCTACTTCCTTGTTAGTCTGGATTTTGGGGGAAGCCAGACGCACCTTACTGAACTCTACAGATGGTTGGCATAGAAACCAAGAAGGCGACTTCTCACAGATGCATCTCTACGGTTGTATTTTTAGCTCCTGCGCTGTGCAAATTAATTTCTCTAGTAACACTTCAGGCGTTCTGCAAAATATTTACAAGCCGAGCTCCCACCAGCCTCTCCTCTTAGGCCCACGAACATCCGCGCTCCCAGACGCATGCATGCGCCCACCCATCCACCCGGCAGATGCGAGCTGCCAGTGCAAAGAGGCATGCGAGAGGGGAGAAAACGCACCAGGTTAAAAGTGCAGCGAAATGTCACTGGGGTTTAGCGACCCCATGGTGAGACCGCAGCCTCTGATTGATTTCAAATGTGCCACTGAGAGCAGGTGTACTGGGTATATTAGTTGTGATTTCCTCTCCAGCTTCCCCGAATGTCCCCAATCTCCAAGCAGTTTTATGATTTTTAGGGAGGATGTTTAAAAAGCCATGCGTATGCCTCAATGCTGGAGTACACGGCAGTATTTTACTTTATTTCACAAGGAAGCTGATAAGGCACTGATCTGTGAAGCAGGTATGCTTTGATGGGTTGCTTTGATGTTCTGCTAGGGGCAGAGCAGCCTCGGCCCAGTATACCTGAAGGAGTGTCTCCACCCCCATCGCTCAGCCCAGACACTGAGGTCCAGCTCCGAGGGCCTTCTGGCGGTTCCCTCCCTGTGAGAAGTAAGGTTACAGGGAACCAGGCAGAGGGCCTTCTCAGTAGTGGCACCCGCCCTGTGGAATGCCCTCCCATCAGATGTCAAGGAAATAAACAACTATATGACTTTTAGAAGACATCTGAAGGCAGCCCTCTTTAGGGAAGCTTTTAATATTTGATGAATTATTGTATTTTAATATTTTGCTGGAAGCCACCCAGAGTGGCTGGGGAAACCCAGCCATTTGGGCAGGGTATAATTATTATTATTATTATTATTATTATGGATTGGAAGAATGGGGTGGATTTGCAGGAGCTGTATAGGCAGCAGTATGGCAAAGTGCATTGGCTCAGTGGTTCATGGTTGCTCTTCCCTTCCCACCAATGATTTCTTAGAATGATTGCATTTTTTGGGGGGGGAAAGGCTTTTTATATTTTATTTTACCAGGCCCCTTGGTTGCAACAGGTGGCTTCAGGGCTCTGTTGCGGAGACATGACTCGTCACGCTTTATAGCAGCTCAGGAATAATAGGGTGTCCTGGATGTCTTAAGTGTCTTATTGACTCGAGCAAATATAATGGCTTTCCTTGTAACCTAGCTGCCAGTCACGCAGCCCCTGGACGAAGCTTGTTTTCATTAGCTTGCCATAAATCACAAAACAAAGTCAATATGCATGTGTAATAAATAACATTACCAAATTGGATTGGGGGGGGGCGCTCAGGACAGCCCAATGGTGTGAAGATTGTGACGCTGTAAATTAAAACAAACACTGCCTGGTGTGTGTGTGTGTGTGTACATACACACACACACACACACACACACACAGCCTTTTAAATCAAACTGCATGCTGTTCAACACAGAAATAATTGTGTGTTGCCTCCCTTATCCCCAGTAAATCCGAAATTCAGAGGGGTTTTGACACATTTATATGTTTCATCAATAGATCAAAGCAGCAGTTAATAGTATTGCAACACTGGAACTGTGCATTAAATGAAATCAAAACTTGGTGCCAAGAACACCTGAACTCTGGCACCCCTGCCCATTATGTGACTTACAACAAGTTTTCATTATGTGCTTATTTTGCATAATTGTTTTCTCACGGCAGGAAAGGGTGAACTATGAATCTTCCTGACTGGCTGGTACGGGGTGTGGGCTGGGCTGTAAGTTCCATTACCACGAAGAAAAAAACTTTGGCTAAAGTGTAGGTCAGGACTGGGAAACCTGTAGCTTAAAATAGCTTTTATTGATAGCCACTCTCTTAACCAACTGAACTGATCCTCTGAAATATTCAGTTCTGAATTTGGTCCTGAATTGGCTGCATGAGAGATGCTGGGGCTCAAGGCTTATCTTCTAAAGTTAGGCACACTTCTGTTGTCTTGGCACTAAGAGGGAAAAAAAAGGTTTTGTAGCAAGTGTTGGAACACCCTAAGTCCGATTAAGCAACAGAGATAGTGAGCGCTGTGTTTTGAAATGTTAAGCCTCTTCTTCCTGCCTTTGCTGCAATGCCTCCTGTTCAGTTTGCAGAGGGGATTGCACCAGAGTAGCTATTCGTTTTAATAAGCCCGTACAGTGGGGCTGGGGCAAGAGAGGCTTGCTCTATGTTTCTGTTATTATCAACAGCAAAAATGAATTTGAATTGGGATTTTAATATTCTCCCCCACTTTCCCCCTTGCAATTGACCTTTGCTAACCCATCTTTTTCTCCTCGTGTTTCAGATCAGATAAAACCCTACAGGACATAGTCTACAAGCTGGTACCAGGACTTTTCAAAGGTGTGAACATGTTCAGATTTTGTGGCTGTTTTTCTGTTTTGTTTTTAAGAAGTTGCTTCCGTTGGCTTTGATGCAGTTAGAAAAAGAAGCCATCTGATTATTATATAGGGCTGATGAACAGTATATAAATAACTGAGCAGAATAGGGCCAAATATTCAACTATAGTATTACCTCATTAAGTAATACAAATAGTCTTCGAAACTATGGCTGTTGTGCTTTTGGTCCTAATGCAAATTTAATTCTAGTTCTTTTATTTGTTTTCCATTCAGTCAGTGATTTAAAATGTACGAATAATTATATGGTAGCGTGTTGCTAAACATGAATGCATTTATTTATTCACTGTGATGTGTAGCCCCACCTGCAGAATAAGTGAAAGATAGAAATGCTAATAAATGAATTAACTGTTTCCTTTTGCCTGCAGATGAAATGAAGAGGCGACGTGATTTCTACGCAGCATACCCTCTGGCAGATGGTATGGCGTCTCTCATGAATTTCCCTCGAACATGTCAACAGTGATGCATAAAAAAAAACACCCCACAAAAAAGGTGTGATCTTTATTTTTTCTCTGTCTCCTCCTTTCCTCTCAATTGCTTGCTTGTCTAGTTCCTAATGGATCCAATGAAGACCGGGGAGAAGTTTCGGAACAAGAGAAAGGGAACCTGACAGACGATGAAATTGTCAGCTTATCCATAGAGTTCTATGAAGGAATCAGGTAATACAGAAAAAAATAGGAGGGGAATAATTTCACTTAATTTTCTTAATTTGCCCTGGGTTGTTTTTTTTTACTACACACATATTTTAACAAATTTTATATATTTATGCTTGGTTAATGTTTTGAAAGAATGTATGTATTACACTCACACACTTACGTACAGTCGTACCTTGGTTGTCGAACGAATTCTGTTCTGGAAGTCCATTCAACTTCCAAAAACATTCAAAAACCAAGGCGCGGCTTCTGATTGGCTGCAGGAGCTTCCTGTACTCAATCGGAAGCCGTGGAAGCCACGTCAGACGTTTGGCTTCCAAAAAAAGTTCGCAAACCGGAACACTCACTTCTGGGTTAGCGGCGTTCAGGAGCCAAAACGTTCAAGTTGCAAGGCGTTCGACAACCAAGGTACGACTGTATATTAATTGTATTTGTGGTGTAACATTATGTTTTGGCATTGTATATGTCACCATGAGCATTCTTACTGAAAATGCGATGGATACATATGATTTAATAATAAACAAGTCTAGGCCTGTGCAGGGAACAATCAAAGTTTTCATAATGTGATACTGCTTTTCATTTGCCTGCTTGTTTGTTTGTTACATCATACAATAAGAAGGATGTGGCCAGGACAAAGAGAAGGAAACTTTGTTATTGAAAGACAGTATAGGAACCATATGTGTGTGCATGTATGTACAGTGGTACCTTGGGTTAAGTACTTAATTCGTTCCGGAGGTCCGTACTTAACCTGAAACTGTTCTGAAACTGAAGCACCACTAATGGGACCTCCTGCTGCTGCCACGCTGCCACCGCGCGATTTCTGTTCTCATCCTGAAGCAAAGTTCTTAACCCGAGGTACTATTTCTGGGTTAGCGGAATCTGTAACCTGAAGCGTATGTAACCTGAAGCGTATGTAACCCGAGGTACCACTGTATTATAATCTCCCAGGGTAGATGCAGTCTATCTGCATTATACTACTGTTGAACGATATTGCTGATGAAAACATGATTTTAATAAGCTGCGCAACAGAGATCAAGTGCAAACGCACATCGCAGTAGAGGTGTGCATCTGATTTGCCCCGCACCCACCAGGAGACAGAATCACCTTTGTGGCTTAAAGGTCTTGTTGGGTGAGGTTAGGCTTAGGGAACATGTGCTGCAAATTAATTATTTTATTCCCTTACATCCTACACTTCTGTATTGCTCAGTCAGTGTTGTTCTTTGGACAGTTTACAATGAAGGCTAAGACCACAATACAATGGTACCTTGGTTTTTGAACAGAATGTGTTCCAGGAGTCCCTTTGACTCCCGGAACCATTTGAAAACCAAAGTGTGGCTTCCCAACTGGCTGCAGGAGACGTTTGGGTTCTAAAAATTGTTCGAAAACCTGAAAACTCACTTCTGGGTTTCGATAGCTTGGTAGCTGATTTGTTCAGGTGCCAAAGTGTTCGGCTTCCAAGGTACGACTGTACAGAACAATACCTATCACAGAATAATAATAAAAAGAGCACTATGAAAACAAAAGAAAAACAGCAACAGAGAATAAACAGTGCAGAAGACCTAAGGAGCTCAAACACTTTTTAAAGTCTCAGTGGTACAGAATCTTGGTGGGGACTGACAGCAGAGCAGGAAAGGGGACAGAGGGAGGAAGAGAGACACAGAGATAAAACAGAAGGAACCATCTTGTTGTCTGGAGAGGTTCTTTTCTGTTTCGTTCTGAGAAGTTATTGTAAAATATTCCTGGAGAAAGAGGTCAAACGTACCCCTAGAAATCACTGGAGAACTCCAAGATTTTTTAAAATGTGGCTGGTACTAGCGTGTCCATCCCATTTCCCCACAACCTGACCTCTTCAAATATTAGCAGAAAGAGAAGAAGTCTTGCTCTTTCTGAGTTCTAGTTTGGTGTGAAGCAACATTTTAAAATGAACACCCTACCAATACAAATTCCAAAGCAGGCTGGAAGTGATTGTTGATGGGAAAGTATCCTAATCCAACCATATCTGGAGCGGTGCCACGCAGGTGTGCTCAAGTTGCGCTGCCAAGCTGCTCACCTGACCACGGCACTGCAGAAGCAGTGGGTGAGGTTGGGGTTGTGTGGGTGCAACAGCAAAGCCAATCTGGAGCCCAGGTAAGTTGCAGCAACACTGCTGACAGGAGGATAGCTCTGCCCCACTCTACTGGCTGCTCCTGGGACCTTGCTTTTGATTGTGATCTTCCACATATGGCTGAAGTGTGCAGAAATAACCAGAGTTCTGGACCCACAGAGGCCTGGATAAACTGGTCCGTCCTCTTGTGTGTGTGTGTTTCATTAATTCCCCCTATTTCTCTCTCTCAGAGAAGAAAACAAAGGGACTGTTGAGAATGGGAACACAGAGAAAGACAAGGTGAGCTATGTAGCTTCTGCCCTTGAATAATGCTTTAGAAAGGTGGGAGAATCCCATGTCCCCTGCATGCCCTCAAATTACTGAATTCATAAAATAAGAGGTTCAGGGGCTGCCTGGAAGCCATGTCCTCTGAGCTGGGATCCCAGCGTTGTTCCATAGGTGGTGATCTCTAAAGTGAGAGGTGCAGGGGCTCAAGGTGGTCGTCCTCCAACCGGGAGGCCCTTTCCATTAATATTTCATATTTAGGAACCAATCGCAAGGCACCCCAATCTTAATTAGGATTTTTATGTCCTCTGGACGTAAATCATGATGAATCAAGTTAGCGCTCAATACCTCAAAAGCCCCCTACACTGCCTTCTCTTGCTTCCCACCTCCAACCTTTCCCCTCAATTTGGCTTTCAATTTTTCTTTTCTATTTAGTCCATCTTACTTTCCTGCCTGCTTTCACCGTTGCTGTGTCCCTTTCCCTGTTTCTGTGGCTGTGCTAGGATATACTCCAACTTTCTCCTTTCCTCTTTTTAAATTTCGGATTCTGTTTCCCCCCCCCCCCACAGATGTTGTGCTTTCCCTCCCCCCTCCAACGGTATATAGATTGCAAGGGTGTCCTTTGCCTGTGACCTCTGACCCTTCCCGGACTCCTCCCCCTGCCCCCTTCCCCGGTATCCTTGCCTTTTGGCAGATTTACAGCTGCTTCAATACATATTTCAACGACTCTGCCTGCTCCAGCTGCCTAGCCCTCTCCCAATAAAACCTTTTCTCTCACTTTCTCTCTCTCCCTCCCCTCCCTCCCTCGCTTTCTCTCTCATATTCCTCCCTAGAAGAACAGCATGAGATTCCTCCGTTGCCCTGCCGCTATGACGATCATGCACCTGGCTAAGTTCCTCCGCAACAAGATGGATGTTCCCAGCAAATACAAAGTGAGTTGCTATCAAATGCTATCACACTTTCCCCGGGCCAAGGTTGATGCTGCATGTTCAAAACTATTTGCACATCAAGGAAGCTCCAGTTCCACACTCATTATAAAATAAGCAAACAGCAAAATGTGCAAACAGCGATTTAAGTGTGCATGCTTTCTCCCTGCCGAAGAACTGGCTTCGCTCTGAAGGCCTATATAGTTTTTTTTAGCAGCAGAGATTTGCCAAATTCCAAACCCAAACAAACTGTGCAGATTGAGAAAACATGTCTCTGTTTGCTTGCTCTGCGTAATTTAGTTTACTTCTAGTTAGGGGAAGGGACATATGCTTTCAAACTTTCTTTACTGCTTAAGGGCTAGAAAATTACTTCTTTAAAAAACAGCAACAAAGATGAAGATGTTCAGGAGACTTTGGACCTGTAAAAGGGTAAAAGAGTATATAAAAGAGTATATAATCTATAATGAAATTAAATAAATGTTTGAAAGTACTTTTCAAAAAAGGGAAAAACAAAACAAAACAAAAACAGAGTCCTTTTTGTTGGGGATAATTCAGACAGAAATTCCCAGGTGTCAAAAAAAGGTTATTTATGTATGCCACTACTGCGGCCCGTGTTTTGTTAGCCTCCAAATGGAAAATGAGCGAGGTCCCAAGCAAAGAAGAATGGCAACTTAAACTGATTGAATATGTGCAGCTTGCAGACCTAATACATAGAATAAGAGAACAAGAAGAACATATGTTTAAAGAAGAATGGCAGCATTAAGATAAATTCAACAGTGTAAATAAGTTTTGATTGATGTAATAATGGAATACAAGATTGGTATAGTTTTTGTAAAATATGCAGGGATTTATGATATGCAGAATGAACCATGGATAGAGAAGAGAAGTCACTGCTATTTTAAGATTGTTTAAAAGAGTATTCTAAATTGCAAAACAGAAAATCTAATAAAAGTGTGTGTGTGTGTGTGTGTGTGTGTGTGTGTATATATATATATATATATGTGAGAAAGATGCTCAGGAGACTTAAATCTGTGCCCAGTACTTATTCATCTGTGCCTGCCATGTAACTCAGAATTTCTTTACTTGTGTTATTAAATCTGTTAGGTGGAAGTTCTCTATGAAGATGAACCTCTGAAAGAATACTATACCCTAATGGACATAACTTATATCTATCCTTGGCGACGGGTAAGTGCGTAGAGAGAAGCGACCCCTAAGGGTGATCTAGCCCAACTTCCTGCAATGCAGGAATCTCAACTAGATCATAAATGACAGATGGCCATAGGAAGCTGTCTTGTCCTGAGTCAGACCGTTGGTTCATTTAGTTCAGTGTTGTCAGCACTGACATAGCAACATCTCCAGTGAAAGACTCTTGTCCGAAACCCCCGAGAGCCGCTGTACCTTCGTATAGACCAGTGTTACCCAAACATGGGTCTCCAGCTGTTTTTGGACTACAACTCCCATCATCCTTAGCTAGCAGGACCAGTGGTCAGGGATGATGGGTATTGTAGTCCAGCTTGGGAAACCCTGGTACAGACTGAGCAAGATGGACCAACAGCTTCATTCATGGTAAGGCAGCATTCCGTAGATTCATAAGAGACAAATAAAAGCAGAGGAAATTTGAGTTGTGACCCAAGTTGGCTCAAGGTCTGAGACAGAACTCATTTGAGAACGAGGAGCAAGTGTATCTTCCATTCAGAACCCACCAAGTGGGATGGAAGGGTACGTCTTGTTTGTTACATCTGAAAACAACAATGAAAACAAATGCCAAATTAGCATTTGGGATTTAGGATGGGGGTGGCACCGTCGGTTAAACCACAGAGCCTAGGACTTGCCGATCAGAAGGTCGGCGGTACGAATCCCCGCAATGGGGTGAGCTCCCGTTGCTCGGTCCCTGCTCCTGCCACCCTAGCAGTTCGAAAGCACGTCAAAGTGCAAGTAGATAAATTGGTACCGCTCTGGCGGGAAGGTAAACGGCGTTTCCGTGCGCTGCTCTGGTTCGCCAGAAGTGGCTTAGTCATGCTGGCCACATGACCCGGAAGCTGTACACCGGCTCCCTCGGCCAAGAAAGCGAGATGAGCGCCACAACCCCAGAGTCAGCCACGACTGGACCTAATGGTCAGGGGTCCCTTTACCTTTAAGAATTGAAAATGTTACGTTGGCCCTCATATCTGGAGGAAGAAGTTAGAGCAGAGGAAAGGAAATAGTCTTTTTAAAAAAAATGTTATTAAGGTTTATAGAGAAAAGAATAAAACTTAATATCTTTTCCCTTTTTTTAACCAACCAAGACTTTTATATAGATACAATAAAAACACAAAAAGGCGTGGGGGAGGGGGAGGAGGAGAGAGGAAATAGAGAAGTAAAAAATAAATAACGTCCAATTCTTCATCTGTCCGCTATATGAAAACAATAATCACTTCGTCCAATCCAATCTAACACTTGACAAAGCCACTTTCTATAATCAAACATTATCTTCAGTCCTCAAATCCAGGTGCTATTATTTCATTTTCTTTTTTACGCAGAAAGTCTATGAGAGGTTTCCAATCTTTTATTTTTATTTTTTAGACATCTTTATTGAACAAGTTCAAAAAGTACATAATTATATGTGTGCTGAGCATGATGAGACACAAATAAAAAAGAGAAAAAGAGAAAGAGAAATAGCACCCGTGTAGAAGGGAAAATAGTGGGGGGACGGGGGAAAAACCCCAAAACTTTATGCTTTCTAAAGTTGTTATTGTACTTTACCAAATCTTAACCTATTACAGTATTTGCAAGAATGGATTCCACATATCATTGAATTGGTCCATGGCAAGTCTGCATTTATATGCAAGTTGTTCATATGTTGCGAGTTTGTATAAGACTTCAATCTTTAACAAATATTAACAATGACCTTTCTCTGGTAAAACATGCCAGTTTTGCCCTCTCGGCTAAGTCCCTGTTAGTTTTAACAGCCATTTTATCATCAATGTGTCCTTCTGTCTTGGTGTATATAAAAAGGGGGGTTTAAAAGGGGAGTAAAATGGTTGCAGGTGGGACGTGGGTGGTGCTGTGGGTTAAACCACAAAGCCTAGGACTTGCCAATCAGAAGGTCGGTGGTTCGAATCCTCGCGACGGGGTGAGCTCCTGTTGCTCAGTCCCTGCTCCTGCCAACCTAGCAATTCGAAAGCACGTCAAAGTGCAGGTAGATAAATAGGTACTGCTCCGGCGGGAAGGTAAACGTTGTTTCCATGCGCTGCTCTGGTTTGCCAGAAGCGGCTTCATCATGCTGGCCACATGACCCGGAAGCTGTACGCCGGCTCCCTCGGCCAAGAAAGCGAGATGAGCGCCACAACCCCAGAGTCGGTCACGATTGGACCTAATGGTCAGGTGTCCCTTTACCTTTTAAAATGGTTGCAGCCAAGCTGTGAAGAAGATGAAATGTTACGTCTATGCTCTCCCTCTGCAGAATGGCCCTCTCCCTCTGAAATACCGTGTCCAGCCGGCCTGCAAGAGGCTAAAACTCTCCTCCCAGCTCCCCAACTCCGAATGCACCAATACCAGCGGCGCGTCAGAGTGCGAGTCCGTCAGCGACAAGGCAAACAGCCCGGCCACCTTGCCGGCCACCACTTCCTCTTCGTTGCCAAGCCCTGCCACCCCTTCCCACGGCTCGCCCAGCTCCAACACCACCACGGTGAGCATCCCCGCCAACCCTGCGCCCGGGACCATGCTCAACGGCACTTCGAACTGCCACCAGATGCAACCCTTGGCCAGCAGGGGGCGCAAGGCAATGGTAAATGGCGGCCCCACCATGTCGGCTTTGACTTAAAGGGACGGGACACCTTTTTCTTTTTCTTCCCTTCTCCTTCTTGGCTGGATCTCGCGTTTTATAAATAAGTATATTATGTGTAGATAAGGGCAGTGGAGGGGTGGGGTGGGTGGTGGGTGGGGAAATTATACATACTTATTTTCTATCAATCGACCTGATTTAATTTAAGAAGAAAAAAAGGCAAAAAGACAAAAAACCCCCGATGTGTCCTCCCCCTTTTTTAATTTTTAAAAAAGAAAAAAAAGTGCTCCTGTAACTGCATGATGTCATCTGTGTTAAAGCGGCAGCCCCTTCCTGTTAAAAAACTCTTTTTTATTTGTGCCCTCTGTTTGTAGTCAGATTTAATGCACAGTCCCCGAGAGAGAAAAACGCACAGTTCTGAATCAAGCAGGCTTCCTGTCTTAGAAGCACACGTGGCTTTCTCATGCTTTCTTCGTCCTTTGACTTATGCACCGTCACGGAATCTGGTTCCCTCCCAGTGTTTCTGGACTTCAACTCCCATGAGCCCTAACCAGCACAGGCTGAGGGAAAGGGACAATGGGAGTTGTAGTCCAACAGTATTTAGAGGGCGCCAAGTTGAGGAAGGCAGGATGCCTTCCACCTTCGGCACCCTTGCTGTCTCCACCTACGCTTCCTTTCAGCGCCCCCCCCCCCGGCCACACAAGCGCAATGCCTTTAAAGATGTGCGGAACCTTTGGCTCTCCGTGTGTCGCTGAAACATAACTCCCATCCGCCGCATCAAGCATGGCCAATGGCCAGAGGCGACAGGAGTTCATCTGGAGGGCCAAGGATTCCTCTCACCTGCTTGAAAGCACATCCGAAGCACATTCCCCCACCCTCTCAAAGAATTCTGTAGTTCGTTAAGGGTTGCTGGGAGCTAACTCTGAGTGGCTAACTGCAGTGCTCAGAATTCCTGGAGGGAAATAATGTGCTTTGAGCGTGCTTTAGAGGTGTAGGGTGTACACAGCTTTAGCCTCATATTCCCTCATCTATACCTCCCGTGGTCTCCTGCAGAGCCGAGATGCAGCTATAAAGCCTGAAGGAGAGGTCTGGACAGCTGCACACATCAGAAGGGTTGACGCCGCCAGTCTCCTTCCTTTAATGATGCAAAAGGCCAACAGCCACTGCTGGTTTGCAAGCAACCTGTGACAAAACATGGCACCTAGGAACAGAGGGGCAGCTGAGATAGGGCTGAGGACCAGAAGCTCAGCCTCACAAGGTTCAGGGTCTGAAGGTGGGCCGTGGGCCATTGGTGGAAGGGCAGGTTCTGTGAAATGCAATGCGAATTCTCTCACACACAGGGACCCAGGCTAGCGTGGCACCCTGAGCATCACAAGCAAGGCCACAAGCAAGGCCTGCCAAGATGTCTTGCTGTTTTGTTAGTCGCTGGGGCCGCTTCTTCTGTCTGTGTTTCAAACCCAACACATGGACTGGGATGTCCTCGGAGCAGCGAGTTCCGCACATATGCCCGCAGTAGTGCAATGTTGCAGGTGGCAACTGTCGTGGGTGGCTCTGTGGTCTAAAACACTGAGCCGCTTGGGCTTGCCGATCGGAAGGTTGGCGGTTCGAATTCCTGCGACGGAGTGAGCTTCCATTGCTCTGCTCCAGCTCCTGCCAACCTAGCAGTTCAAAAGCATGCCAGTGCAAGTAAATAAATAGGTACCACTGCAGCAGGAAGATAGGCAGTGTTTCTGTGCGCTCTGGTTTCCGTCACGGTGTCCTGTTGCGCCAGAAGCGGTTTAGTCCTGCTGGCCACATGATCCGAAAAGCTGTCTGTGGACAAACGCCGGCTCCCTCGGCCAGAAAGCAAGATGAGCGCCGCAACCCCATAGTCGCCTTTGACTGGACTTAACCGTCCAGGGGTCCTTTACCTTTTTACCTTTAATGTTGCATCTGGTGAGGCCAACCACTACTGGCATCACATCCCCAAAACCCATCCAGGTGTGGCATCGCCAGTGAAGCTGTTACAGTGGACATAGTGCCTTGTGCTTAACCTGGCTTCCTCCTGGTCAGTCCTCCAGACATTTTGAACCATGACTCCTTCCACTCCCACCCCAGCCAGTATCAATTCTGTTCCTTTGTGCCAGACGTCTCTGCCTGTCTCTCAGGAGGACTCATCTTCACTTCTGTTTCCAACCACTTCAGCCGTCCTGCCAACAGACCTGGGATTTTTTTGGGGGGGGGTTATGGAGAGGGCATTTTCTTAGGACAAATTCACACCACCTATTTCATGCATGTTTAAAGCACACAGCTCCCCGCCCCACCCCAAGAATCCTGGAAACTGCAGTTTTCTTGAGTGCGCTGGGAATCGGAGCACCTATCAGGTAAAAAAAGTAAAGGACCCCTGGACGGTTAAGTCCAGTCAAAGGCAACTATGGCGTTGCGGAGCCTCTTGGGCATGCTGATCAGAAGGTTGGTGCTTAGGATCCCTGCCACAGGCTGAGCTCCTGTTTCTCAGGCTGAGCTCCTGTTGCTCAGTCCAAAAGCATGCCAGTGCAAGTAGATAAATAGGTACGGCTGTGGCGGGAAGGTAAACTATGTTTCCCTGTGCTCTGGTTTCCGTCACGGTGTCCCGTTGCACTGGAAGTGGTTTAGCCATGCTGGCCACATGACCCAAAAAGCTGTCCGTGGACAAACGCCGGCTCCCTCGGCCTGAAAGCGAGGTGAGCGCCACAACCCCATAGTCGCCTTTGACTGGACTTAACCGTCCAGGGGTCCTTTACCTTTGACTCTTACACCTATCATTTGTAGGGTTTTTGAGGGGATGTCATGCGCTTTAACGGCATAAGGTTGTATCTGACGCTAGCCCTGCTCAGAGCAGAAACATTGAATGAAGCTAATGGACAGGATTTCACTTGATTCATTGGGTTTTCTCTGAACAGGACTTAGTTGAATACACCCCTCCGTGTGGATGTGTCATTAGAGATAGCTACTGGCCATTTACTGGCCTACAGTTCTCAGGGCTTGAAGTCGTAGAAGACAGAAGTGGAGCCCTCCATATTCAGAGGTAGTATACTGGGGAAGAATGAGCAGAGCATTTTCACACCCAGGATGTGAACCGCCCAGGGACATTGGCTGGCCATGATCAAGAGCAGGGGTGGCGAACAACCTGCAGTGACCTGGTGTATGACTCCTGACTCCCATGAACCCCAGTCAGCATGGCCTGCAGTGAAGGATGATGGGAGTTGCAGACCAGCTGGTTCACCTCCACTGGTCAAAAGACAGATGGTTACGTGAGGCGGGTTCTTCTCCAAAAACCAGCTTGCGCACACTTAATGATTTCTTGGCTGGTAGCAATGACAGTTGGAAACAGTTTAGATTTGCGGTGTTGATCTGGCCCACGTGTGTGCTTTCAGGGAGTAGCAGTAACTTTGGAACCAGGAGTCCATAAAACTTGGTCACGGAAACTTCTACCCATCTTGGAGGCTGGGAGCATGCATACCTTGAGTTCGTGAGATCTGGGGCAGCCAAGACCCACATTCTTGCAGCTGTTTGCATTATAGTTACGCAAGCAGATGCGCTTGGGGGGCGGCCTGATTTGGCTCATGCCAAGTTTTTGTTTGAACTGGCTCTTGAGATGAGAAACAACTTGTAGACTTTGAGGGATCCTGTTCTACATCTCTCTCTCCCCCCTCAAAACCTCCCTTTTCTCATTCATCCTGCTTGTAAAACGAGTTTCAAAGAAATAAATACAGTGCCTTTGAAAAGGAAACCTACTGCCTGATCCGCTGGGGTGACAGAAGAGGGTTTTGTGGTTTTAACCGGGTGGGGTGGGGTTGGGGGAAGACAATGTCTTTTCATTTGCTGACTTGTGTTTTCAAGACTGCCAGGTGGAAACGCACAACTTCCAGCGGGAAGAGTTCTATTCTTCCGTCAGCTTGAATCCTCTCCCCTTTTTTCTGAATGGAAGAAAAGCGATCCCAGAGGGCAGCCTTCGCCAAGCCCGTTCGCATCCAGATGCTTTGGACTACAACTCCCATCAGCCCCTGCTAGCACGGCTGATGGGAGTTGTAGTCCGGAGGGGGCAACAAGTTGGCAAAAGCTGCCAGGGTGATCATCTTCCTTTTTTTAATGTAAGTTAGGAAGGGCTAACTTGACACAAGCACATTTTGTATTCCTGAATGTCAAAGGAACTTTTGATAGGCTTTCCCCACCACCGGCTGGCTCACAAGAGCGGCCGACCTCACAAAGGCAATCCGTCCTCGGAAGGTTTTGCAGGTGGATCTGTTGTGCTCGATGTGCACTGAGACCAAGATGTGCAGCGGAGAACACGTTTGGCAACCTGGCAATGCACCTGGACTCCCAAGTCTTACCCCGTGTCACCCAAACTTACAAACAAGGGGTCGTACCCTATTGTGTACCTGTGCTGATGGAAGGGTTTTTTGATCCAGCTTGAGCAGAGGGGGAGAGGAGGTGTTTTGTTTTATTATTATTTTTTTGAAATTCACCCTTTCTCCGACATCCCCTTGCACTACCTCCCACGCTGTTCTAAGGGGATCCTCAACCATCTTCAGCAGATTGGGAGGCATAGGGAGGCAAGGGCTGTGGAGGGAAGGGGGAATGACACAAAAAATATATTCCTCTTTCCCTTCTGGATCAGAGTGTCTTCCATCAAGGGGAGGGACACACCTGGGATACAGGTCATCTGCCGGTGCAATAGGATGGGTCCAAGTCTGCTGTTGTTACCCTGCTTCTCTGCATCAGGACCACTGTGCAGCAGAAGCCAATGCTAAGAATAGGAAGCTGTACTAGGGTTATGTGGGGCCTTGCACAACGTGACCTTTGGAGGATGACTATAATAATAATACATTTCCCCTTGCTCTTGCCATTGACATACTGCATTTGAAGTGAGGGAGAATCATAGCCCTGGGAAGGACCCCCAAAACCCTCCTTTCCAGTCCCACTTCACAGAGGACCAGCACATCTGAATCGTCTTGCTGGGTCGGACTCAAGGTTTACTTGTCCCGACACTCTGACCAAAGAGCTGCTTAGGTTTGTGTGGCAGCCCAGTGAGATATTTTTGGTTAACTTTTCTCTCTCTCTAAACAGCTGGCACCTCTGATTGCCCTCTTCCTGTGCCGTGTCACAGATCACTTCACTAGTTTCCCTTGCTTTCCAGAGCGGTTTGCTGCCTAGTGAGGAAGGCATCTGCCAGACAGAGAGAAACAAAACCTTGCTGCTCGGGTTCTTGGCATAGCTGTGGTCGACAGAATCTGGCAGTGAAAGGGATGTTGCCTCCTGGAGTTTCCAGTTTTGTAATTGTGGCTAATAGCCATTGGAAGGCTTCCTCTGAAACCGAAGGCATGTCCAAAAGTTTAGCATCCCAGAGGCAACTTGTTCTACAGCAGAGCTCCTCTTTGAGTGAGGAAGGCTCCTTCTCCTAATCGGCTCCTCATAATTTCCTGCTCCTTGCTGCTTGTCCTGGCCGCAGGCTGAGCATTAGTTTTCTTGAGATTCTTTATATATAAAAAATAGAACCTTGCAGTTTTGTCACACTGTGTTCTAAGCAGCATTTGCAGCAATGCCATAATGTCAAGGGTGTCTGTGTATGTAGGGGAAAGCCTCGTAACAACTACACACACACACACACACACACCCTGATTTGACAAGCTCTATTGTGAAGGTGACGGTTCCTGCATTTGGGGGAACTGAAGTCGCCGGGGAGAGGCATGCCTTATGCCACCACCTCGTAGGGAACATAACAACCGTGGTCCTCCTTTAAAAATGGCTTCGTGGTAGAGCATCCCCTTGCAGACAGAAGGTCCAGATTCAATCCGCAGCGTTTTCAGGTAAGGCTGGGAGATGCTTCTGTCTGAAATCTTAGAGAGCCACTGCTGGTGTAGACAATAAACTAAACAAGGTCAGTATAATAAGACAGTTTCCTCTAACAGCCTGCTGGCAAAACGCCACTTTGTCTGCATCTCTTGCCTCTAGGTTGGCAACTGGTGTGGGTGAAGGCGGCACCTCCCAGTGGGCTGGATTTGGTTCTGGCGCCTCCAGCCGCTAACCCAGAAGATAACCAGTTTTTTTACCCCCTTACAAGGAAGTATAGGAGGCCCAGAGGGGCCAACAGGAAGAATTTACAGAAACACATGCACATTTTATTGACCAGTCCTGTTGCTCCTCTCTTTCTCGTTGGCCGAGACCGAACTTTGGCCTTGCTAATGGCGTTGCGCCATGTTTTAAGATTTGCTGGACTTCAAACACCCAAAAGGTGTTTCCCATCTGCGCATTAACTTTGTACATACCGAGTGAAATGACCAAGGCGACGGAAGGCCTCACGTTTTTCTCCTCTGAGCTCCCCACCCCCACCCCAGCAACCTTTTTTGTACATTTTTTTAATATGGTACAAGCCAAATCGCTCTGTATGTTTGCAAACCTGTATGATGTTTTAATGTGCTGTAATATATTCTGATATTCATATATTGTTATTGGTTAAAACATTTGTATCAATAAGACAGTTTGTAAATGGTAATAAATGCTACAACTTTGTCCTTCAGCTCCGGTGTCTGGCATTGTTGTACTTTGCAAGTTCTTTCTCCCCCATCGCCAGCCTGCTAAATCCTAAGCTTTGCAAAAAGGGGCCTAAACTGCTTCACCCCAATGAAGAGCTGAAGCCTCTTATCAGTTTCAAGACAATAGGGTGATGGATGTTGTTCCAGACTTGGTGGTGGAGTATGAAATATCTATGGCAGCAACTAGATAAAGGGATTTCTCTGATTATTATGCTACTTGCTTATTGCATCATGATTGCATTATCTTCCTTCCTAATGGTTTTGACACCTTAGGATTTGCCGTTGTATTTGGTACCACAGAACTTGTACTGTGTATATATGTTTTCAGTGAGGCCGAAACTAGAAGTGACATTGAATACGTCTTTGCATTTAACAGGCACCATTTTTAAAAACCCCGCAAATAGCAGCTGGGTGAGCAGCTTAACCCTTTCAATGAGGGAAGTTCTCTTGGGCACCGATAGTAGCTTTCCAATCCCAATACTGTAGTGGTTTCAAAGGAGGAATTTTCCTTGTGCCTGAAACAGGGGAGACGTCCTTCCAAACTGCTGTTGTAGCCTTTCTAGGCCCTTTAACCATGGGTAGGAAAGTGTTGCGCCCGGGGAGGGACGAAAAGAGTCAAACGACACCAAGGGGTTAAATCCAGAGAAAGAGCTTTATTCTGCCTTCCGGGGTGGCAGAAGGAGCAAGTGTGATAGATTCACAAAACAAGCACGAGTTCACAGCCATTTGCACAGAGTATATATTCCCCTCCAGTTCCCTCCCCTTTCTCCTCCTCTTCAGGAGTCCTGCCCCATGTGTTTCCTGAGCATGAACAGAAAGCTCCTGTCTTGGGACTCTTTTGGACTCTTCCCAGGAAAGGGGGTGAGAAGCCACGGGGGGCGAGGAGCCTTGTGGTTCAGCATGTCCAAGATGTTGCAACTGAATGAGATAAAAGTCAGTTCTCAGGCTTGCTCTGACAGAGCCTATTCATTAGCTTTTGAAGCCTTCTCGTACTGATAAAAGTAATGGTTTGCCTATGCACAGCATCTTGTGAGAAAAGCAGAGGAAAACTTTAGCTGTGGATTTTTAGAAGAGAGAAAAGGAATTTTGGACAGTTTTGAGGCCTGGTTGGGGGGGTGTGACTTCGGGCCTAGGTGGGGTCACCTGTCCTCACCTCCTTCACTGTGATCCTGATAACAATCAGCCTCCTCCTCCTCGCATTTTAAAAAGCTGCTTGTTGTATTTAACTTCATATCTAGTTTGTTCCTGTGTGTGCTCTCTAAGCGTTCCCCACCCCCAAACAATCTCTCAATTTCTTTCAAGTGCAGCCCTACCAGTAACTGTGCAAAAACATTTAACACAATTTTAAAACTGCCAAGAAAAGATGGTTTGTGATCAAACAGAGCCCATCTGCATAACTCCTCCTTTTGCAGAACATTCTGATTCTGTTCAGATGCATCGAAATTCTGTTCTGTCTGGGCATTCCAAGGATGTTAAAGCCCCACCCACAACCACCAAAAATCTTATTTAGCAACCCGTCTGGTGCCTGAGATTTTATCAGGCGTTGTCTCCACAGTTTCAAGTGTTCAAAGCCAATGAGGACTAGAAATTTGCCGTTTAATTTTTTTTTAAAAAAGGTAAGATTAGCAAGAAGCTGGATTTTGTACCCTACTATACCTTCTGCAGTTTTTGTTGTTTTGTACATCAGTTGCAGCACGAATGCAATTCTACACAGACACACAAACAACAAGGCATGCTATTTTAAAATCCCAATGTACTTGCCAGGTGGTGGCGTTTCAAAATAATCCCAAAGTACAACATGCTGCATTTGCATCAAACCCCTGTCTACGAACAAAATTCCTGGTCCCTACTATTGAATGCCTCACTAAACAATGAAACTAAACTCTTTTGGCAACTGGTCTCCGACTCAATGAAAAATAGTTCCTCAGCCCCCAGCTGTGTCATTGCAGCTCAGGTTTGGGAGAACCACTTCAGAAATATATTTATGGAAAATCCAAACCTCCCTTCCAGCTTACAGGAGGATGACAGGGCAGAATTGTCACTGCTCCCTAATTGGAGGCCGGTTACTGTGGAGGAAGTCCATACATTAATTGGGAATCTGAAGAGTGGAAAGGCTCCGGGGAAAGACTTTATCCCAGCTGAGTTGATTACATCAAACCAGCACTGGTGGGCTCCGCTTCTGGCAGCACTCTTTACGGTAGTAAATGACTCGGGTAAGGTACCATATAGCTGGAAACATGCTATAGTAGTTCCAGTCTTTAAGAGAGGCCACCCAAATGTACCTTCCAATTACAGGCCTATTAGCCTGCTCTCAATAACTGGGAAACTGTATGCCCGTTTCCTCAGTAGCAAACTGACAACTTTTCTAAATGAACATAATATACTATCTGAAGCCCAGGCAGCTTTTCGTGAGAACCATTCAACAACAGACCACTGTCTAATGCTGTCCTTCCTAGCTGAGAAGTATACTATGCCTCTACAGGGTAAACTCTTCGTGGCCTTCATGGATCTGAAATCAGCGTTTGACTCCATCCCCAGATCCCAGCTATGGTCCAAATTGAGTCTGATTTTGCAGGACAAACGACTTCTCTTTCTTATAAAAGCCCTGTACAATGGAACCAAACTGGAGGTCCGATGCGGTTGACAGGGACAGCTATCGAACAGCATCGAGATGACTAGGGGGGTGAGACAGGGTTGTATTTTGGCCCCCACATTGTTTTGTCTATTCTTAAATGACCTAGAAGAGAACTTAATGGACCCAGATGGACACATTCCAAAAATAGGAATGAGAAGGACCCTTTTGTTGTTGTATGCTGATGACGCGGCCATCATCTCACGTTCCAGACCGGGCTTGAATTATCTGTTGAGGAAATTTTCTGATTACTGTTCTGGAAATGGTTTATCCATTAATTATGAAAAATCTAAAATTTTAGTCTTCGAAAGAAGATTCTCCCAGTCTAAATGGGTGCTGGATGGCCATAACCTTGAACAGGTAAAATACTTCAGTTACCTAGGGCTCACATTCCATCATACAGGATCTTGGAAGCACCATTGGCAAACCTCCCTTCAAAAGGCGGAGATTACAAAGCTAGCCATACATAGATTCTTCTTCACAAAGGGCGGCAAATATGTTCCAGCAGCCTTAAGGGTTTTCAACGCAAAGCCCGTTTCCCAACTCCTGTATGCAGCAAATGTCTGGCATAATGGGGACCTGCCAAAGCTAGATGGCTTTCAGGCAAAATTTATACGATCTCTGCTGCAGGTACCTAACTGCGTCCCTAACTCCGTACTTCTGTTGGAAGCTGGTGAATGCCCAATTTCAGCTAGAGCGTGGTGGGCTGCCCTAAAACATTGGCTCAGGATTTCAGTGTTTAATCTAGGGAAGGGTCTGTACCAACATTTGACCAATGAGGAATTTGTCAGCAAATGGCAGAAAACCATGGCTAAAAAAGCCACCTCTATTGGTCTGTCTCCCCCCCAACTGTATTACCTGGGCTATGAAGGCGCCCAAAAGGTTTTAAAGCAAAGATTATGGGACAATGCACACAGTGACTTGCGATCTCGGTCACATGCAGTCTGTAGTCCGCTAGCAGCAGGAGTTCAATATGGGTATGTCTTTGAGTTAACATCTTACATCAAAAACCTAACAGTACCTAACTATCGAAGGCTTTTCACCAAAGCCAGACTGAATGTCTTCCCCTCTGCAGTGCTGGATGGTAGGTTGAGAGCAGTTCCCTACCAGGACAGACTTTGCTCGTGTGCTCAAGACATCGATTCCATAGATCATATTTTGTTACATTGTGCGAAGTATGAGCAGGCCAGGGCTGAACTGATACTACCCTTGCTGGTGCCTTTCCCGGGAAAGTCAGAGGCTCACTATGTCAGGTTCCTACTGGAAGACCGGACAAAGCTAGAACGTTGGCAGTGGCAAAGTTTTTATCGGTGGTTGCAAGAACAAACGAGCCCTATATTCCAAACAAAGTGCTTGATTAACCTGGAGGTAGACTGTATGAACTCTGTATTAATTTGTAATGTTTTGTTGGGTCTCTGGACCGTAATAAAGATTGATGATGATGATATTTTGCTGTTCCCTATTTGAAGAACTCTTCATAATCTTGGGATTTCACTTTTGGCTGATTTCGACAGCAGTGTACTCTCAGCACTGGCAAGTACATGCAGAACTGCTGGCATTATTCAGAATCCACAAATGGTCCTGTACGATCTGCAATTGCTCGATAAGTGTGTATGCAGACATAGAGCCACATAATATAGCCACAGTGGACAGTGAGCACCACACAACCACTTAGCCATGGGTGCAAATCTGGGACAGGAATTCCAATTTCTCCATTGCATGCTGAACTCCAGAGCCAGGGTGGTGTAGTGGGTAAGAGCGGTGGACTCGTAATCTGGTGAACCGGATTCGCTTCCCCGCTCCTCCACATGCAGCTGCTGGGTGACCTTGGGCTAGTCACACTTCTTTAGAGTCTCTCAGCCCCACTCACCTCACAGGGTGTTGGTTGTGGGGGAAGAAGGGAAAGGAGATTGTGAGCCGCTTTGAGACTCCTTAGGGTAGTGATAAAAGCGGGATATCAAATCCAAACTACTCCTCCTCCTCCTCCTCCTCTTCCTCCTCCTCCTCCTCCTCCTCCTCCTCCTCCTCCTCTTCTTCTTCTTCTTCTTCTTCTTCTTCTTCTTCTTCTTCCAGCAGGTCAGGTAAACCTGTGTTATCCCTGCAAGTTACCTGTGTTATCCCTGTGCTAACAGAGCAATTTAAAGTTTTCTGGGCTGTGTACTACAGATAGAACACAAAAATGCAGAAATACACAGGATCCTGTTAGGTGCAGCCATGGCAGAAACCTTTTTTTTTTTTTTTTAGAATTGATATTTATTAAATTTTCAAAAAGTAACAAGTAACAACAAAAATTTCCAAAAAAGTTTGAAAATACAAAAAAAACAAAAATAATACAGAAATAATAAAGAAGAAAAAACCCAGCCGCAAAAAAGAAAAAAAAGAAAAACAGAAAAACAGAAATATAGAATCCTTTACGATCTCCATTAACTTCCTTTCTAGACTTCCTCCTCCTTCCCTCTCTTGTTTCTTAGTATTTAATTTTTACAGCAAATCCTTTCTGTTTTTTCATAACAATCTATCATTGCATTTCCTTATTCTATTTTCCCTCTTGTCATATAAAAACTTTAAAACTCAAAGCTTATATTCAATATTTAGCAAATTCTTACATCATTACCTTTTTTTCAAATCATTTACCAATCCTTACTTAAGTCATATAATTTCATTCAACATCCTTCAAACATTTATAAACATTCCCAATATTAGACAATAAGAAAGAAAAAACAATAAGTCAGATTCAATCCATTCAACTTCCAGCCTCCCTCCCCTGGACCCGGATTGTCAGTCCTTTTAACCTCAATAATCCGGCTCCTTAACCTGGTTGTCTCGTATCCGAGGCCCTCAAGTCTCTTTCTTGCCCCTTTCGCCACTCTTGTTGATATTTCCCTTCAGTCGTGGATACTCCAGCAAGAAGATGCTTTTGACTCTTTGCAGCAAGTCCATCCCAAACCCATTACCCAAGCCAGACAGCAGATAATACCACTTCCAATTTCCACAAAACTTGGAGACTTCGACTACTCCAATCCTCTGATGGCCCATCACTAGACTCGGAAAGTCCAAATAACCATATAGAGGGGTGTCAATCCATCCCCCCATTTCCAAATCTGACCACATTTCATCTTTCCGAATCAGGTTTGTCCTAAGTTCATTTATCAAGTTCAAAGGCTGATCTTGCCCATCCATAGGTCCCTCCATCTCTGAAGCCTCCGTCGCTACAGCAGGTTCATATACTTGTATAGACTTTAACTGAATTTCATTTGTTTGCTGCTGTGCTCTGGTAACTTCCGTCCTCATCAAGGTCGACTCCTGACGCATCTGGTCCAGCTGGGCACTTAATTTTGCAAAACCTTCCAGGAACACTTGTTCAAGCCTTTGTACAAGCATTGTCCTTCAAGGTCAGAGAAAATTCTTTCCCACGAGAATGGTCCTTCTCTTTTAAACTCTCTGCATTGCAATTTCACTCAGTTCCACTAGATGGAAAACCCTTTTTTTCTTTTTTTTTTCTTTTTTAAGAGGGGGAAAAACAACAGTAACAATCTTTCTTTTTCCAGAAACACTTTATCCAAAATTCCCCCTTTCAAATTCAAGAGGCAACAGTAGAATCAAAATGTTACCCTTCTTTTAACTATCTGTCGAGCTGGATAAGCTTCAAAACGTCAGTTCTGACAGCCCGCTCCTGGTTCAGGGCGGTGGAAAATTACTTTATTTTAAACTCACTTCCGCAGGGTTGAAAAGATCAAAACAACCCCTTCTTCTCCTGCAATCAAAGGGGGTCTAGAAATCTTAGATGTTGAATTTTAGTTCTCTCAGAATTTAGTTTTCAAGCTTTAGTATAATTTGTCTTTGCTTTCTTCACGTAACAAAAGAACGGAAGGCGACTTCCTGTTTAGACCTTTCCGGTCCGAGTCCCAATTAAATTCAATTTCAAGTTCAAGTCCAATGTTATTTATTTATTCACCAATCTTAAAAGTAGTTCAGCTCTTCCAGGATCGGGTACTCACGGATAGATGTTTTAGATGCCAAATTGTCCAGGAAAAGGCAGCGCTCTCCGAAAACGGCAGTGCGGCTTTGCTGCACGGAGGAAGCAGACGACTCACAGCACCACGCACCTTCCACTCCGGAGCCCGCTACCGGGCTCCTGTAGCAAGGGGAGAGAGCGCTCTCGGTGCCCGCCGAGTCCCACGCCCACAGGCTTCTTCCGCCTGTGGTTTTTAAGGGTCCCCGCTGCGCCGTAGCGGCAGGACCCAAGCCTCCGTGCAGCGGGTTCCCTTCAGTTCGAAGGGAATTCCGCCATTTTCCGGAGGCGCCACCCCGGAAGTCAGCCATGGCAGAAACCTGTACCTCCACCAGCTGGCATTCTGCGCCTCCTTTTTAGTTGTTTTCTTGCTGCATCATTCATCTGTCTTGACATCCAGGTAATGCAAACATTAAGAGCTAGAAGCCAAGTCAGGAGAGTAAGGGAGGGAAAGAGATCAAGAAATTGGAAGGAAGAGGGACCTCAAGCAGTTGTAGAAGTTGTGGTGGGACCCATTGGGTTACCTCCCGAGTCTGGATAATGCATTATTTTTGAAAAGAATACCTCAATTATAGAGACGCCAATTGAACACTCATCACCTGACGTGTTATTATCAAGCTGTGTTCTTGCTGGACACAGAGCTGCTTTCAAAACATCACTGAGGTGAGTAGCATAGCATTTTGGATCAGGGAGTTTCAGAAGTGTCAAAGAACTCATAACCCACCTGCTCTCAGCAGCCAGAAACACCATAACCAGACACTGGAGAGACCTGTCAGGAGTAAGCATGGACCAATGGTACCAAATAGTATGGGAAACAGCCCTACTAGAAAAATTAACTAATAAACTGAAACTGACACGGGGACAAACAGAAGAAGACGCCTTCACCCCGGTATGGCTCCCATTTATCACATACACAGCCCAACAGGACAATGACAATAATCCACCAACAGCATACAAATCAATATGGCTAACCTGATCCAAAACACCCACCCACCTCACT